AAAAAAAAAAAAAAAAAAGAGAGAAAAAGAAAAAGAAGGCCACAAGTCACCAACTAAGCCAGCATGGCCAGTGCAGTGGCACTGAACACTCACTGATGAATTTGTGCGCTGGGCCTACCTTGTACGATATCGCTCTGCAAGAAATCTCGTCAGACACAATACCAAATACCACATCAGAGACGGGTTGAGCTACCTCCAACCGGCTTGTCTCTTCTCGCCCATTGTACGACGCTAGGATCTTCTTGCTGCCCTGGTAACTTCCGACTAGTATTTGGATCGTGAACAGGTGAAGATGAGCCTGTCTAGAAGGCAGTGCCAAACAAAAGTTGCTATCCAGAAGCTCTTTTTCTTTGCCCGCTGCATAATGGAATGAGGATAGATTGCACAATCACATACCTCCTTCCTGGGCACGCGCAGCAAGGGTCTGAGCAGCCACTGATTTACCTTGAGGGCTCATTCAGTAAACGGCAGATCAAAGCACGGCCCCGGATTCTGCTTCCGGGTTGTCGACCTCTCCACCTGGGATAATTCCCGGGCGAGCTGGCCCAGCCGCTCTGCTTTTTCATCCTGTTGCCTAGAGATTGACGCCGCCACAGTCTCGTCTGGTCCCACATCAACGTTCTCCCCGTGAGCTATCGTGGACCCCGTCGCTGGACCCCCTGATACTGCTACCGGTGATGGCTGTCCATTGTCCGACATTGAGCCCTTGTCTTCCCCTTGCGTCGCTGCCATGACCGCAGCAGCCAGCTTTTCCTGCCACCCCCTCTCTTCAGCCTCCTTCGTAAGTATTGCATAATGCGCCCGTCGATACACTCCAACCGTGCTCAACGCCAACCCCACGATCTCAAACGCAAACAGCACGGGCAACGCATATCCAAGCTGGGGGTTGCATCCACGCGACCAGATATCTATCAGCACCTGAAAGACCGCGTGCGTAGGAAGAGCATACCCCCAGCGATAGAATGCGGGGACCAGCTCGAACGGCAGCAAGATCGACGTCACATTCAGCACGATCCAGGAGATGAGCGCCATAGGCACGAACGGCAGCGGAATCCAGATGGTAAAGACGTCCAGCACCAGGAAGTTGAGGTGCGCAAACAGCCACAGCACCAGCCAGGTGAGGACGAATTGTCCCCCAGACACGTGCCAACCAAACCGGAAGGCCCAGATGGCGCCGGCTGTGGAGAGGGAGCCCAGCAGGGTGTATGTGCCTGCCAGCAATTGGCGAATGATGGCGATGCGGTGGGGAGCCACGGTTGTGTAGAGACGGAAATGTTGGTAGACGCTGTTGATGTACCCCAAGTAGAAAAATTCTTGAATCATGATCAGGATGACCACAAGGGTGTTGTAGACGAGGCGCGAGCCTTGGGTAGTTGGCTGAAGATTCGTGGAGGCGAGCGTCCAGGGTGAGGCGAGGATGCCGAGTGTTGAGGTGATGTTGGTAGTGAGACCTGGGAGCATCTGGGTGGCGTTGAGTGTGTAGGCGAGGCGGGCAGTCTCGGAGAGGGATTGCATGCTGCCAGCGACAGCTGAGTCGACGATGGTGGAGTAGCGCGCTTCGTTCCAGACCAAGCCAAGCAAGTCATCGGGGTTGTAGTCCGCCCCGCTCGTTAATGCGGCGGCCAGCTGGTTTGAGGCATTGGGGGTAATGTAAAGGCCTCCCCAGTATTGAATGTGGCAGACAGTGGAGGTGATGGCCCTGAGATCGGGGTACTGCCGCGCTGAATGCTCGGTTAGGGTTGGGAATCCCGGCGTTCGAAGCTGCTGGTATGCAGCACGAATGGCCTCTCCAATCGCGCCTCCGTCGTAGTCCACGAAGACCACATTTAGATTATGCACATGAGTGGTCTCTTGAAAAAGAGAACCAAAGAGATAGCAGAAGAGACCGAGGAACAGCAGCTGCAGCACCAGGAGGTTGATTCCGGCCGCCCTCAATACCGCCAAGCGCAGCGGCCGCACCGTCGGGTCATGGATGCTCAGGTGCTTCTGCCTTCGGGCTCGTGCGTAAAAGGTCATGAGGTCAATCGCAACTTCAAATTCTATCCACAGCGATCGGAGTTTTGTTGAAAGGTTCGGTCTGGGCGGTCTAACAGTTCCTAATAACTGTGCAAGTGAAAAGGGTGGGGCGGAAGTCGTGCTCGTAACTGTTCTCTGAACGAGATGCTTCGATGAATACGAGCCAGTCACCAACCAGCGTCCGGGCCAGGGATGCGGTGATATAATCCCGGCAGCGGTTGATGAACCAACCAGTCTGATCTGCACACTGCACCCATTAGTACCTTGCATTTGCTCCAGCTCGCTGGCAGCTCCTCAAACCAATTGCCCCTTTGGATGAGATAACTACCGTCACGTGCGAGCAGTCACCTGGATTCTACGCTATTGCCAATCTGGCAGATTCATCTACTCCCTGGATGTACACGACTTGTCCCCATGTTGAGTCATTCTGATCCACCCCCAGGCCGGACCCATGCTTTACCGGGGCACACGTAGTAACTCGCCGATACTTGATTCGGTTTTGTGGGGGTGCGTTGATGCCAAAGTCCTCAAGGGTATCAAGGAGTTCCGTGTCCATCTGCATAGCGGAGTGGCCGTTGTACGCGCATAGGTCGGTAGAGTATGGACAGGATGCATTGGCATTTATAGTAAAACGGTATATTTGGGCGGACGTAGGTGCTGCAGTCCAACTCGCTTGCATTTTCGTGGTAGCACCGGCGGACATATGTGGCAGCATCATAGGTGTCCTGCAGACTCTTGGTATTACTTATACTCAGATCGGTGGCGTTGAACCAATAACCTCCACAGCCGGGCCTATGATGAGGGTGGACTGGCCAGCTGTCTTGGTGATGTAATGTGTGAAAAGACCAGACACACCAAATAGAATGAGAACCAGAATTGGTAGCACTGCCAGTAGCAGAGATCGTCCAACAGCCCTGAGCTTTGACGCAATTCGGCCGGACTCGAATGGTAGCGAGAGCAAAACCCAAGCTGCCGCGCTGCGCCTTTTGTTGCGCAAGATGACCTGACGTTGGTGGGAAAGAGCATCACTCTGCTGATCTGGAGCTGTGGTCCCAGCCTGATGAAGAGCGAAGCTAAGTGTACTCCAAAACAGGCTGCCGGCTAGAGAGACGAGTATAGCCAGGAATGCGCTCAGAATTCCGGATTTCGTCTGTGAGAGGGTCAAGGTGGAACCCCTAACTGTGCCCTCGGATCAGTTGATCCAGATTCCAGTGTAAGTGTGGAGTGTGGCAGACATGACACCAGATCTTCGCGACCCGCTTACGTATAATTCAGAAAGCAAGAGGGGTACCAAGCAGCACCGCCGCGGTTCTGAAGTCAAGCGCAAGGACTTTGCATTGTATGTGTCAAGCTGCCGGAGAGGGGGTGGCAGTGAGGTTCGGGCTTCCCTCGAGAGCTTCCTCCATGTTTCGATGACATCAGGCAGCGGCCCAAGACCATTGAATTCTTTGCGAGTTGCATGGCCTGGCACAGGAGACTTCAACAGGTGCCTACTTTGACCAGTATGGTGACCTGTATGTTCAATCGGTTGCAAATGCAAACTTCTGCTTGAGAGTTGACTTGAGAGACCCATTTACATTTTAGCGCGTGCAGATGCCTAATGCCACCAAATTATAATTGCCGATCTGTGTGATGCAATTCTGGCGGTAATTGGTCACGGCGGGGCTGCAGGGTCTTTCTCCGTGTTGGTGCATGATACAAGGCTGACGTTCTTTTCTATAATTCTCTGGGCGTGCACAGTCTTCCGCGCGATGTCCTGGACCCGCCCAGGGGTAAAGCGCTCTGATAATGACACGAGAAACGGACCTTGAAAACTTGGGTGCTGTCGGTCGTGCCTGTCAGATTGTGGGTAGATTTGTAGAGAAGAGAAAACCGCAGTACAGAGTCACTGTCCGAGAGATCTACGGAGTCAAGATACATAACTTACCACAAATATTACGGGGCCCAATACTCACAGCGCCTCGTGGCTGCTTCTCCGCACCTGAAAATGGACCTACAGTAAACAAACCCGAGATCTGGACCCAGAGCCTTATCGTGAGTTGTGTTCCGATGACCCGCTCCCCCACACCGAATGCCAGGGCTCTGGAGACATGGATGCTTCCATGCTTAGAGGACGCGCTCTCAGCCGTGCGGCTGGATCCACGACGCATCCCGCGACTGCGGTGTTGCGTGATAGTACGTTTATCCTAGGTGTTGTTTTTGACCAATCAAGTGATTTGGGGCTCGTTGATTACTCTCAAGGTACCAAATACGAGATATGGCGTGGCAGACCAACGAAAGCAGGAATAATCCCTCGGACCTAAGATTGTACGCGGTACAATCATTGATGATTTGCGGATAGTGTCTTCGGGTGATACTTGGTGCATATGACAACTCTGACCTTGAATCACCTTTGCAAGTGGTTCATAGTCACAACTGGATGCGGATCGTGCCATACTTTTGTCCTCCGATGACTGCTTCGACTGACAATTTTGTGAGTGTCAGACTCGTAAGGCTGAAACAAGGGTATGATCGCATGCATGAACCGTATTGTTTCCAAAAGGGGCGGGTATCCTCGGAGAGACAGGCACGTAGTTAGCGCAGCCAGCTAGAAACTTTCATGCATGGAGTAGGATCGGAAACGGCCGATTTGCGCATTTGGCGCACAGACCAAAGAGCATTCTTCGCTGTTGAGGTTGATACATGAAGTTGAGAGAGGGATATCGGGCTAGAATGGAAAATGCCCGTCTGTGCAATGAATGGATGATGATGGATTGTTGAAAGTCCAAGCAGAGGAGTTGGGTAAGATCTTGGACGACAAGGGAAACTCCCACCGTTAAATTTGTTGCCTGAGGCCAGAGTAAAAATAATAGGCGGTCAATCTACCGCCGCGTCCGCCTTTCATAGTACCATAGAGTGTCAGGAATTCAATGTCTCTCACCCGCAGCACTTTTGAGGCACTTCATAATGCTTTTCAACTAGCCTCTTGGATAAGGCTCGCTTCATCTTGATGAACTCGACCTAGTTTCGATAAAAAAGGCTTAAAATTCCCGGTAGGCGTCATAATCGCGAAGGGAGAAATGCCCCCCGCCCTCAACCATTATTGAAGAAGTCAGGACGACATCTTCGAAAACAAGAGGCTTCTATCTTCATGAAACGCTATTCATACCTTTGCAACCACTCGATCTGCGGATATGAGCTTGTCCATGAACAGACCTGCTGCGTCACAGCCCATTCTAGTGTCTAGCATACCTGGCATCGGAAAGCTCTTGGCAGTGTACCCCCAACTTCGAATGCGTGCTAATCTACTCCGCACCCGTACTGTATTAGCCTGACGCTAATGGCTGCACATTTACGCGAAGTCTTAAAGGTGCCTACTTCTTCCTAGTCAGATGACGTGGGAATTCTCCTTCTCCTCATCAAACGCTGAGACCCGTTCAGATCGATTCCCTGCCACATAATCCTACCTCCCCTAACAACAAAGCATGTCCGCACCGCCTGCAAGAAAACGCCATGCCAGGGGCATCCGATCAAGAACTGGGTGTCGTACATGCAGAATTCGACGGATCAAATGCGATGAGTCGCCCGAGAAGTGTCGCAACTGTACATCCACCGGGAGACTTTGCGATGGTTATGAATTGTACCGCCTGCCCATGTCAGCCAGGCCCAAGAAGAACCGCTTTCTCTTGACTTCTCCGCCTGTCAGCGCCCATATTCGCTGGGCCGCCACTTCAGATGAGCGTCGCTGTTTGTCGTTTTTCTGCAATCGCACGATTCCAGATGCTACGGGCTACTATGACACCCATCTATGGGAGCAGTTCGTCTTTCAGATGGCGAATCTGGAGCCTGCAGTCTGCCACGCGGTAATCGCCCTTGGGGCCGCTCATCAGGACGTTGTTTTCCAAGGAATAAATCTTGCACCTACCGGAGCAAGGCAAAGGGGCGTTTGGTATTTCTATGCGCTAGAAGAATCCGCCCGCGCCTTCGAACTGCTCCGTCGCCGCAACACTCAGGATCCGCAGATGCGGCAAGTGATGCTTCTCTGCTGTCTCCTCTTCGTCTATCTGAATCTGGTTCAACGGGACTATGAAACTGCATTCCAACATCTTCATGCTGGCTTGCGAGTTTTCAGCGAGCTGGAAATTAGCGGTTGCCGTTCCCTCCCGTGCACCTCTCCCGGCCGTGCTGCAATCGATCCACACCTCATCACAGCTTTCGCGCAGCTTGAAACTCAGACCACGCATCTCAGTGCTCATAACCGCCCACAGCTTTGGGCCAACCACCCAGGACCGGGGCATCTCAGCCGCCGTGATCACAGCAACTTGCCCAGCGAAAGTGTCGACGACCGACGCTTGGCCCTGCAGCCCCTCGAGAATGCCATCTATCGGTTCTTCAAGCGGTGTTGGAATGCGTCGGCGGATGAGGTTTTCGCTCATTATCAGGTCCTGCATGCCACAAAGACTCATCTGCTATCCGAAGTTCAACACGCCAAGCAATCCTTCTCTGACTTCTGCGACCTGAGATATGCAGCCCTCTCTCCGAAAGAACAACGCGGCACTGACCTGATTCGACTGCATCTGATGGCCTTTTCCGTTGGTCTTCGAACCTCGCTGATCCTACACCAGCCAGATCAGATCACAGCGTTCACAGCCGAATATGCAGCCATGCTGTCGCTGGCCCGAAAGATTATTGCGCAGTTTCCCGACAAGCCCACGGTGATGGTTGACTCCGGTGTGATCTTGCCGCTATACATCATCGCTGACTGCTGTCAAGACCTGAGCCTGCGCTGGCAAGCTATACAGGAACTCCGGGCCTGGCCGCACTATGAAGGCCCCTACGACTCGATGGTCACGAGCACCCTTCTTACCGAGCGCTGCCGGCTTGAAATGCGCACGCGAATCCGCGCAGAAATGCGCGACTCGTTCCTGTCTGCTGGAAGGGTGGTGGACAAGGGACTGTTCGAATTGATGGTCGATGATGAGCTACGTGAGCGGATGAAGATACTCACTGGTGAACAAGTGGATGATGAAAGCTTTCGCCAGGCGAGCGGTCAAGCGGAAGCCGATATTTCGCAGGTCATGGCATTGGTGTCTTTGAGAGACTGGACATGTCTTCGTAGATTGGAGCGATTGAAAGGACAAGTATCGCTAGCTATGAGATCAGAAGAAAACTTCATTGGCTAGAGCAGAATGTCTCGTGGCGATGTCGAGGTAGCCCAGTCAAGCAAATTGCTAGTGCAGTCACCGCGGATTACCTAGTAGTCCATGGTTCCCATACCCGCTCCACACTGCTTCCAACAATACCAAGCAGGTTCTGGAAGACCATTTTGGAATTTCGTCCCTTCATTCTGTAGCCCACGTATACACTAGAAGTTCGAATACTTAGGCTTAAGCCACGTCCAATAGCTTATCTGTTGCTGTTGGATCCCTTCCGCCAGAGAGGAACCGGCAGCTGCAACGAAGCAGGCCTAACCGGCGTAACCGATATATGAACTGTAGAAAGCATTGTTCCTTTCTCTTCACTCAATGGAAGTCTAGGTGGCGACATGCGAGTGAGTATAGGTAAGTTTCTCGAAATAAGCATGCTTGAGTTCAGCAATCTCTACCTTGATCAAGTTCCACCGCACCAGACTCTCAGTCTTGGCGCTCGGCATTTGTGCCCCCCAATTTGCGGCAGAGGAGACAGATGTCTCTGTCCATGACTAGCAGGGGGCGTCCTTGGTTTAGGAATATGAACACAAGGTATGTTGGCCTCGTGATGGTGAAACACATAACTGAATACGAGATGGTCGGAACCTTGCCCGAGCGGACAAACTGATAGCCATCACCTCTTGGGTAGTTAGCTGGCATGGCGGCCCTATGCTCAGCCAAGGAAGACTTTGACAAAGCTGGCAATTACCACACGTATAGAGCATTCAAGGGTTTGAAGACAGAGAGCCTGAAATTGCACAAATCGCTGGAATCAACACACTTGGCATTCACAGCAAATTAGTAAGCATGCTCCCAACCCTTCTAAGCTTCTCCTACAGGCCTCATGTCCAGATTTAGCATTTTGGATCTTCATGACGAGCTTTGGCAACAATCAATCGTAGAAATTGCCCGGGAAACTAGATCAGGCGATGCCAACCGGTTTCCCGGCCAGGTACGTAAGGTGTTTAAGTTGTGAATAATTGCTTCCACAATAAGTTAGCCTGCAAAAATCCGATTGTGGTGTGAAACGCAGTGGACCCCGGCGGTGGGGAGACGTGGGTACAAACAAAACCGTCCGTTGGAATCACGATTGGGATCTTATCCCACTTGACGAATCATGGTTCATGAGATGTACTCGAGGTAAATTAAAGTCTCTGAACATCGGTCTAAAGGGGGAGTTGAGGCAAACTGCAAAGCCTGTGCTGACACTGGCGCCCTGTGCAGATGTGACACCACAGGTGGGAGATTCCACGTGTCGATGAATGCGCCTCCCAACCCCCTGACAGGCTGAAACAGAGCCGGGGGCTCGAACTCTGCAAGTTTAGATGCCAGAGAGAGAAAGCCAGGCTCATATATACGGATTCGTCGTCTCATGATGCTGCCGTCCCCGACCCCGGCCTACCTCCCTTCCGTTCGCCTGCTGGTTCGCGCCCTCAGAATTCAATTCTTTTTCCTTTTGCAAATGTAATCCTACTTGCGTATTCCTTCGTTGGAACTTTCTTCCCTCTTCTTTGGTCTCTCTCTCTCTTTCTTTTCCAGACGGTTAGCCGGTCTTGCCGCCCCCCATGGAAGAGGCTTGGAAGAGAGACCTTTCGCCCGAGCGAATTGCCTACCTTGCGCAGTCCCGCATTCCGGGCATCATTGCGTGCAATGTAATCTTACTCGTGTTTGCAACGGCTGGACTGCTGGTGCGGTTGTTTGTTCGTCTTCGGTACCTTACGGGGATCAACTTAGATGATGTGCTGTGCATAACTAGTTGGGTATGTTGAAGACGATGGTGCGGTCGTGTTGCGCATCCAATCTCAACTCATGGCTGGAAACTGATGCGATGCCACTGATCCAGGTATTTACCTTCGCCTTATGCTTTACAACAATGTGGAGTAAGTGGCCATACGAGAAGAATTCCAATCGCGAGCGAAATTGCATCCTGACCATTCTGTGCCTTTCCACAGTGACCCGATACGGTTTCGGGAAGCACATTGGCACGGTGTCAAGCTTCAGCGACCGGGCCATGTTTTTGAAGGTATCATTTACTCAATCCCAAGGGAAAGATAATCCAACCGTCCGGCTAATTCGCGCCCGGAATGATCCAACCAGCTCGACTTCGTCACCATGCTCACCTACGTCCTCGCCCTCGGCGCCATCAAGATCTCCTTCTGTGTCCTCTATCTCCAGATTTTTCCCGGCAAGAAGTTCCGAATTGCCTGCTGGTGCCTGCTGGCGATCCTGCTTGGCGAGACCATCGCTGAGACCTTTGTCGTGATCTTTCAGTGCATCCCCGTGCACAAGGCATGGGATGCCACAGGCCTCGTTGAGGGCTGGTGTGTGGACATGACGGCGCTGTACTACTCGAATTTCGCCATCAAGCTGGCCACGGACCTGGCCATTTTCATCATGCCGATCCCCAAGTTGTGGCAATTGAAGATGACCAAGGGCAAACGCATGGGGTTGGTGGTGATGTTCAGTCTTGGTCTTTTGTACAGAACCCCCTCCGCCTCCGGTTTCACGCGAGAGGAACGTGTGACTAATGTTCGCTGTCCACAGGGTATGCGTCACGAGCATCATCCGGGTCTCCTACATGAACTCCTTTGCGGTGGATCACACCTGTATGGCTTTGATATCTTGCCTCAGATCAATCCCTATTGTGTATGCTAATGTCTGCTGCGCAGGGTCAATGGTCAACACCGAGCTTTGGTCCTGCGTCGAGGTCGCCGTCGCTATCTTCATCGCCTGCATCCCCAGCTTCAAGACCCTCATCACGCATCGGTTCCCCGTTCTGCAGCGCCTCCTCGGCCTTTCGAGCGACAGCGACTCGGCCGGTCCGTCTAAAATGTACGGTACCTCGTCGCGGCGCACCTACCACGGCCCCTCGATGAGCATCAAGCTTAACCCAGTGCACGGCCACAGCAGTAGCAGCAGCCGCGCGGACGCCGAGACCGCCAACGAGTCGCAGGAGCGCATTATGTTTCCCGAGGGAATCCACGTGGTGACAAAAGTCAGTGTCAATGAGACGGTCTGACCACAGTTTCTACCTTTACTTAGCCCCGTCAGGAAAAGTGAGCGAGGGTCGTCACACAGGTAAACTCTAATAGATAGATTATGATTATGAATTTCTTGCCTTCGCCAACAATTCACACGGGAAGACCCCTGATTCTGCAGTCGCGATCATGGTCCCGTGTCGAGGACACTAGATAGACGAACAGATAGATAATAGGGCTTCGCTGGTCGTCGGAGACTTTGGAGTGCACGGAGTGGGTGGGTCCTCGAAGTTTCCGCCTTCTTCCCCTCTCTTTCTCTCTCCCTCTCTCTCCGCGCCAAAAAGATGCTGGTGAAATTGTCAGGTCAGAAGTTCAGAACCCGTGGATCCCCGGACAAATATACTCTAATGAGTTTAAAATCCGCGCTAGCGGCTGGCAGACCCCACCTGAACTCGCCATTGGGCTTCTCGGCCGACCGGTCGATGGGTAGGTATGGGCGTCACTGATCAAGGTTCACTGCCAGTCAGTCTGTGACTGTAGGCCCTGCAATGCTTAATCGCTCCAACACGGGCCTCAAGCAGTATTACATACGCCCGTCTCATCTTGGGCTTCTTGATCCAGGTCGATGCCTGAACGATCGTCTGCTACGTTGACCCTAAACACAGCACCAGAAGACAATCTCCGGATATGCAACTTTCGTATGCGGAGCGGGCCCGCAAGTTCTAGGCCGGAGGAACAATGAGCCCTAAACGCTGGTGGGGAAAACGGTAATTTATATCAAGCACGCTAGTGCCGCACCAATGCAAAGTGTGATTGGCTTTAAACCTGTGTGGGCAGGGATCGGCGCAGTCTCGGTGGGGAGTCCTTGCCTTGGTGCCTGAATTCTTGCTTCATTGCTTGCTAGAAAAATGGCTCCCAGAGATTGACTCGTGCATCGAATCTCATCAGTGGAGGACCGCTCGGACATAGTTGGACATAGGAACAAGCTGACAGGGATTTCTCTGCCGTTGGACTGGTGATCCTATAACTAGCATGTTTTTAAGTGGTTCCAACCTGGTCATGATGTAGCATAGTTCTTGCGATTGAGGTGCACGATCCTGAAGTTATCGAGCGACTAGCCTGTAATTGGCCCTGCCAAAAGGCGTCTGAATGCAGATGATCAATGTCCAAGGCTCACCAAGGTGGGTGTCCATGCGCCCATGCGTCCACGTCGCTGACAATCATCGTTTGTGGACAAGGCTCTCGAGCGCCGCGGCAGCTTGGTTCATGAGTAAGTATAGTAGTCTATTTAGCATGGTGCCGAAAGCACTGGTAAAGCCCTGCGGTAGGCGGAGCGAGCATCCTAATTCTCATCCGGCATCAACTGTTGCGATGAGAATCGTGTCTCGGAAATGTTAGTAACCAACTTTACCCAAGCCAGCTTCGTCCACTGGTGCAGCAGGTGAATTTTCGCGCAGTGGATGTACTAAGATCGTTACAAGTGCCGATCAATGTCCTGAATAGAACTCGATGTCAGTCACGGTCGTATACGGAGTAGCACGGAACCGGCAGAGTCCAGGTTGATCGAATATGCAAATGCCATAAGTTAGTAATGTGATGCGCAAACATTCTTAGCAGGCGTCTTATGCTACTTCGGAAAGGGTACGTACTACTACTAGCTATCACTACTGGCACTGGCTAGCGCGCAATGTTCTCACCGCAGGGCATGGAATCAAATTAGGTAATGATAGATTTAGCTACTCTGCGTACAAGTATCATCAGTGTCATCTGTCACCTGTCACCTCTAGCGGCTGAAACAAGCATTGCTGGATAAAACTCCTGAAGGGCGCCAGTGAGGGAGCAGAGGAGAAAGACATAGGCAGTACCTGAACTTTTCCCCTTGCCACTTTGTGTACACCTTTAGAACTTCAGGCTATAAGATTTCAAATCTAGTCTTAAAAGCCAGGATTGGTCCACGTATAACATGCGTTTCTGTCGCCATTATGCTAATATCAGGGCCTTTTAACCAGAAAGAAAAATAAAACTTGTGAATCATGATACCAATCAGATCATTGCCACTCATGAGCTAGACACCCTAGCGCTTCCATCGAACGGAGAAGCAGTTTACGAGCACCGAGGGTCAGCATAGTGTTGTCCTAGAGTCTTGCGATCAAGCCGACATCAAACCACAGGAATCACAACGACAATTTGTCGAGCGCAAACACCGCAGCATATGAGCAGATGCTCCCTGTACATCCAAGTTCAAACTCACGACCCCTAGTTTGGAAGCAGCAGCAGCAGCCCATTGAGCCAGAACTGCCAGCCGAGCGAATGATAAGCTGACGCAAGGCGAGCAGTCACACATCCATAGACTTTTCAGTACAAGACGCAGTCTTAGTCTCCAGTCCGTCACAAGTCGGAGGCGTAACTTGTGATGTTGGCGGCTACGGCGTGCAAACGTCACGTCAGTGTGCGAGATTCTTGAGCAGCAGTTGCCCCGGCAAGGAAAGAAAAAAGTTGCGACGAGCAGGGAACAGGCGGCGAAAGTACTGAGAGGGTCCCTACTTTGTGATTTCCCAACCGGATATACATACTGGCCTATGCCTGCCTGACTGTCTGCGCAATTAATGGGTGACTGGTGCAGCTGCCTTATCTATGGCATGCTGTATGTGTTATTTTCCGTCTCATGTCCAGATCATGTTGACCGCAGGGGCCACAGAGCATGGTAGCAGGAGTCGACAAGCCGTTGTTCGTACGATGTCATTTTGCCGACATTGCCTACCCTCACGAAGACATCATCCGCCGGTGACAGGAACGGAACCCATGATAACGCATGAAGGTACATCACTTGCAGTACCCTCGGGTGGGTGTTAGTTACCACATCTTCATCACCGCAGACACTGACACATCAAGTTCTCTCCAACCATCGGTCTCTCTAGACTTACCCGTTCATCTTCCCCTCTCTTTGAGTCGCTGATCTCTACCTTAATCTTCTTTCTACAACTAATATCTCTAACCGTCCTCTCCCGCCACCACGACTCTAACCCTCTACAACCATCCGACCAACTTACTCTCTTCGACACATTTGTCCAAAGCCTAAGATGTGCGCCCCACTTTTCCCCATTCTGGTCGAGCACCAGGATGATCTCGACCTGGACGAAGCCATCCGCCAGGGAGGAGGACCCATTAATCGGGTGAGCCCCGCATTGCAAACGCACCGGATCGGTACAACCCTACCTGTCTTTTTCCGAACATACCAGGGAGACCGATACACTTGGACTGAAAGCGACGACGATGATGATGAGGATGACAATCACTACGACGATGAACACGACACAAACAACGATCCTGAAGCTGACAGTGATGAGAACAACTCAGAACAAGAGGGGGGTTGGGGCAGGGGCTTCCCTGTCTGTCTGGGAGCGAGACTTCATTGTCCACTTTCGACCAGCGCCTGAAGTCAGCCAGGAAGAAGAAGTAGAAGAAAAGAGCGAGGGGAAAGAGGAAGGGGGAGACCGGGAGGGAACTGAAGGGAGAGGCTAACAGGGCGACCTCAGTTACAGCCACCACCACCACCGAGATCGCGATCCCGCTGTCGACAACATCAACAGCAACAACCACTACTGCCATTGCCAAGATAGCGACTCCGACGTCGAAGATGAAAACTCTGATGGGGAATCCTTTGCGCATCGTCCGCTTGACCATTTTTGATCTTATTCTCGCTTTCTCGGCATACTGGCACTGCGCCGGCAGTCCTTCCAGAACGTAAGAGAAGCATTAAGCTCGGAGTATGTGGATCTCCGGGCTATGATTGAAGCGAGCATAGTGGGACTTGAGATTCGTGGGGGAAGCCTATCCCTGCCACATGGATTCGAAGACGCTAACAGATGGATCATGACAGGCTGTGGCGATACGTGGCTTGGCAGAGACGAAAGATGCAAGCGGAAAGACTTCCTTAATGAGTCGTGGAGGTCACTTACCAGGCCTCAGGTCAGTCTCAACTTCTATCTTCTTTTCTGGCATTCAAACACACTCCCATACACACCAGCTGAAGAGCCGACGAAATACGTCGACGACTGTTTACGGGCTATGCTTTCACGTCCAGAAATGCAAATCATTCGTCATTTTTGCCATCGGCGTGCATACCTGTAAAGTCTGAAACCATTTGTAGTTCGAGCCTCATCTCCAGGGACTCAAAAATCCGCCTCCCAGTCGTGCCTGTATGGGGCCGGGAAGCGAAGAAAATAATGTTTCGTACATCCGATACACCGCTGCAACGACAGCGAAAACGCATTGACTATCATTTGGTCTAGATTGGGTTTTCCTTCAGATCAGATCCAGGCTGGGAACCGTCATGAGTTGGGAAGGAGTTTATTTTGTCTTACTCTTTTTGGAACGCTCAAATGTACGACTTCTTGCATCATGGGGGCGTCAACTTAAAGCAGATCGCTCGCATATGTCGCTCTTTGTTTGGCAATATCACAATGGAAGCCACTTTGCTTGACCTGTCGATTAGAGATGTGATAAGATAATGATGCTACCTAATGAACTGTAGGCTGGCTAATATCAAGGTGGTCGGGCATGGTGGAACCAGGGCTCGAACCACCGACTAGAAGAACAAAAAGCGAAATGAAAAGCCCAACGCGGGGGTTGAACCCGCAACCTTGAGATTAAGAGTCTCACGCTCTGCCGATTGAGCTAGCTAGGCTGATTTGGTGATACGTACCGGTTTTATAACAACATCAAGCTGTACAAAACCTATCGCCGCCCTGCGGAAGTAAGGGCATGTGTGGAGATTTAAACGGTAGGCATCTCATCGCCCAAGATTTTCATTCACTACAGAAGCCAGTCACTGGCAATCCCTCTACCAGTCTCAGTTCAACAAAGACTGATACTATTATCATATTCCCAGCGATAAAAGCTCACACTGACCTAAGCCCCTTCATTGTCACCGCAGCCAAGCAACTCCAGAATCAAGAAGGGTGAGATCCATATCCCTTTTGATCAGAATGACGAATTGAGAACACGTGCCTCTGGACTTCTGGCTCGATCTGAGAGTTTCGAGCGCAAGCTAGTCGACTTCGATGACACAGATATGACTCGAGGAACTACCCTCGCAGCTCCGGTGCAGGGACTCAACGTGAACGCACCCACTTAGGCAAGAACATAGAGATCGTATATAGAACCTAACAAATGTTCGAGGGCCTGTCGCACCACAAGCAAGGTCCCTTGCTGCCCCTTAAGTCTCTCTGCTTGGCATCATGGAACTTTTTTACCTGAAGAAAGCCTTTCCAGCACATCCCAATAGAAGAACTTACGGTCTCAGAGATGGGTCCAAAAGTGCGAGTGCTATTTTGAAGTTTCCATGCAGTAAAAAATGGAATTACCTATTAGTACTGGCCTTGATTCGCGATGCTAGTTTGCTCACATGTATTTACGGGCGGAGTCAGATGTCTCGCTTGGAGATATCTTGTGTCACTTCATTCAATCGCATTCCGAGTAGCCTTTCCATCCCGGAATCAACCTGCGGCTTGTGAGTGAACTTAGCTTTCCCAAAGCGGTCACTAATGCCAAAAATCATCATGATCAGAAGCAAACGAACTATCACATACGACCACAGGGTGTGGAAAATAGGGCTTCCCGTCCGCTCAGCCGTACTCAAGCCACACGCCGGGAGGTTAGTAGTTGGGTGGGTGACCACCAGCGAATCCCTTCTGTTGTATGTTTTTTTTTTTTCTGTTTTCACCATTTCTCCCTCATGCACATGGAGAGATTACTAGACGAACTGCTGGAGAAAGCGAGATAAATGGAAAAGAGCCGTCAACTTTCAAAATTGAGATGGTACTATGAAATATGGAGACGTGGAAAACAAGAAGAATAGAAGAAGCCGACCGACGGGGCGAAAATTGGTTGACCAACAGCAGGCGGGCCCACCAAAAGATCTCAGCTTGAATTACGCTACCTTCGCGGAATATATTTCTTGAGTACTCCTCAGTCGGATGCGAAACCGCAAGAAAATAGTAAGATGACATAAGTGAGCAGAGTTCTGCCTTGATGCATGTCAGAGACGGAGTACTGCGTATGTGAGCGAATCAATTTGCCCGGTCGAGGAGCAAGCACATCGAAGAGTGCAGCCAACGTCATCTAGCGACATAGGCCCACATACCCGATCTAGTGCACGGCAGCGAGTCTGGGTCTATAAAACAACAGCCCTGGAAACAACCTCTTCTCATCGAACCAAAGGTCTCACTCATCTCATCCCGAGAATCAGTCAATCATGGATCTCACACCTTGCCCTGCCAGACCGCTTCCCTCGACCGATGACCTCAAACAGTTCTATGTTGGCAAGGATGTGAACGATGTGCCCAAACCGGCCGTCATTCTGGATGTGGCCATCATCAAACGACATTGCCAGGCGATGCTGAAGGCGGCCAAGGCGCTGGATGTTGGACTTCGCGCTCACGTCAAGACCCATAAAGTGAGTCACATTTTCCGGACCCCATAGTTTTTTCCAGCAGTCTAAATGAAGATCGTCAGACCCTGCAAGCCACTCGCCTACAAGTGGGGGAGGAAAGCCGAGAGGTCAACCTAGTCATTTCGACCGTCCTCGAGGGGGAAATGCTCGTGCCCCTCCTGAAAGAGTTCCAGAGTGCAGGACGTTCCGTCAATGTTCTCTATGGCATCCCCCTCGTGCCCTCACAGGTCACCCGTCTAGCCTCGGTCGCCCGCCGCCTGGGTGAGAAGAGCATCTCCGTCATGATTGACCACCCAGATCAGGTGGACCTACTGGAGGCCTTTCACCGAATTACTGGATTCGCCGCCTGTATCTTTCTCAAGGTTGATTCAGGGTACCACCGAGCCGGACTACCGCCCAACATGCTGAATAAACACGGGCTGCTTGAGAAGGTGGCCGCCGCGGAGAGGCAGGGCCACGCCTCGCTGCTGGGGCTGTATTCCCACAACAGCTTGAGCTACTCGGGAACCACACCGGAGGAGTTAATGGGCTATCTGAACCAAGAAATTTCCAGCTGCCAGGAAGCTCTGAAGCAAAATCTCCACCTGCTCCCCACCGACAGGGAGTTAGTCATTAGTGTTGGAGCGACACCGCAGGTGGTCTCCTCGCAGCACCTCCTGCAAGATTCCCTCAGCGCTGGGGCAAAAGGTCTGAAGACACTGCTCCAAGATCCGGGTCCCGATCTCGCTGCAAAGGTCAAGGTGGAGTTGCATGCGGGCGTGTACCCGTTTCTCGATATGCAGCAACTGGGAACCAACGTACACCGGACACAAGATGCTGAGAGAGAGATTGGCATTTCCGTAGTCGCCGAGGTGTGCAGTGTGTACAATGGTGGAGAGCGATCGTGTCCTGAGGCCCTGGTGGCGGCAGGGTCCTTGGCTCTGGGCAGAGAGCCGTGTGCGTCGTATTCCGGCTGGGGGGTCATTAGTGCGTGGAGAAGGGAGTCGGGCTCTTCCCGACTGATCGTGCAGCGTATTAGTCAGGAGCATGCGATAATCAGTTGGGACGACGAGAATGATAAATCAGAGCTTCCACTCAGCATTGGGCAATCCGTGAGGATCTTTCCCAACCATGCGTGCGTGACGGGTGCTTTGTATGGATGGTATCTGGTGGTGGATTCCAGCCAAGATGGCGATGGGTCGACCGTAATTGATGTCTGGCCGAGAGTGACGGGCTGGTAGAACATAGGCATGAACCTGAGAATCATCATCCATCCATCTACGAAGTACATACTACTACATACTTTTCAAAGCTTAGTCGGATCCGTCCGTATTGAACTTACCATCGCCGCGGGCTAAACCTCCACCCGGTATCGGCCTATGCATCCAATCATTGCCCTCCAGATTGAACTTCCCCCCACAGCCATCTCTTATCAATGCAACTCACTTCCGCTGCTCTGTCCCATCACCCATCCCGGTCCAGAGCAACTAGTCCCCTTAGAATCCCCTGTCTTACGCTACTATTCTTCGGATCTTCTAGAATTTCGATCACCAAGGGATGCCGTCAACAAAGCGGTTGCGCACCGAACCCATCGTGCGGGTCAGGACCGGATGCTGGGCATGCCGACGCCGCAAGAAGAAGTGCGACGAAGCGAAGCCCGTCTGCGGGGGCTGCGTGCGCAACAGGCTGACCTGCCAATGGCCATCGAGCGTGCTTGGGGTGCCTGACTCCGCTGCTGTCACTGCCACTACAACACCCTATACAGAGAGCCATGCGCATGGCTTAGAACACGTCTCTCGGGCACAGCATCGAACATCCAGCTCGCCAGGGACCCCATCAGCAGCGTCATCGTCGACGTCCTCTGATTCTGCGGTTTCGCCGGAGGAGATCCCGCGCGATATGGACCTCCCTATGGACGAACGTAACACGCCAACACTCGCCACCCTCGCCTCGCGAGCTTCTTCAGCCGACACCGTACCACCACCCATCATAGCATCGACGACGGCTTTGACCATCGGTAATGCTTTACCCCGAGCGATGTCCATGATGCCCGACCACGGACTGGACGCTTACCAGCTACTGAGCCACTACATGGCGACAACGGCCGATTGCATGGCTAACGGGTCGACACCCATCAACCCGTTCCTGGTGCAGATCGTGCCGCTGGCGTTCAGCAGTGATCTGCTACTGCAGCTGGTGCTGACGCAGAGCGCAGCGCATCGGGCATTTCGACGCCTCAAAGACTCGGACGAGGTGGCACAGAGCCACTACACGAAGGCGCTGCAGCTTTTCCGGCGCGGAGTCACCGAATTCATCGAGGGCAAGGAATCGAACCCGCTGATACTGACGGTGGGGGCCTTAGTGATGTGTTTTACTGAGGTAGAGCAGCCCACGAACCAACAACCAACCCCGCTTTTGACATGTTCACAACACGGATCGTTTGATTCAAAGAAAAAAAAAATGAACTTGACTAACAGCCTACGTAGACCGCGAAAGGCGACATGAACGGCACAATCTTCGACCACCTCTCCGCAGCACACTCGCTGTTGCTCCGTCTACTCGCCCAGTCCGATGCGGCTGTGCCGAAAGACTTGAAAGACTTTGTCATCGAGTACTACACCTACACTGCAGCGGTGAGCATGATCTCCATCGACGCCCGGGTCAGCCAGCAGGTGCTGTTGAATTTCGATCTGGAGCAGAAAGCCCGCCAGCTGTTGGAAGTCGGGTACGTCGGGAACCTGTGCGGCTGCTGGCTGGAATTGCTGTTGTTGATTCCTTGTATCTTCGATCTGGGACGGCACTGGATGGTGATGCCTAGCAACGAGGACCAGCTGCCTGCCATCGTGCCCACGGCGGACGAGATTGCCATGTACGGGTCGCTACAGGCGCAGATCATGCGGTGGTCGCCGTACCCGAGTGTCTCGCCGGAGGTGTTCCTAGCGGGGCGCATCTTCCAGCAGGCTATGCTACTCTACCTCTACACTTCCTTAGGCGGCTATGCACGGTCGAGGACGGGGATGCACCATATGCTCGTTCAGACTGCGATCGCCGAGGCTATGTCATATCTCACTCAGTTGTCGGCGACTGCCCGCATCAATTCGGGCCTCTGCTGGCCCATTGCTGTGGTTGGGTCCTGTCTCTCCGACGTCGACCAGCAAGAGAATCTACGGCAGAGATTGACGACGATGGTTTCTACCTTCGGGTTGGGCAATATGCATCGTACGAAGTTACTACTGGAGCACATGTGGCAGATGCCTCTGGAAGAGGCGGGACCTTGGAACATCTGCCGGGCAATGGAGCAAAATCAAATCTGGATATCGTTTGCATGAAGATCTACCGTCCACGGCCCTCGATCTACTCGATCTATTTATACACTAATTCATAACTCATCGCCGCACCCTCCCTTTAAAGACCAGCTTGGAAAGTGCAAGCATGATGGGCTGGGCTTGACTTGGGTCTTTAAAAGCCCTGGTTCTTGGGAGCCTCGGTGGCGGGACCCTCAGGGGTGACATAGGCCTTAGTCAAGCCACCGTCAACCACGAAGTCAGCCGCGTTGACAAAGCTGCTCTCGTCGCTCGCCAGGAAGATGACTGCGTGGGCCTGTTCGACGGCCTCGCCGAAGCGACCGGTGGGGAAGTGCACCTCGCGACGGAATCGCTTCTCCTTATCATCACCGAGCCAATCCTGCAACAGGGGGGTGCTACATCATTTATTAGCAGGTCCTCTCATGATAACAACGGAAGCTATACTCACTTTAAAGGAGCAGGGCACAGCGAGTTGAAGCGAAATCCTGCATGCAAACCATAGTTAGCACCACTCCCGACCCCAAACAGAAACTGGCGGGGAAGAAACAAACCCTCCCGAGCATGCACGATCGCCAACTCCCTCGTCATGGCCAAGACCGCGCCTTTACTCGCCGTATATGCCAATTGCGGCGTTGCCGCACCGACTAAAGCCACCATACTCGCAGTGTTGATGACACTGCCCTTCTTCTTGCCATGCTTGCGCAGACTCTTGACCGCATGCTTGCATCCATACCACACTCCCTTGACATTAATGTTCATCGTCAAATCCCAGATGTTCTCGGGGGTCTGTTCGGCGTCGCCGTCCTGGGCGTGCATAATGCCGGCGTTGTTGAACATGACGTCGACACCGCCCCAGCTGTCGAGGTGCGCGACGGCGGCTTCCACCTCGCTTTCCTTAGAAACGTCGACGGTGCGGGTCTCGATACGGCCGTCGTGCTGAGGAACGACCTCGTTGACCTTGGCGAGAGCCCTTTCGAGCCCCGGAGCGCTGACGTCCGTCATGAGGACGGAGGCGCCTTCGCGGAGCATAAGGATGGTAGTCTCGAGACCGATGCCACTATAGCCCCCAACCCAATGGGAAAAATTAGCTTGATGCCCTCGCAGACGATGGCCCCCCTATCTCATTCCAACCACCTCAACACCGCGGTGAAAGCGCAGAAGAAAGACACGGAGGAGGAGGCGAGGAAGAAGAAACATACCCGGCCGCACCAGTCACGATAGCATTCTTCCCTGCAAGGCGTCCGACCATTTTGTCTGTATGTGAAGTAAGAGATTATGTGAAATAAAGGATATGATCCGAGTCAAGCAAGACTAGGAGGAGAATATGTGTTCGACGACAGAGAAATGGATAGGGAACGGTCGGGTAGCCAGAGCGAAATCCGGGCGCCCGCCTTTAATACCTCCCCAGCTATCGTACCGCGGGCCCTTCCCACAGTAAAGCTACCCCACCACCACTCATTTACCCCCCACCTTCACCGCCTGGGAAGCGCGCCTCCCCAAGCATCCGGAACACGTGTTCGTAATCCAATCGAAAGCTGAGGCAATAATGTATGTCCTGTTCCAGCCCGTATTGACTGCTTCTTTTCACGTGGTATGTGTCATTGCGGAAAAATTGGGCATCTTGCCCCGGTTCAGCGCCACTGAACACATTCGATCATTACAGGGATTAGTTGTGCTTATCGTGTAAAGAGTTCCAACTTGAGCTTCCTGATAAGCGCGATAAGGGATCTTAATCCTGGCCGCCGCTACTACATAGGTCCGTGCTGTTTCGCGGTCGGGGTAGCGCGGTCCGGGACCGCGGGCGGTCTCCTACCAGTGCTACCACTTCATTGTTCGTTCTACCGGAACCTAGGAAGGACTTAGTTGGACAAAGATGATACTTGCGCAGTCTTTCCATCAGGATAAGGGGTATTTCTGGCACAAATATGGTGCGTTTTTGGCATAGGGTTGGTGGAAGGTTTGCGATTAATCTCATACGCTGGTTGAGGCAGGAAGAGAGTTCGGATAGTGTGCAGACTACTCAGCAAATAGGTGCAAACGAAGGGCATCTTGAAGACTTGGAGCTTATTTCGATAGAAGGAGCTGTAACGCGGAACTATGATGCTATTCGTCTGCTAGAGCCCGACTGCTCACTAGAGATATCCACGAAGTTCAAGAGTCTGAAGATACTGGCCAGTTCCATTACTACGTCAAAATTCGATCTAACCTCAAACTTCGTTCATGAAGTTGAATCTAATCGTTGAATCGCCTCTGCCTTCAAGCCTGTTCCTCTTTAATATGAAAACTCTTCAACTTATAGAACCCATCATACGCCTTCGGGCCCAGTGTGAAACCCAGACCTGAGTTCTTCCATCCAATCCAAGCGAGATCCTATCAATCGATCAGTCAGCAAGTAGCCTCACGTTGACATCAAGTGTACAAGAACATACCGGACTAGGGTAGTCGCAACGGTTCAGATACACCGTTCCCGCCTCAACATCCTCAATCAACTCTTCGCCCCGCTTGATATCCTTGGTCCAGATACTCGCCGTCAGACCGTAGTCACTATCGTTGATAAGGGTGAGCGCCTCCTCGTCAGACGCCACCTTCATGATAGGCAACACCGGCCCGAAGGTCTCGTGCTTCATAACTTGCATGTCGTGGTTGGCGTTGATCAAGACCGTCGGGGCCATGAAGTTGCCCTCCTGGGGCAGGCTCTCGAAAGTGGGGTTCTGCGGCGTAACGTTGACAGCGCCCTTCGACAGGGCGTCGTCAATGTGCGATTGGATGTTCTTGAGGGCGGATTGCGAGATCACCGGACCGGTGGTGGTAGATTGGTCATGGGGGTCGCCGACTTTGTAACTGTTGAAAACGGAAAGTGTAAGCCATATGCACTGAACTCTCTGGTGGTGTAAGGGGAAGGGAAAAAGAACAGAAGGGTGCCTACCCAGCCAGCTCCTTCTTCACCTCCTCCACAAAGGCGTCGTGCACGTCAGCATGCACATAGACCCGCTCAATGGCGCAGCAACTCTGTCCCGAGTTGAACACGGCGCCATCGACGATATTGGCTGCCACAGAGGCTAAGTCGGCGTCCGGGCGAACGTAGGCTGGGTCATTACCACCCAGCTCGAGGTTCACCGGAATGAGGCGGCGCGCGGTGGCCTCGCGGAGGCGAAGACCCCCCAACGTCGATCCGACAAAAGAAATGAGCTTAATCTGGGGTAGTTGGGCGATCTCATCGAGCACGTCAGGTGAACCAACGTGAATGACCTGCAAGACATTGGGGGGCAGACCAGCTTGATTGAAGTAGGAGGCGATACGTTCGCCGAAAATAGGGGTCTGGGGAGAGGGGCGGAGAACGACGGTATTACCGCTCAAAAGGGCGGGGAGGAGGGCATTGATGGTGATGAGGTACGGGTACTAGAAAAGTCCGGTTCCTGGTTAGAAACGCGAAACTGGATTTGCCACCGACAGGGGCAGAGAAGGGAGGTCCATACGTTCCAAGCAGTCGAGATCAGAGTAGGGCCAACAGGCTCTTTTTTGATAAACCGTCGAAATCCGTTCTCGGGGGTTCCTGTGAGATTTTTCAAGCTCTCGTCGACAATGCCAAGGAGATAGTCGGCGCGCTTGTGAAAGGTATCGATTTCCTTGCCGGAGTAGGCGATCGGGCGGCCCATTTGCGTAGTTAATTCGGCGGCGAGCGTGTCTCTGTCGGCGGCGATGAGATCCAGCGCCTTCAGAACGATCTCTTTTCGTTGCGCGAGGGTCGTCTTCTTGTAAGTCTTAAATGCCTCTTGCGAGGCCTGGAAGACTTTCTGGGCATCTTCGACGGAAGTACCGGGGTGCTCGAAGATGACCTTGTTGGTGGAGGGGGAGAGTGTGCGAATTTGGTTCGTCATAGTGACTGTTGCCAGGCTAAGGTCAGTTCGTGTGAAGCAGCGATGAAACCAGGTGATAACGGGTCAAATGGATATTAATAAGTGGCAGCTGGGAGGAAGGGCTGTTATAATCGGGAGGGACGATAAGAGACTCGAGGCGTTGGAGGGGCAAAGTGGGCATGGCTATGATTGGTGCGCTCCATGGGTGGATGCGCGGTCTTGCTGTGGGGCTCGACGTAAGGATTTACTTGAGGATTCAGCATGTGGCGGGAGAACACAAGGGAATCTGGCATTACAGCTGGACTTGTTCAGGGCTGCTCTACTGGATTACTGTATGGCATCTACTCTGCAGTATTCCATTGAACCCTCATTTCAACATGCCTAATGCAAATCGTGTCATCGTCTCAGCAATTTTTTCCCCGTCATGTGGCTCGTTCACCCGCGCCATGCCATCCTTGAAGAATACATCGTCGAACACGCCGCGCTCGTGTCGGATTTCAAGAATTGAGCTGACCATGAAGTCGTTATACTCCGGATGACCTTGGACGGTCAGAATCTTGTTCGGGATGTATAGGCCTTGGATACCACAGATCAGACTGCTGCCTAGGTTCACGCATCCCGGTGGAACTTCGAACACGACATCCCGGTGCATCATCTGCAGGGACTGGGAGCAGTCAGTATCTGCCAACGTTGCGGTTTATCCAACTCACAATCTCATTCTTGCCGAAGAGCTGTCTCCCTGCACTGGTCAAGTAGCAAGGCTCTACTGCAACTTCCCATCCAGATACACTGGGGCCAACGCGTGCCCCGAGAGCCCGCGCAATGATTTGGTGGCCGAAGCAGATCCCGATCAAAGGTTTATTATGAACAGTATAGCAGTCCTGGACGAAGCGAACTAGCGTGAGAATCCAAGGCTCATCTTTGTAGGAATCGTGTTCTAAGAGCGTCAGCATCATCCCATGGATTGTAGATGCTTGCCTTACTGCTGCCGGTCAATAGGACGACATCAAAGTCCTCCGGTTGAGGATAGTCGGCGAACGGTAGGACAACGTTGATCTTCGTCAGTTGCAGTTTCACAGGAGTACTTAATTTCTGAAGCCCTTCCGTCAAGTGTCTTTCGAAGATATCACCGTATGTCCCATATTTGGCGAGAATGGGATCTACTGGCGTGTCGCATTCAAGAACCGCCACTCGAAGAAGTTGGGCCCTCATGGTCGTGGTTAATATCTCGATTGCAGCCAGTTACAGCTGATACTAAGACAGGGGATACTATCATCGTGATCTTATACGCTGCAAGCGGGGCGTATTGTCCAGAAATAAGCCATCAGCCGCGGTTCAAGGAGTACGCTTTCCTTGAATCCCATGTAGTAAACACCTCAGGCACCTACCCAGCGAGCCCAGAGGAGCATTTGACGGAACAGCAGTGGCGGTCACGTGTGCAGAGAGCGACTTCTCCAACAACCCCTCACGGCCGATAAGCGATAAGCGCGGTTCCGTGTTTTGCTGCGCAGCAGCGCGGTCCCAGGGGTTGGGAGAGCGCGCGGTAGCTGTACAGCTTCACTTTCGAGTGTGAGTATTGCCAAAGCAGTGTTTTGGTTGGAGTCCACCCAATGCGGGGCTCTGCCGCGCGATGCAGCTTCTGTGGAGCTTTCGTACGATGCTGTCGCAATTATTGCGACCGTCCTTTGGGTCACGACTTCCTTAAAGTCCTTGTCTCGCCATTCCTTCCCCTGCCCAGATACTTCCCACACTTTTGCGAATCACCATAAAACATGACTGTCAGAATGGCTTCCGCCAGTATTACCGCCGAAGACCTCCCCAATATTCTCGCCAATGACATCAAAGTCAAGGTCGCTGGCATTGACTGCGATGGCATTCTGCGGGGCAAGGTCATGTCCAAGGAGAAGTTCCTGGGCATTGCGCAGAAGGGATTCGGCTTCAGCTCTGCGGTGTTCGGGTGGGACATGCAAGATGTACTCTACACGACAGATGCGAAAATCGCGCCTGCTGACTCGGGCTACGTCGACTTCATCGCGATCCCAGATCTGAACTCCTTCAGGCGCATACCGTGGGAGGACAACATCCCTTTCTTCCTCGTGCGCTTCGCTCAGAATGAGAAGCCTGTATGTGCCGACGGCCGGAGCATGCTCAAGTCGATATGCGACAAGCTTGCAGCGGAAAACTGTCAGGGAATGGCTGGAGGTAAGGCCATAGGTGTGCCGGTGGATCGAGCTGTAGCTGACCCATACCAGTTGAGCTAGAATTTATGAACTTTCAGACTCCCTCTGAAGACGGATACGGCGGGAACGGGTCGCAAACTCGCGACATCGCTGCCTTCCTCGACAAGAATGCTCCCGGGGCGCTGCGCCCTCTAACGCAGGGTAGCTTCTCCTACAGTGCAACCAGACCCGTTGCTTACAAGAAGTACTTTTACGATATCTTCGACACCAGTGCACAATTCAATTGTGGTATTGAGGGCTGGCACACGGAAGGTGGGCCAGGTGTCTATGAAGCAGTGAGTGGACCGTTGTCACAAAGCCTCTTGCATATGCTCACAGCCCACTAGGCGCTGAAAGTGTCGCCTGTAAGCGAAATGGCAGACAAAGTGTCTCTATTCAAGTAAGCACCAGGACACCCTTGATCAGGTGATATGGCACACTGACCCAATCAGACTACTCGCCAAATCAGTCGGTCTCGAACACGGCATCACTCCGTGCTTCATGGCCAAGCCAATGCAAGGTCAACCCGGTAGCTCCGGCCACATTCATATCTCTCTATGTGATCTGGAGGGAAACAATCTCTTCGCGCGCGAGACACTCGACCAGAACGCCCCCTGGGCCGATGCAGCTGGACTGTCGGACCTGGGACGTCAATTCCTGGCAGGGCTGTTGGAAGCACTTCCCGATATCATGCCTCTGTTCGCGCCAACAATCAATTCATACAAGCGGCTGGTGGAGAACTTCTGGGCTCCTGTGAACATCAGCTGGGGCTTGGAGGACCGGATGGCGTCGATTCGCATCATCACACCGCCCGTGTGCAAGCCCGGAGCGACCCGATTTGAGGTGCGCATCCCGGGCGCAGACTTGCATCCGCACTATGCGCTCGCGGTGATCCTGGCTGCCGGCTGGAGGGGCGTACAGAAGAAGCTGGAGATCCGGGTTCCCCCTGTAACGGCGATGAAGGCGGAAAACCAGCGGCCCGAGCTGCTTCCCAACACGCTGGAGGAGGCGCTGCGACGGTTCAATGCACCAAACAGCATCGCGCGGGAGATCTTGGAGCCAGAGTTTGTGGACTTTTTTACTGCCACGAGAGAGCATGAATTGCGTGTATGGAGGGAGGCAGTCACGGACTGGTAAGTTTATTTCCTGATGGTCATGGTAGCTGTCTAACTGACTGTTGATTTAGGGAGTTCAAGCGGTACATCGAGACGGTCTGATTTGTGCACAAAAAGACACTGTAGATTATGAGAGAACATGAGAGATGAACCACAACACCAATATATACAGTCTTGTAGCTATCGCTGAATCCTCGAGCCAAGCAATTCTTCAGTTGGATGATGGGGGGGGGGGGGAGGAGACGATAAGACAGACACTCGAGTAAAATACAAAGAGAAAAAGGAAAAGACCATAAGAAAACCCGACATCCCCGCGGCCCCACTTCCCCTCGGCCAAACCAACGGCAGTCGTCTGTTTGTGCAAGTTCATGTGTCTTCAAGGGCCAGAGCAGTATATATATAGCCATATTTATGCCCAGGCAGCTCCAATTGATGCAAGCATTCGAACCTACCATCACTATTAGCTGCTACAATGGACATCTCAACGACCACCGACTTCTCTACTCTCCATCACAAATCCTTCATCGGCAAGCCAGCCGCCACACTCCCTACCCCGTCCCTGATCATAAGCAAGCCCATCCTCGAGAAGAACATCGCTCAGTTGCAAGAGGATGTACAAAAGCTGGGCATTGCATTTAGGCCGCATGTTAAGACACTCAAGGTTCGTCTCCGCTTTCCCTTTGTTTTTTGCTGATGCAACTTCAAACCACAATTGCGAAGGTCTTGGGCTGAGGAGCGAAGATAGTCTTTGGAAGTGACACGCATGATGCTAGGCAATGGCTTGAATCGCCGACTCGTGACGTCCACCATGAGTGAGATTCGGGGTGTGATGCCCCTGGTGCGGGAGAAGATTGTTGACGATGTCAGTATACTAAAGACCTGCCTCCTTTTTGCCCCTTTGACTTTAATAAAGAACCACGCGCTCTACCGAGCTCTGAACTTATCACTACCTTGCTTGCCCGAAGATTGACTAGATGAAACTGACTAGATCCTCTACGGCATCCCCATCTACCCCAGCTGCCTATCGGAACTCACTGCCCTAGCTAAGCACGTGCAAATCTCACTCCTGGTCGACTGCGCACAGCACCTTGATATCCTTGATGAATTCAACAAGAAGGCCGGCACCGCAATCTGCTGGCCTGTCTTCATCAAGATCGACGTCGGATCCCGTCGCGCTGGAATGCCGAGTACTTCCGACCTGCTGCCTGATCTGGTCCGGCGGGTGGAGGGCTCGTCGGCCGCGAAGCTGCAGGGGTTTTATTGTCATGCGGGACACTCGTACTCGTGCCGAAATGCGGAGGAGGCGGAGCGGGTGCTCCGGGAGGAGGTGAATGGGGTAGTCAAGGCTGCGCGGTGTGTCCGGGCCCAAGAGACAGAAGTAATGGAGGATGAGGGGCCCGCCACGCAACAGCAGAGGAAGCTGGTAGTGAGTATCGGATCGACGCCGACGGCACATGTGGTCAGCACATTGAAGGAGACCCTACCCGAGGGGCTGGAATTGGAATTGCATGCTGGTTTGTTCCCCCACTTTCCTCCGCTTCTTCTTCTTCTTCTTCTTCTTCTTCTTCTTCTTCTTCTTCTTCTTCTTCTTCTTCTTCTTCTTCTTCTTCTTCTTCTTCTTCTTCTTCTTTTATTGTGCCGGTCCGAGAGGGCTTGGGGTTGATGTCGTCTTGGCTAATTGCTTCAAATAGGGAACTACCCCTGCAACGACCTCCAACAATTCTCCACCGGCCTCATCACTGAAAAGCAGATGGCGGTGCGCGTTCTCGCCGAAGTATGCAGCGTCTATCCGGAGCGCAATGAGGGGCTCATCAATGCGGGCACCGTCGCGTTGACCAAGGAGACCAGCGCAGTGCCGGGCTTCGGGCGTCTCACGGAGGATCCTCAGTGGTCGGTGGTGCGGATGACGCAGGAGCATGGGATTCTGGGGCTGAGTGATCCGGCCTCAGGCGGGAAGGTGGAGGAGACGTTTCACTGTGGGCAGAAAGTCATGTTGTTCTGTCAGCATGCTTGTATTACAGCTGCGCAGCATTCTGTGTATTATGTTGTGGATGAGGGGGATGTTGTTAGCGAGGTATGGATTCCTTGGAAGGGGTGGTGAGCGATTGAATGTGGGTTTGATGATTGTTGGCTCTGGAGCAGTGTAAAATATCATTTTTCAGAGTACCCATCGGAAGCTTCAATGCAATAGATTAATTGACACTATTGATGAGACAAATGAGACAAGAAAGTAGGAGAGTATTAGTTGCCGGATACGAGGGCAGGATGGGAAACGGAATAAACAGCAATCATGTCGCACAATCTGGGATCAAGAAATAGTTCAATAACATCAAATACAGAATGCAAATATCCAGGGTATAGAAAATGCCAGTTGAGAAATGCGGTTTGGGGAGTTCAGTCATCACTTTTAGGCTCATCCTCGACCGTGGCAGCAGCGGGTTTCTTGCTGGTCCCGTTGCTGGTGGGCGTCTCCCTCCCGTTCTGCTCCTCCTCCTCCTGCTCATGCCCATTGGGCTCCTCTTCGTGGTGCTCGTCGCCCACCGCGCCGTCGTGTTCCCCATTGTTATGACCATTCTGCTCCTTTCCGTTGCGCTGCACGTTCTTGCCCTTGCTCTGACCGTCGGCCAGGGGCTTCTCAACATCGCCTGCCTCCGTCCCCGACTCCTCCACCAACCCGTTTTTGCCCCGCTGCTTGGCTCGAGCGCGACGAATCAACCGGTTGTGATAATCCTTTTTCTCGGACTCCGGGTCCTCTTCCACGATGCGTCGGGCGGCCTCGCGCCCCACGACGGGAAGTCTATCCACGCCCGGCGCCACCCCGGAGGGCACGTACTTGGGGTCTAACAGGCCCAGCTGCACCAGCACGCTCGCCTGATCCCAATACATGTGCTCCGAGTAAAGACGACCAGCGCGCAGGCTAACGATGCTCACCAAGATTACCTCGACCCGCTTGTTGGTCGGTGGGATGCCCGGCAGCATCCACGGGATTTCCTCCGTGTGTTCGAAGGAAGCGTACAGCTCATCCACGACGCGATCGGCGCCCACCGTCCGAGAAATGAGCCGGAGACGCATCGACGGCGGGAGCTTCCGCAGGAAGTGATGTTCGTAGAATCGACGCAGAGCGTGCGTGCCGATCGCGCCGCTCATCGTGGGGGCGATCGTCACGGCGGGGTTGAGGTGGGATACATACGGTTCCACGGTGCCCTTGAGGTTCATGGAAAAGAAACGAGCTACAGTTACGGCGCGATTAGTGTCTGAGAGTGCTCGAAATGATGACGATTACGCTACCTTCCAGATGCTCTTCCCATCGCCACTCGAGATCAAGGTCCTTGCCGAAGGCCTTGCGCAACACCTGCAGCGTGCGGCTCCAAGCCAGATCCGACGCCAGCCGGTCATACTCCTCCAAGTCGCTCTCCGCGAATCCAGGCTCCACAGACGCGTACGTGAACGTCGGCCAGCCGATGTTCAGCCGCTCGCCTGTTCCAATGCCGGGGTTGATCTTCTTGGTTGTCCGCTTCTTCTTTCCCTGCAAGCCAAGAGCTGTGGGAATAGTGATCATGTCCACGGTGTTTCCAGCCAAGTGGCAGAGCACCCGCAGTGATTGCGGGTAGTGATTGCGGGTATCGGGGATGGTGGTGGGATAGTAGGCGACCAGAGCGGCCAGACGACTCGCGTTGGTCGGCTTCAGGAAGTAGTCCAGACAGTAGGAGGCGGCGTCTCCGAAAGCTATATCGAAGGTTAGGTATCAGTGCGGAGGCCGGGGGAACTCATACTACAATACTCACCGATGATGGCATAGTTGTCACCCACACCCAAGCCATCCTTGACCGTCCTCAGTCGAGCCGCATAGTCCTTGCCGCCATTGTTGAACGGAACATATACCACATCGAAGCCCTCGTCAGACCAGGCGCGGAGTGTCTGGTTGTCGAACTCCGGGGTCTCGGCCGTGACGCACACGCGCGAAGTCCCCAGGTTGGCATTGTTATAGATGAAGCCGGATGCCCCGGGAGCGTTGATGGATATCGAAGCCATTGTCATTGGGCCGGATCCCTGTTGTCAGGTTTGTCGTTATCGTTGTCGCTATCGTAGAAAATAATATTTGTCCTGTGTCGTTCCAGATATTTATCCCAGAGAGTCAAGCGTCAAGAAGGTCTGACAGCTGTCTTTCCCATCCATGCCATGGTCCAGGATTGACAAGACTTTATGGAGTGGTGGACGCCTACGTCACTGCCTCCCCGACCCGTTCCGCATACGTCATTGCCGCCCGGCCAGCCTGGATCAGCTGATGGTCAGGCCTATATGAGATTGGTAGCCATTCGGACCAGTACATTCGAAGCATTTCGGAGAATTGGATATCTTGACTTCTTCTGTGGCACCCATGAGTATCGAGCATCCTATTGTTTGTACATTCTTTCTTGACGCTGGTTCCGAACGGTCGAGCTTCCCCTGGAATGGGCAAAGTTAAAGTCAGGAATGGTGTCATATTCATGCCTCAGGCAGAAGCCTCCAGTGCCTGGATCTGTCGGATTGGGCTTAGCGGCTTAAGCACCCGCTGGGAGCTGTCATCGGCCTCGCTCCGATTGCCCGATTGGGATGTATACTTGGCTCTAGGCTCGCTAGAGGGTTAGCGGAGCCTACAGAAGATATAAATATGGTCTTTTCTCGAATACTATCTACAAGCTGTCCAAAAGCTTCTAGCTAAGTAGATCTGCTGTGTCCGCAATCATGTGAAGACGAATATTGTACGGTATGTACAAATGCACGGTCACATGCGAAATGCATCTCGAGGTTCCCTTATCTTTATGCTGGAAAGTCAGCGAGTCTCCACAAAGCTGCTTTTATAGTATAGCATCACTACTAAGGCTGAAAACTCTTACAGTTCATGGGAAACGAAGGTTTACTTTGTGCAGCGATTTCATCGGATAAAATACATCGATGATTTTAAATGAAGGCCGAATGTCGTGGCAGGACAGTCTCTTGTACAGTTCAAAGTCTGCTGCTTACGGGGCTATTGTGAAACAACCAAGGCTGATTTCATGCATGGGGCACAAATATACGAACGAGTGGCATGATGGCGTTGACATACATTATCTTTCATGCTGGGTTCTGTTGCTGCAGAGTCATTTTGCCTGAACGGGGAGGATGTTCCGGGTATTTCCAGAACAATGCTCTGCGACGAAGTCACGAGTACATAAAGACCCTTATTATTAGTCTCTGGCCAATTGAAACCAGCCAACAAGATTTTATGCATAAGCACGGAGTGCAGAGTGCTAGTATGTACAAGCTACCAGGAATGTTGGTGAATAATCTAGACCCGTCGGCCGTGGGGTGGAGCCGGGGTAGTCGAAGGAAAAGCACCTACTGTGCAAAATATTGAATGAACTTATTCCCATCTGAATGCTCCATGTGCAATTGATAAGAGCGATAAGCTGTACTAGTTAAATAAACCCACTTCAAATCCTGTTTTTGCTTTCGACTGTTTCGCCAATCTCCCCCACACCATATTTTTCTCCAACTCTCCATTCACAAAATTCTTCCAGGGAGGAAGTGAAGTAAGGCAGGTTGTGGTGTTGTGTGGCTGGCGAGACAACGACTCTCGAACGTTCGACCTTCCCGGATCTCCCCCCAACCACTTTAACTTTCTCCGCCGACCACCCGAGCAAAAACAATCTCCCTGTTTTCCCTCTCCATTCGTTGTCTTCGTTGTCCCCCGGCACCAGGCGCTTGTAGCCTAATCGCCTTCAGACCAATCGCCTTGACTATTGGACTAAGCTACCACTACCAAACAAACCATGTCCTTGGTCCAGCATGTTTCTGCAATCGAAGGAGCAGACCGCGAACCTGAACCTTACGACGACAGCACCATCACCACTGCCGTAACCAGCGAGCAGCACTACGGTTCCATTCGGCGCAAGATCAGCTACGATATTTTCCCTCCACCGCAACCAGCGATTGAGGAAGAACTGCACTCGGGGACCCCGGCCTATAAAGTCCCCACCGCGAAGCGACTAGGTTGGTAGTACAAAATCTGGCTTTTGCTTCTTCACGGGCTGCTGACGCCGTCTAGCCCAGGTCGCTGTCACTATACTGGCATGTTGGTTCGCTGCCGGAATTGTCTTCGGTTTTGCAGCGCTCAAGCCGGTCTTGATCGCAGAAGGAGTGTACAGGAATCTGTGCACCGACGAGGAATTGCGCGATAATGTCGATGTGTGTTTGGAGCAGGATCTCAAGTGCGTGTGACCCCTTGCCTCCATCCCGCGCCACCGGGATGTGACCCGCTGACTGGAGCAGACTCAACTTTTTCTTCACTATTAGTTCAATCACAGCCAACGTGTCCGCCCTGCCAGTCGGAACCATTCTGGATCGCTATGGGTCTCGCGTTTGTGGCTTTGCAGGGTGCGTGCTGCTGGCCATCGGCTGCGCGTTGATGGCATATTCATTCTCAGAGCCGGGGTTCGACGGTTACATCGCCGGGAACTTCTTCTTGGCTCTTGGAGGGACGTTCATCTTTGTTCCCTCCTTTCAGATCGCTAATGCATTTCCCAAGTATGCAGGGACCATTGTGGCCCTGGTCACAGGCGCATTTGATGCATCTGCAGCTGTATATTTGTTTTACCGCCTTACATATGAGGCTACCGACCGGTCATTTACACCCCAGGCGTTCTTTACCGGGTACCTTCTGGTGCCCGTGTTTATCTTTATAGCCCTTATCACTATTATGCCGGCTCGCGACTACCAGAGCGCACATCAGTTAGAGATTAGAATTGAGAAGGCGGAGGATGCGACCCGTGACGTGCACGACTCGGATGATGATATCGAGAGCGACTCGGAGCTGCTGCGCATCCGACGGGAGCGTGCCGAGCGCCGCTTAAAGAAGATACACAAGATTGACGAGGTGCTGGGAGATCGCGACGAGCGGTTGCAGCGCGAGCACCACGAGGAAGAGCGCCAGGCGGCGAGTGCGGTCTGGGGAGCTCTGCACGGCCAGCCAGCTCACAAACAAATGCTGACCCCGTGGTTCATCCTGATCACCCTGATGACAGTCCTGCAAATGCTGCGGATGAATTACTTCATTGCGACCATCTATGCGCAATATGAGTACATGTTGCAGTCCCCCGCGCTGGCGGCTCAGATCAATAGCTTCTTTGATGTGGCTCTGCCGGTGGGTGGAGTCATTTCTACACCTTTTATCGGGATGCTCCTCGATAATCTCAGCGTGCCCACCATTCTTGGTGTGATTGTCGTGCTCACCACCGTGATTGGTGTGCTCAACTCCATCCCAATTCTGTGGACTGGCTATGTGACCGTGACCCTGTTCGTGCTGCTACGGCCACTCTACTACTCGGCCATGTCGTAAGTGCTCTGTTGCGGAAGTGATTTGATCTGCTCGTACATATACTAATGTATCTTGTTCTGTGACTTATAGGGACTACGCCACTAAGGTCTTTGGGTTTGCCACCTTTGGGCGCGTCTATGGATCCATTATCTGCTTCTCGGGTCTGGTGAACTTCTCGCAGTACGGCCTCGATGCCTTGACGCATGGGTCGTTTGATGGCAACCCCATTCCAATTAATATCTTCTTTGCGGGAGCAGGATTTGTCGTGGGGACGGCCCTGGTGGCCTTCGTTTACATGGCTGGGAGACACATGAAGGAGGAGCGGCAGGATATGGAGGAGGATGGCGAGCGGCAATGGTTGATTCCGGAGGAAAGCGAGGAGGATGTGTATGGGTCTACCCGATAGCTTGCTGTGCCGAGGTTCGCAGCGATCCAGAAAGGGCGCACAGATGAAAAGTTACTGGAGACGATTCAAGGCGCATCGTGTGGGTTTGTGTATGTGTGCATATGTCTGTGTAAGTGGGTTGTAGTTCTGTGGATGAGGCGTTTTTGTGTTTCTGACAAGCGAGATGACTAGCGAGAGCCACGGTTGATCTGTCCATAGCCTAGGTAGTTCTTTTATATAGGCATCGATTTTCCATGATTGCTTGATCAACCTCCCAGCTCACATACTACCCTCGTGTGGGACTGTCAATGCCGAGCGAAGCAGAATCCTCACATTGCCACAGCAGCCATGGCAAAGAGTCAGTTGTTCGTATCGGTTCTTGGTGTGGCTGCCAAGGGGGAAATGGGAGCATGCCAAGGGGCCAGTCCTGATATCAGGCCGTCTCGGCCGCCAAACCCCCGCATTCTTTTTCTCTTGCCTCCACAATCCATCATCGCCCAAATCCGGGGAGTGGAGGGAGAATCCTCTTTTTGTGGGGAATCCCTCTTCCCCATACCTGTTCTTTTATCCTTCTTCTCCGAAGACCGAGGTAACTCATTCATTGGTTCGATCTTTGTGCACTCATTGGTCTTGCTGCTTTGCACGGTCTCCAAACGCAGTGACACTCATCAGCTGAGATTTCGGCGCAGGACGATGAACGACAAGTCTTGTCGTCACGCAGCGTACGTGGAGCGAGAGCGAAGGGAGAGAGGGGAAAAGAGCGGTGATTTTCCGCCTTGAAAGCTGTTGCTTTCCCTTACTAGTATCTTGTACAACATATAACTACTTTTCCTCACCCCCTACGTTTCTTTCATTCCCCCATCGCTAATCCTACTATCTTTGCTTTGTCTACCTTGGCAGTTCAGATCGTCATCGGCAGTAGTAGCTGGAAGACACTTTCTTCCCCTTTCCAAAGCTCGTCATGTCCCCTCCCAGCAGCGAGAAATATGAAAGTGTGGACCGCATAGAAGACATCACTCAAGCCAATTCTGATGATGTCGACCACGATGAGGAATACACCTATGCGGAGCAACGCAAGATCATCCACCGCATCGATCGCCGCCTGGTGACGATGACCGGGCTGGCCTATTGTATTTCGCTGATGGATCGTACGAATCTTAGTATGGCTGCTGTAGCTGGGTACGTTTAGCATTCCCTTTACCATTGTCTTTGCCGGCATACTGATTGTGGTTATGTTCTATATAGCATGACCAAAGACTTGCATTTGACTGTCGGGACTCGCTACGTAAATACACCCTTTCCTGGACTGAGCTGAATGGGTTTGCTGATTGTGACTCTATATCGGTGCAGTCCGTGATCGTGCTCATTTTCTTTGTTCCCTATGTTATCTTCCAGCCACCCATGACGGTGGTGACTCGCAAGTTTGGGCCGACGATCTTCCTCGGGACTATTGTCATCTCTTGGGGGGCGATACTGGTGGTGAGTATTCTCTTTTCGGTGTGAGTTGAAGCTTTAGGTAGAGATCTAATGCCTGTCCTTAGGGCATGGGGTTCGCGAAGAATTGGAAGCATATGGTTGCTTGTCGTTTTTTGCTGGGGATACTGGAGGCTGGTCAGTATCTCGTCACCCTTCGAAGTATGAGCCGATGCTGACGGCGACAGTAGGCTACTTTCCTGGTTGTGTGTATTTGCTTTCGAGTTGGTACACGAGATGTAAGAATAACCCTCCTGTCGGTTAGTGGAAATGGGCTCACGACTGAAAAGTCGACGTGCAGAAACGCTTCTCTATCTTCTATCTGATCGGCTGCGTTGCGTCCGCCCTGGCAGGTATCCTCGCTTTTGGGCTGATGCAGATGGAAGGACTGCAGGGCCTGCGCGGTTGGCGATGGATATTCATCATGGAGGGTGTGGTAGGTTTAAGATCAACCATGGAGAAGACGCACAGGTTCTCACACTGCCATAGATCACAGCCGTTATCGGGGTCCTCACACTCATCTTCCTGGTCGACTTCCCCGACCGAGCGCACAACTCCTGGCATTTTCTCACCGAGAAAGAGAGCGCCTTCATTGTTCGTCGCATCAACCGGGATCGATCAGATGGCAACGAAGAGCCCTTCACGCTGAAACGGTTCTTGTCCCCTGCTCTGGATCTTAAGATTTGGGGCTTCGCCATGATCTTCTTGTACACCTTCCCGCTCCTCGCTCTTCCTTGGAAAGACAAAGCTCATGAATGACTAGCTGTACCACGACAGTCACCTACGCCATCGCTTACTTCCTTCCCATCATCCTCCAAGAGGGCATGGGCTTCAGCATCGGCGCAGCGCAGTGCCTCGCTGCCCCGCCCTACGTTTTCGCCGGCTTCATAATGTTTGGAGGTGCGTGGGTGGGCGACAAGTACCGGATGCGCGGTGCCATTGTTGTCTTCAACGCGCTGCTCTGCATCATCGGCCTGCCTATCATGGGGTTCGCGCACGGCAACGCGGCGCGCTACGTCGGCGTCTTCCTCAGCGTGGCCGGCGCCAACTCCAATATCCCCGCGGTCATGGCCTATCAGGCCAACAATGTGCGCGGCCAGTGGACGCGCGCGCTGTCGAGCGCGACCTTGGTCGGATTTGGAGGCATTGGTGGTATCGTCAGTAGTTTGGTGTTTCGGTCGGAGGATGCGCCGGGGTATCGGCCGGGCATGTGGACCACTATTGCGTACGTGAGGGCTCCTTGTCTCTTGAGTTGACATTGCTGACTCTTGGGGGTTGTCTGCAGGTGCAATATTTTGATTTGGGTGATTGTGGGAGCATTAAGTTGGTGGTTTCGGAGGTCGAATAGGGAGGCGGAGCGCGGGGAGAGGGTTATCGAGGGGGCGGAGGATTTTAGGTATACCATCTAATTGGGTGGGGAGCATGTGGATTGGTCTTTGAAAATATGTTCCATTCTCCTAGTCGCTCTAAGATAGTCTAAGATTTTTGATCTTCACTAAAGCAGCTAGTCAACATTAAGTTTAGAAGACGAACACCTTATCTGACAATCCTTCCCCAGTCATCGGATCCCTAGCTTGGTGCCAGCTACGGCACGTTACTCGTGCCAACTTGCAACCAGCCTCAGGCACCTCCCAGCCTTATCTTATCAGCCCAACCCAAATGAGTAACACCGCTAAGCCCAATCCAGTACCGGAGCCGGCCGGATTCCGAGGCCGGGGATGGGGGATTCATTGGCGGAGATTCGCGATCCACGATTACTTATCGATTAGCGATTCCATCCTTTTTTTAGAGGTCCAAGACCCATCTACCTGTTTGTTGATTTTCTTGTTTTTTGTATTTTTTTTTGGGATTTTTTCCTCGCTCGACTTGACTGTTTGTCCCTGGCTTTGTTTTTGCTGGTGAAGCCGTGGGCGATTGATAGAACGACAGTGTTTGAAATCCGTCTCATGCACGGTGCAGATCGTGCGCTGTTGGAGTGAACACCTGTTCGCTAGGGTGTGTATAGTTGCCATTATCCAAGTAACTTGGTGCACTAACATCTTAAATAGAACTGATTATCACTGGGATAGCTTAGCTCCGAACACTCCAGTTACTGGGCGGGTCGATTGGTCGATCCACTTAACAGCATCTCCTCGCCCAATTCTCATATTCCTGGGTGCAAGAATGGTATCCCCAATGTACACCCTCTACGTAGGGACATTCATCCAGCTTCCCCGGACCATTTCTCCAGATGAGAAGCATGAGCTCGCCATCACGCGCGGCGCACTCTGGGTTTCCGTCGCCGACGGCAAGATTAAAGGCTTTGACTGGAGTGTGGCCACCGAGTCGGATCTGCAAACCCTCCTGCAGCGGCACGGATGGGTGGTCGACGGCTCCAGCCGGGGGAGAAGATCCAGCGTGGTGGTGAAACTGGTGCGGGCCCGAGAGGAGGAGCACGAGTTCTTCTTCCCCGGATTCATCGGTACGTCGGCTTTCCATTCATTTTGTGGCTTTCATACTATACCTGGCCGTCAACAATGTTTTGTTGCACCTCCCCGAGATTAACAAAGGCAAAAAAAAAACAGACACCCACATCCACGCCCCGCAATACCCCAACACCGGCCTCTTTGGCAGTAGCACCCTTCTCGACTGGCTTCAGACCTACACTTTCCCGATGGAAGCCTCGTTCGCCAGCCCAGCCGCCCTGCCACACCTCCCGCCCCCGCAAGCCTACCGGGCCTACTCGCAGGTCATCGCCCGTACGCTGCGCCACGGCACAACCACCGCCGCCTACTACGCGACCATCCACGTGCCCGCCACGAACCTCCTAGCGAGCCTCGCGCACAAGAAGGGCCAACGCGCCCTCATCGGCCGCGTGTGTATGGACAACCCCGCCACCTGCCCCTCCTTCCTGATCGACGAGTCCGCCGAAGCCAGCATCGCCCACACCCAGGCCGTCATCGACCACATCCACGCCCTACCCCCTCTCTCCCCAGACGACCATCCGGACGGCAAAACTCGACTCGTGCAACCGATCCTAACACCGCGGTTCGCCCCCTCGTGCACCCCGCCTGCCCTCGCCGGCCTGGCCCACCTGGCCAAACAGTACACCCCTCCCCTGCACATCCAAACGCATATCTCGGAGAATCTGCACGAATGCGCGCTCGTGCGCGAGCAGTTCCCCGACTGCGAGGGCTACGCAGACGTCTACGACCGGTTCGGCCTTCTCACCCCCCGGACGATCCTCGCGCATGCGGTGCACTTCTCGCCCCGGGAGCGGGGGCTGGTGGCCGCGCGTGGCGCGAAGGTCAGCCACTGTCCCGCGAGCAACTCCGCGCTGGGGTCGGGGATCTGCCCCGTGCGCTGGCTGCGGCGCGGCGGGGTGGTCGTCGGCCTCGGCAGTGATGTGAGTGGCGGGTATAGTGTGAGTCTGTTGGAAGGGGCGCGCCAGGCCTGTCTGGTTTCCAGGCTGTTGCCGTTCGTCCAGCAGCCTGGGCGTGAGGAGGACGGAGCCAGCAAGGATGCTGGTGACGCCGTCATCTCGGTCGAGGAGGCGTTGTATCTCGCCACGCGCGGCGGAGCGGAGGTGGTCGATCTGGCGGAGGTGGTGGGCGGGTTCGAGCTGGGGATGGCTTGGGATGCCCAGTTGATTCGGCTTGGTGGGTTTGAGCCTGCGGGGCTGTGGACGGACGCGCCTAAGAGTAATGTGGATGTGTGGGGGAAGGAGTCGTGGACGGAGAGGGTACACAAGTGGGTGTGGAATGGGGATGATCGGAATGTGAAGGCGGTTTGGGTGCAGGGACGGTTGGTGCATGGGTTTGAGACGGAGGGTGCCGGGGCAAGGTGGACGGGGTGGAAGTGGGTGGGTGGACTGGTCGGAGTGGGCATTGCTTGGATTTTTGTGAGGAGAATGCGGTAGTCATAGATTATTGACGGAGAAGAGCCTTGAGGTCGAATAAGCTAATGGTTGTATGATTCAAGTTGGACTCCCGGGGGGTACGGGGCGCTTCCCGGTTGATTCGATAGAATACGAACTTTAATCCCTTGTCTACTCTCTCAAACTTCAGAGTGTAGCCATGTGACAACTCCTCATCTCATATAAAGGTCTCTGCTATCATGAGGGTGCTGAGAGAATGTAGATTCCTCTTCGAGATTCTGCCCACAAGTTGAAAACCATGAAACTGTTCTTACTGCCGCGGATCATAATGATACTGCGAGTCCACCAACCAGGATCCTTCTAGTTGTGAGATCAGCCATCCCTGATCATGAAAGGGTCCGAACAGTCATGCGAAGGCCTCCACCTATCCCACTAGTTAAGCTGACCAGCTCATCTCAATCCACGAAAGCCCATTATTGGAGTAACTCCACACAACCGAAGATCTACCATCCATTAGCAACTGCTAACCCAACAATCGCCGCCGATAACTTACAAAGTTCGGACTCCGTGTCCCCAGAGCTTCCTGAAATCACATTGATCGTGATCTACCCATTCTCTGTTAGCTTCGTCACTAAACAAAAGCTCGCAACATACCGTGTTCGTCCCCGCGACAATCGTGCCCGAAGGAATCGACACATCATACACCTCGCCAAGCCCCCGATAGGCTCCGCGAGTGACGCCCCGAGAATCAAGATTCGTCGGGGCTGCTGGCGCGCTCCCGGTATAATTGTTGATCTAATCTCGAGTTAGTACAGTTACTAAGACCATTCGAAAGGGGGAGAACCGTCGCCTGGGGCCGTCCGCCGGCAAACGACAATGTCGGCCCAATCCGCAGAGTCGCTGCTCCGGTCTGAGAGAGGATGTCGCGGTAAACTTGATAGTGACCGTGTTGTTGACGCTCTTGAACACGGCCATTGGAAAGTCGGCCAGGGCGGAGCTACCGATGGTGTAGGTCAGAGGACCCCAGGAGGACATGCGCGAGTCGGAGGGATGCATGCGAAGCTGGTTGGCTGCGTTGCGGAAGCCGGTTGGTCTGGGCAATTAGCTGCTGATACACTATCTCAATCATGTTGAGCTAGGGAACATACTGCGCGTCCCATTCGCCGATTTCGAAAATGGTGGTACCCGTCTTTACAGACCCCGAAATATTCTTCGTTGTGGTCGAGTCGGCCGTCACGGTCACGGAGCTCGTGGCTACGGCGTACTCATCCTAGTAGTAGACCATGGTGTAGGTGCCCGGCTTCATGGCAGAAGCGGTAAAGCTGTCGCTTGAGCTGATGTAGGTCCAGTATCGTGCAGCATCGTTATACCTGCTCCCTATCAATGTGAGATCATCGGTAAGAATGCAGGGCGAGGCTCACCGATGCCTGTACCATTTGCGCGATTCTGGGTCAGCGTCCTTTGTTCGAGACACTCTTCCCCTCTCCCGACCGCGTCACGGCGGAGCAGGTCGTACTCAGTAACTTACCGCTTGAGTCGTGTGGCAAGTGTGAAGCAGCAGGCTTGACCGGTTCAATGAAGAGGGCGAGTTGGATCTGGAGCAAACGTCTAGAGGCCTTGATGGCAAACGCCGGACTTGGGACCGCAGGTTTGAATATAGCATACAGGAGCCTCAGGCGAAGGCGGGCTTAGAGACTGTGCGGGTAGACGAGAGGCAGGCGCTGATGGCGATGCTACGCTCGATGCAGGTTTTCAGACCCGAGGAGAGAGCATTTGCACAGGAGGTTTGCAACTCGCTGTGGATGAGAGATTGGGGTCGGCCGGCTCTGGAAGAGAGCTGGCATAGGTATTCGAGATACGGGGGTGAAGGCGTAAGAAAATGTTTTTATCACCGTATTGGATGACTATGATGGAAGGACATTTGTCAGAATATGCCCCCCTGGTGTATTATGCTGGGGGATCCTTCGGTTATCGATTGTCAGATCGTTGTCATGTCGTGGACTGGTTGATTGATCCATTCACTGATGCATCTAATCGCGTCATAGAAGTTTGACAGTCTGGAGTCCCTTCGCACCACAACCTTCTCTGCTTATATCTACTATCCAAGTCAAACATACAGATTAGAACGAATGAGCGCTATCAGTATATTCTGCTTCCGAGATCACACCTCTTCGTGTATACCTGAGAAGAACGAATCTGAGGCTCGTAATGCAGTGATCAAGCGTTCACCTGTATCTAAAGCTTTTCTCGTACCTTTGCCTACCCGGGTTTCCCACATTGTATCATCTCAATCAACAGCCGAGGTATAAAAGTTTACCACTGACCCCACATTCGCAGCTCCCAAAGTACTTCAGGAAAGTGGAAGAAGAGACCTGTAGCGGTGGAGAGCGGCACTCATAGCTAAGATCTCTGCATCCCTCTGCGCGACAGTGAATAGTAGGTCCTGGAGAAGTACCTTGTGTTCATCACTATAATCACATGCAGATCTGCTAGGGCCAGTCGAATGACTGCGGATTGGTTTCCCACTATTACTTACCTCTAGCTCCAAATAAAAAAAGGTGTTTACCAACAAAATTTGTGATGCATCGACAAGTGGATACGGATGTGACACATGAAGACACTGATAAGAGTCGACTCTTTGTGGTTTACTCCACCAAAACAGAATCCAAATCCATAGAGAAAATTTGGTATAATTGACTTTGTTCGTCCACATCAGCTGCTCGAAGCCTCGATTGGTGTGTTCCATTGCTAGGTGCGCGTTGCACCCTGTCTTCGCAAGGCGTTGATATTCGGTTATAAAGGGTGTAAGATGGACCAACTCGCCTTCGGCTTGAACTCAACACATTTGGAATCAGAGCATTTGACTCGTGTGACATACAAAAGTTAGGCAGATCTGACTGTTCTAATATCAATGGTGGCGCTTGCAGCTTCTGCTGTGCACAATTCTGACAACTCGTTGTGCATAGTTACAGATTGTACAGAGAGTACAGATCCGAACCCACTACTATGGAGACTTACCCTTTTGGGTTTCCAGAAACATAGCCCACAGAACCAAACAGCAGCTCATTTGATGATGCTTTCATCAATTCCGTGCAGGGGTTGGGCTCATCCCTGCGCAACATTCCAGCAATAGAAGGCGAACACAAAGGCGGCAACCCCTGGTTACCCGCACAGCTCACCGACCCTAGCCGTCTTTGCTGTTTGTTTGTTCCAGTATCAGGGTAACAAAAACAGCATGGCTCAGCTCGCTTGGCAGATCTAAGTCTTGTGCATTCTGTTGCGATCTCCCCTTCGTCATACAAGCGAGACACATTCACAGCCGAAACCATCGAGCTCAGAAATATGCTTGTGGTGCGTATATATAGGGAAACGCTACATGGCGTTGATAATGGCTCTCAGGGTATGTTCGCTTCGTCCTATGAGCACCCTCGCCTACTGCACCCGCTCGTCGACATAGACTGTGTCAAGCAACATGTATACGAAGATATCATGTCTTGCAGCAATCGGGATTGCTTTGCTACCCTCCTGTGTGGTCGGACAGGGAAAGAAAATTCCCTTCGGTCGCGATGTGCAAATACTAGCAGAGCTCGGAATAGAGCCGGATATCGACCGTCCCGAGCACGCGACTGTGCATTCAGCCATTTCACACTCGGCAATGTTGACGGTAAAAGACGAGTACATCACGGTATGGTCGAAGCGGTGGTTACTCCGTTATGTGAATCTGACGTCCGCAGATCCCAATCGATCACACCAATTCGTCGGCGGGTACATACAAGAATCGATTCTGGGTTAGCGACGAGTTCTACCAAGCTGGGAAACCGATCTTGGTGTACGACGCTGGAGAGACAGACGCAGCATCCGTCGCTGGGGCGCACCTCACGTCATCGTTATCATTCTTCAGATCAACCCTGCAGGAGTTCAATGCCATGGGCATTGTTTGGGAGCACAGGTCGGTCCGCCCACCCGAGAAAGTTGACGGCTTGAAGTGCTGACAAGTCAGATATTATGGCAAATCGACTCCATTCCCTGTGAATTATAATACCCCACCAGAGCATTATAAATACCTCACAACCAAGCAAGCGCTTGCAGACATCCCGTATTTTGCACAGAATTTCAGTCGGAAAAGCCATCCTGACGTCGATCTCACGCCAAAAGGTACCCCCTGGATAATGATCGGTGGCTCATATGCCGGGATCCGTGCGTCCTTGACTCGTAACGAATACCCGGATACCATCTATGCTGCCTGGTCCTCCTCAGCACCAATACAAGCCGAAGTGAACATGACAAACTATTTTGACCAAGTCCACCGGGGATTAGTAGCGAGTGGGTGGACTAACTGCACCAAGGATATACGTGCCGGGCTAGAATATATCGACGAACAGCTATCGAGCAATGAGACAGCAGGGGCGATGATGCAGCTGTTTCTCGGGCCGGGAGCCGAGAAGAACACAAACGGGGACTTCACGGCGGCTTTAGTGGCCATGTACGGGAGCTTCCAGTCGTACGGGATGAATGGAGGTTCAGCAGGGCTGGGGGCGTTCTGCGAGTACATGGAAACCGATCCGAACACCAACCAAAGTGCCGGTCCCGACGGATTGGCCCCGACGTACGGCAAGCAATATGTGGCGGAGCGCTGGGCGGCTTGGCCTGTGCTAACCGCCTTGGTCAACCAGAATATGGACACCAATTGTAGGGGCCTGAATTCAAGCCTCGCACAGGAATGCGATTTGAGCAAGCCGTATGGCGACCCTTCGGCCATCAGCTGGACCTGGCAGTACTGCACAGAATGGGGGTTTTACCAGGCTAACAACGCAGGTCCTCATGCGCTGCTCTCAAGTTACCAGACACTTGAGTATCAGCAATATATCTGCAATCGGCAGTTCCCCGACGCCATCAAGAAGGGGCTATTACCGCCTCAGCCTCTGACGGACCAGACCAACCGGGACTTTGGCGGATGGTCCATCCGCCCATCGAACACCTACACTAGTGGAGGAGAATTCGATCCGTGGCGGACATTGTCCGTTCTCTCGACAGAGGACACGGCGCCCCAAGGCATTCGGATTTCAAACGATATCCCGCCCTGTGGGGTAAAGACCAATGAAGATACGGTCTTTGGATACCTCATGGAGAACTCAGAGCATTGTTTCGACTTTCAGATGCTCCCCACGGCGGGAAAACTGTCACGCGGACTGTTCACCTCGGCGCTGTTGCAGTGGCTACAGTGCTTCGGAACAGGAGCGGGGACGTCGCCCAAGAGTTGAGAGAGGGGGGGGTTATAGAGTCGAATCAACCAGGCTTATGTACATAAGAAGTCACAATTCATAATCCAAAATTTGCAGCAAATAGAAAGAGCGTTCAGAAGGCGGGGGATGAATAATGGATGCACAACCGTGTGGAAAGCGACTGCCTCTTCCCTCATACTAACTAACCCGTTCCGGAGATGCTTGCGATGTTAATCCCGACCCCGGCCCATGACGAATGCCATGTCGATTCCACATCTTCCTTTCCAATCATTTCTGCGCTTGATCAGTTAGACTGACCATCTCTTGCGCCTCCGGCTGCTACAATCTCATTAACGTACTCCTTATAGTGAGTATGAGTAGCTCTTGGGGCGGTTTGGGACATGTGCCTCCACCAAATTCACCCCCGTACTGCACCGTCCAGGGGCCTTTGACTTAAGTATAAATACTTCATTTTTTCTTTCAGACCACTCACAATTGTTTGAAATTTTCTCCAAATTATCTGATTTCTACTGTCGTGAATATCAGTCCCACCGATAGCATGCTGGCTCCAACCGTCCTGTTCATTGGGGCAATATACCTGACATACCACATCCTACGCTCCTTTCAACAAGCATTCAGGAACCGCAGAACAGCAAAATCACTGGGCTGTGAGCCTCCCCAGAAAGTCCCATCAGACCCTTTGGGTCTTATGAATTTCTTCGAGCTCGCACAAGCAGCCAAGGATAGCCGGGTGGTTGAGGCTATAGCCGGATACTACGATCAGTATGGTCCCACTTACAGCTTAACCGGGCTGGGCGGAGTGACAATTGTGTCCACAAGTGAGCCTGAGAACCTGAAGGCGCTTCTAGCTACCCAGTTTCATGACTTTAGTCTGGGCACGCGGCACCGCGAGTTCTATCCGCTACTCGGGGACGGAATTTTCACCCTGGATGGTACGGGCTGGTCGCATGCCCGGAGCTTGTTGAGGCCGCAGTTCACGCGGGATCAGGTAATGACTACCTTGAACAGCGCGTTTCATGGCTAAGCACTAATCATGCATAGGTGGCTGATCTAGATTTGATGGACAGTCACGTCTCCCGACTAATCGAACTGATTCCAAAGAATGGGATTGACTTCGACATACAGCGTCTCTTCTTCCTGCTGACTATCGACTCGGCAACACATTTCCTATTTGGCGAGCCCGTCAACGCAATGCACTCTTGCGGTCAGACAGGTGTATTGGAGAAGACGGCCGTTGGAGATGCACAGGGCTTTGCTGAAGCATTCAATTTGTCGCAGGAGTATTTGTTCACTCGCAACCGATTCATGGGTCTGTACTGGTTGATCAACCCCAAAAAATTTCAAGATGCTTGCAGACGCGTGCACGAAGTAGTCGATCACTACGTCCAGCTGGCCCTTGAGTCCAAGAAGAATCCCGACAAGAGTGAGAGCAGATATATCTTCGCTGAGGCGCTGGCGGCGGAGACGAATGACCCAAGGGTGCTGCGTGACAACATGCTCAATATCCTTTTAGCAGGTCGCGATACGACCGCCAGTTTGCTGAGTTCTGCTTTCTTCTACCTGGCGCGTCATCCCCATGTCTGGGACCGGCTTCGGGGGGCTATCATTGAAGAGTTTGGGGACAGTTTGCATCCACGAGGGAAGATCACGCAGGGCAGATTGAAGGATATCCCGTACTTGAGATATTTCCTGAACGAAGGTCAGCGTTTTCTCATGTTATATGGGAACGAGTTTTGATACTGATGACCTCACAGTCCTCCGATTATTGCCTCCTGTACCATTCAACTTTCGTGTGGCCGTCAAAGATACTTCACTTCCGGTAGGCGGCGGTCCGGATGGCAAGGCCCCAATATTCATTCGCAAGGGTCAGCTCGTCACATACTCTGTTTATGCGATGCATCGTCGAGAGGATCTCTACGGACCTGACTCAAGGAGCTTCAGGCCCGAACGTTGGGAAGAGGGTGCCAGTCGAGGCTGGGACTTCTTGCCGTTCAACGGCGGACCTCGGATCTGTCTTGGCCGTGAGTGTGCCCTCCAACTTGTCCCTTCCAGCCCGTGTTAGGTGAATGCTAAGCTGTCAATGATAGAACAATATGCCCTCACTGAGGCGAGCTATACCCTGGTCCGCTTGCTGCAGCAATTCGATGGGATCGAGAATGCCGCACCGGCGGTGGAGGAACCCAGAATCATGTCCAATCTGACGTTGTCGCATTTGCATGGGGTGAGTATTCGACTGTATCCAGCGATGTCGTAGGATTTGGCAATCGTGTGATACCTTTCTTTTCGATTCTCTGTGTATCTATGCAAACGTTGTCTGGGCGATTAAGCACCTCATCTTCAGTGAGACAAGTCTATATTGACGCGGGTGGAGCTGGATGCTACTCTCCCCTCATAATTCTGAGACATAACTATACACAAAATGCTACATTTCCCTGCAGATCCTGCCGGTCTTCTGTGCTAATGAAACATCTGACGTATCTTCTCTTCCATATGTGTATTGCTTTCTGCTGCCTTGCTCCAAGTCATGTCTCGGGAATTGCTCGGGAGTATATGCAAACGCTTAACTCTTCACAGATCCTGCCATGCGGGATGCAGCATTGCCCACTACAGGATCACGAACGTGCGGGAATATGCGACCTCGTGAGTACAAACCGGAGCAAAGCCATATTATCCTCGGCTCTAGTCTTCTCGCTCTACAGGAAAGAGGATATCAGAAGGAGTCGTGTGATGTCAAGTCGAGGTGTTGTACCGACCAGCAACGCCTAACGGAAACGGACGATCATGATGTCAAGAGATCGGCTGCCACAACAAACGAACGAACAAAACGTTAAAATTGATGCTAGAATTTGGGGAACTGATCGACAAGGGGCAAGAGTATCAGACGGTTGCTTAGGTTTACTTGCACGATAGCACTGCCATAACGTCAGCTTACACCGTACCGAGTCTTTCTTTTGCATGCTGGCTGTGGAGAGAACAAGGTGCTTGTTTCTATAATTAAGCCAAATCAATCCACTTCCTTGGGTTGACACGGGAATATGGTTCACGATGGAAATCAAGATTTGACTTTCAGGGACCAATTGCATAGATTTTTGCATAAATTTTTGCATCAAATAGACATCTGTCTGCGGGGTAAAACAATGAAGATGAAGTCCTGAAAACCCATCTGTTCATTTACAACTGCATGGCAAGCGATCGGGATCGACAGAAGTAGATGAGGATCGACTGGTTTCAAGTTTGAGGTTGTTGCAACTGTGTGCAATACTCCAATCTCTATACAGAGTACAGTGAAATAAGATTAAAATAGAAATCAGAGTTTTCATGTCGCATATTGTCGTGAGAATGGAGTTTGTTTGGCCAGTTTCTTACAGACGGGAAGATAGATCTTGTGGTGTTGTATTAACCAGCCTCACTGTCTTCCTACCCACTGCAAGATGGGCAGATTTCCTTGTTGTGGGGGGGAATCCACCACACAACAGAGTCCACAGACTGACAGACAGACAGAGAACATGAAATGTCTCAGCATCCCCGCCCTGTTGTGCCAATCATTGTGCGTCTCCGACTTCGCCGCCCACAATCGCTGACTGATTGTCCCGGTGTTAATCACGTTGATCTGTTGAGGGCCAATCGGTCGTGGCCGGCGCTCAAGCTTGAAGGCAGCGGAGTCTCCGACTCCATCTTCATGGTTGTGAGTGGGCCAGCCAAGTCTCTTGCTCCCTCTCTTCTGTCTTTCGCCCCCATCATTCAATGGAACTTCTCCTCCAGCTTTGCCAGTGTGTTCCGTACCAGTGCTTCCCGTACGGCCGGTAGTCTACATTCTTCGTCCACTGGCGGTACCTGGGGCAGTGCCAAGTTACCCTGCATCCCCAAAGCTAGTTCACCACTTTAGTTCCTTTCCCTACTCCGTACTCTCTTGTCCTCTCATGTGTTCATTGACTTTGTTCTTGCTTTGGTTCCTCTGATCTCCATCCATCTTTTCCTCCTTAGGAAATTCGTCTTCGACGGCCTTGTTCCCCACCGGATTTTGTGGGAGCGTTCGCTGCTCGATACTTAAACACCCCGTCATTCCCATTGACATTCTCCTTCAGCATCACACAGCAATCCTGTACACTTTACACCATAATATCTACTTTTGTACAGCATTCTCATATTTCTAATTATCAACCATCCATCTTATTACTCGCGACTATGAAGTTTCTTGCTCCCCTTGCTCTGCTCGTGTCCGCGGTGGCAGCCAGCCCTATCCTTCAAGCTCGCGATACCGCGAAGAGTTTCTACCTCAAGACCTCCGGTGCTGCCAACGATGCTCACAACAACCTCTATGTCTACGCCTACCACACTGGTGCGGGCTTCAACGATGCCGTGCTCACCGCCGAGAAGTCCACCGCCCGGACCGTCACCTTGAATGGCACCAACGCCCAATTCGACCTGGGCACCACGCTTCCCTGGGGTTTCAAGATGGGTGCCGACACTAACTATGCTTGTCAGTTTTCGCCTCTCTGCTTGAGGAGATTTTAGTTCGTCAAACGCTAACCTCGTGTTATAGCATGGGAACCCGTCCAGATCAATGTCGGTTACGGTGACGAAGGTTTCTCCATCAACGGTACAAGTCTCGAGTGGTCGGAGCAGAACGGTTTCGGCGGCTGGTTGGGTGAGTGAACCCCGAATACCCAAACTCAATCATCTAGAAGACCTTTGTCACTAACATATTCGTTTCTTTTTCTGTCCTAGTCTGCGAATGGTACCACAACGCTCCTCAGCTCTTCTGGCTCTACAAATACATTCCGGCCACAGTCCCTTCCTCCTGCGACAAGGTTGATCTTACCGTTGAATATTCCTCATGAGGACCCGACACGAGGGACACACATGATAACGAACGCTCGTGGTTGACGAATCATACGACGCAAAGATAAAGATCGGGAGAACACACGCCACCTTCTCTGCGGCTTGACGCTCCAAGATCTGTTTCAATACGACGACGGTCAAGATTTTTCTGTGATGCTCATGCTAATTAATCGTAATAATGACCCGCGAGGACGATGATGGAAAGTGATGTAATAATGTGTGATTATACCATAGCGTTCTGCGCGTTGAGTTTTAGTTGCCGTCAATGCATTTTCAGGGGAGAACTGAGGGAAATACATCGCCAGTGTTTGGTTACAGATTCATTTCGTATACATCCAGTGTATCAGCTAAATATCTGCGAGTTATCGAGCCGGGCGGGGGGGCGCCAATAATTGGCAATAGTGGCTTGTAGAAGTGCAGGACACCGCCCGCAAGGAATACTTGGGAGGTGCAAGGGCATGCACAACATTTCTTCTAAGAAGTGCGTGCGTCATGACATCCAAGAGCAACCCCAGGGCTACAGGCAACTAAAGAGATCCTGGAGGTGAATAAATGCCTTGTAGCCTGAGGCCAAAAGTCACCAAAAATAGCTGCGTGTCTCACAAACGGCTCAATCGGGTTAGTGAGTGGCCCAGGGCCTCACTCCTTCTTGCTAGTCTCTCTCTTTCTCTCGCCTCTCGTGTTCTGCTGCGCCTGACTGTGTGATCTGCTTCAACCCTTCTTCTGCTCTTGCATCCTCTTATTCTTCTGCGTCGTCCTCAGTCAAGCGTCAGTCGCTTCTCCGTCACCATCGTTTGCAGTTTTGTTGAGCGCAGTATCCCCGTCACTCGCTTTGTTTACCCTCTCCGACTCTCGCTGGACCCTGCCGATAATCTATCAGCCGATCTGCATGTTTCAGGCCCGCTGGCCTAAAAAGAACGCCCGCCTTCTGCAGTTCCATCGTCTTGTCAATCTCTGGGCACCTTTCCCATCACCATTGACTGCATTGTCCACTTAATCTCGATCGCTCGACACATTACATCTTACACTACCTGAAGGATTAACCACCTTCCCTGCGACGGGTCCCACGTCGATCGGACCCTGAATTTTGCCAAGGGGGATTCACTCGACCCCTCTTGTTTTAACCACTCTCTTCAACCTCTGTCGACACAGCTTAAACAATAACCATGCGGTTCCTATACCTTCTTCCTGCCTTGTGCATACTCTTCTTGCTAGGAACAATCTCATCAGCGTTCCCATCTCCTGGAGAGGAATTGGCGCACGGCCAGTTTCTGCGGCGAGCTGGTTAGCACCCCAACCCCTAAATGGAGGCTCACTGTGGCAACATGTATACTAACTTTCTCGAAGACACCACGGCCGCCGAAAGTGCTACCACTGGACAAGCCGCCACGACGGGCAAAAGTGCAGCAAAAACTGATTCAGCTACCGATTCGGCCACTGACTCCGTCACGGAAACCGCTTCAGGGACGCAAGCAACAGGCAAAGCCACCGGTACTGCGACCGGGACCGCGACCGGGACCGACACGAACAGTGGCACTGAGACGGGATCCTCGTCATCCTCCACCAAGAAGGGCAGCACGAAGACGACATCGAGCAACTCGACGACCACCAATGCCTGGGCGGGTGGTATTTCGATGTTGACGCCCGCGACGACCATTACGACATACTACAAGATTGGCAATGCTGCCACGTTTGCGTGGAACTATACCTCGCTGGACGTGACCCCGACGGCAGTTAATGTCATCGCCTCGTGCAGTCTGAACAGTCACAAGTACACGATCACGCAGAACATGACCGTTAAGGAGACCAACAAGGTCGTTTGGGATACGGGAGAGTACAAGGCCAATGCGACGGTTCCGCTGTTGACCGCATCGTACACGCTGATCGTCTGGGATGCCAGTAAGGCGATCTCGGACACGGCCAAGGGTGGTCATCTCAGCGCCGCCAGTTACACGTTCGCCATGTACACTCCGCAGGCGTACACGCCCCTGACCGGTTCGTGCCTTCCTCCTATGTCCTTTCATGGGAAATTGAGCTAATTTGTGTGAATTTGCAGGATTTGTATGCGCTACTTGCAGCGGTGCCCTATCAGAAATCGAACGACAATGTCTCAAGTTCGTGTTCGGCATGGTCCTCATTACAATTACCACCTTCACCTGGTTCGCTGGCGATTTTGGAGTTTTCTCCACATAGTGGGACAGCTATGGGGCCCATCTGTATCGATGTTATGAAAGCAATCTCTTCTTCCTCCGTTTCTGTCCAAAGACTCAGCTCGCAGCAAAACAAATGTATGTAATCCTGCATCATGTCGCCGGTTGTTGGTTGTTGATTTATGCATTCATCAAAGCGAAGGGTTTTTGTTCCACCATTTTTTTCATGAATAATAGCGATATTTTTGACTTTTCCTGATGGCTCCTTCTCCAGGTCATGTTGTCTCGGTTGGCGAGTTTTCGTTCTTCTTGACTGTGTTATCTCTTAATGTGTATTGTTGGTATTAGATTGATGATAGGTCTTTTGAGATGTTGGTTAACAGGTGTGCATTTTCTGTATCCCAGCGAATTCTATTGTAGAGGGGGCTGTAAATATGAAGTACTATCGGAAAGGTACTCAATGTGCTGAAATTTGTACTTACACTGTATGTATGTATGTATACGTCTGCATATGCATATTTGTGCATGTAACGTGATGCAATGGGGTTCGAACCCTCTTGCAGTTAGAAGGAAAAAGGTCTGCAAGGATGGAGATCTGCGATGTACACGTCCAGAGTGTTCCCTGGAAATTGTGATGAGTGCATGATGGGCTAGTTTGCATCCTGAAACGCTGGGTTGTGGTTCTTACTGGGACATTAATGCTGACTCCCGCACAGCGAAGGGGCAGCATGATTCTTGTCACAGTATCTTACACCGTGTTTCTGACTTGGTGTGACTGACTTATTTGAGGCGGAGGCGATTCGGATGGACTTTTACGATGTCTTCCACAGAGAAGGGATATAGTTCCCAGAAATCTCTTTTCTTTCGGTGGAACTAGGGTGACCAGGGTATACAAGTGGATGATATTCCTCAGGCTCAATTCCGCGTACGTGAGATATGTGCAGGCTAGCTAATTTATCTATCTGTTTATTCACAGTAGTTTCTGCTGCTTCGCGTGGGTGACAATAGATAAGTATCGTGACACCTTCTTGTTTGATGGTATTCAATACAGGTTGCGGTGTGTGTTTCTGAGTCAGCAGGCGCAGGATTGCGTGGGTGTGATTGGATCTAGAGGGATTGGACCTAGAGGGATTGGATGTTGAGGTCGAGATCAATGCGGATGTGCAGATAGTCTGAATGTAGTCGGTGGATTCCCAGGCCGATGGGGTTGGCCTGCGCTTGACGCAAAGGCTTGTTGATAGCCCTGTCCCTGAGACAAGAATAGAGTCTCCCGCGGGGGAGAAAGGTGGTCGTCTCGGCGTGGAACTCATTGCGCTAATGGGCGTAGACGGGCTGGAGTAGCGGATTGATGGATAATATCGGTTCGAGAACGAAAGAAGTATTATGAGTAGTGCTTGTTGTTAACGAAGCTGTACATTCACTCAACACAGCTGGGATGATATGCCTCCCAAACAGTTGTTGACTGGCCATCCACAGATGGAACGGTCTTCGGCTTGCGGACTGCTGGTAACTGAGCTGCATTGTCTGTCATCTTGTTGCATTTCATGCAAGGCGTCTGTTTGATGTTGGCGTAGGACGATATCATGTCCTGTCACTGCATTAACAATTCATCCTCAAAAAGCACCCTCGGGCCAATACTCACAAGCAGATAGAGAAGGTCCCACTGCCGGGGCCGCGAGTTCAAGCACTGCAGGACAGCCCCCTCGAGCTTGGAGACCGGCTGTCCCGGCGACGCCTTGCTGGTGATGCGCCAATCCGGGATCCCATGGCTTTCCAGTCCCTCGACAGTGTGGACATTGAGAATCATTCCGGCCTTTACAAGCGCTACCAGGACCGACGCCGTGTTCATGTTGCTCACTTGTACCCGCACGCCGGGCACGTTCCTCTGGGCGAAACCCTCCGCAATCGCCCGCCAGCCACCCTCCGTGGCCTGAATCTTCGACCGTTCCGATTCCTCCTCAGCGCTCCGTCGCTCCGCCTGCTTTGCTTGCTCCTCTTTGACCAGCCCCTCGAGCAGCACGTCATAGTCCTCCTCCCACACCCCCCTCGGCTGCAGCAGCTGACCACCGTTATTCTGGATTTGGGTGTCCACCCGATCCCAGACGGCTTTCATCTCTGAACTGCGCCACAGAGTCTGAAAATCGGCCACTTCGCTCACACCACTCTGCACGCACTGCTTGAGTTGTTCGAACAGCGCCCGCGGGGAGGATACTCCCACCTGCCCGGTGGCCATTCCGGGATTGACGGTTGATTTCAAGGGTTCCAGTAACCGTCCCGGCAGCAGTGTGCGCAGCTGATGAATCTGTTCCGATGTCAGTAAATCGTTTCCCGCACCCAGATAGCAGGAAATGAACGGGCATTATCTGTTCGAACATACCATTCCTTCCAGCCTCTGAAGCTTTGCCAGCGATGATACGAGCTGCATCTCAGTATCCCAAGCGTCGCTGTCTGTGGCGACGACGGTGGGCTCGTTCATGTTTTCCGTGGACATCTTCAGGTCATGCGGGGGTGCTGTCATCTCTGGCACGACGATGGGCATTCTAGGGGGATTCGGGCCAGACTTAGGAACTGTGGCCATGATGTCTCGTGACCTGATTGAAGCTCAATCGGGATCGGGGCAAGGGAAGTGTGCTACACATAGAAGGGTGACGCCTCAATGAGCGTAGATTGAAGCAAAGACTGAGAAAGGCTGGATGAACGAATTACCCTCTGACTAGTATCGAAGCCCCTCTTAGAAGTGCATCCTCACTCAGTTTTAAGTTTCACTGTTAAACAAGCCAAACAGGTTAGCGTTCGATTATAGTGATCACTTATTGTGCTATCAAGTGAAATAAATAGCTGCCAAGTCGGTGCGCGTGTGACGGCCGAGGAACTCACGATCTGCTGAGAGTAGGTTGGGCCTAGCCACATGCACAAGCCACATGCGGCAGAAATCGATAGCCATGCTTCTACCGCCTTAAATGCCGCCTGAAGTGGTTAGTTAACCACTAACTATTAACTAACTAGTTAGTTGACTGACACTGTTAGTCATGAGTACCCTACGTAAGTAGCCTCCCACGTCACAAATGTGGGCTTTGGCCCGTGTGTTGCCCTCTTTAAACTATGGAGTATGCGAAAGATGACATGGTCCACTGAATGTGCATTGATGGTGGTGGTGGTGGTGGCTTTCTATGCGCGGGGTACAATTGACTTTGAAGTACTGTGTGTGTGTGTGTGTGTGTACTGTACAATGCATGCCACTGTTGCTCTCGACCGTATGGTTTGCAAAAGTGTCGGTTTCCAAGAGAATGCACTCTTGCTACCTCGAAGGGAGGGATGTCTAGCTGAAGCAACCACTATACTGTAGCTTATACTCCGTAGTGTGTATGCTTTCTCTAGGGCCCTTCCTAGCAAGCGAACCAACTGCGAACGCCCTCAAACGCTCAAGGGGGTAGATGCAAACTTCCCAAATAGAGGCAGATCGTCGACGGGGAGCTGGCTGCTCAGAAAGAGGCTGACCAACTCGATGGGCATCATATAACAATGCTGTGATTACAAGGACATGAAAGCTCAATACGGCCTGGATTCCATTCACAAAAGTAATATCACCATCAATAGTCTAAAGAACTCAATGGCAGCTGCCTGTGAATAATTGTAGCCACAACCTAACCCCACAGAGGCGCAAAACATACAGACCTCTGCCGATTCACAATAAGACAAAACCTTCTCGCGACTTGCACCTTGCATCTTTTCTGCTCCTTCGTGGTTGGCTTCGGTGCGGTGCGCTGGAAGCCTGATCAGCCCTCTTGACAGGCACCTTGGGTTCGGTCTCCGTCGTCGAAAATCGTCATCACCCATCTGAATTATTAGGCGAGAGGCAAAGACGCTTGTACCGGAGTAGTCGTGAGATCAGAAGATTTGAGTTGGGTCTGTCCGGAACCATCCAAGTGCGGGAGGAAATTCCAGAGCCTGAGGCCGTCGGCGGATTTTCCCCCTCCTCTTCCTCCCTCCCAGTCAGTTGGACAGCAGCACAGAAAGAGGTACGTACTGTACAGTCAGTATCTCCACCTCCACCCCAGCCAACCCTTCCCGAACTCCTCTTCCCTCTCTCTCTCGCTCTCTCTCTCTCTCCTTCCTTTCCTCTTTCTTTTCCTCCTCCGCACTTTTCTCTGGCTGGATTTCATTCCAGTTCTCCCACAGTCATCTTCGGACTGTGTGCATTTCTGCCTGGATTCCTCTCCTAACCGGGACTTCCAGCCAGTCCTTTCTCTATCTCCCCCCCAACCCCCCTGCGCGTGTCAGCTGCCCGCATCGGTACTGGTTGCTGCGTCGCACTCACCCCCAAGTCCGTCATTGTGTATTGCGACCGCCCACCTCCGTACGGACACACACACACTCTTCGCTCTTGATCCCTCTTGACCAGCTCCACAACCTGTCATTCGGAACATGACCTCCATCATTGTCTAGATCTATTTGCTCCATTTCATCTTCTGCTCTGCCTCGCTCGGTGACTCAACTTATATACTTGTCTGGCTTGCTGGTGTGCCGCGTCGTCTCCGCCTGATTGCGCTACGTGCGTCGGTTGTCCCCGCCTGCTATCTAACGCCCCGATCGTGGTGCATGTGCGCTGTCGACAGAGGTAGATGATCATCGAACTCCCGATTTGATCTGTCCTTGCTAGCTTCTCAAGTGGGCGTCGCCAGCAAGTACGAAGAGTAATGGATCCCCAGTGGCAGCCTTACCAGGATCCCTTAATGGGTCACTCGGCGCAGTTCAACAACGGCCTGACGTCGAATCCACAACAGCACCTAGCCTCAAAATACGGCGGCCAGCCACAACACTCGCAGCCACCGGTCGGATACTCCTACGAGCCCTTCCAATCCCCTGCCGCCTCTGCGAAACCCTCCTCGACCGTCACAAACTCCAAGACTGTTTCGATGGCCTCGTCTCCAGCTGCCACGCCACGTACTCGGGATTATGTCACCGATGCGGATACCACCATGGAGGACGCCGATCCGTATAACCGGGCCAAATACTCGACCCGACCAACCCATCACAGTCGCCCTTCCTCCCAGTATTTCTCACACGAAGAGTCATCGGCCGCTCGCAGATACTCGCCGGGAAACGTCTTGTCGTCGCCCATGTCCTCTTTCAACGCCAGTCCTGGGAAACACAACTCGTACGCATTCCCGCCCGGCCCCAATCAGTCGCGACGCTCGCCGACCAGGGCGCCCAACTACGCTTCACCCCCTCAGTCATTTCAGTCACCGCCGTGTAAGCAAAACCTACTCCCTTTGTGGTTGTTGTTGTCACTTCGCCCTTGCTAACCTCTTGTTCGGCAGCCGGTTCGCGACCGCCCAGACTGCCCCCTCTGCAGCCCACTGATATGAGCCCCGATCAATTCTATCCACCCTCTGCGGGCTCTCAGCTTAGCGCAGCTCTCGCGCAAGACGGTCGATCTCCTCGTTCTGCTTCTACATCAGGTGGCGGTCATTTGCCCGGTCGAGGACCAATCCCGAAATTTCAGAAGATCAAGTCAGTGCAGGAACTGCAGCCGCGCCTGAATGCACAGCCTCCGTTTAGACGTGCCAACCCCGAAGGCGGCTTCATCAGCGTATGTATCCACTAGTTTGGAGCTGTATAGAACTGTTCTCACACTTTTCATAGCCCCTCCAAGCGTTGACCACGCATCTTCCGGCCACTTACCGGATCTGCAACCCCGGCTTCAATTACGAGTCGTCAAGAAATCCAAGGCGTGTTCTAACGAAACCCAGTAAAGGCGTGAAGAATGATGGCTACGACAATGAGGATAGCGACTATATTCTTTATGTCAACGATATCCTGGGCAGTGAGGAAGCAGGTCACAAGTGAGTCTTTGGGAATACGGTCCTATTGCAGATCATGGGGGCTTTTCAGCTAATATTCTCAGGAATCGCTATCTTATTCTCGATGTGTTAGGTCAGGGTACTTTCGGACAGGTCGTGAAGTGCCAGAACTTGAAAACGGGAGAGGTTGTGGCCGTCAAAGTCATCAAGAACAAGACCGCCTATTTCAACCAGAGCATGATGGAGGTGTCAGTTTTGGATCTGGTATGTTCAATTCCTCTAATCACTTGCTCGTTTTGCTAATATCTCGGTCACAGCTTAATAGCCGATACGACAAGAACGATGATCACCATTTGCTCCGATTGAAAGACACCTTCATTCACAGACAACACCTTTGTCTTGTTTTCGAATTGCTCAGTGTCAATCTCTACGAATTGATCAAGCAAAACCAGTTCCGAGGTCTTAGCACGACCTTGGTGCGCGTATTCGCCCAGCAGTTGCTCAATGCTCTGAGTCTCCTAAACAAGGCGCATCTGATTCATTGTGACCTGAAACCGGAGAATATCTTGCTGAAAAAGTTAGTCGTCGGCCCACAAATGTAGACCGTTCAAGCTGACGCCAAGCTTCTGCAGTCTGGAAAGCCCCATTATCAAAGTGATTGATTTCGGTTCAGCATGCGACGAACGGCAAACTGTCTACACTTACATCCAATCCAGATTCTACCGTTCGCCGGAGGTCCTTCTTGGCTTGCCGTACGTCCCACTGCAATCATCCCCCGCTTAGCCCTGTCCCATTCTGGACGGCACGACTGACACTCCCCTAGCTATTCCTCTGCAATTGATATGTGGTCACTTGGGTGTATCGTTGTTGAACTTTTCTTGGGTCTTCCACTCTTCCCTGGTTCTTCGGAATACAACCAAGTCTGTCGAATTGTGGAGATGCTGGGTCTTCCTCCCACATGGATGCTAGAGATGGGCAAGCAATCAGGCGAATTCTTCGAGAAAAGTCATGATGAATTCGGCAGGAAGACGTATCGCTTGAAGTCCCTGGAGCAGTATTCTCGTGAGCACAACACCAAAGAACAACCGAGCAAGAAGTACTTCCAGGCTTCGACCCTTGAGGAGATTATTCGCAGTTATCCGATGCCGAGGAAGAACATGAAACAAGCGGAGGTTGAAAGAGGTGCGCTCCCTAATCCTTTCTTCCCCGGCTACGTGGACTAACATCTCTCAAGAACTCAACAATCGGGTAGCTTTTATTGACTTTGTTCGCGGTCTGTTGAGTATCAATCCGCTTGAGCGCTGGTCACCGCAGCAAGCCAAGTTGCATCCTTTCATTACCCAGCAGAAGTTCACTGGGCCATTTGTCCCACCCATGAATCTGAAGTATTCATCCCTCAACAAGACTGTGGCTCCTGGGATTCAACAGCAGCAGCAAGCAGAGGCAGCCAGTAAACAGCGAGCGGCACAAGCAGCACACGCTCAGAGCGCTGCGCAGAATGCATACAATATGCAGTTGAATCAGTTCCACACGCCAACGCATGCCCAACCGCCACCCATGTACAACGGGATGTATGCTGGCCACCAGCAAGGTGCTCCCCCTCCGTATCCCAACCAGCCGCCCGCCTACGGTCACCAGATGAATATCATCCCCGGCCAGATGCCGCAACAGCAATACGCACCGTCGCAGACCCTATACGCCCAAGCAACTACGAGAGCCGGCCGACAGCGTGCATCTACCATGGACCCCCAGGGTGGAGGCATTCCGCCAACCATCCAGCGCGTGGCTAGTCATCTCGATCCTAACGCACCGATCAGACTGCAGCCGAGCCCTGCGTACTACCCACCTCCACCAGATGGATATGTCGATGCCAACTCAGCCAATCAAAGACGTCGAGGAAGCCGCACTGGTGGCACCAGGAACCGAGACTTCATCCGAACCCTTGAAGATGGCGTCTTAGGGGGCGAAGGCTTCATGGGCCAGAATCAGTGGCACTGAGTGTGATGAGCTCGCTGGCAGTTTGGTAGCACCTGGAAGGGTGCATCAGCAATTGCTGACTAAAAGTTCCATCGAGTGAGCACATGCTTTATGTGCGTCTACCACGAGAAAGAACAGACATATAGCTGTTCTAGTGTGTCCTCCTTTAATCGGAACCTGCAGGTATCTTTCTCGGTCTTTGCGCCGCCAGGTATTCCACAGTTGGACCGTCCTTTCAACAGAAAAGTCCCCGTCGCACCACCTTGCCCTTGATGCTGTCTGCTTCTTGTCGGTCAGCACGGCAATCATTCTATTTCCTTGGCCTGCTGCGTCCCGTGGGATAGAATGGAAGGAGATCCCGTGAGACTCCGATCTCATTATAGCGACTAGCACGGAGTCCTAGTCAAGCGTAAAGCGCCTTCCGGTGTGGCATGTCGGGATTAGTTCTCCGATCGTCGACGGGTTCAAGTGTCTGTGATGCTCTTTCTAGGTTTTATTGTCTCCCGTGTCAATTCTCAGATCATGTCTGTGGTGGGTTTTCGGCATAGCCAGGAGTATTGGAAAGACCTCGATTTATGTCTCCTTTATTATAGTACTTGCTTTGTTTTTGTTCACTTTTCTGATTATGCCGCGCACAATCTGCACGGGAATGCCTCTGTTGTAGCGCCAATGCGTCGAAATATTTGTGTTTTCTTCTTCGTCCTGATTCTCTCTTTGTTCTTGTACCCCTCTTTGTTTCTTCTGTGCAATTGAGGAGAGAAAACATGGCTTATAGCTTGGATATCTGAATAAGGAAATGCGGTATATGAGGACAGGCAGCGAAAGGCATGAAAGCATATAGAAGTGACCGAATATAAGTTTAATTGGCAGGGCCAGCATTGACAATCTCCGCAATATCGAAATTGAGATGGCGGAGTCTAGAAAGAGAAGCGGGCGGGATGGGTTGTCTATTGCCCGATACGGTTAGGTGTGGCCTCGCTTAAATTTCGTGTGTGGCTCGCGCAGCCCAACCTCTGCGGCTCCCGCCGTACCCTCACAACTGAATTTGCTCCCTAGGCAAAGGATACAGACCGACTGGCTCTGAGGGATCTACGCTTCCATCCCTGAACGACTGTGCGTCACGCCCGATTTTTTCGTGACGGCAACTTTTCGACTCGCGCGATTTTTTCGGTTTCTGAGCGTTCGGAAAGGACACCCCAACCACACCCGCAAACATGTCGCGTTTCTTCTACGGTGGCGGTAGCGACAGCGAGTCCAGCTCGTCCGACGAGGAGGAGCTCTACAGTGATCGTGAGGAGGAGGAGCAGTCGGAGGAGGAATCCAGCGAGGAGGAAGAGGACTCTGAGGATGAGTCCTCTTCCGAGGATGAGGGCGCCGGCAAGACTGGTGCCAATCGTTTCATGAAGAACGTCTCGGACAGCGAAGAGAGTGAGGATGAGGAGAAAGTGACGGTCGTCAAGAGTGCCAAGGACAAGCGGTTGGAGGAACTCGAGGGTACCATCAAGTTGATTGAAAATGCTGAGAAGATCAACGACTGGGCGGTCATCTCGACAGGTGCGTTTGGACTAAGCTCTTCAATAGATGGACTTGCTTCCGCAATCGTCGCTCGGGAGCAGGGAGGAATAGCGCTGGTTGGATGCTAATTTGAAATGACATTGTACAGAGTTCGATAAGCTGAACCGCCAGGTTGTCAAGATCACTCAGTCTGGCCCCGTTCCCCGTGTCTACGTGAAGGCCGTTGCCGACCTCGAAGATTTCGTCAACGAGACCGTCACGAAGCAGAAGTCGGCGAACAAGAAGATGAACGCCAGCAACTCCAAGGGTTTCAACGCCGTCAAGCAGCGTATCAAGAAGAACAACAAGGATTACGCCGCTCAGATCGAGAAGTACCGCAGCAACAAGGATGGTTATTTGGATGGCTCCGACGAAGTTGTCCGCCCTGTTGTCAGCGCCCCCCGTCTCTCCAAGGCCGAGCGCTTCGAGGCTCCCGTTGCTGCTGCCGCTCCCACCACTGCCGCTGCCGACGATGGCTTTGCCACTGTTGGACGTGGTGGTAAGACCCTCCAGTACACCCCCGAGAGTATCCTCAAGCACCTCCGGGTCATTGTCGAGTCCCGCGGAAAGAAGAACACCGACCGTCTCGAGCAGATCCGCACCATGGAGAAGCTTTTGGAGGTTGCTCAGACTCCTTACCAGCGCATCCGTATCTACCTCACCCTCATCTCCACCCGTTTCGACCTCACCTCTTCTTCTTCCGGCAACTACATGGCCGTTGACCAGTGGAAGTTCGCCGAGCAGGAGTTCGCTACTCTTCTGTCTGTCCTTGAGAACAACCGCGACTACGTGGTGACTGAGGGTGCCGAGGAGTGGGAGGATGATGAGAAGCAGCCCCAGCCTGCCGCCGGCGAGACCCTCCACATTCCTGGCAGCATCGTCTCTTACGTTGAGCGCTTGGATGACGAACTCACTCGCTCTCTCCAGAACATCGATCCCCACACCGCCGAATACATCGACCGCTTGGGTGACGAGAAGCAGCTGTACACCAACCTGGTCCGCACCCAGACCTACGTCGAAGGCCTCAGCACCGCCGAGAAGAGCGACCCCAGACAGGACAGCATCAACAGAGTTGTTATGCGGAGATTGGAGCACATTTACTTCAAGCCCTCGCAGGTTGTCACCATCCTGGAGGAGGCCACTTGGAAGGCTCTCCCCACCGAGTTGGACACCAAGATTACCCCCCGTGCCAACGCCGGTGATGTTACCGAACTCGTCCAGACCCTTTGCAACTACCTGTTCAAGAACAGCGACGGTATCATCCGCGCCCGTGCGATGCTGTGCCAGATTTACTTCCTCGCCCTTCACGACCAGTACTACCGCTCTCGTGACCTGATGCTCATGTCCCACTTGACCGAGAACATCGCCAACTTCGACGTCAGCACTCAGATTCTCTTCAACCGCACTCTCGTCCAGATCGGTCTGTGTGCTTTCCGTGCCGGCCTAATTTACGAGGCCCAGACTACTCTCTCCGAGGTTTGCGGCAGCGGCCGTCAGAAAGAGCTTCTCGCTCAGGGCATCATCCTGCAGCGGTACTCCACTGTCTCCCCCGAGCAGGAGCGTCTGGAGCGCCAGCGTCAACTTCCCTTCCACATGCACATCAACCTGGAACTCCTCGAGTGCATCTACCTTACTTCGAGCATGTTTTTGGAAGTCCCTCTTATGGCTCAGACCTCTTCCTCCCCCGAGATGAAGCGTCGCGTCATCTCCAAGACTTTCCGCCGTATGCTCGACTACAACGAGCGCCAGGTCTTCACCGGTCCCCCCGAGAACACCCGTGATGGCGTCATCATGAGTGCCAAGTTCTTGGCCGCCGGCGACTGGAAGAAGGCCGCTGAGATGCTCAACTCCATCAAGATCTGGGACTTGATGCCCCAGCCTGAGAAGGTCAAGGAGATGCTGTCCCAGCAGATTCAGGAAGAGGGTCTCCGCACCTACCTCTTCACCTACGCTCCCTTCTACGACAGCCTGTCGATCGCCACCCTGGCTACCATGTTCGAGCTCCCCGAGAAGAAGATCCAAGCCATCATCAGCCGAATGATCTCTCACGAGGAGTTGGCCGCGGCCCTGGACCAGGTCAACGATGCCATTGTCTTCCGCAAGGGCGTCGAGTTGTCGCGTCTCCAGTCCCAGATCGTGACTCTGGCCGACAAGTCGATGAACCTCCTGGAGGCCAACGAAAAGACTCTCGAGCAGCGTACCCAAGGCATGGCCAACGCCTTCCAGCGCGATCAGGGCGCCGGCGCCCGTGGTGGCCGTGGTCCTCGAGGTGCTGGTCAAGCCCGTGGCGGGCCCCGGTTGCCTGGTGGCCAACAAGGCCGCCGCCCCGGTGGTCAGCAGTTCAGCGGTGGTGCATTGGGTGGAGCAATCAAGGCATAAAAGAAATGTTTTGTTAATGGCAAATTGATTTTTCTCATGGTTATAATGCTCAAGCTTCTTTCAATGTTCTGGGGTCTTTCCTTTTCCCTCTTCTTCCTCTCCTCCCTCCGCAGCTTAACGTACGATATTCCACGTGATGTTATCATTCCTCCCTTCGTCTTGCCGTCATGGGGCCACGTCCTTGCTCTATTTATGGTTGGGACAACTGTCTTCATCCTGGGCTCCGTTCTATCCTCCTTGCCCTTTGACTCGCATACCATACCTTTTTGTTTACTTCAACTTGCCAGATGAATATGACGTTTAGAATGAATGAGGGTGGTACAAAGGTTTCCAGGAGATGGAAACTTAAAATGATGTATGAAATCGAGAAGGTGAAATAGGAATTGCCAAAGACACTCGTCAGGATACGCCTGCGTATCTAATATTTCATGTAGGTCCGTAATCATCCAACATCATACAGCATGTGCTGCCAATCTCTGGCTCCAGCGTACTAAGATACATCTATATGGCGCGTCTTGACGTCAGATATTGTTCCTTTGAACTTCGAGATGAGCGCGTTTCCTTGCCATTGATAAGGTGCGGCTCCTTGATATTCGTGCAAATATATCCTGCATGGTTCAAGCACCACCAGGGGGCGTGACACTGGGAATATTTTACCGCGTGTTTGATGAAGCTTCTGACACCGTTGTGACAGTGTGTGTCTACAATGAAGCATCCTCCCTGATGGCCAAGCACAAGCCGTGCTCAACCACTATCATCCAACAGGTTCTGAGGCGACCAGTACTCATTCTCCTCTCCTTGAGCATCCAGCCAAACAAGGCCGTCCGCGAGTAGGTCATCGACAACCGTCTGCGCTCGCGCCTTCTCCCAGTTCAAGTTGGCCCGCAACATGGAGACGCTTACGTATCCCAAGACCTGAATTACCTCTAATACAGTCGACTGGTCCGTGTTAAGCTCCTTGGGGACAGAACGGATATATTGTTTCCTCCCGACTCGAATGATGGCGAGGCCCGGACCTAGCGGCCCGAGCGACTGCACCGCTCGAAGCACATCGTCACTATTTTTTGAACGTTCGGATCAGCTTTCATTCGTAGACGGTCAAATCGATGCATCAAATGGCCCTCTTACTCGGTAACCTCCAAGCCACTTCCAATGGCCTTGCCCTTACCGACTCGCTTGCGGCATTCTTCCACTCCAATCAAGCCCCCATTCTCACTCCGCGTCTCGCGGCAAAGCTCCACGACCCGCACTGCCACTTCAAAGTAAAAGTCATTCATGTCCCCACCCATGATCTGCGTCCAAAAGCTTGCATTCTCGCCGGCGCCTTTACGGGAGTTTTTGCCCTTGACATTGCTGCCGGCGAGGGGGTCGACACCGATGGCGTTGCACATGCGGGCGAACTCGGCTCGGAATGTCGGATTGGATTTGATCTTCGAGCCATGTTCGACCGCGAACGTATGGAGTAGGGATTGGAAGACGGAGAGCTGGGTCTGGAGGGAAGCCAGGTGCGCCGAGCGGAGAGTCGCGCCGTGGTTAGCGTATGATTGTGTGGTTTGATTACGATTGGCAAAAGCGCCTATTCCGACGCCACGCCGGGTAGCCATGATGTCTGCAGTGTAAGAATGTATGTATACGGGCTGGAGGTGCTTAGAGATCTGGGCTCTGGGGGAAGAGAGCGCATGTTGTCATATGCTCGAGGCCGGAAGTTAAGCCTAAGGCCGCAGCGGGACCCAGACTCTTATCAGCTGCGCTCACCTGACCCGAAAAAGCCCGGACTGAGATAAGGGCTACGCTTTCCCCAAAGCAGTAGGGCATGTTTTTTCTGCAGCTAACCCGCTCGGGACTAGCGTCCTGTGACCCACCCACAACCCATTTTTCTTGAAGATGCGCCGAGATTTCTGTTCTTCTTCTTTTGATCTTCTTCCCAGTACGACAGCACTCGCCAAATCGCCCAACTCGCGAACTCATCGGACCGTCACAATGGCCTCCACTGCTACGTGAGACTCCCTTTTTGATTTTCTCCCAGGCGCCATTCGCTATGAGCCTGTGAGGATTTCAGCTACGGACGTCCACATTTCTCTCGCTGGAGATGCTGCGAGAAACCTGAAAAATGGTTTTTTTCGCTGGGCACCAGCTCGATCTTTCCCGCGCCGACCACCCGTCATATTTCCGCCTCACCTTGGACTCAGAAATGAACTCATTGGGAGTGTGTGGGATACATGATGGAGGTCTTGTGGGGTATTGGGGCTGAAAGCAGCTCTTTGCCTTCTCCTCGAAAAACATTGTTGTGAGCTGTCGTCATTTACAAGATTCTTACTGGCCCCAGTGGCCTGTGGGATGTAGGACGTGATGCTACAACGAACCTTCCTGAGCGTTAGCTTAGGGTCTTGTCGGATGAGGGAAAAGTTTTTTCAACTTGGCCTGCTGTGGGACCATGGATGCGAACCGCATTGCTGAGAATGCATGCGCAGTAGTATCCTTCCCTCAAGGAAATTGGAATTACTCTTCACCGATTAAAGCTATGTCGTCGAGTGCTTTCATCTATTGCCTTCAGTACGAGAATGTGGCGTTGTAGCTGCAGTTCTTACACTCGGCGAAAGTCTACTTGCTTCAACGGACAGACGATTCTGACTCTTCCGCAGCACTGTCCCTACCCAGGACCAGGTCCTCGTTCCCGAGACCCTCCTCAAGAAGCGCAAGAGCCAGGAGCAGGCTCGCGCTGTTGCCCGTGAGGAGGCCCAGAAGAAGAAGGAGGTTAGTTTTTTCGATTTTTCTGTTTCTGTTTTATGCATCTACGGTGATGACAACCTACCTACCACGCGATTAGACTACGGTCGATGCTATCGCTTTTGTTAACCATCTTTCGGGGCTGATATTGATGCTCTCATCTCATCAAATCTTGTTGCTTGAGTCTTGGAGTGAACTCGCTCGCTAACTGATTCATTCCAGGCCAACAAGGAGAAGCGTGCCGTCATCTTCAAGCGCGCTGAGTCCTACGTCAAGGAGTACCGCGATGCTGAGCGCGAGAAGATCCGCCTGGCCCGCGTTGCCCGCCAGGAGGGTAACTTCTACGTTCCCGAGGAGCCCAAGCTTGTCTTCGTTATCCGTATCAAGGGGTATGTCTTCTAATCATCGTGTCATGCTCGCATATGATGCTAACAGCCCGCAGTATCAACAAGATCGCTCCCCAGCCCCGCAAGATCCTTCAGCTCCTCCGTCTGCTCCAGATCAACAACGGTACCTTCGTCCGTCTCACCAAGGCTACCCAGGAGATGTTGACCATCATCAACCCCTACATCGCCTACGGTTACCCCAACCTCAAGTCCGTCCGTGAGCTTGTCTACAAGCGCGGTTACGGTAAGGTCAACAAGGAGCGCATTCCCCTCACCGACAACCAGATCATCGAGGAGCACCTCGGCAAGTACGGCATCGTCTGTATGGAGGATCTGATCCACGAGATCTACACCGTTGGCCCCAACTTCAAGCAGGCCAACAACTTCCTCTGGCCCTTCAAGCTCTCCAACCCCACTGGTGGCTTCCACACCCGCAAGTTCAAGCACTTCATCGAGGGTGGTGACTACGGTAACCGTGAGGAGAACATCAACGCTCTCATCCGCCAGATGAACTAAGATGTTTCACCCCTTTCGCTGTTCGTACTGGGTTGGGTTCCGTTCGAAAAATCTCTATTGTAGTCTCCGGGCTTGATTAGGGCATAAAATTCAAAAGTTCAGGCAACCCAGTATTTTTTTCGGCATATAATCTTCATCGTCTGCTCTGGTAGCTTGTAGTTCGTAGCTTTCGTGGTCCTGTGGGTTTCTTCCTTCAGCTCTGGCTCTTGTGAATTCTGCGTTGGTGATCTTGTAGACCGAATGCATGTCTGGGTGTTCTCATCCTGCTTGCCGGTGGCATTGGCAAGGCTTGACAGTCATATACTGGTGGTCTGTTCCGATCATATTCTTCACTCTGCTTTCAAGGCCCTCTCGAATAGTCTCATCACTTGTTCCTTGGATATTAGTCAATCTCGTAGAGCTATGCTTCTCGAGCTCTATTGTTCACCATGATTTTTCTACTGATTAGGTTATCCTTTGTTGTACTGCAGGTCTTGTTCAGTCCTCCAACAGATAGCAGTCTAGGTGCTGGTTCTTCCGACTGATAGAAACGTATCCTTCTAACGGAGCTGTCCATGTACAATACCCTCGGAGCCCGAGACCCGCGTTGTACGAGTGTGTTCTGGCCTATGTATTTCGTCACCTTGCGGCTTCAGTGAGAGATAGAGTTGGCCACAAGTCGTTTCTGATGGCAGTGTATTAGTACCACCCTTTTTGTGATTCTGCGGTAATAGTTATGTGCATCTCCTTCCGGGACGTTTTTGATATATTGTAGACCGATGAGCGGCCATCTGGTGATTTCTTTCGAGCAAAGTACAAGTACCCCACACCTAGCCTTATCAAGACGTCTTTTATACTGAGTAGAGGCAATTAGCTTTTCTGTATCTAACATCAGCGAAATATGCACCTGACACCTACCCCCAAAAACAGCCACGTGCAGACTGATTCTATACATGAAGCCATCACATGGTCCGAGCTGAGTCATCACTCTCTGTTCTCAAAAGAGGTAAGGCCATGTCTACCCGATCGGGAATAGCCTCATCGGGGAGCGATGGAGTCGGAAAAATGGCCGGTGGATGGATGTGGGAAGCAGGAGAGTCGATCATCTCCCTCGGTTTCTATTGCACTCCCTCCGTCACAAAGAAACCATTATCGACAGTTTGTGCATATACTTCAGTATTCCAAATTCGAGTCATTATCGCGTTTACAGAGTTGAGAAAGGCCCGATTATCTCATCGACGGAGTGTCCGGCATGTGAAGGAAGCATCATCTGCCACCCCCAGATCAACCTCCGAGCTCCACCATCCAAAATACCGAGGTTCCCTTCCCAGCTCTTGCCGAACACTGCGACCGTCTCCAGTTCCAAAACACCGCATATTCCTCATCTATAATTCCTCCCCCGGTTCTCTCCCCCTCTTAATCTTCTTCTTAAGCCCCAACCCCCGACATTTCTCTCATTGATTAATCTTCCACCTCATCTTGACCCCGCAAAAACCCAACTGACCCCCTCTCCCTCTTCTCTTCCTCCCCCATCTATACACACACTCTCTCTCTCTCTTACACACACAATGTCTGCGGAGCTGCGCTTCGATAACCAGACCGTGGTTATCACTGGAGCTGGTGGTGGCTTGGGCAAGGCATATGCTTTGTTCTTCGCTTCTAGAGGTGCCAACGTCGTCGTCAACGACCTGGGCGTTTCTCACTCTGGCGAGGGCAAGTCCTCTAAGGTGGGTGATACAACGTCACATGCTTCTCGTCCTTACATAAGTATGCTAACATGCAAAATGCAAGTAGGCCGCCGACGTGGTCGTCGAAGAGATCCGAGCTGCTGGCGGCAAGGCTGTAGCGAACTACGACAGCGTCGAGAATGGCGACGCCATCATCGAGACTGCCATCAAGAACTTTGGCCGCATCGATGTTCTCCTCAACAATGCCGGTATCCTCCGTGACGTCAGCTTCAAGAACATGAAGGATCAGGATTGGGATCTCATCAACGCAGTTCATACGTATGGTGCATACAAGGTAGGGTTCGACGTGTTTGTCAGGGCGAGAGTTGTCGGAGGGTCAACCGGCTAAATTTCCCTCTCAACAGTGCGCCAAAGCCGCATGGCCTCATTTCCGCAAACAAAAGTACGGCCGCATAATTAACACCGCTTCCTCTGCCGGTCTGTTCGGTAGTTTCGGACAGGCGAACTACTCCGGTTGGTTTTCAGTCTAATACCTTGCATTTCAGTCGAGCTAATGAGGTTACCAGCTGCCAAGCTTGGCCAGGTGGGGTTCACTGAAACTTTGGCTAAGGAAGGTGCCAAGTACAACATCATCGCCAATGTCATCGCTCCTATCGGTAAGCTGCAAGGGTTGCTGTTGGCTGACACCTTCCGCTGATGTTTAGAATAGCTGCGAGCCGGATGACGGCCACTGTCATGCCTCCTGATGTCCTGGAAAACCTCAAGCCTGACTGGGTTGTGCCATTGGTGGCTGCTCTGGTTCACTCTTCCAACACGACTGAGACGGGTGGCATTTACGAGGTCGGTGGTGGTCACGCTGCTAAGCTGCGCTGGGAGCGTGCCAAGGGTGCGCTTTTGAAGACTGACGCTTCTTTAACTCCGGGAGCTATTGCCAGAAAGTGGAACGATGTCAACGACTTCTCGCAGCCTAGCTATCCCACCGGCCCCGCCGATTTCATGTCTCTGTTGGAGGATGGTTTGAAGTTGCCCAGTGCCGAGTCGGGACAGGAGCCTGAACTCAAGGGCAAGGTTGCACTTGTTACTGGTGGTGGAAATGGGTATGTCAATTTGGTGCTCAAGCTTTGGGATCGATTACTAACATGAAGCAGTTTGGGACGCGCATACTGCTTGCTCTTTGCCAAGTACGGCGCCGCTGTCGTTGTCAACGATCTGGTTGACCCCGAGCCCGTCGTTCAAGAAATCAAGAAGATGGGTGGGAAGGCGGTTGGAAACAAGGCCTCGTGCGAGGATGGTGAGAACGTTGTCAAGTCGGCCATTGACGCCTTCGGCCGCATTGATATTCTAGTCAACAACGCCGGTATTCTGCGCGACAAGGCTTTTACCAACATGACCGATGACCTGTGGAACCCCGTCATCAATGTTCATCTGCGTGGTACCTACAAGGTGACCAAGGCTGCTTGGCCCTACATGTTGAAGCAGAAGTATGGTCGTATTGTCAACACCGCCAGTACCAGCGGTATCTACGGAAACTTTGGTCAGGCCAACTATGCTGCGGCGGTAAGATGATCTTTTCTGATGCATACTTGAATATTTGTTGACAGTCGGTAGAAACTTGGTATCCTCGGTTTCTCCCGCACCCTCGCTCTTGAGGGCGCCAAGTACAACATCAAGGTCAACACTATCGCTCCCAACGCCGGAACCAACATGACCCGCACTATCATGCCTGAGGAGATGGTCCAGGCATTCAAGCCCGACTATGTTGCGCCCCTGGTGGTGCTGCTCTCTTCTGATATCATGCCCGAGCCCAGCACCAAGGGCTTGTACGAGTGCGGCAGTGGTTGGTTCTCCCGCACTCGTTGGCAGCGTGCCGGTGGCCATGGCTTCCCAGTGGATGTCAAGCTCACCCCCGAGGAAGTAGTCAAGCACTGGAAGCAGATCACCAACTTCGAGGATGGCCGTGCGGACCACCCCGAAGATGGCCAGGCCGGTGCTGAAAAGATCATGGCCAACATGTCCAACCGTAGCGGCAAGGACACTGAAAGTGGAAACAACAAGATACTGCAGTCGATCGAGAAGGCCAAGCAGGCCACGACGGATGGTACCCCCTTCGACTTCGTTGACCGTGACATTATTCTCTACAACTTGAGTGTTGGTGCCAAGCGCACCGACTTGCCCCTGGTTTACGAAAACAACGAACACTTCCAGGCGCTGCCCACCTTCGCTGTGATTCCCTGGTTCAATACCGCCAACCCCTGGAACATGGATGATATTGTCGCCAACTTCTCGCCGATGATGCTGTTGCACGGCGAGCAGTACATGGAAGTCCGCAAGTTCCCCATTCCTACCGAGGCTAAGACCTTGACTTATCCCAAGCTCATCGACGTGGTGGACAAGGGCAACGCCGCCCTGGTTGTCTCTGGGTACACGACCAAGGATGCCAAGACCGGCGAGGACCTCTTCTACAACGAGTCGACTGTTTTCATCCGCGGCAGTGGTGGCTTCGGCGGGTCTCCCAAGCCCACTGCTCCTCGCCCTAAGGCTGCTACCGCCGCCTACAAACCTCCTCAGCGCAAGCCCGACGTTGTTGTTGAGGAGAAGACTTCCGAGGATCAGGCCGCCCTGTACCGTCTGAACGGTGACCGCAACCCTCTTCACATTGACCCCGAGTTCAGCAAGGTGGGTGGCTTCAAGACTCCAATCCTGCACGGCCTGTGCTCGCTTGGTGTTTCCGGCAAGCACGTTTTCAGCACATTCGGTCCTTTCAAAAATCTCAAGGTTCGCTTCTCAGGGGTGGTATTGCCCGGCCAGACCTTGAAGACGGAGATGTGGAAGGAGGGCAACACCGTACTTTTCCAGACGACCGTGGTAGAGACCGGCAAGCCGGCCATCACGGGGGCTGGTGCCGAGTTGTTGGAGGGTGCTAAGGCTAAATTGTAAAAGTAGGATAGTCACGCTTTCTTCAGACTGTGTATATAAAGGATAATGATTTGGTTTCGGCTTTCATTGATTGTACTGGAGGTAATCGTATCTGGAGGAGTCGGTCACAAGGTGGATGATACCCGCCACTACTCAGATTCATGGATGAGCTTGACATCGAGATTGCAAGTCTTCATTCGTGGTGAATTATTCTGAACAGGACCTTGTAAGTCGCAGCGCTGTGCGTTAGCAGCGGGGTTCTCCTGGGTGTTGTGGGGGCAGCGGACAAACGGTTATTGAGGCCGCCTTTGAGATCCGATGATTCTGCCTAGTTATTTGGTCATTCATTGTCAGCTCACTCTCTCCCCTTCTGGTCAACCCACTCACTCTTCACACCACCGTCCTATCCAGGGGTGCTGGAAATTACACACTCTATCCTTCTTTGACTATCATGTAGCATTTAGACTGTTCCATCGTTTGATGCGAAAATGGTGTCGTTCTTTGTACCCAGCTTTAGATCCACCACGACTTCCCCGCCGCTCCGTCCTGGCGACGTCAACACCAACAATGCTTCTTCCTCTACCATCATAGGTGAACGAGCCCTGCGCAGCAATCCTTTCGGAATCACCTCCCGTACTCGCACGAGCGCTGCCTTGAAACCCGCATCCGATGATTGGAAACGTGAACAAGAAGAGCTCAACCTTGCCCTGCAAACCTTGGCCCGCATATTTCCGGACATCCGCGTCGAAGTCTTCCGCGAACTCCTCGTCCGATTCGATGGAACGAGTCGGCTGCATGTCTGCGTGGAGCAACTTTTGAGACATAAGGAAGAATGGGTAGCGGGACGATGGAACGTGGCCGGTGAAACGGACAACAATGCTGACGGGGGTACTCTTGCTACGGCGACAGCGACAGCGACAGCCAGCGGAATTGACCCCTTCGTCATTCCCCCCCACGAGCTCTTTCGGTCGCCCAAATATAAAGCTGCCGTGAAGGCCGTCCTGGCCAAGGAGTTCAGCGCGTTGAGCAAGAGTACGGTGGAGGCGGTGCTGGCGGAGGTGAATTTCTGCTACCTTCGGGCCCGTCCGACCCTGCAGGATCTCTCGCGGAAAACTTGGCGCGCGACCTTCAACAGCTTTTTGCCTTCGTTCAAGCGCAATAGAGATAAAAATGAACATCCATTGATTGTCTGGCAGCGGCATGCCGCGGCCGATAGTGGGGAAGCGGTTCCGCGGCTGAAGGAGACCGGGTGCGAGGAGCTGGATCGGGAACTCCACGAGGCGCTGCTGGCCCCGCTACTCCGGACGCGGAGGGAGGAGCAGGAACGCAAGGACTGGGCCTTGGCGGAGACGTTAAACGAAGACGAAGCTAAGGCGGCGGAAGCGCTCTACGAATGCCAGTGCTGCTTCGCGGACGTGACTTTCGAGCAGATCGCAACATGCTCGGACCATATGCATGTCATCTGTTACGGTTGTATCCGTCGCACCATTCACGAAGCGTTATTCGGACAAGGTTGGAATAAGTCGGTCGACGTGGGTCGGATGACCTTGAAATGCATTGCGCCCTTTGACCTGGATGGTTGCCTGGGGGTGCTGAGCGCGGCGGTCGTGAAGCAGGCGATCCAGCTGGACAAATCCGGCGAGGAGACGTATGCCAAATTTCAGGCGCGTGTCGCGTCTGATGCCCTGCTCAAGTCGCAGCTAAAGCTCATTCATTGTCCCTTTTGCTCCTATGCCGAGGTCGACCCGATCCACCACCCTTCGTCGACGCTCGTCTGGCGCTTCCGGGGCGGAGGCCTCATCTCCACCATCGTCATCACGGTCTTTATCCTCGACTTGATACCTCTGCTGCTCATGCCTATTGCCATTATGTACCTGCTCAACCCGACGGCCATCCGCACGACGTTCCGCAACGCCCTGATCAACATCAATCTCCGCACTCGCCCGAAACGCTTCACCTGCGCCAACTCCGCCTGCAGGCGCGTTAGCTGCATCAGCTGCCAGAAACCGTGGAGGGACCCGCACGTTTGCCACGAGCCGCTCCTCCTGGACCTGCGGGCCACCGTCGAGGCCGCCCGCACCGCGGCGGTTAAACGCACATGTCCCCGCTGTGGGCTGTCGTTCGTCAAATCCACGGGCTGCAACAAACTTACCTGCGTCTGTGGCTACTCGATGTGTTATCTGTGTCGAAAAGCATTGGGTTCGACGTGGGGCCAAGATGGGGCGCATGGCGGTCGTGGCGTTGGTGGTGGCGGCCGCGGCCGCCGTCGAGCGGCCGCCGTGCGTCGCCGCAACAATGCGGAGAATATTCCTTTGCAGGCAGGCCGTGCCCAGGACCACGATGTCGAGAACGAAGACGAAGAAGCCGACGCAGAGGAGGAAGAGCTGGAAGGCTACACCCATTTCTGCTCACATTTCCGCATCAACCCGGGCGCCCGATGCACGGAATGCACCAAGTGCGAGCTCTACCAGGACGAAGACGAGGAGGCGGTCGCCCGACGCGCGGGCGAGAAGGCCGAACGCGAATGGCATGCCCGGCACCGGGGCACAGCGACTGGCGCCGCGGTGGGCGGGTTACGGGTGAACCGGGATTTCTCCACTGCTCGCTCCGGGATGCGGTCGAACGAGATCGGGGCCGGGCCGAAGTGGAATTGGACGTACCTGGTGGATGAGGTCTGGCGGGAGGGCAGATGGAAACTCGAGGGCCAGGCGTTTGTGGATTGGGTGGTGGATCGAGTGGTCGTCGTGGAGGAGGTTTGAAGTTCTGGGCGTTGGCCGGTTAGTGATGATGTTTCTTTTCTCCTTTTTTTTTTCTTTTTCATGATGTGACGAATCTTATGACTCTCTTCCCTCTGATTACTTTTCGGGGCGGTTACCTGGTAATAAATCCAGTTTGGTTATCTTTTCTTTCTCATTCTTGAAACTCGAAATGGGTCGCGCGCTCTCGAAGAACATCATATTGGGCTTCTGCGTGGTTTTCACCGCTACCTGATATACGAATCGGTGCATTCTAGGTCGACACATTCTCTCCTGTATGAGTATTACATTCGGTGCATGCTTAGCAACTTGCATTCTAATCCTCTTTGACTGCTGGTTCTTTCCCTATCCTAGTGATCTATAATAGAAAACAGAAGTTGTAGGTGTTATGGTATACTAGTTGTTTGTAGCCTGATATCTATTCAGCCACTATCAATTATCAAGCATCTTGATCCACGATATTGTGTCCTTGAGAGATCAGGCCAAGCTGAGGCAGAGTCAATTGGCGCGAGCAACTGTCTGGACATTTGCTCTTATAGTAATCTGTCCCTCGCTTCCCTTTCCTCTCCTTGTTAGAATAATGCTATGGGCCATCTTTGCTATACACCCATCTTGGGGTGACCTTGCATTAGTGTAAGTTCATATCTTTCTTGAGTCGTACCAAGCTATTTCAAATGTCTACTAGGTATCTCGCACAGGCCCTCCAGGACGGAAGCTCTACAAGCTACTCAAGTCACCTATTTCTAAGAATCTTTGGGGTGGTAGCGAGCTAGCAGGCGAAGGACTGATAAGCCAAGGGTTTGAGGTGATTGAAGGTATTCTAGCCAAAGCGATAGACGGGGTATATCTGGGACTCTTAGTAATACAGGTCAGATCCTGAAATCCGCAGACGCATTTCAATTTACCTAGTAGCTAAGATTTCACCAAGCCAAACACAATTCCCCCTGTGGGGGGAAGCCGGCGAGAGACGATATGCTATCGATACCTTCAAGTAGAGTGGTCTGGATCCTGGATATCCCCCCTCCTGAATAGCCCCTCCGTCCTCCAGGTAGGTCAGCTTTCCCCTCTCTGAGAATGATGCCAGACTCAGCCCATGAAGGGCCTGTTTATCCAGTAGCCCGCCAGCAGAACCATATGAGGGATTGCCTGGCTTCCGTAGGATAAATTTGGTACTACTCGTCCTCTGTGGCTGCCGCTTGGTCAACCATTGATGTTGATGGCAGAATATTTATTGCATCAATGAATGAAAGAAAAATTTATGCCGGGTTAGAGTTCTGGCAAGGATTGTGTCTATCAGGACAGATACTCTGTGCTTTCTGGTTGGCACCCACCTCGAAGACTCACCACCGGACGGGACGTCCTTTTTTTTCAAGTCTGAGTGCCGTCCGGATCTCTAAACCTATTAAGGCTATGGGAGTATCTCCCTAGGCGAAGGCAGCTTTGTGCTCATGGAGCCACTCAAAGACCTTATCGATGACCTTTTTGATTCTTGCGGGAGCATTGACATACTACTCTTGGCTCGGGGACTCGGTTTTCTCATCCGTCCTCGAAAGGCATCCCCTTCCAGTCCCTCTCGTTGATTTTGCCCTTCGATTTACACAGAAGTAGTGCATTATCCACTTCCTCAGTACTTTGCATGGGCCCCCCGCCGCGCCGCGATGCAAGCAAGGCAGTGAGTATGCCTTGAATCCATATTCTGTGGCATCGTTCAGACCCAGTCAGCTTCATATAAATGCCCCCGATTCTCAATCAAGTTCAAATCGGGTGACTGAGCACCACAGCCCAGTCCATCATTCTGATTCTAGGGCCGACACCGCGCCGTCACTGTACACACTCATCTACCTCTTTGACCTCATCCTTGGTCTTTCAAAATCATCCCGGATCTTACTACTGTGCAGCAGCTGTAGCAGCCAGCCACTCAGTACATACACGTGAATTCTACGCAGACTTTTTCCCACGAACGGAAAACCCCTGTGTAAGCTCCTGCGCCCAGCTGCAGCGCTAACTAGCGAGCCTTGGAGACATCATGCGAAGGATCAAGGTCAGATCAACTCTATTGAAAGAAGTTTTGGGACCAAGTATAGTGCCATATATACAAGACGCGAAACGAGACCAAAGTCCACGCAGATCGACTCTGCCTTCCTGTCGACCCCGAAATGCTGAAGACAAGATACGGAATGAACACTGCCTGTCTAATCTATCTCGACTGGCCAAAAGATGACAGGGAAACAACACACCGCTCAATGTAAGTATTTGCGGGATAGAACGCCAAACGCCTGTATCTGGAACTGAATGTGCATTCCAGCTGAATCGTTCATCAAAGGAGTACGTATGCCAGTCGCATGGAGTGGAGTGGAGTCGAGTGGGGGTGTATGATGTATGTAGGTCGGAGTTGAATGTGTATGTGTATGTGGTGTATCTGTGGTGTATCTTGTGAAATGTGGTGTGAGATACTGGTATATGTCGTGTAGTGTTGATAAGTGTGTGAACCGCGCAAGTCTATCGCAAGCAAAGCAGCCGTTTCCTTTCCCCCCACAAAGCATGATGTACCAAACGAAGGCTGGCATTGCCCTCAACTCATGTCATGCTCAACCAAGCAAAGAGGTTTGAATTAGTACTCTTCCTTGCCCCTCTCCCCCTCACCTTTCTCTCAGAGAAACATCCTCTGTGTGAAGACAACCCTCACCCTTCTAACCCCCCCATCAACCACGCCCTCATCCTCACATTCACAACACCCCCTACGCCATAAGCCGGCACAATCTTCCCCATCCGCGCAAAACAGCTCGGCACGTAATCCCGGCGGATCCGCGCCGCCCGCTCGCGCCACCCCAGACCTCCCGGTGGCTGCCGGTTATACAGATCCAATCCCAGCAGATGCAGCGGGGTACTCGCGAACTGCATCAGCGCCGGACACGAGAACTGCGCCAGCGCCGCCTTCATGCCGGGCGTGGCGGCGATGCTGTCCGGGATGGTCGGGGCCAGCAGGGCGGGGATGTTGAAGGAGGCGAAGATGGTGATGCTGTCGCGGAGGCAGAAGAGGGCGTACGAAATGCGGGGGACGGTCGCGGTGGCTGTGCCGGAGGGGTGGCAGGACACGGTTGGTGCTGCGGGGGTTTGCATTCGGGGTGGAGATGTGGAAGGGGTCGTAGTAGTGGCTGTGGTTACACCGGGTTTCGAGGCCCCAAATATCCTCGCGAACCGCGCATCCTTGTATACGCAAATGCCCATGTTCACCACCGTCGTCGACAGGAACTTGGCCGTCCCCGGGAACACCGTCGAGAACGGCTTGTCGCGCATCGTCGACATGACGGTGTCAATGGTGTTGGCCGTCAGGTATGTCGAGGTGTACAGCGTGTAGATGAGGAGGAAAGGGGTGCTGAGGAAGAAGGCCCCCGGTTTCGAGGCCATGGAGCGGAAACATGAGGTGATGGTTTGTTGGATGGGGAGGCCTTTGGCCGCTTTCTCGATGATCGCACTGGGAGTCGCCAGACAAATTAGGTCTTTAAGGTACGATCGAATGAGATCACTTGAGTGCAACAAAACAGACGTACCGATCAATCACGGTGATGACTGGACAGGTCAATGCACCCGCCGTAGCGGCGCTGGCAACGTCCACCCCCAGTCGCATCCCTAACCGATCGGTGTTCCATTTCGTCGTCGTCGGTGACATGGAGCGCTCGGTGATGGCCGACATAGGGAGAGACGAGGGCGCTGGTGGTGAAAGTGCACTCCGCGTCATTTTCGCAGACAGTTCAAAGATAGTAGAGGGAGGGCTGGTCGCTAATATAGCGTCATCCGGACGGTGGCTGGAGCTGATAATTGCCAGAAATCCCCAAAAAGAAGACACAATCAGACACCAAAAAAAAAAAAGCCTCACCCAAATTACAGCCTACTGAAACATTGTGTTGGTCAAGATGCAGGAGTGAACAAATGTCAGCCGTAAGAAAGCAAACAGACAGCAAGTACAGGAAAGGCCGGGGCTGACATGCAGCGGACGAGAATCACCCGATCGGCATAAATTGGATACACCTCGGGAAATGTCCTCCGATGCCGGCCGACGCGATAGTATTAATCAATGGATGGCTATTTGAAATGCCGACAATTCTAGCGACTTATCCCTTGTGGTCCACCCCCGATAAAAAAACAAAAAAAAAAAAATTGTTGCTGGATATATCATGTCTTTTCTTCCAGGTTTGGTCTTGTCAACATACAAATCAGATAATATGCTCCAAACGCCCGACACAAATAAGATAAAATGATCGATTGTCTCCCAATTCATTAATAAACCCCTCTCTTGCAGCGTTTTGCGTCCGTCAAGGCCCAACGCACCATTTCCCAGTATCATTATGCATTTGTAGCTCAGTTGGACGTGTTCGCCTGGATCCCATCCAAGCTGACGTTGACGGCGCCAGCTTGCACCAGCTGCAACATATGTATTAGTACGAAGTATTCCCGCATACACAAATGTGAGAAAAGCTTACCGCGCGCTGCAGGTCATCAATGAGATCATCCACATCCTCGATACCCACACACAATCGAATGAGATCCTCCGGCATCGCTCGCTCCTTCCGCGTCTTGGCGTCGATGCTGGCATGGCTCATGCGGCAGGGCATACTGATCAGGCTATTCACGCAGCCGAAACTCACGCTGATCGCCCACAGCTTGGCGCTTTCGACAATCCGTTCGCTAATACCCACATCGCCCGTCTCGAATGAGAGAACCGCCCCCGAACCGCGAGCCATCGAGTGATGAAGCTCGTATTGAGGATGCGACCGTAAACCGGGATAGCGCACCTTGAAGCCATGGGTCTCGAGGTATTCGGCAATGCGCTGTGCATTCGCCTGCTGCTGGTCCATGCGCACCTTCAGAGTCTTGACTCCGCGCAGCAGCAACCACGAGTCGAACGGCGACAAACCGCAGCCGGATGCATTGATGGGAAAATAGAGACGCTCGCCAAGAGCCAAGTCGTTCACGGCGATCACACCAGCCATGAGATCGTGGTGACCCGATAGATACTTTGTACCACTCTCGTAAACAATATCAGCCCCCAGGTCAAGTGGGTTGAGGAGAAGAGGCGACATCATGGTGTTGTCGACGGAGACAAGGCAATTGGGGTTGGCCTCATGGGCAGCCGCAGCGATCTGAGGGATGTCGACAATTTTAATCAGAGGGTTGGTCGGAGTCTCGAGCAAGACCATGGCTGTCTTCGAGCTCAAGACCTCGCGCACTTTCTCCGGGACGGTGGTATCCACATGGTGCACGATAATTCCGCCGTTGGTAGACAGATACTTCAGGAGGCGGTTGGTTCCTCCGTAAAGATCATCGCCGGTAACAACCTCATCGCCAGGACGAAGCAAGCGGGTGATCACATCCAGTGCAGCCATACCGGAAGAGACGACTAAGGCGCGCTGAGCCGACATGATCTTGGCCAGGTGCCGCTCCAGGTGAGTTCGGGTGGGATTTCCGGAGCGAGTGTAATCGTATTCGCCGCCTCCTGCGCCGGAGGTTTGCTTGAAAGTGGCACTCTAGAATTCCAGAATTAGCTTCTCTTCTTGTCTCAACTGTCTACCCTCAATGTCACCTAAAGATTCCGGGCAGTGCTGCGAGACTAGGACTGGCGAATTGATACCTGGTAAATTGGAACACTGCTGGCGTTGTATTGATCATTGCTGTCCGTATAGACCAGCTCGGTGGCGATGTTGTATCGTCTGCCACCATGGGGGCTAGAAGGAGCAGGAGAAGGGGGCAGATTGTGTCCCTCAAGGTCAACGCTAGGGTACGCCTTCTTAGCAGCGCTGGAATCAGCACCGGATCCTGAGGCCGACATCGCTGCGGGGACGGAAGGATTGGCGGGAGCAGAACTAGGAGGGAGGAAGAATTGAGATGTGAGACAGGTGGTATACAGCGCAAGAAGATCAATCAATTTAAAATCTTAGGATTGGCAGCAATGGGCAAGCAAAGAAAAGAAAAAAGAAAAGCTGGCCAAAAATAGCAGAAGAAAGAATGTTTGGGAGTCGAGGAGATGAAGAAAGACGGAGGGAACAAAATATGGTCTTCCCCAGAAGAGTCACATCCACTAGCCGCCGTCTGGCTGGACGCGAGTCCGAGTCGGTGGATGCAAAGAGACCCGGACCACACTCTCCTATCATTGGCTGAGCCGCCATGGTCGCGATGTCGTCATTTACTAAGCCCATTGAGGGAAAGTCACATCACCTGATCCATAACAAAACAATTGAGCAGTATGAGTCAGCCATATTGTAGGCAAGAATGCAAATCCTTTCGCCAGTGTGTCATTTCCTTCCATATGTGTGAGGTATCATGGATATATATATATATACAGAAAGATCATCAGGTCATACGCCCCTCCCATCATACTCCTTAATGCCTCTTGCTTGGAACGACTTTGATCACCCAAAACTGACTTCAACATGACGTCCACCATATCCATGCAGAAAACCGGGACTGAATCCCAATAAAGCTAAACACGTAAGGACTACCCTCGTCCTCAGATAAATTCCTAGCCATGTGCGGCACAAATAATTCCAGTTGGTACGGGCTGAACTAGACCTTAATAGCCTTCCTCAGGTGGCCGTCTCACCAAAACTGCCGTTGATGCCGAAGAATTGGAACCTGGAGATTCTCATTAGTAAAGCACATTCAGTGACACCCTTTGAGGACTTGAACGTAAAGCTTACCAGTCTTCTACATTGAGAGTGGTCGGCGCTGTTGGGCCACTGCGGGAGCTCGTACTCCAGTTGTCATCCTGACTGCCTGCATCCATGGGACGCAAGGTCGCCTCTAGATTCTGCATCGGCCATGTCTGTTGGTTTTCCAAACCATACATGGGTTGCGCATGCTGACCCTGCAGGGCGACGCCTGGAGGTAGATTCGACAGAAGCTCCGGGCTTCCATGTGACGCTGAAATACTGCTCCGTCCTGGCATGTGCTGCGGCATCATACCAGGTACCTGAGAGTGTATTTGCAACTGCGGGTCTACCGTAGCAGGCTGTGGAGATGTCAGCTCTGGGAAAAACGCCGTGCCGTCAGGGAACAGTTGGTCGGGCTGAAAGTTCTCCCACAAAGAAGGCGAAAGGTTGGGTGTCGTCCGTGTAACAAGGAAGAGGTCGGGTGGTGTGGCAGGTAGGGAAAATTGGTTGAATGGTGTGGTCGGACGCGTTGTCGCCCGCGAGTTGCCGGGCCCTCCATGCCCGGGAGGTGAACCTTGCGGCACGTTCAGACCGGGCTGTAAATCCCGAGACGGTGTGACCGCTGGAGTCTGAGGCCGAGATCGCTCGTAAGATACTGGAGGTGTCGGTCCGCCATTAGGCAATCCGAGGTCCATATCGTCGAACTTGCGCTTCGGCGGATCCGGCCTTCTGACGTGGGCCTGCTGCACTGTATCCGGTCGCACACGCTGATGCCTCTTGCCTGCAGCTTTCTGCAGGCGTTCCTCCAGAACCTTGTTTCCGAGAATGGATTCGAACAGCGTGTGGACCATCTTGGCTACAAGCCAGACTTTGGACACATCCTTGAGAGCTTGCGTGCAGATGTTGATCCTCTCCTGGCAGGTTGCCACAATTGACGGCACAGATGAACGCATCTGGTAGACGTGCATGATGAGAGCAGAGAACAAGCTGTACACACTGCTTGGGGTCAGTAACAGAACCGTAAGGACCATGCGCCATTTTCTATACTCACATGAAGGCTGGTGTATAGCGGATTTCATGATGAGCTTGCAAGGCTTCAATGATAGACGTGATCATCCCTGCAGCCTGGAAAGCGATAGTCCGAGACGGGTAGGTCATCTCTTCCACGCGATAGCTGCTGGGAGCCGAGGAGGCGGGCGGCATGTGCGCTCTATGCAGCAGGCAAAGCGTCGTACTTGTAACAAATCAGCGCAAGAAAACAGCGAACGCACTGCTTAGAGACTCACTAGTAGTTCGCATGAAGCAAGGCCGCCCAAAAGTGATGTTGCTGTCGTTGCCAACATACTTCCTTGGGACAATTCTGTAGCCAATCTGCCAGTGCCATGTCGGAGTGGGTCAGATCCATTGCATTCATTCGTCTCGACTTCGAGGCCACGGAGTACTGCTGCGAAAGAACCAGTCCCATGATTTCGCACAGCTTGACATATTGGAGAAAGAACTGCACATGTACCGGATCGGGCGGGTACTCTGCGGTAATATCGATCTCGTCTTCAATAAAGTCGTCCTCGGTCAACATCCCGACATCAGAGTCGTCTGTGTTGATACCAATGGGGCGTCCAAGCGCAACTGCCACCGACCGGTCTCGGGTGAAAAGAGTCCACCAAATTCGCTTCCATAGCCTCTTGTCAGGCTTGCTAAGCTGAGACGATTCCACACTGCAATTTGATGAGCATGCTGTTGTTTCGACGAGCAAGGAAACACCCATACCTTCGATGCATGCCCGAGCCCTGTGCCACTACCATTGCCACTCGTGTCCAATAGAAAACGTTTTTCGTCACATCTAAAGCGTGTTAACAGGTTGTTGCATGGGACTAGAGCCAGGAACAACACACCTTCCGGTCCCTCCCAGTACCAGCCTAAGAGGACCAAGGCTTGAACAATCGTTACGCGATCATCTTCATAGTTGGCATCGTATAACGCCTTAGCGCGCTTGTAGAACGTCATGGCAGCTGGGGTTGTTGAGCCGTTGGCATCCATGAGTTGCGGGTTTGTGCAGACCCTTGAACCAGCAAGGAGAATGGCCTGGAGAAGAAGTAAGGAGGGCGGATTCTTTGGGTCGCGGTAGTGCCGCATAAATCGACTGCGATTGACAATGGGGACCACCGGGGCAACCCATTTGAAGTAAGCCTCAACCAGCTCGTCGCACAGGGGTTTTGGCGGCAGCAGAAAAGCACCACGTTGGTGAAGGATATCAAGCTCCAGGCTATCCAGGTCTGTGACTCTCGCGCGTGTGCCTCCCATGTTCGGGGGTAGAGGATAGTGCACGACGTCGGTGGTGCCATGGCGATCTTGAACTAGGAGCGATAAATTCGATGACTCGCCAAGGTAGGCAACTCTTCCAGCTTCCTTGATCGGGGCCCTTGCGAATTTGGGCTTCATGAACTGGGCATAGGCTGAGTCATGGGACGCTTGTTTCGCAGCTTGAGATTCGGTGAGGCTAGTTACCGGCATTCCATCCATCGCCATTTGACTCTCCCGGTATCCAAAGGTGGCATTGCTGCTGCTAGGAGTTACGCTTGCAGGCGGTGCCGTGGTAGTGATGGTGGGCGGTTCTTGTTTAGCCTCGGGTGGCTTCTCATCGCGTTCCTCGCTTCTAGTGAGTAGGAGGAATGATTAGTATGTGAGTGATTTGAAAACCTCGAAATAAGGCAAGAGCTTACCCTTCAGAGTCCTTCGACTTGGATTGGTTCTTCTTGCGTTTCGGGGTCGGAATTTTGCATTCGATGGAGAATGCCACACAGTTGGTGCATGGAACACCTAGGCTGGCAGCATCGCAACGAACCTGGGAGGTTGATCGAGCTGTCAGTGATACAGTCCCGTCGTGGACCCTACGAGCGCAGCAGGGACGCGAGAGCGACCGGTGCGGGAGATTCTCCTGGAACATCTTCTGCGGTCAGGGAGTACTCACTTTGCGAGCATGACATGTCTTAACAATGCAAAGCAAGTCAATTAGTCAGTATAAACATTATCTTCTGATACAGGATGATGGTTGTGATGCCATCGTACGACCAGCAGCATCGATCGCATGCATTATTGCGAGGCGGGCGGGCGGGAGAACGAGACGAGCGAAGCAGCTGGGTTGAGCCGAGGTGCCGAGGCACTCCAGCACAACGCGACCTCGCAGGAACAAAAAGACGTACCTCACAAGCACGCGACGCACGTTGTCTGTTTCGCAAAGCGATTAGATAAAGAAGATTAGCTTCTATAACTAAGTTCCCCAGTCTAGATCCGAGTCTCTGCGCTCGCCCTAGTCGTTTAAATAATCCCCGATTCCAGGGGGTTGCATTTGCGCCTGAGCTCCTGCTGGAGGTCTTACAACCCCGCGAGCGCAAAAATCCGCGACAGGTACCAAAGCACAAGGGGATGGCAAAGGCACTCACCTTCGAAAACTCATGTGTCCGCCGGGTGCAGTGCGCACCGTAATCCCAGAGGTTCCCGTCGAGCCCGCAGTACTCGGGGCTGGGCTGGTTCTGGTGGCTGTTATTTCGGTGTGATTCTCTGTGTTCATGGCCACAGGGTATCCATCCAGACAGAGACTAAAGCGAGGAAGGGGAACCTAGGCACGACGGAAGGGGGGAAGTGTTAAGAAAGAGAAAAAAAACAAGAAAGGACACGGAGAAACGATCGAGAACGGAGATAGGACGTGAAATGAAAAGGAAATTGAAAGAAGAGATGCAAACAAGATGCGCGGAGTCGGTGACTCTGCCTTTTTTTTTGGCTTTTGCTAACCTTCTTTTTTTCGTCCGTGGGTTGGTTTGATCAGCTACTGGAACTGACCCGAACGGTGTTGGAACTGACCCGGAACGGGGTAGCCTGAGTGTCTTAGTCGGACAAGTGTAACTTGTCCAGGGACGGGGCGGAATAAGACGGTCAACAGGCCAAGCGAACAGCAGAGACGCCACCCGAACGTGGGAGAAAAGGGAATCAGAAGAATAAGAGAACGAAGAAGTAGAACGAAGGGGAATGAGGGGTGCAGGGAAAGTCCCGGAAAAGAAACTCGGAGGGCAGGCAGTGAAGCAAATCGATGATGATGGTGGTGGTGATTGTCCAGGAACCGGAGAAAGACTGAGGTGGGAATAGTTACGACTATAGGAGTGATAATATGAGACGAACTCACTAAAAGCGTCGAATGGACAGAAAATCACCAGAAGATTGCCCTGCAGGTGGCGTTAGGCTGGAAAGAAAGGATGAACCAGACCAGCACCAATTCAAGTAGGATGACCGTTTCGAAGGTACTCCGTAGTAGAAGTGGCAGGGGAAGAAGGGGAGGCAGTGAGTAACTAATAGTTAGTGAGTGGAGAAAACTGCTTAGTACTGTGTATTGCTTTGCTTGCTACTTACTGTAAGTGGTAGGTAATTAGTCCCAGAATTTAGTATCTTTTCTTGACTGGTGCTAACAATATCTAGGGTCCCATTCAGCTCATCGAGAGGGGGAAGGGGAACGAGACCCCAGCTAGAGATGAACCTGTCATCCTGTCTCTAGCTGTCTCTGGCTATGTTCGAATGAAAGGCATTGCACTTTTATTGCTAGTGGTCGGATCATGAGACCATTCGCAAATGATGGGAATGGGACAGGGACATTACATGAGGCCGTGATGGTGTCGTAGATGCTGATTGATAGATTCTAACCTTTTGTCTCAAGCTTTCATAACCTCTCACATTACCCCACACAGCTTGTTCCTTCGCAGAACTGATTATTCCCACCATGAAGCTCAAAGTCAATGATGCTAATGCAGCAGCAGCAAACTGATCAACATCAGCATCGTTTTCATCAGACAAGTTGAACAGTCTGGATGATTCTCCCCACAAAGTGGGCCACCGGTTGACCGAGGCTCCTCTTTCATTACTGTTTGTTATGTCAGCCTTCCACGCATTGCAATTACTCTCCCTTTCACTGGTTAGTGACACAATTCCGACCGAAGGTACCGTATAAGTGCTATCAAAGCTTCACAGTTCCTTTTCCAAGCAAGGCACACAGATCAAAACCCCCTTTCGGAGAAAACTTCAACCTTGACACCACCACGCGCCGTCTTAAGCCGCCCGAATCTTAATTCCCCCGTGCATCTAAACCTAAGTCGGACAAAAGAAAAAGAGACCAAGTACGGAGTACCCACTTTGCTATTTCCAAACTACTACATATGTGTACCAAACTGGGTTGGGGCTTCAACGCCCATCTTTGAGATAGAGAGATCACCCATCCGTCCCACAAACGTGGATTAATTGTGTTTTTGATGAGAATCTGGTTCCGATCTATGCTACCCATTTGACGGTCCGATATATCTCCTTATTTCTCGTTCGAGAAGAATGAGCCTCTGAAAATGATGCATCTCCCATTTTGAGTCCTCCGAGCATAAAATAGCTAAGTAGTTACTAGTTATTCCTCCTTGAAAGTTCTCGATCATTTTAACCCCAGACTCCCTTCAAGTTCCAACACCTCCGCAGGCCACTATGTATAAGTATCGGCGACTCCAGTACCTCCAGGAAGGAACCCCGCCCTTCCCAACAATTCCACTAATACCTTCAAACTCCTCCAGACTATCGCAGCTACTACCCTTTTGGATCTAACTCTTTACACAAACCGAACTGAACATCTATCAACGCCACCAGAAGTGACGAAATATCGTTCCTGACAGGCTGACACCCTCAAAGGCCTGCATCTGCATCCGAAGGATTCTGGTCTAGCGGAGACAGACCGTCTGGGGAGCCCGGGGAAGCCGCCACTACCTTCATTTTCTTAGCTTGCCCACGCAAGTGTCTTACCACTGGCAATCCTCGGTGTCCGCTGTCCAGTCAATCAGTGGACTACCCCAGCGAATGGTATGACGCCAACAGTGATCCCAACCTCCCCGGACTGGGGGCAATGAGGGAGGAGGGAGGGTCGCGGGGTTCCGGTACTAGTGAGACGAAGAAAACCTGAAAAACAAAAAAAAAAAGGCTTGATGGGACTAGTGAGATTGAGCACGGGGTTGTGCTTTTCTAGCTTGTGATACCTCGGTTCATGGATTAGTGCAAACTACAGTGCTCGTCTGCAGGAAGCTGCTCACTTGGGTGTCTATCATTCTGCAGTGATTGCACAATTGAGTTGCTACTGCTGCTCTTGAAGTGATATACATTCCGATTATATTGACCATATACAATACAATTCTACATTACAACTTTCTACTTTTACCAAAAGGGACCCAGCGCCAGAACACAGCAAGGGTGGACACCAGTGTGCCTACTCCTTAGTTGCCTTGCCTGGTGCCTTGCCGTTGATGGCTTCGGCGACAGACGCGACCATCTGGTTGGTGCAGGGTCCAAAGTCAACTCCGCTGATAAATACCTCACTGAGGAACTCCAATCCCGCCACAAATGTACACAGTAAGCTGGCGATCAGAAAATGACTGATCGTCGTGCCGATATCCAACCAGGAGCCCTCGTCACGAACCATGTAGAAGAAGTTCAGCGTCATTATGTCCGAGATAGACATCACGACCATGAACAACGCACTAGGGGCGACCTCGAGTCGGCGGTTGAGAATCCCGAGATTTGCACTAATGATTGCAAATGGGATAAGGAGTTTGAGGATCAGAAGCGCACCCTGGCTGAAGGGGCTGAAAATCGGAATAAGCCGGTTGACGCTCTCCAGTGAAAATGAAGAGACGGATGCGATGTTTCCCGTGCTGAAGAACCCCGATTGGAGGAGAAAGAAGAAGAAAAGGGCCACGCGAGCGTCGGACACGCTTAAAGTCCGGTAGCGATACGCGTGGCCTTCAACCACGGTGGTTGCATCCGTGCTAGGCGTTTCAATGGCCTTCTTAAGAGCCGAAGTATATGTGTAAATTGCATGCTCCAGCCGCACCCAGGTCATGATGGTCAGGCAGAACACGAAGTAAAAGAGACCTTCGTACGAGATTGTTAGGATGATGAACGTCGGAGCAAAGGTCAGAAATATGACCATTAACCGATGCATGTAGTGGCTGTTGGGCGCGAGTCGGTGGGCGAAAGGAAGCAGAAGTGATGCAACTGGAGGCTCGTTAGCTTGACGGTCTGGTAAGAATATTATCGTGGATGAGGAACCACGTACCAAGGACAACCCAGCCCACGACTTGGTTACCAAACGGAAGGCCTTGTTTAGCTTGTAGAGACGCTGCGCTGGATCTGGTGACTATAATGGCAAGCAAGACTTTCCCAAGCTGTTTGGAATCAGCACGCGTCACATTCAGTCGAGTGTCTCGCCTAAGCTCGATGAATTGCTTTATGGCCGCATTAACGGGTGTAAAAACATACCTGCATCCCTAATATAGTGCGCGAGCCCCAGGTAGAGCGACTGGTCTGCTGCGTTTCTGCACCTTGATCATAGGCCAAGATCGCATCCTCGAAAAGCAAGTAGAGTAGACCAGTGAAGAACATCAGGGAGCCACCGTACGTTCTATATGCTTGCGTTAGCAGTCTGTACCAACTCTGCACATTTGTTCTGCAAGAGACGCCTACATTGTGGCGATGTCCTCAACCTTGTTTGCGGGTAGCAGAGTGAAAGTGCTCATGAGAAGACACCCCAGAGTCCATGAAGCGGACAGCAACGGGTGCCTTTTCAGGAAGCGCAAGCCGTAAGCCAACGGCCAAAAGGCGCCTAGTATGAAGCAGATGGTGTAAATCTCTCGTTGGAAGTAGGATTGGACCTGCCCGAACTCGTTAGCAAATTGTCTTCGGCATGATTCGCCACAATTTACCAATGCCTCTAAAACCCCAATGAACACCAGCAGTTGGATCCCGAACGCGGCATAACCGCTTGCAGATTGTACATGACCGAGAAGAATTTCACGTCCAGCGGAAAGAGCCTTTCGGCGTGCGAAAACCTCCTCCCAGAAAAAAACGGGGAAGAAGCCGTAGAAATAGTAGCGCCATGAGGACTTCTGGTAGAAGAACACCGAGAATAGCGCCACTAATACAGAAGAGAAGAACATGGTACTGAAAGCACTTCTTCTCGCGTCAGAAGTTCCGTGCAAAATGTGCAGGTCAATGACCGTTGTCAAAGCGTAGGCGATCCAGCCCAGATACCCAAAAGTCACAATAGTCCTAAGGAACAGCCAATCATAAGTTTGAAGATAGCGCAGACCCTCCAGGGCGTTGGCAAAAAGCGCGGATGATAGCTCAATCGAGCTCTCATAGGCACCACTCGCAATCAGTCTCTGAATCTCTTCAATAGTCTCGCTGTGATTATCAAGTGGCTCGTAGGGCTTGAATCGCAACAAAGCAGCCTGTTTTTGTTCTTCCTTTACGTTATACATCTCCAAGACCTCCTGGGTATTAGCGAGCGCAGCACGGGCCTTCTCCTCCGGGCTGGCGTTGAGGTAAGCGAGAGGCAACTGGCCCACGGAGTTGGTTGGGAAGTCAAGCCCAACCAGGTATGCCATGAGCGCCGCGACATCAGCCTGAGCAACATCGTTCCGCTGCACACCATGCAAGCCCCAATCGTGCGACACACCATCCTCATGTCCTGACAATGCACCCTCCAGCGGAATCTTTGGCTCTGCGACGCCGGACCCCCATACGACTAGAGGCGTCCGAGTGTTATCCGGGTGGCCGTCACCATGACTGCCCCAATCGCTCATGCCATGATCCGCGGTGAAGACAAATGCAGTCTGGTCATCTCCATAGAAGTCCTCTATTAATTGAGTGACTTCTTGTACCCCCTTGTCTACTACTTTGATGTTGCGCAGGTATTCCTTCGAGTACGGACGAAAGCCGTGGCCAGTGGTATCGAGCCCGAGGAGATGCAGAAAGAACACCACCTTATCGTTGCGCAGCTTTCCATCTAATTCAGAATCATGCTTTGCGGCCTGGAAAAGCTCCTTGACCCTGTCGAAGACCCAGATGTCAAGCTTTGTCGCATCTGAAGTAAAGTCCTCCGCCTCTTCGCCGTATGTGTCTGCATCCACTCTGCCCGGAACTGCACCTTCCTTGAACATAGGTAGAATGTCCGGACTGCCCCAGCTCCATGTATGCCGGCTCCGGTTGAAAACACTGTCGAAATTCACAGGGTTCAACTTCCAGCCGGTGGTCACCGCCGAAACGTCCTCGTACAGCCCCGCAATCAGGGCAACGTGGCCAGGTCGGGATTCGGTCGGAACACGGGTATGGGAGATTCCAAAGGTCCCATGGGATAATACGCGAGATCGAATGAATGGTGCCAGGTAGATCGGATCATCGTCGTCATCTGTGGTCTCATCGGGGTCGGGTAATGCTTGGAAAGCCTTATCGGCGCGCAAGCCGTCGGCCACAAACAGCACAAGTCGCTGGGCAGGAGCAGGGGCATCTGGTTTTCGCTCCACATGGAAGGACTTCATCCCACTAACAATGGGACTGACGAAGTAAATGTCAAAGATCGAATAGGCGTATATGAGGTGGAATACCACCGCGAGGGTAAGAAACCCTACGCGGCCCAGACGCGCCATGTTCGCGGTGGCAGGGCGCAGCGTAGGAAGAGACAGAATAAGAGGAGAGAAGAAGGATCAGAATAAGAAGAGGGTCATTAAGAACAAGTCATAAGTACAATTAATTGTAATTGAATCCGAGAAGGAAAAGTCAGGGTTGGGTTATCCAGATGCCACAGCGTGACAGCATCCCCCCGGTCAAGCTTAGCTTTAGGGGAATCAGAAAGATGGCCGGGCGCACATTTCCGCGTGCCTGATTTGGGGGAACCTTGGGGAAGCCTGACCCGCAACCAATCGGTGGCCTCTGATTCGACACGCGAGCGGGTCGGCAGGCATAGACTGTGTACGGGAGGCGCCAAATCCTAAAGACGAAACGCCCTGACCCGTGGTGGCCTCAGGCTGTTATCCTCAGTGTGGCAGTAAAGCATGTGATTCTGCCGGCAAAGCCACGTCTCGCGCCGGTGAGCGCCACAGCTCAGCTCGCCGACTGCCGACCCGCCGACAATCGCGATCAGATCGAGTTGCCTGCAGAGTCTCGGTGGAATACGAGGTAGGACTTTCTTTCACACTCATACTACGTGAGGACAAGCGACTCCCACAATAGTGCCATTGCGTTCTGTCATTATGGCTTCCGCTCGTGGCCCTCGATGGCAACAGTTCCTCCAAGAGTTGGTGATGGTTGCGGGCACAGTAAGTTGGTAATGCTGCGAGCCCCCGAACAATACTAACGGCTCGTGAACAGTCCGCGTCTGCCTACTTTCTCATCCGATACCTTCTCTCTCGCCTCGACTTTGATCCGGAGAGCCAGAAGAAGGAAGAGCAACGGCGCAAGTCTGCAGCTATCCTACGGAAACTTGATGGTGGAGATGAATCAGACGAGGGTTCACCGCGCCGCGGGCGCAAAGAAAAGAGTCGACCCAAACGAGGTGATCTGACGCTGAACCAATATGAACAGGCCATCGCGATGGACGTGGTTGCTCCGGATGATATCCATGTGTCATTTGAAGATATCGGCGGCCTGGACGAGATTATCGAAGAGCTGAAAGAGTCCGTCATTTATCCCTTAACGATGCCCCACCTGTACTCCTCGTCCTCATCACTCCTGACCGCACCATCCGGTGTCTTGCTGTATGGTCCGCCTGGGTGCGGGAAGACTATGCTTGCGAAGGCATTGGCGCATGAGAGTGGCGCTTGCTTCATCAATCTACACATCTCGACATTGACGGAGAAATGGTACGGCGATTCGAACAAGCTTGTCAATGCAGTTTTCTCGCTAGCCCGAAAGCTTCAGCCTTCGATCGTCTTCATTGATGAGATCGATGCTGTGCTGGGCACGAGAAGAAGCGGCGAACATGAGGCCAGCGGCATGGTAAAAGCGGAATTCATGACACATTGGGATGGTCTCACATCAGCAAATTCTTTGGGAGAACCTCAGCGTGTGGTTGTTCTGGGCGCCACCAACCGCATTCAAGACATTGACGACGCCATCCTCCGACGAATGCCGAAGAAGTTCCCTGTTGTGCTCCCACCTGCGGCGCAGCGCGAGAGGATTCTTGGTCTGATCCTCAAGGACACCAAGATCGACCGGGAAAACTTCGATCTACAATATTTAGTTAGAGCCATGTCAGGCATGTCCGGCAGTGACATCAAGGAGGCCTGCCGTGATGCCGCCATGGTCCCGGTAAGAGAGTTAATCCGACAGAAGAAGGCCGCTGGACAGCAGATGGCATCGGTAGACCCCAAGGATGTCCGTGGTCTGCGGACGGGAGATTTCTTCAGTCGTGCTGGTGGTGTTCGGGTTATTCCTCCACCCACTCATGTTCAGAGCAAAGCGAACTCGGAAAAGGAATGGAGTACGGAGTCTGAAGCGACGTCTGAAGCAGATGCACGACCCGCGGAGATGGCCGAACCTCCCGAGTAACTTATTTATATTTCTTCTTGCGTCAATCGAGATTCCCTGTGCATTTTGCTTTCATGTCAACCATGTCAATTTATACTTGTCTAACGGCCCGGCGTTTTTTCTCCTCTCTGACTCGCTGCCTCTATCAGCGCGAATAGATTGCCAATTTATGGTGATTGGCAGGTTGGTCCTATGCAATTGAGTTGTCTTTCTGACAGGGCTCAGTAGACATGACACTGTTTATAGACTATTAATTAAGCTCTTATGTACTTATCATCATGGATGCTTGTGAAAGATGATGCTATTTTCGGCATTACCAATGGAAATAGTTTTGTAACCTGATTACGCGGCCCACCAGTTCTGGTGATGGACTGTGGTACAATACGGTACGAGTGGGTATGCTGCCGGGCGACGTCAAGGGAGGGCGAGAACACAGAGAGACAGACAGACAGACAGACACAGAGAGCAAAGTACTCCGTCCTGTGCATAGGGAAGGCTTCTTGCCGATCAAGCGGTTCCCACTCGCCTTACTCCGTACTCTCTTCTTCAATCGTCGCCGCTGTCCTTCAGCCATTTTCTTCAGCTTCAAAATTCCCCGATCTCCTTTGACATCCTATCCGACCGATCAGGAGACTGTCAACCCGCCCTAAGCACGATTGATTAGCCTCCCGACCTTAAAGCCGTCATCACAAGGGACTAGACTCCATACTTACTTTCTCTTATCCCGCGCTTGCCCCCTCCCCCCGGGCCCCCCCAAAACCCTTCCCTTCCCCAAACACAGCTCGACCTAGGTGGCGGCCTCGATCCTCTATTCATCGGAATTCCTACTGTCTCTCAATCGGGTCAAAGCACGGGTGCTCTGAACTTGATAGTCTCCGGGTGCCGCGGGTGTTTCACCATTAGGACACGGATGCGATAACCACAGTCGCCGCATGAATGGTCTGAGATAGAGACCTCCGATGGCAATCAGTGCCTGGGCGACCTCACCCAAGCTAAGCCCGCTCCGGAGAGCTGACGATATCTACAACCTCTTCTTATCCTTCTCTTTCCACAGCCAGGGATGAGTTCCAACAGCGGCTTGGCCGACGCCTTTAATCCCGGGACCGCAAGCACTAGATCCGCATCAACCGTGCGACCGCGAACTCGACGCTTGATCTCGATAGTCGACAGTGACAATGAAGATAACGGGAGGCAAATGCAATCCTCTGGACTTTCATCTATGCTCTCTTCAGAGTCGATTGTCCGCTCGCGCGGCGCCACTCCGTCTCCGAATCCATCCCGCGGAGTGTCCCCTATTCCGATGAGACATCCGTCTCGAGCTACCGAATCTCTCAGTCGCAATCGAGGAAACAGCTCCCTAGGTGTGTTTAGTCTGAGATTCGAGGATTGAATTCATTTTGGCTAAGACATACCACCTCGTGCAGATTTTCTAGATGCGTCATGGTCATCGCTGCAAAGCTTGGCCTCGTCGGTATTAGGGAGTGATATTGCGCGACCAGCTCCCAACGGCACCTCACGAAGCCATGTCCGAAAACCCTCGCGACCAGACTTGTATTCGAGACCGCCGCCGCGCTCGTCGATCCCTGCGTCATGGGGACCGTCGGCCCCTTCCACGCCAGAAATAGGTGTTGGGACCAAGGAAGAACGCCAGGCATTAGTGCAGGCCAAGAAACGGGAGGCTCTTTTGCTGGCCGACACCGGGCCAGCGTGGGCTTCCAGTTCACGACACAAGCGGCGGGATTCGAGTGACGTAACGAGTCATTCCAACATTGACCCGGAGCAGGATAAGGACGCCCTAGTATACATACATCATGTACAGCCGACAGACACCATCACCGGTGTCACGATACGATATGGCTGCCAGCCGGCAGTCTTCAGGAAGGCCAACGGATTTTGGCCCAGCGATAGCATACAAGGCCGGAAGACGGTCCTGTTACCGGTTGACTCTTGCTCTATTAAGGGACGGCCAAAACGATTCCAAGCCGACGGCGAGCTAGTCAATGGCACTCACGAGTCTCTGGAAGACTTGAATGGCAGCTCGATCGCTCCTACTGCATATCCGACACCGGAGCCGCAAGATACCACAAATGAAGGCGATGGGGACCGGGTCTGGAAGCACGAGTCCTGGGTAGAGATTGAAGGCTTTGGTGCGCCAGTCGAGATTGGTCGCATCCCTCGAGGCGCATTGGGGTTCTTCCCACGCACACGGCGAAAATCGGTGTCGTATACAGACTCAGTACCATCTCCATCCTCAGACCAGGGACGAACAGCAACCACCTCTTCTGTATCCTCGTCACCGGCTGAGTCCCAGTCCTTCCAGCCTGCCCACCTTCAATGGAGCCGGCAATCCACCAACCCTTCCTCACCAGGAAATTCCAAGAGACCCGTAGTTCGACACCAGCGCCAACGCAGTGGGATCCAATTCTCGGCCCCAGGCGTCGGCACGCTTGACCGCGACATTACAGCACCAGGTCCCGCGATGGACGGACTGAGCAAGTTCTTCGCCCAGCACCTCCCGAACCTCGCCCCAGTAACCCGGCCTCCCAACTTTGATACCACCGCCGATACCCCGACCGCCTCCGCTATCTCCAACACACCAACGGGCCTCGAAAATATCGGGGGAGCCGTCGAATCCTGGGTGCGGAAAATGACGAGTCGCGCCAAAGCCGGCCTCAACGACCTGCAACAAGCCACGGGCTCACCGAACCACACCACCGCCGATCCCACAGGCCAAATTCAAACAAACGGCCGTCGCACCATGGGTGATCTCATCGAACTCAACGACGGACTAGAGCCAGCGGACATGGCCTCCACCGCTTCCTCTGGCACTCGTCGCAAACTCGAGCGCAGCGCCCCTTCATCAGCGTCAAGCTCTCTCCGTCCCAACGGCACATCGTCGGCATCTCCGTCCTCCACTCTAAGAGGCCGCTTCGCCACCCCATCGCCCGGACGATCGAGCGGGACTCATCAATCCGGGGACCGATGGGATCGGTTCAAGGACGACTAACATAGATCCATGGCCTGCTGCATTTATTGTTTGTCTCTTCTTTTGTGACGGTCCTGTCTGTTCAATCTCGTCTGTCTGCATCAGGCAGAAATGCTCACCCGCCCCCTTTGACATAGCGAAATCCCTCTTTTGTGCCAGCATACTACATCCAAGCTATAGTCTCCCGTCTACCCCCTTGTCCCTACCTGCATTTGCATGACTCATATGGTATACCTGCTTAGTTTGCTAGCTTACAATCGCAGCAACTATAATATATCCAACGCAATTGGTTTGTACGTTTACCCGTACTATATTTCTTCGAATGTATTCAGCGGCCTCAACAGGCTATGTCATGTGGCTGGTGGTATAATACAAGATCCAGGGTGTCCCGGTTGCGGTGCTACGCTATGCTAGATTATCCTATTCTATATTGCCAGTACAGCGCCGCCGCCCGCGAGACTAGGCCAAGTTATGTGGGACAGACTGGACCATGGAGAGAGAAGGTGGTGGCTGTGATCTACTCCGTAGGTAGGAACTGACAGGGTGTTGTGGTCATGGTTTGTGTCAGTTGCGGTGTTAGTCTTTTGTCTGCAAGTGGTGTTGATTTGTAGGTAGTAGGAAGGCGGGTAGACTCAATTGCAGAGTCATGGTCTATTCGTTTAGCGAGAACGGTGAGGAAGGCAATTTAATGATAGAGCGAGGCACAAAGGAGTAAAGAATAAAAAGCCTCGGATATGAAGAGAAGAGAGACCCGCTAACTAATATATATATATATACATGTTAAAAACCGGTAAATGCCCTGCGACCCGGACAAAACGCTCAATGGTCCGAGAAATGCAATAGGGGAAACAAAGGAAACTGAATTTGGTATCAAGGTGACAGAAAGATCGCCACACGGGAGGGGCGTCTACTCCTTCTTTTCCTTGGTGAATCCATTCAGGAAAGAAAGGGGTCCCGTGTGGTCGTGATGCTCGCGTTCGCGCTGACGCTGCTCCTTCGCCCGTTGACGCTCCTCTTTGTATTGCTCCCAAGAGAGATTGGCAGCCGAGTTAGTGATGCTGGCGTCGGAGCCGAGGCGCTCGTTATTGTGCTTCTCTGTTTGCACGCGAAGGTAGTGGCTTAAGGTGGTGGCTTCATCCTGGGGCATGCGAGCGGCCTTGGAGGGTGGGGTTGGGCGGACGGCTTCGTCACCGCCGTAGATCCACAAGCCGCGGCTGAAGGCCCATTCGACGGCTTCTTCAACGGGCTCATCGAAGAGGTAGGGGAGGAAGGGGACGACGGCAAGACCCAGCTATGATGATCAGTCAATTTTCCCTGGGCAGTTCACATTCGCGACAACTTACGCCAATAGGAGACCAGGTGCGAAGGAAAGCATTCTTGGAGTTCTTCATCAAACGACCGGTGTACTTCACGACGGAATGGATGGTGAATGCCGGCAGACCCATACTGGCGATACTCTGGAAGACGGCGCGTTTGGCCATCACCATGCGATAGTCTTCCATGAGGGGAACCTGGGTGGTAGGCCAGGGCGTCAGGGTGTCGGTCGACGGCGAAGTCAGAGGCCTGGTGAGGTTGCCGGTGACCATGCCCTTGGCAACCTTTTCGGGAGACAGGTCGCTGGCATCTTTGTAGGCTTCACAGGGCGGTGCTAGCAGGCTGCGGTTGCGCAAGTACGCTTTGTAGCCTTCGTGCGCGACATCACCAATCAGATACGTCCATGAGATACCGTAGGCGGATCGCACCAGCCACGGGTGCGCGACGGGACGGAAAGATTCGCCAATGTCGGAGGTATAGGCGACATAGCGGTGGGCGGAAAGTAGAATCGTGCGCAGACGAGTCGCGTAACCGGCATAGCGGTAGGGGGTTTCCGTGGAGTCAACAGAGCTGGCGATGGTTAGACCAATATTTAACTATTCCGTTGTGATGCCTAAGCGGCCGGAATGATCGCAGCGTCTAGCGGACAGGTGCAGTCCGGCGCTTGCGGGGAAGAATGCGGGGGGGGCAAGGGGAGGACACGCGGAGGTGGACGGGCGAGGAACGGTGCGTCGCAACAGCCCCAAGAAAAGGGGACAACATACTAGGAGGAATAAATGTCGTCGTAAAAGCCATCATCGTGATCCACGAGCTTCTGAAGCTGATCCGGCAGCTTCTCGCGCGGAATGGGCTGTTGTACCACCTCGGGCGCTTTGTCTTCTTGTTTTCCCCAGATCATGATGCGGTCGCGTGAAGGAAGTCAAGCTGGGCGATGGGTCAATGAGGTCTTCAAGGAAGAATTGCGAAAGTGTTGACTTACTGAGGGTAATATGGTGTAGAGACAAAAAGGTTGCAAGGGGGAAAGGTAATGTAATGAAGGGAGATGAAATGAAGGTAGCAGTAAAGAGGAATGCAAAGAAGAGAAAGAAAGAAGAGAATGAAAGAAGAAAAAGCAAGGGCAACTGCCCCAAAATCATTCCATGCAACAGCCGGGGTTAATCTTGCCCGTCATAGCCAGATGGAGGCTCTCCGTCTCTTGCTGCTCGCCCCGAGGTCTGTCGGAAAACAGGAAGCTCTGCTGGCACGAACACCGCCACAATGTCACGGCAATAACTGACTTAGTAGTGATCTCATGGCTCTGGCAGCTGCATGCTGAGCTGATTAAGCGCGCAGGATTGATTTGGCTTTTTGCTTGAGGGGATGAGTTGCTGTTGGCGCTGTTCTTGCGTCGGACCACTACATTGTCTGCATCAATAGTTCTTAGAATGCATTGTTCGACTGATGATTGTATGTACGCCGTACTGGGAACGACATCATCGGCCCATCAGCTGATATCCCGTCATTGCTTCCCGAACGTCATCCGCCGTCGGATAAACCCGGGAGGACAAAGCCTCACGTGAAAAATGAGACAGCTCTAGCTGACTCATGTTTGACTCAGCCAAAACAGCCTTTCTGCTGACTCTATTCTTAGTCAGCCTACCATACCCAATAGGGAATGAACCAGCAGCCGCAACTTCCTCCGCTGCCGTCCGTTCGACTTATTCGCGCAGGAACCTATCATCGCACCGCTTCTCCGCCAACTCCATTCAATTCCTCCCTCTCCAATCCGTCACCATGGTCGTCTACTACCAGATCGCCGGCAAGAAGGTCGGCTCCCACGTGGTATGTATCCCGCTGCAATGACTCCGCGATGAACCCGTGCCCGAGCCTCCCTGTGTCCGGCCAGTTTCTGTCGAATGTTGTGGGAAGATGCTGGCCTGCGTTACGAGGATCACTGGCTGATAAGAATGCGCTCTAGCTCGCCATGGGTGTTCTCGGTGCCCTCTTCGGTGGTGTCAAGCTCGCCATGGGCGGTGGCAGCCAGCCCAAGCCCGCTACTCCTCCTATCCAGGCCTCCTCCAAGGACGAGGAGGACTTCATCACGTACGTTTCCGAATAAGCTCCGCAAGCTCCCCCTTGGCCCGATCATCCTCCGCAGTTTTCTGGCGGTCAGTGCGGGCGCGGGGTTCCACCGAACCATGAGTTGCAAATAATGCTGCTGTTCCAGCAGCAGAACAAGCGGCTTATAGCACTGCCTCCGGGCTCTGGTGCCCTGCCCTGTCCTGACGGTCAACCGCCCGCTGCTTGAGTCTAGGATCTGTACAACAGAGCTAGGGTCATCTTCAACTGTAGCTAACGAATGGCTACAGGGACTTCTTGAAGCAGGTGAACGGTGAAGACAAGAAAAAGGACCATTAAGCCCAAAGCCAATGCGTTCCGTGCTAGAGTCCAGGACACTGAGTCAATTGTGCCAACGTGCGATCTCCCACTCGAGCTATAATACACCGATGGGATCAGGACGCAACGTGAAGGTCGAGCTGTGTCTTCGCTTGCAAGAGTGGCACGTCAGGTGGTGACTTCGGGTCAGGTGTGAATCTGTACATATAGAGTATACACCATGCTTGTTTCAATTGGTCTGTGAAGATCGGTTTAGTGGAGTACTGTAGTTGTGGTCCCATTGATTCGTAGTACAGCAGGAGGCCAGATATCTAGGGATTGAGCTGGGATCGGGGCTTCCCTTTGCACCGCATCTAAACGTCAAACTCATTAAATTGGTTTAATCGAACAACCCACGACCAATGCATCCTAAGAAACCTAGTTTAGTCGTACTCTATGTGAACTAACGAATCTTGAAAACGAGCCAGTCACCTGACCCAACCGTCCCATCTCTTCTCGACTTCACCTTCTCACCACCACCGCCCAAGCATCTCCCCAAATCACCAACGAACCACAATGAAGCCGCCACTGCCCTTTCCTTTCGCCCTCAACATCGGCACCGACATCGTCCACCTCCCGCGCATCACCCGCCTCCTCACCCGCGAGAACGGCACCTACCTCGCCCGCTTCACCCGCCGCATCCTCCACCCGCGCGAGCACGCAGACTTCCACGCCCGGTTTCCTTCCCTGCCCACAACCCAGCCACAGCTGCAGCAGTCCCCGTCCCAGTCCCCGTCTCAATCCCAACCACAACCCCAAGCTCCTTCCCCACCCCTCGCAGACACGAACCCCTCCCAAATAACCCCGGAAATAGCCCGCTGGCTCGCGGGGCGGTTCGCCGCCAAGGAGGCCGCGCGCAAGGCGGCACCGGGCGGGGCGGCGCAGCTCGGTTGGAAGGATGTGATTGTGCGGGTGAGTGAGGTGGACGAGGGGCGGCCGGAGGTGGTGTATCTGGGCGATCATCCGTGGAGTGAGGGTGAGGGTAAGGGTGAGAATGCGGATGCGGATGGGGACAGGGGAAGGGGGAGGGTGGGCAAGTTGTCGATTTCGCATGATGGGGAGTATGTGGTTGCTATGGTTTTGGCGGCGGGTTGAGATGCTGGATGGATTGATGATGGTTCTCGGGGTGTTGTGTGTATGGGTGGGTTTGGGATGGGAGTTGGGGTTTGGTGTCTGGCGTTTCATTCATGGGTTGGGAAGGGGAGGAAAAGGATAGAATGGGTTCTACTTTGAATTTGCCACTTGGGGGGAAGGGTGCTACATGAATATCGCTGGGCTGGTGGGAGGGTGAGTTGAGGGCTATTATACAATGCACACTATCATAGTGTTTCACCGGGGATGTCCCTCGGAGGTGCACTACTTTTGTCAAGCGGAGTCGTATGGCTAGACAAGACATGAGCGGAGAGCATAATTATACCCATTCATAACGTATACTAGCACAGTCTCAACCCTGTACAATCATATGGATATAGTAACTCAATGCCTAGGCAAAGGCTGAGTTGACATACAGAGCGCCGCTACGTGCTCCGGCTCCGGCTGATGATTGCTTGAGTTCGACTCCCCATCAAACAAACAACCTTTTAACCTTCGCCATCAACCCCGAGTATACCTCCGGACTCCTTGTACAATCTGAGAACCGCCTTCAGAGTCCTTTACTTCATAAGCGTGGGACATCGTGCATCTTGGAAATATCCAGACAAATTTTTGGATACCTCCAACCAAGTCAATTTACCCCTCCGCACCGCGGGGTAACAGTTATCGTGAGCATCAAACTCCACCACGCATCAACACCACAAGTCCAAACCCAACTGACACCCGCATAGATGCCATTCACCCACCACAGTCACTCGGGCCAATTCTGCCCCGGCCACGCCAAAGACAACCTGGAGGAGATCCTCCAGCTCGCCATCCAGAAGCGCTTCCACACCTTCTGTCTGACGGAGCATATGCCCCGACACCAAGAGGACTTTTACCCTGAAGAGGTCCTCCATTCTCCCTTCCAAGCCCACATCCACCCCCTCCCTTACCTTACGACAGAAACTAAAACAAGATAGATCGAAGCCCAGGACACTGAAGCATCTCACGTCGCCAACGAAGCCGCCTACTACACCGAAGCCACGCGTCTGCGCACCAAATACGCCCCGCAACTCAACATCCTCATCGGCTTCGAGACGGACTATATCCGTCCCGCCTCACTGGCCCTCATCCAGCAGAGCCTGGCCACCCACGACTTCGACTTCTTCATGGGCTCCATCCACCACACCTGCACCGTGCCTATCGACTACGACCGGCCCATGTACGAGGAGGCCCGGCGGCGGGCCGGCGGGACCGATGAGGCGCTGTTCGCGGCGTACTTTGACGAGCAGCTCGAGATGCTGCGGCAGGTGCGGCCGCTGGTCGTGGGGCACTTCGATCTGATCCGGTTGCAGAGCGACGAGCCGGACGGCAGTCTGCAGCGGTTTACGGGGGTGTGGGAGAAGGTGCGCCGGAATCTGGCGTTCGTGGCCGAGTATGGCGGAATGCTGGAGGTGAATTCGGCGGCGTTGCGGAAGGGGATGCGTGAGCCGTATCCTATGGGGGAGATTTGTCGGGTAAGTACTGTGTGCAATTTTCTTTCTTTTCCGATAAGGAGGTGATGCTTCAGGACTAATCTGCAGCAGGAATTCCTCGCCCTCGGCGGCCGCTTCTGCCTCTCCGACGACAGCCACGGCCTGGCCCAGGTAGGGCTGAACTACCACCGCGTGCTGCCGTGGCTCGAGGCGGTGGGCATCACGACGGTGCATTACCTGGCGGTGGCAGACGACGACGACAACGACGGGGAGGGGATTGTCGATCCTCGGTTCCCGCGCACGCGCATTCGAGCCATCTCGGTGGAGGAGATGAAGAAGCTGCCGTTCTGGGAGGGGGCCCAGGCTGCAGCTTGATTGTGTGGGAGGCTGGCTGCGTGCAGGCCTGGATGCATTGACTGCGGGGGTTTAGGGTCTGTGTGTGTGTGTGTGTGTGTGTGTGTGTGTGTGTGTCGGTGTGTGTCGGTGTGCTGCAGCGTACATATGTCTGCACTTTAATTTACTTGTCACATATTTCATCTCTATGTATCAATTGATCGAAGTCGATGCCTGAACATGAGGAGATATCACACAAACACTTGAGCAAACACTGGGACATCTGCGATTCTTAGGACTATGTACTTAATGGCAAGGCAAGACAAATGACATCAAATGGCAAATGGATGACAAATGTGGCACTGGCGGGCTGATACCAGGAGCCAAGAGTGATGATAGCCGGAAGGTTGCCAATCACGCAATCAATTTGTCGTCTATGTTGTTCACTCCCCGTACGCAGGTACTCCGTATACTCTGCAGTCGGTCAAGAAAGTATTGGTTATTTTCGTCATCCGGCAAACCCACCCGCGCCAAGCGAAACGCAGCCACGGGCACACAACAAACGCACCCGCGAACGCACCCGCGTTCTAGACTACAAAAGAAAGTACACAATAGTTACTAGTTAGTAGTGATACGGAGTACACAGACATGTTAAGTGAATGTACTCGTCAACAATTGAAACCTCCTCCTTGATCCATCACAAAGCTAAACAAACCCTCCTCGAAGCACAAACAAGTCCCTTACCCCTCCCAAGTCCGTAGTTAATGGCCATACTCACTCATAGTGTAGAACCAACTCTGTCTGATCCCATCTTCAAAACCAGATCAACTCCTCCCGTCCAGAGAACTTGTTCCCCCCCGCCCCGCACTTCGGCTTGGAACCTTTTTAAAGTTACCTAAACCAACCAACCAACCAACCAAGAACTTTTTTTTTTCTCTCCTCCCCCCTCCCCCTCACCGTGACCTTCAACCTACCTTGCATCTTCACCACTCACTTACAATCACCTTTTTTCTTTTCACCAACAAAAAACCAAACACCAAAATGGGCGTCACCAAGACCATCCTCACCCCCGGTACCTCCGACCGCAAGCCCAATGCGGGCGACAACGTCGTCATCCACTACACCGGCTGCCTGTACGATGAGAGTGCAGAGCACAAGATGGGCAAGAAGTGCGTTTTAGCTGGAGATGATTCCCTGATCTGCCCTTAGTTTGAATGCCTGCCTGCAAGCAAGCATCACCCAACCCCAATGGAGCTAGAGACCAACCCCACCAACCCATCAACAAAGCCCTTGCTCCACCGTTCTGGCCGGGTTCGCAAAAAAATGGCCCTGCTAATATATTACTTTTTCCTGTTGAAATAGGTTCGACTCCTCCTACAACCCCGGCCGTGGACCGTTCCGTGTCCAGATTGGTGTCGGCCAGGTTATTCGCGGTTGGGATGAGGGTGTCGTGACGATGAACGTTGGTGAGGAGTCGGTGTTGACGATTTCGCCGTATGTTGCCGCCCTAAACCCCCCTCACCAAACCACGAATACAAGGGCAGGAAAGCAAGAAAGGAGGAAGAGGAGGAGGAGGAGGTGATGAAGATAGCGGACTGGGAGATATACAGACAGACAGGCTAATACTATCGGATGGATTCTTGGAATAGTGACTACGGCTACGGTGACCGCGGTTTCCCTGGGTTGATCCCTGCTGGCTCGACTCTTGTTTTGTGAGTATCTATCCTTTTTATTTTTATTCCTCGGGGGGTGGGTGGCATTGGATCTTGTGGATGATGTGTCTGGTCGGGTTTGTGGTTGGACGCGAGGAGGCTAATATGGCATCTATATTATAGCAAGGTCAAGCTCATCGCCATTGAGTAAATGGTTCCGGGAGTCTGTCATATAGTAGCCGGATCCCTTCATGGAAATGGAAAAGGAAATGGAAATAAAACCAGGATTGAGATTGTATTCACTGCTCTTCTTCCTAGACGCATGGGTCGGTTGGTCCCCTAGTCATAGGTTGTAGTTCCAACCGCAGTCGCAAACTATGCTACCGGAGTATGATCTGTATACTCTTGCTTCGTAGTCCAACATACACATCTAGGTCTACTACCGCGCAATCGAATTGATATACTCAATCCCCTCCGCCCGATACGTATCCTCCTCCACATAACTCTCCGTCCGAGGTAATCGGAAGACAAAGTTCGACGGCCCATCATCCGGGGTATACCGCGGCCATTCCGGAATCCCAGCAACTATATCCCAACATCAGCACTCTTCTAGCCACGGACAAAGACCATACATACCTCCATGTCCATTTGGATCCAAGTCTGTCACGAACGCCGTCCACATCCTGGCCGCCAGGTTGCCCAGAGCCAGACGCGCCGGATCAGACCCGAGAGGCGTGATAGTCTGGTCCGGGTTGGCAAACACAAAAGGAATCTGCTTCAAGTGTCAGTCGCTGCTTCGATTCACATTTCCAGTACAAAAGGGACTACCTCTGCGAAATGCTGCACCCCAATTACACTCGTATCATTCAGGGCCGCCACATCCCACCGGTACGCGTACACCTCCGGCCCGGCATGCGCCATCTGCGCGCCTAGCAGCCGTCGCGGCGCGACCATGCAAAGATCGCCCGCCATCGACTCATACCGCTTGTACTCGTAGCCACGCGACGGCCAGGTGACGTTGCCCCAGCCGTAGGGACAGCCGATGGCCGAGATATTCGGGTACAGACCTAGCAGATGCGTGGCTTGCTCGCGGTCGAGGACCCAGCGTTTCGACGCTACCACCGTTTAAAAAAAGGGCTCCCCACGACAAAGAGGGTCAAACCTACCGATCAACTGCTCAATACACTCTTCATCGGTATTCGTCCCCGTGGTGCCGAAACTCGTGCCCTCGTCCGTATTGGTCCCGTGCAGGATGGGCACCTTGGCGAACCGGCCGTGGGTGATACTGATCTGCGGCTTCTCCTTGATGAAAGTGCCGTCGATGGTGCCGAACCATTCCAGTCCGTTGTAGGCGAGAGGGTAGAAGGTCTCGAAGGGGACCTCGCGGAGGCATTGGAGGGTGTCGGATGCGGTGGTGCAGCTGATTCGTTAGTGGTTGAATGCCAGTGGATGTGTGTGGACATACCTGGTCGCGTTCACGATCTGATCATACATTGGTTGATACCAGTCTGTGCCGTTCCAGGGAGGACCGACTGCATTGCCGGACTCCATGATTGCTAAACGCAGTCAATAGTCTGTAGATGCCCGTTCAGTAGAGGACTTACCAGCCCGGAATAATTCCTCATTGTCCCCATCATTCGTCACCAGATGAGCCCCAACACTATATGCACCTCTACCCACTCCTCATTAGCATCCTCGGGGCAGCAAAGACAGAAAACTCACGCAGATTCCCCCCAGATAGTAATCTTCTCCGGGTCACCGCCAAAAGCCTGGATATTCTCCTTAACCCACCGCAAGGCCACTCGTTGATCACGCAGTCCGAGATTCGTATTGCCGGATTCCTACACCAAGCACCACCAGCATCACGGGCAAATCAGCACCCATCAAGCCCCCAGGACCCTCAAGACGACCCCTCCCCCACACTGTAGAACGGAAGGAAGAACGAACCATGACCTCCTTGGAATCCAAAAACCCAAACGCGGCCACCCGATAATTGATCGACACCCCGATGACAGGCTTATCGTTCAGCGCGCCCTGGTGCAAAATATAACTCATATTATACCTGCCGGAGGTGAACATGCGTCAGCCAGCCCACTTCATCATCATATCATCATGAATCGCCCCCTCCTACCACCTACCATAGTATCTCGAACCCCACTAAAGAAGAAGAAGCAGCAGCAGCAGCAGAAGAAGAAGAAAAAGACATACCTAGGATCCGAAGTAGCACCCTGCATCCATCCACCCCCAAAAATCCACACCACCACTGGTAACAACGCCTCATGCCCCTTCCCAACACCCGAGGAAACGGACGCAGGCCTCACCACATTCAGATTCATACAGTCCTCGCTGAGTCGCGTCCACCCGTCGTCCACCAAGGTGGTCTCGTCGCTGCCATAGCCGGGGCAGTCGTTGCCGTATTGGGTTGCGTTGTAGTATACCACCCCTCCATCATCCTCGGCTTCGGTAGTGGTCGAGGGGCTAGCGTCGTTGTCGCTGTCACTCGCGCGATAGTGGGTTTTGAGAACGGCAGGGGTGAAGCGGATGGGTTGGTCGGCGTATTTGATGCCTAGGAAGAGGTCTTGGGCGAATTCAGGGAGGGAGCGGCCGATGAAGATCGTGGAGGGGGAGCTGGGGGTTGCGGAGGCCGTGAGGGTTACGGCTGGTGGTTGGGAGGAAAAGACGGATACAGAAGCAGAAGGTGTAGCAGCAGCAGCAGCAGCAGAAGCTTTGCTGGGAAGAGCAGATGCGAATGATAGCAGCAGCAGCAGAAGAAGATGAAGAGGAAGCAAAAGGGTGGTGAGGGGAGGGAGCCAGTGGGTGGTTGTTGGGGCCATTGCGGGCTATAGAGGGGAATCTCTTCTCCTTCTCCTTCTCACTCGCTTCTCTCTTCTCTCTTACCGCAGAAAGGCTCAACACTTATAAGTTCTACGCTCCACGCTGAAGAAGTACTTCCAAGTATACATCAATCCATACTCGCAAGCTCATCCTGCAGACAGATCCGGCCGTCTCCTCCCAAGCGATACTATAGCCCTCGATCTTGCCACGAATCATACCTCCTCTTCACTAATTCTGCAGCCTCGGAGACAGCCATAGGTGGAACAGGGTCTGCCCCCTGTCCGGCGCAACTCCGGCTGGGCGTGTGGAGCAGTTTTTCCACGCCTGATGCAGGCCGACTGAAAGTGAATATTATTCAATCAGATCCAAATCAAAAGAGGGGAAGTCGACTTGGCATGCATGCTTCATGTGGGGCGACTACTAACAGATAACAGATTGCACTCTTCCTGGTATCCGGCGAGAGATCATCACTCTATGAATCAAGCGGCCACCTTCCGGTCGGCTTTCATTCGGTCTCTAGTAGATACGGACGGGAAATATACATCTGTACATATGAACAATTCAATCAGAAACAGTCAAGGAGACACAGGAAGTGGCTGGGGTAGTAGAAAAGTATAGATGGCGTCAGTCGTCACGATATACCTCCCATACCCCCCGGCCATACAGAGAACAATGATGCTTCCCACAAAGGGAGACAAAGAAGAGAAAAGGCGGGCGAGTATGGCGGTCATGGAGGCAGCTTCGGCTCCAGCACCACCAGGAGGGTAAGAAAGGTATATGATAAAACAAAAATCACAAACATATGGGGAATAAGAGGAACAGATTAGATGAGAGTTTGATAAATGACAAGCGTTGATCCAACGCGACATGAAAGTGGAGAGAACGAGTCCTCTCCGCCCCTCTTCCTGTCTTCTTTTTCTTCTCCATTTCCTTTCTCTTGATCGTGTTTCCCCAGTCTATCATGGGATACTCCTTAAAATGGCTCCAACGGCGTCTAGTTCCATCCAAGGGAATTTTCGGCCATTACAGGCGCACTGATCATCTGCGTCCGACCGGTGCCGCGGCTGTTCTGGCTGCCGCGGGAGATGCGACCTCCGGCGGCAAGGGCAGACCCACGGGCCTCGCTCATCTGGTCCACCGTCGAGGAGCTGCGTTGGTGCAGTTGACGTTTCTTGCGGTACCGACGGGCCACCCAGAACATACCAGCACCATAGGCAGCGGCACCGGCAACGGCTCCGACACCAATGCCAACAGCGCTGGCCTTGGTGGTGCCCGAGCTACTGGTACCGGCATCCGACTGGTCATACCCTCCACTACCACTGTCATTGCTGCTGCTAGATCCGCTGCCGCTGGATGAACCGCTGCCGGACGAAGAGCCGGAGCTAACAACCAGAGGAATCGAGGGGTCGATCATCGACATCAATGTCTTGACTGTCTGATTGGGCTGTTCATACAGTTTGGAAATGGGATTGTGGAGCATCTGCGATAGAGTGTCCACGTCGCCCGACGGGATGTAAGCCAAAGCGACAGTGGCGATGTATCCGGTGCTGGCCGAGTTGTCGTAGGGCTGGATGTCGTACATGACGATCTCACTGCCGTTGGACGACAGGGCGTACTCGAGACCCTGAGGAACATATGTGAAGATTTGCGACGAGGACAAGGGCGTCGTAGCCACGAAACTGTATCGGAGCTTTCCATTGAATCCAATTTGGATCAATGTAGAGTTCTCGGGCTCAGTGGGAATGCCACCAGCCGGAGAGATGGAGCCAGGGAGTTGCGCGGCAGTGGTCGTAGTGGTAGCAGCTTTGGTGGCAGTGCCCGTAGGCTCACTCATAGTAGTCGTGGCTCCCACAATCAGGATGCTGGAGGGCATCCAATCATCGTCAGTTGAAGTGCTGGACGTTGGGGCCAGGGCGGAAGTGGTCTCAGCAACAGCCTTGGTGGTCGTCGGCTGCTCAGTGGTCAATGGAGTGGTCGCACTGGTGCTGGTGCTGGAGTACACAGAGGGAGCGACAGTCGGGACAATGGTTGGAACAGCAGTGGGGGCGACGGATACAGAGCCCGAAGCCTCCGTGGTCTTGGTCGCAAGGAGAGCAGTCGATGTGGCAGACACTGCGGTCGTGGCAGACTCGGAAACAGTTCCGGATGGAGATCCCGATTCGAATGCAGACCCGGAGGCAGATGGTGTGGAAGCCGGACCAGTACTCTCAGAAAGAGTAGGCACAATAGCACCACTGGTGGGGGCAACGCTACCAGTGACAACAGGGGTTGAGGCGCCAGGTGCGAAGCTCTGGGTTTCGGTGGATGGAGCGATGAGAGCCGTCGAAGTGGCGGCCGTGGGTCCCAGGCCAATTGCAACGCTTGAGGCATCAGAGGTAGCGCCTGGAGCCGTGCTACTCAGGCCCACGGCAACACTGGTTGGAACGACAGAAGCCCCCGAGGTTAGATCCAGCCCAGTACTGCTCAGGCCCACAGGCACGCTGGTAGGGACGACAGAAGCCACTGAGGTCAAGTCCAGACCGGTGCTGCTCAGACCCACAGCAGCGCTGGTGGGAATGGCAGAGGCCACCGAGGTCAGATCCGAGGTGGTGCTGAGCAATGCAGGAATAGGGATATCAGACGAACCCAGCAACGAAGTAGGAGTAACCAAGGGAACGCTGACGGGGATAGTAGGCAGGCTCAAACTCAAGCTGAGGAGTGCAGGTTCAACCGAGGCGCTAGTACTCGTGGCAGTGGCCGGGCTCGATCCGGCAACGACAGCGGGCGCAGAGGCCGTGACAGACTCAGAGGCAGTAGCAGGCGCGGAGGCAGCAACGGAGCCAGATGTGGTAGCAGACTCAGACGCAATGACAATCCCAGAGGCCGAGCTGGAGGGAACAATTGAAGCAGACACTAAGGCAGATTCAGTAGCAGGAACCGAACCTGAAACAGTGGCGGAGCCAGTCACAGTCGCTGAACCAGACGAGATACTAGACTCGGTTGGAATGACAGAGCCTGAAACACTTGAAGCGGATGCAATGGCAGATTCAGAGACAGTGGCAGAACCAGACGCAGTAGCTGATGCAGGCACTTCAGTAGACGTCGTTCCTGACAGAAGGCTCGACAGGATGCCCACCAAGCCCGACGCGCCAGGGGTAGTGGTAGAGGCAGCATCCTGAGACGCGGAAATAACGGCTTTGGAAGACGCTGCATCAGTAGTCTGAGCAGTGTTGGTGGTGGCCGAAGATTGGGTGGCGGCGGATGCCACGGAGGAGGCTTGATCGGCACTACTTTGAGCAGAGCTATGGGTGGCGGTGGCTTTGGCGTCAGAACTCTGAACAGACGAGCTCTGGGAAGCCGAAGGGGAAACGGTCGAGCTTTCGGTAGAAGAGCTTTGGCTCGAAATGAGGCCAATCACGCCAGCAGAGCTAGCCACGGGGGTAGATGTGACAGAACTCTGGGCAGCGGAGGTCTGAACAGACGAGCTCTGAGTAGCAGAGGGAGAAACAGTTGAACTTCCGGTAGATATTTCGGTAGAGCTTTGGCTCGAGACAAGGCCAGCACTTCCAGGGCTTGCGGCAGGAGTAGACGTAGCCGAACTCTGAGCAACTGAGCTTTGGGCGGCAGATGACACCGTAGGGCTCTGAGTGGCAGAGCTCTCAGTGGCGGCACTCTGGCTCGAAATCACGCCAATAACTCCCGCAGAGCTTGCAGCGGGAGTAGAGGTGGCGGAAGTCTGAGAAGCAGAAACCTGGATAGCTGAGCTGTGGGAAGCAGACGGAGTCGCCGTGGCACTCTCAGTGGTAGAGCTCTCCGTGGAAGAACTCTGGCTCGAAAGAACACCAACGATTCCGGCAGAGCTTGCGGCAGGTGTAGATGTGCTAGACTCCGAGACCGCTACAGCCGAGCTGCCCGTGGCAGCGCTGTTACCAGCACTGGTGGGAGCGGTGGTTGAGGCTGCGAGCAAACTGGACACAAAGCTCTCAAGCGAGCCGCCGAGAGAGTCGGCGGTAGTGGTAGTCGCAGCGGCGACAGCTGAAGAAGAAGTGTCGACTTGCACTGCAGACGCAGAAGTGGAAGATGGCTTGTCGGACGTGGTGGTGTCCACATTTACGGCAGCCACGGAGGTGGACGACTTGACTGGCGTCGTTGTGTCCGCCTTCACAGCAGAGTCCGATGCGGACGACTTGTCGGACGCGGTGGTGTCGACCTTCGCAACAGACTCCGATGTAGCTGAGGCGGAGGCTATGGTCGTGTCGGCTTTCACGGCGGGTTGAGACGTAGTGGTTTCACTTGGGGTGGCCGAGTTTGTTGTACTGGCGCTGGCAGTAGTCGTAACCGATGCGGCAGCAACTGGCGGGGGCGACACGGCCGCCTTTTCGGCTGTCTCCGCTGTCGCGCTGTAGCTTGTCGAAGCTCCGGGAACATACGGTTGCGTACCAACGATGGTGTGCGTGACGCCGTACGCGTCCACTGACAGGGTTACCGGCACAACAACCACGACGGGGCCGGCGTCACCTGTCTTTATACTGGGATCTGCCGCATCTGTTGTCGAGCTAACGGCGCTTGTCTCGACCGTCGAAGTCGCAGATGTCACGGCTGGGGACGCGATCGCAGAGGAACTCACTGCGCGACCCTCAAGATAGTGTCGAGCCCGCAAATCTTGCGCGTCGGCTGCGCTCTCGGCTGCGGTGATGTCCAAGCCGCTCAGCGTTAGGAGCGCGAGCAGCAGGGATCTTGTCGGGGAAACCATGTTGAAATTGTAAGGAGCGTGGGTGGATAAAAAGCGTAATGAATGAGCGATTTAAGGGTCTCGAGGACCGTACGAATGTTGAGGGGCCGGACAGAGCGAACACACCCAATGCGTAAAAAAAAAACCTCCAAATCAAGTCACCAAGATATTCAAGCGTTGATCCCCAATGTCAGTTGTTGATATCGCAGATACATCGATTCGGTGGCTGACGGCGATAAGCGGTACTTGAACGGTATGGGACTATCCTTTTCGACCTTCCTGCGGTTCACTTGTCCACTCTCCAGTCGTCAAGACCAGGCGGCTTTCGGCGAGTCAAACGGGGATTGATGAAGTCGCTATTTTGGTACTTGCAGCTGGCTGGGACGCATTCAAAACTCCTGCCAAGGCTAATTCAGGTACAGGAACGGATCTATCGGCAGGAACAGGCCAAATTCTCCGATTTAGTGGGTCAATAGCAACGGGTCCGGGGGCGAGTAAGTCGCGCGAAAGCAGAAGCAGTTCGTGATAAACAAAAGCGGTCTCAAGGAGCGGCAGGGGGCGTGGTCGTCGGACGAAACGAACAACCAACAAAATCCCCTCGAATATTCTCGCGACAGAGGAGGCGATAACGAATGTAGATGCGGCAAGGAGCGAGCGACAATAGATTTCTATATCAGGATTGACAAGTAAGAACAGCGATCGTTGAAGGAAGGGAGGGTGGGTGGTAGCAAGACGGTGGCAGGCGGTGGGAGGTTGTATGGAAGGAGTTGGGTTTTTTTTTTGGTTCGACGGGGCGACAGTCGGCTGGTTTGATGGTACCTGAGACGGCGCGCGACCGGGAGAGAGGATAGGGAAGAGGGGAGTTGGGAATGGAGAAGGGGGTGGGATGGTAGAAGTGTAGTGATGGTGGTGGTGGTGGGAGAATGCAAGGAGCAGGGAGAAGAGCCCGAATCATCAGTGAGCCTGAGGGGTGAGACGGGCGATGCACTGGCAGCAGCCCCCAAACTCCTTCCTTTCGTTGTTGACGCAGAGAACGTACCGATATATGGGAGGGACTACGTCAACGCAGGCATCGACAGTACTCTGAAGAACGGAAGGAGGGGGGGAAGAACAGAACAAGAACAGAGAGAGTGTGAGGAGTAAAAGAGGGAAATAGACAGTAATGAATGACGGGGGGGAAATTTGGTAAGAAAATCAAATAAAAAGACGAACAAATAATCGATAGGAAGTAAATGAAAAGAGAGGGAAAAGAGGAGAAAGAGAAGGGGAGATTAATTTGGAGGAGGCGGTTTAGTCTCGTTGGGGCCCGTCCGTGTCATCGTCTAGTCTTTAGACTATGCTTTAGTGTACGGACTACGGAGTACTACTCGTAAATATTGTAAAAGGGGGGGAGGGAACGAAGGAGATGAAAGAAAAGGCACCAAAAAAAAAGAAATAGTGAACAGTGTTTTTCCAGCCCGTCCCGTCTTATATCCACGCACTATGTGCAGACAAGAGGACTTGTGGGCCCGGCGAATATTACCGGGCTGGCTCCAGTCAGTCTGATGAATGACGACGAGTTCCACATACTCTAGCCTTTTCCTCCACAGCGTGCCTGTCGGGGTGTGTATGTATGTATGTATGTATGTATGTATGTGGGTATGTGCACCGTTGTTCACCGTTGCTTCACCTGCGGCTTACGCATCAGATGTTCCTTGACCCCATTCAGAGGTTCCGTTGAGGTCAGTACACCCAGCTCTTTGTGCTCCGTACCAGGAATGGTTTGACCCCATGCTCGCCTTGACATTGAATATGTACCGGGTGAGCACCCGTCTGCAGCAGTTGCAGTACACTACTGCAATCGTATCCAGCTGACGCCAGCAGAGCCACCAGTGATTAGACTATAGTACTCGGACTAATTGCTGTTGCTCGGCCAGTTTGTATGCACAGGATACCGCTCCGTGGCTGCCGTGGACAGTACTTCTAGGAGTGCTTCGTATGCAACTGGGACGTGCGTTGATGGTCGAGGTAGCCGTTCAATACCCCTCGGTTGAAGTCGGTTGCATGACGGGTATACCAACCACATGGAGGGGGACAATTCTCGATATGCGGGCACTACTCCGGAATCGAAGTCTGCCAGAAAACCTCGAAAGCTACAAGCTCATGTCGAGTGCGGTGCACAGGAGAAACCAGACCATGGGATCTTGGTTACAGTGTATCCCGGCGATGGGTTACCTAGAATGAGAGGAAACCTCTTCAAGAGCAGTCGATTTCGGGGGAGATTGTTTTGTACGACCCCAGAGTGACGGGAAGCAAGAGGGTGCAGGAAAACAATCACGCAGACTGCACCCATGCAAATTGATCCAGCCAGATTGCTAGAAGGCTGAACTGGAGCCATTGATCTCTCTCTGGCTCGGGAGTGGATTTGCGATCGGGGCTGGGTTCAGAGATACAGTCAGTCGGTTAAGGTCAAGTACAGTAAGGCTTCAGAGTGAGAGGTGATACAGAACAGTGGCCGGTAAAAAGGCGCAGGAACGAATGCCGATCGACGGTGGTACAATCATTGCTCATCGTAATTCCCGCCTCTTTGCACGCCAGCCTTTGTCTGCAAAGGGCATGTTTCCGTCAAGGTTCGGACCATCACAAGTTCTAGACTCGACTTTTTGGGTAAGGCAGTGGGTAAAGTGGTTCCTGGCCGTGGTGGCTGTGGGGATTGCCCCAGTGCGTGCAGATAAGAAGATGTCTGCTTCTTTGGACAGTTGTTGTTTCATGGGATTTTTGCCCCCGCGAAGGGTCTTTCGCCCACTTACTCCTTCCACAATTGAGGGAGTGATCTCTGTTCAGACTGCCAGTGGTAGATAAACTATTTGTGTCTGTCTCGATCTCTGTCTCTCATAAGCCAACCGTGAGAAGAGGATAAGTTGTCTTGTGTAGCCCGTCTTGGAGGTCGCAGGCAGTGACTGGTTTCTAAACTGGATCTGGATTAGCAGATCGTCACCTAAGAAATCGTCGGCTGTCTCACCATCCCTCTCCATCGAGTCACGGAGGTGAAGACTGGAGTCCGAGAGCTATCTCAAAGAAGCATCGTTCGACCGTTCTAGTAGCTATTTGGCACGGAGTCCAAATAACGTGGCATGCATGATAGGCAGGTAAGCCATGCGTAGGTACTCCCCAAGTCACTCACTCGGTGGGAAACTAGACTATAGCATAGGAAGATCATTCTTCCAGCCACTAGTTACGGTATATTGTCCCTTTCAATCAGCCCCAGGGGACAATATCTTCGCCCGAAGCGTCCTGTACATTCCGCTAGTTATTATTAGGGGCCTTGAATCCGCCCAGTTCATTCGCTCAACTCCACGTGTCGCTACCGCTACGCTTAAGCGATGCCACTAGAGTTGTGACTTTTGTCCTATGGCCCATGGGCATGAAGAGCAGAGTCAGTTCTCACCTTGCGATCTAGTACTCGACACCTCTAACATGCTAGGAATGTGCTTGGAACGTCCGATGGTCCAGTCAGAGACCTCCCTCTGGGGCCATCATCAGAGCTGAAACACCCGTCATTTCCAATCCTACGGTCTCAGCAGCAGGGGTAGTGTGCCGCAGCATCCCAGCGGACTGAAGAACGATCAGACCTGCATGTGACGGGGACAATGCCAATATCCATGGTTGGTTTTCAGATCAGGGATCCGGGAAGGTTCGTCGATTCCACGAGCAGGGTCGAACAGATAGGGGCTAGAAATCGATTCCCCCCAAAGTTGCAGATCACCAGCAAGTCCAAGCTCGGATCAGGTACATATCTCTTCCCAGGGAACTCGGATCGCCAGGTACACCGGTCGAGGACCATGGACTGGCTTCTGACTAGTGATCATTGATCACTGACTAGTAGTTAGTGGGTGCTGAGAAACTACTACCAACTACTGTGGTAGTCAGGGGAACTGTTGTGGCACCATCCTGCGGTATACCGTTCTATTTTTACCTGTCGAGACAGACTGACTGCCGGGAAGAAAGAGGTTTCTGCGGAGTCGACCACGGATGAAGCTACCAACTTGGATGTTAAGATCCGCTTCCTTTCAGTGCAGCTCTTTGACAGCATGTTCTCCCAGTTTTCGAGCGTGCTAAAGATACCCCGGGGTGCTTTCAGGGTGGTTCCCTCATTCTTGCAAATGCGGCCCCTGTGAACAGTCAACCATGGAAGAGACGAAATGCCATTCAGCGCGGCCCAAGGGAAGATGAGACAAAACTATTCCTGTTCCTGAACCACCCGCCCGACGTGACTCCACCTGTTGCTTCTCGTGGATTGGCTGGGATCTCCTCATCTGGCGCGTGCAGTGCCCCTTTCCGTCCTAGTCATCTTACCGGCTGCACGGGTGATGGTAAGTTACCAAAAATACGCTTCTACTCTCTGTCTACTCAACCAACTACTTACTCACTCCCTTATCAATCTGCATCCTGACACTCAGTCCAGGAACTGAACAATCTGCTGGTGTCGGACCGAGTACCCGTAGACTTTCCGGAGAGACCATGAATGAGATCAGGACTCGAGTCTCACTCAGCTTGTTCACAATTCCATCTCTCCAAGGCTATTGCCGGAATCAGTTACTAACGAGTAGTCTGCCGTAACTGGTCCAGAAATGCTCAGGACTATAAAATATGAGTACTAATCGCAAAAATATATCTTGATTCACTTCTGGAAATAAACTTTCATGAAGAAACCAGAGTGTCCGGAAGGTGACAGGGTACCTTTATAATACTACCGTACGGCTAATTTCCGATGATCTTGTGAAACTCAATATCGGAGCGTAATAAGGTTCGTGAAGATATACATATAAGATTGATCCGGTCTGCCAACCAGCATAGGTATATATGAGCAGCCAGGAATCGCATCAGGACATTCTACATACTAAGTAATACATTATTGACAGGATTCGATCTGATACAGAATGGTTCTCTTACACCTTCTTGCACTACTCGCCCTCACAGCTTGAGTGCTGTGCGGAGCATCCTTCAACCTGACAGCAAGTAATCCCTAAATCCTGAAAGTATGGCGTGCAGATCCATTCATCTTGGCCCAGTGGTCATGCGGTGGATCATCCTCAATGCCCTTGGAGAACAAGGATTACAAGATGATCATAGACAGGGTTGAGGGGTTCCGCCTGTTGAGTTTGCCCTTAGAATTGGAAGCCAGGACCCAAATCGAGCGCTTATATATCAAAGCCTCGTCTCTCGAAAGTCAAGATAACATAGATCAACAACACTCTGCATATAAAACTACAGTACGGAGTAAAAAAGTCTGATGGTGCATAATTACAGCTTTAATCCTTGTCTCAATGATACTAGACATGACACTAAGAATAGTAGTCTTCAGAGCCTCATTTTGAGTTTGACAGGGTTTCAGAATCTTCATCGCCACCAGACGAGCCCTGATTTTGTGGCAAGCATATTGCAACTGCAGAAACAGGATCTTCTTCAGTACCGGGCATATAGTTAGTACAAACTCCGCATGCCACTGTCAAACCATCCCTCTGATGAGTTCGTTCAGAGTGTATTAGTAGGTAACACAAGCCAAGGACTACAATTTGGCTCCCCTCTTCCCATGCCCCTCCCTCACCAACCCCGAGCACTCAATCTCCACATCCGTCCCCATCGGCAACGACTTCACTGCCACACATGTGCGAGCCTACACCCTGTTTGTCAGCTTGCACTATAGTTAACCACACTTCCCCATATCCCCCTTCCCTCGGCTTTCAATCTCATTCTCATTCCATGCCATTCATTCCAACACCACCATCGCTTAATAATCACCACCAGCTACAAGAAGCGAAGAGGGAAGAACTAACCGGCATAACCCCTTCGCACGCAGCCCCAAAAACCGCCTTATAAACCTCATTCACCGCCGCAAAATCGTTCATGTCTGTGAGGAAGATGTTGACCTTGACCACGTCGGCGAGGCTGGAGCCTGCGGCCGAGAGGACGGATTGTAGGTTGGTGAGGATTTGTTTCTGCGGGTGATTTTAGTACATGGGGGCTTTGAGGAAGGAGACGGCTATTGGGCTTGGTGGGTTGGTTGGTCAAGAGATAGAGGTAAAGTATGGTAGGGTTGTAGAAATCGATTCTTGACTAGATTGGTAAGGCATGGATCTCCAAGCTCTCACAGCCAGGATCAAGAGGGCGGTGCTAGGAGCTGAGTACTTGACGCTGACGTACCGTCCTCGCCTGGATTGGGCCCTTGATCAACTCTCCTGTCGCGGGATTAACGCCAACTTGGCCGGAGCAGTAGACGATCTTGTCGTTGGCGAGGATGGCTTGGGAGAGGAAGGGGGGCGGCGCGGGCGCGTGCGGGGTGTGGATTGCTTTGCGCGTCGGGTGCCACATTTCCGTTCTTTTCCGTTCAAGTTGCGGTGAATATATACCAAGTAGAGAGGTAAAGAAGGAGATATAATTGAGAAGTTGGATAGAGTTGCTGCTTGCTGGGTGATTAGAATTGAAAAGGGGTTGGGAAGATAGCTTATATCATGTACTGTGGTGAGGAGTAACTAACGTAGTCACCTTTGATCAGCGATTAGATAAGAGGGAGCTTATCGGGAACCAGCAGTGGGGGAGCAGCTGCATGGGCTGGTGAGGGTATTGTGGGTGACTTCCTAGGCTACTTTGCTGGGTCATTCATTCTCTAATTCTTTGAAATGCACCTGGGAGAAGTGAATGAGGGTGCTAGTCAGGGCTCAATTGAAAAATGACTTAGGTGGTTATCGCAGGGCTGGCCATGGTTAGTATGATCAAGTTATCCGCAAACCATTCTAGATAGCTATAGTTATAGTACGCAGATACATCAAGTGGAAAATCAACGCCATAGACCACCATTCAACATTTCTACCAACCATTGAAAAACTTCTTAGCTAGTCATACATTGCATCTATATCTAGGAAGACAATATACAAGGCTTGGTGCTTTTCGTTATATCAGCACCTACACAACTGCAGAGTCATCTACAGCACTACGATAACAAACTAGACACTCCGCAGAAAGGACAGCAAATAAGCAGCTAGATACAAACAATAAAGCAGTCCTTCAAGGAGTAATCACAGCACGTTAAAGGAAAAAGAGTAAAGCTCTGTCACAGCCTGCCTTCGTAACTATTCACCAGTGCACCAAGAACAGTGCACCGAGAACCACCACAGCGCACACAACACCAAAACATCACCATACCGCGAGGGAATCGCCGCGGCGATTCCCATGTCCCACAGGATTTTCTTTCACCTGGCTGTGCAAGAATGTGTTCTTCTTCCTTCTTCTTCTTCTTCTTCTTCATCATCATCATCATCATCTTCTTCTTCTTCTTCTTCTTCTCTCTCCTTTTTATTTCCTCTCCTGTCTATCTTTCACACTGCAGATGGCACAGAGCGCAACTTCTCCCATCCATCCTTTGTCAACTGCATCAGTGAACAACATGGCACAGGCGTTCAGCACTACTTCAAACCCAAGCTTCGGACTCGTCGATCATGAGGAGGCTCTTCCAAGCTACTACCTCATCGAGTACCGCGGTGTGGCGTTCCGAGTGCAGATGGACCATAACGACGATGAGCTCATCCCTAGGCGCTTTCTTGCAGAAGCCGAGCTGTCCGGTAAGTCTTTTCTTCCCCTGAACGAAGCATAACGAGTCAGAGAGGCCGCGTCATAGTTGACTGACAAGAAACAACCCAGAGGACTTTACATCACCTCCATGGATTCACCGTGCTCTGCAGACCATGGAGCAGGGTAGTCTTATCAGGATGGCGGAATGGAACAGACTGGACACCAAGTACAAAGAAGTGTTTGAGAACTTGGTCCGGATCCCTCTTCTCAGAGATGGCCTGTTTGACGGTGGTCATGAAGTTACAGGGCAGCCCACAGATGATCAGCCGCTGCTTGCGAGAGAATCCCGGCGTTTTCGCCGTATCGTCAAACGTCAGCAGCGTGCCATCGTGACGTTCATGCAGGATATTCTGAAAGATGCTCCAATGACTCATACATCCCCCGATGGGCAATCCGAGGTGTATTTGAAGTGCGTATTAACCCGATTTCCGCGTGCTCATGACTTTTCCAATCACTGACTGTGATATAGCCCTAAATACCTGCAGAAACGGATCCGTTACTGGATGGGCCGAATCCAGCACCGAGAGAGGCTCCTGATTGGACCTGAAACCAATGCTTTCTTGACCGTGGATAGCCGTCCGGGCGATCGAGTCTGGAGCCGACACTTGGTTCCTATCACAGTGGTACGCATTGTTGTCATCTTCTCGCCTTGAACGTCGAACCTACTACTCTCACCCCTGCCCGCCTGCCGGATCGCCGGCATGCTCGACTCACATCCAATCTGACTCCAGACTTCAACAGACCACCAATCCCAACGTCACCGTTCGCACTCATCTTACCCGAGCTGTCAAGACCCTTATTGGTCAGTACTGCTACCAGCTGAGGGATGTGAGCAACAACATCCAGTCACTCCCAGACCAAGAAGCGTACCTGATTCACATTCACGGCTCTCATCTCCACATCCTGCGTCTAATCGCCCCGGGCTTCAAAACCTCTCGTATTCGCTCCAACGTGCACAAGCAGTTCGTTTACGATGACACGTACACCTCTCTGAACCCCCACCAGGCCGATCAGCTGGCTCTCAGAATCCTCGCGAATTCGGACGGCGATCCCGACGCGCTCCGCAAAGGCCTCAAAGATAGGAGCGTCCGCAAAGTCCTGGAGCAGGTCGAGTGGTTTCGTTTGTACTGCGGCGACGCCACTGTGGGCACTGTGGAAGAAATAGTCAACTGCGACCCCACAGTTTTCCAGGTGCTGGTCAGTCGTGAGTATGATCTGTGGGATGAAGAAGGCTTTCGGAAGGCCGTACGCAATGTCCGGGCGCTCTACAAGTATCTGATGAGTGGGACGGCTCGGATCGGTTCGCTGCAGAAGATGTTTTGGGACTGGCCGAAGGCGGCAGCCGATGATGATGACGACTATGACGAGATGGATTTTGCTTGGTTCTGGGACTCAGACCGGTTTGCAAGTGGTTCCGAGGAGAACACCGATGACGAGGAAAGTGATTACGAGAATCTCGAGAAGTATGAGGCAGAGCTTGAAGGCGAGGCGGGAGTTGATGAAACTGTGTATGGAAGTGAAGATAACAATGAGGAGCTGGCGGAAGATCTGGACGATGCACGAGACGCAATCCTTGAGTAAGGGCGACATTAAATGTCGGATGCTTTGTTGATGCCAGCATGGCAGACTTGCTTATGCCGCGGTTCGCCTGTCTGCATGGTCTGATGAAATGCTGGTCGGTCAACAACAGCTGGGTATGCGTCCTGATATTAGGTACATCACCAAGACTTGGCTTCAGTCAGTTGGCGATAATAAAGAGCTATCTTGATAGCGGGGTAAATCGGGCTTGACGAGGGTTTGAAGCAGAAACAATTTGTATTCTACATTGAGGAGTGATTAGCTCAATTTGAAATCACATATGCTCACCCCGACTGGTTCCAGAATCAAGTAGATGAATCAAGTAGACACGGACTGGGGATTAATTGAGATGGCGCCGTTCGGACTCAAATGCAGTAAAACCATCAATTCCACGCCCGTCCTCTCCACCGGTCCGGAAATATGAAGTGACAACGCCTATTGCGTAGCACGTTCCGGCGGTAGCCACGCCTCCCAGAAGCATTTTCCGGACGATTCTGGAGGATTTGTTTCGTTGCGAAGCGCTCGCATGGGTGTTACCCGTGGGATTCTTCGATTGTCCAGGTTCAAAATCATGATCCTCATCCTGGTACAGCACATTAGGCGATGAGGAGGGTAACTGCGTGACATCTCCGACATCGGTTTTACTTTTCTTACCAACAAACCCAACCGGATCTCGTGCTTTTCGAAAAACGAGTACATCACCGCCTCCTGAGACGATTTCAAACCCATCATTGTTCAACTTCTCAAAATACGGTAGGAACTTTGCGGGATTGTTCAGGCGATTGAGAACTTCGGTGGGATGGGCTGTCTCATCTGGTACATGGTAAGATGAGCTTGTTTCCGCTTCGGATATACTGAGACTAATAGGATCGAAAGCCAGCACACGATACAATTCGGCAGTAGTCCCCTGGTGGGGAATGTTTTGCGGAAAAGACGAGGGCGAGCTGGGGGGCTTCGCCGTCTCTTGCACTTCTTCTGAGGCACTTGGAAGGGAGACATCCGCGTCTTCAGAGCTGACCTTAGGACTATCTGAGCCTAAGTTATCTGAAGTTACTGAGAAAACCTCGACCGGCGCCTCTGGACGATGATCTTTGCTGAGTATTATGGTCTCATGATTTTGGTCAGCACAACTAGTTTCGGTGTTTACGATGCCTTTCGAATCATTGGATTCTTCGGATATTCGAGCGTTGAGATCGGCATCAATCTTCAGATACGAGGCACGGATTTTGCTTGCACTCAAGGACTCCAGGTCGTCCTCCTGTTCCCGACGTGCAGCGTGAAGTTCTGTTGGATCGTCTTTAGACTGGTTCACTTCGATGTTCGAAACTTCCAGCCTGTCAGTGACGCCTATATTACCCGCCTCCAGAGCAGAATCGCGATGCTCTGAGTATGACTGTTGTTGTGGGACCTCTTGATGCGCGTCGTGTCTCAGAAATGACTTGGATGACTTGTCTACTGGAGACTCAGATATGCCCTCAAGTTGAGGCGACTCTGATGCAGCCCTTTCTATTGGGCCACTAGCTGATTCCAATGAGTTAGGAGAGGCTTCACCGGGAGGTTCGCTGTGGTCGGAACCATCAGTTTGCGCAATCCCTGCATCTGCCATAGGTGGGATTTGTTGTAGTTTATCATCCGGCACTTTCAGCCATGGCTCAAGGTCCGTCATTAATTTCTCATCCAATTTCTCCAGCGGAAGAGATCCCTGAACCTCAGACTCCGCCGCTTGCCGATGTACTGGTGACAGATAACCAGTCGTCTCAGAGATAGAGGTGATGCTTGCCGCAGGGACAGCTGGCTCAATCCCGCCTTGCAGTCTCTGAGACCCATCAGACTTCTCGACTTTTCTAGCGACCATACGACCACTCACAGGGTCAAATTCGTATCTTGTTACATTCTTGTTCGCGGTAGTGACCACTGGGATACTAGTATTGTCCGCCTTCGTTCGCCGAGATTTCTTAGTCGTATTCAAAAGATCCTCACGGGTTGCTGTGGCATTTTCGGAACGCAGAGGCTTATCAGCCGTGCCCGGAGAATCATGACCACGACCAAAGAACGAACGACATATTGAGGTAAAAGTGTCGTCGAGTCTTTCTAAAGTCTTTAGCGGCTCAAGTCTCCTGCCAAATAGAGCCGCATAAGGATCCTTTTCGATCTCCCGCTTCACGCGATCGATCATACGACGAGTACGATTCCCCTCGGTGTCCCAAAAGTCTGCAATCGGGTCGGGGTGTCTGTGTAGGTGCTTTTTCTTATGGCAAGGCTGATCTGATTCAACAGGATGATACCACCACGGTTGATGATATTCAAATATTGTATCCAGTCGGCGAAATCGATGGGGAGGTTTGCCTCTCATTCGAGGTCCGCCTAGCCGCTGATGCTCGTGGATGTACTTCTTGTAGAAGCTCGAATTACTATGGTTATTTTGGGAGCAGCCCCATATCTGACGGGACTGGGAGGAGGATTTTGCGAGTCGAGAGGGAAGGACCAGTAGAGCCAGAGGGTAAGTGCCAGTCAAGGGTCTTGACCTCCTGGCTACGCTGATATGCAATGAAACCGTTCGATAACCCATTATAGCTCTTTCTGACTCAGTACTCCTGAGATAGCTGATAGCTTTGCTTGCCAGGAGCGGAGCTTAGGCAGGGGTAGGTGAGTGACGGCGACCTCAGACCGTATGAAGACAGCAACGAGGTTATTCCCGGTTACATCGAAGGGTGTAGCAACAAGCAAGGCGAAAACCTTGCTGTAAACAGTAAACTCACCAGATAGGCCCAAGTATATTGATGAATCGAATCTCACAACCGTCGAATAATCGAGGTATTGTAAGGTCAAAATTGAGCGTGTCCCTAGATGCAAGTAGGCACGCAGTTGCAGGCGCCGATAAGACAATACTTGGTCGGGTGGAGAGAACTCCGATAAGGCCAATTCGCCAATGCGGGGTCAGAAGTACGGCAGCCTATAGCCGCCATTATGACACCCGCTTTGTTCATCGCCCTTCTTATATCGATTAAGTTAATTCTACTTCTCAACAAACAAAATAGTTCCTGCTATAAAGGAAGACCTCTGCAGAAAGACCTCTGCAGGAAGGTCTTTGGTATAGGAAGAACTTGAGTACTATTGTAGAAAGATCTTCTATACAGAGCTAGTCGATCAAAAGTCTTCTATCTAGAACTAGTAAAAATATTTCAATAGTTATACTCTGTACTCTGTAGAATGTGTAAGTCATTTAGATTAGAGACTGATTCTACCAGCAGAATCACGGGAATTTGATAAGTGAAAATCGCTTCTTGTGGATTTCCATATTGGGCGGCTATAGTTAAGCTGACGTACAGGAGTCTGAGTCAGTCATTGTGGCATCTCCAGCGAACTAGTATCATCTGTTATCTTTGTGCTCTATAAAATCACATAAAATGTTGAATCGTCTATACTTATGCTGTTGAGGTATATCTATAGACCTCGTCTAGAGTTATCCTTGACAAACCCAGATCCCCGGTATCAGACAAATAATTAGCCCAGAAGCGCAAGCCTTCAATGCCCTCCTCCCTGCAGAGAACTCCCTTGTCCTCGGCCATTTCTAGCTCCTCCGCTGCAATTCCCACACTCCATCCAAACCGTTGAGCTGTCTCTTGGGCGGTGATTGCACGCCCAAATATACGCCAGTCCCAAGCAACTGTTTCAGTAGGTGGCACTTCTCGGAGCTCAACCATCCACGCCTGTATCTTTCGTAGCGTTTCCTCATCACTCCAATCCCACCTTTGAACAACAAGCAAGCCACTTTTGAATTGGCGTAAGCGTACCGGCAATTTGAGTGTTTCCCACAACTCTGCCGCTTTTTGAAAGTCAGAGGGGCTGACGAGCTCAACGCCGTTTCGAGACCGGTTGAATATTGCCCAGAGATCGATAAGACTCATGATGCCACCCTCTTTATTGAGCAAGCCCTTGCGATCGTCCGTCAGATATTCAGCCAGATTTCGTGAAAGCTCTGAGATGTATAAGCTTCCAGCGCCACTACCAAGCATATCCTTAGTTGTCACCATCCCCATAGTTTCCGCAGATTCTAGTAGAACTGCATTTGCTTCTCCAGAGAGATCACCAGTGGTCATGCCCGAGTCTCGCATAGACGCAGCAAGCGCCATGACCTGCTTGGCAGATGCCATAAGCGCCTCTAGGTCTTCAAACGCATTCCCAATGACCAGTTCGTTATTTTTGCGAGCCTGAAGACCTCGCTGTTCGAGTCCCGCAATGCCTACTCCGGGAGATCGGGCAGGTGACGGTACGTTGCCTTCAGAGAGTGCAGTCACTGTCAAACCTGGAGATGAGAACGAGTTTGACTGCGACGGCTGCTGAGGCACCGGTGGAGCATCGTAAAGCAACCACTTCCTCTGAATCAAGGCACCCTTCAATCTTTCAAGAAATATTTGTACGCCCCCAGCTCTAAAAGATAACTTCATACAGTCAGTGATCTCAGTGCTCTTGATGCTATTATGGCCGAACACAGGTGCTGGTGATTCTGCCCGATGTGAATCGATCTGTGTAGTTTTCCAAGCGCCCGGTGCCACCAGTGAAGCACCACATATTTCACACTCTGTGAGTGAGGGATGATTCACAAATGTGCAACGTGGACATGATACCTGAGCGTTGTCTGAAAATGGCAAGCTCACGGAACCGTTAATCGGGACTGAGCCTCCAAGCCCAGACGCGGTTGAATTCGTTTTGGATGAAGGAACATCTCGGCTAGCTGTGGCAGTAATAACAGCTTTTAGAATGGTGGCCAAAGGTGGCTTGATACCACAGGCCAAACAAGGTGGAATTGGCGTGGACGCTGTTGCTGTCGAAGGATCGAAATTGGAAGGCACGGGATTCGAGAACGAGCAGATAGGACAAACCCAAGTCGCATTGACCACTTTGGGGGACACAGGCTGAATTTGAGGACCTGGAGCTAATAGACTCGGTGACTGCCTTCGGGATGGGCTTGCGCCAGCGCTCTTTGACTTGCTGAGGGAGCCTTTCGGCGGCTTAGGATACAATGTGATCTTGGGGGATGACTTCAGGAAACCTGCCTGGACTGAATCAGCGATTGGACGGATTCTGGCAACCCAAACAAGTCATACCTGGTACTCCGCCCTGTCAACTTCCTTCAAATCGATACCGACGGAGTACTTCCGTGGCTCTTCGACCGCGACATAGCACACCCGGTGCGAGGTCAGGTATGCATGTCCATTTTGGTAGTTGGGAATTTTATATTTCCTGTCATGGTCGAAACATTAACACCCAACAAAAATTTAGACACTACAGCCTTAAGTCCCATGCATGCATCCTCGCTTGTCAGAGGAATCACCGGCGACTCACCCTTCGTACAACCCCACCGCATCCTGGACAAACAATAAGGTTTCATCGGGCAATAGTGCAGGTCGGAGTGCGGTAGTTAGATCCAAAGGCTTGAAGAACATCTAGTAGAGCCAAACAGCATCTCTTCACCTGTCAATCGTGAAGAGGGCAATGTTCCTGTTGCAAATGATAGATTCTTCGTGGCCGAGGGGGGGTTGGGGAGGAAGACGATGGTCGTCCCTCCTCGTTATCAGTTTAGATCATGGAGACTGCTAACGTAATCTCTGGAGAGAGGGAAACTAAGTACGGTAAGCGACATAGTCCACTGGCGCCTAGAGAAATTCTCCGCCACCGGATGAAGTGGAAACTGAGCGGTAAGCAGCCTTGACTTGTCCTCCTCCGAGTCCCTCCTACTCTCAACAATCCCCTTCTTCCCCTCACTTTTGAGAAAGACCCTTTTCCTCCATTCCCCTCTGTCATTCTCAGGACTTCGTTCTTCTTGTGGATTTGTTGCGACATCTATACATCTTCCTCCTGATTCTTTTCACTCTGCTTTGTCTGTGTAGGAACGATGTGTTGACCTGTCCCTCTTAATCTCCGAATCGAATCGATTTCATTCACTTCACCGTGGACCCGTAGCTCATACTTCTTTTTCTTGCCTTTCACCCTTCGCTCTCTTCCCATCCCTTACTCTACTCTCGTCTAGATCTGTGTCAAAATGAGTTCTGGCATTCCACCCTGGCGTGCTACAGCGGCAGCTCCTTCCGCCGCAACGTCTCTGTACTCCGGCCATGGTATGTTTCTCCGAACGTACTTTCTGACCCCGACGATTCTAACTAGAGGACATAGCAACCCCTGCCTATACCCCTGTCCAAGCGCGCCGTAGTATCATCACTGCAAAGACAGCAAATTCAACCCCAGCACCGGCCTCGTCGCAGCAGACAGCCGCAGAAAGTGCCCCCCGCAAACAACGAGTAGAGTGGCCAGAGCCGGTTCGACTGTACGTACAACGCAGTTTTGCGCCCGAGAATCGGCTTGCGGGAGTCGAGCGAAGCGAGATGGAGAGCAAACTCAGAGCCGTCATCACCGAAGCAGCTGAGAATAATATGCTCGACAAGATCGATTGGAGCAAGTTGCCCCTGCCTCAAGTCATGGTACAAAATGATCGAAATAAGATATTGGCTAGTCCTAGCGTATCGACCTGGGGAACCTTTGGCACGCTCTCGCCTAAGAAGGCTCATAACAACGGGATGGAAGAATTGTCGAAGAAAAGGAAATCGGTTGAGTCCCAAGGGGATGCGAACAACTGTCCCCCGTGGCGGAAAACTAACACTCAGAATGCTTTTGAAGATCGAATCACCTATGCATCAACAGATAAGCGTCAAAGAATAGACCTGAAAAATACTAGTAAGTTTAAAGCTAATCTGGAATTGCGGAGGAAACGATTCGAAGAGCCTCAGGCCTCTACTGGGTCCTCCGCTTCCTCTCGCGGTGCTTCGCCGGCCCCTGCAGCAAATGCCGGCCCTGTCGTCGGAACCTGCCAGGATTTGGAAAAGAACTACTTCCGCCTGACTGCCGCACCGAAGCCTGAGACTGTGCGGCCCTTGCATATTTTGCATAAAACCTTGGATGTGCTGAAGAAGAAGTGGAAGAAAGACAACAATTATACCTATATTTGTGACCAGTTCAAATCGTTGCGGCAAGATCTGACAGTGCAGCATATCAAGAACGAGTTTACTGTCAGCGTCTATGAGATTCATGCCCGGATCGCGTTGGAGAAAGGGGATCTTGGTGAGTATAATCAGTGCCAGACTCAGCTCCGCGCATTGTATGCACAGCAGCTGGGAGGACATCCCACGGAATTTCGGGCCTACCGTATCCTCTATTTCATTCATACCCGCAATTGGACGGCCATGAACGATGCCTTGGCCGATCTAACCTCAGCAGACAAACGAGATCCTGCTGTGAAACATGCCTTGGATGTACGCTCTGCCCTTGCTCTCGGGAACTACCACCGGTTCTTCCAGTTGTACCTTGATACCCCGAACATGGGAGCTTATCTCATGGATATGTTTGTGGATCGCGAGCGACTGTCTGCCTTGGCGGCAATTTGTAAAGCGTGAGTCTTAGCCATAACTTGTCCCCACTCCTCTACTAACCTCGTGACTAGATACAAACCGGACGTAAAAATTCGATTTATTACTGAAGAACTTGGTTTCGAGTCTGATGAGCAAAGTGCACGCTTCATTCTGGATCACTCCGCTGAGGATCTGCTCCAGGAAAAAGAGGGATCTGTGAGGCTCGTGACAGGTCCCCGGGCTGGTCAGCTTTTTGAGGCTGCCAAGGCCGATGCTCATCGGATCGTCGATATCAAGGGTCAGATCTAAGTTCATTTTTTCTTTCCAGCCACCCTGCACATGTTACATCTTACGTTTTCTTCTGGATACTCTTTGCGTACTCTCGACATCATTTTTCTTCTACCGTCATATCGTTTGGAGGCATCTCTGTGTTTTATGCATCGTACTTTGCTTGTTGCTGCAGCACTCAAAAACGTCTTTTCATCGGCATCGCAGGCGTCTGGATCTTGGCTGTTCACGGGAGTGAGGCGATATATACCCATTTCGACTCCAAAGAACTTTGGTTGAGCTGTGATATCTTTGCAGACTGGACTGGGTATGAAGCAGAACAGAATATCTAACCTTTAGTGTGATACTCTCGGTAGTACAGTCGAATACGAAGTTTCTTCCCTTCCTACTTGTTTCCGATGGTGTTTTGTAGACTCTATGGTGAGCAATAGGACTGGACATGTTTCTAGTCCAAGTCTCATTTGCTTGATGATCTTGGATGTGCATCCGTGGGATCCTCCCTCCGAACCCGGAAGTGGTCATCCGCGCGAGCTTCAACCAAGTTACACATTTACCCGATAATTCTGTACTACTATGTATCATCTCTTTGTGACGAATTGAGTCCAAGGACAAGGCTAACGTAACTAGGAGAGAGTAAGCCCATCATTCGGGATCTAGGGTCTCTCAAGCCGACTGCACAGAGGATGTACCAGTATACAAATGCACTGTACAGATTATTCTGATAAATTACCTCGAAGTTGATCATCAGCAGGGTCTAGACCGGGCTTTGCACATGACATGCTGCCATCTACCTATCCACCACCGTATAACCGCAGAGACCATGAGTGACCCCGCGTTTTCTCCGTCAGGACGATCATTGAACGTCACTGATCTGACATATCATATCCGTCTCAGGTCAGAAACATGCAGTGGACTTAGTGTGCGTACTTTTATCTGCCGATGTGATTGGTCTGATCTTGATATATTGAACGTCTTTATGTATCCTTGATGTCATTGATGTTTGGGATATCCTGACTTGACGGACGAAGCAAGATTATGGGTGGGCAAGTTGTTGTTTCAAGTGGATTGATGTGTTTAGAGTACTAGGGATCGATGTAAACGAAAGGGAGGTCTGGATTGTTCTTTGGGATTATCTTCTAAGCTTGGCGCTTGTGGTTTGATGGTTGGAAGGGTCCCTTGAATTTACTTGGTGGTATTATGCCTAGGAGACTACCTACTGATGAGGATGCATGTGATTTTACGGAGTACTCCGTAGACTGTGTGGTAATGACGTGTGGTAGGGAGAGTCATAGCTGATGGGCGGTATATTGCTGGAAGAGTAAGGTGGTTGGTTCGTTGACTGGCTGGTTTATGGCCAATCCACAGTGAGTCAACTGGAGGTTGCGAATAACTACCTACCTTACTGTAGCGAAGAGGCTACTAGCTCTACTCGGTCCGTATAGCGACATGCATACAGTGTATGCGGTTCAAGTATCTGCCAAGCTAGGAGAGTCAAACAGAGCTTGACCAACCTCCCATTCTCCCGATTATCATCCTTACAGACGCTGTAGTTGCCGAAGTTTTTGCAATATGTCCGGACTCGATTTTGAATTCATAGCGTCGTCAAGTCGACCGCCTACATTAGTGCTGTGAACTCGCTGCAATCGACCCGTCAACCTGCAAGGGCATCTGCAAAGTTCTGCAAGCTTGCAGAAATCTTGCCGTTCCGAGTGTTCGTCCGCAGTGCGTTCACTCTTCAGAGCCTAATCTGTTTTTCTATTTGTCTTTCTTTCTTTTGTGTTTTTTCTCTCTCTGGAGTGTAAGCTCGGAGTAAAAGCATCGAAATGGATGGATTTCCGGGGGAGAGAGTCCAGGGAAGAAAATCTCGAAGCAATAACTACTCGTTTCACCTCGTCATTATCAGATGGCGCCATGCAGATAGTATTCCCGTGATCGCCCATTTTTCAGACAAGAAGAATCGAAGATCACAGCCCGAAGGGGACAGCGGAATTGAAGACCCGTCATTGTTCAGACTCGCACCCAGGGGCTAAAACAAGCTTGATTCACGCTGCAGCTCTTTGGCTTGAGCTGGCTGGATCTGCGCGGGAACAGAGTTTCTGGCAGTCCATGGATGGACTGTGGACTGCGGGATAGACAACGAAAGGGTTTAAGCCCTTCCTTCGGGCTAAGTAGTTTACTTAGATTAGGTTGTTCTCCTTTTGCTCGTCTATACAATAATTTGGGTGTGAGGGCCAGCCGAGGAATGCATGGGTTTTCCGCTAGACTCTCCCGGAAATTCTACCTAAGAATCATACTGTGGCTGGTTTGTTGGGAGTTGGGGGAAGATCTATACCGTGTGTTAGGACAATTTTCGGAGGGATGTCAGGTGCTACTACGAGAGTACAATCATCTATCTTTGATATGCGCATCCTGAAGAAGTGTTGCTGAGATGACCGCAGTGACCGCACACACCCCCAGTTGCCACCCAAGCCCACAAGCCCAGCCCACACACACACACACACAGACACACACACACACACAGACCACGTCCGACCGACGAACGCACCCACTGCAGTGCCCGGGAACTAGAGAGCCCAATTAATGTCGACCGATGGGTTCCCAATAAACCAAAAAGCCTGTCTGGCTCATGATCTAAAGTTCTCATTAGTACCTATGGTACATGGTACATACAACGTGGGAGAAAGTACGCTCTGGTTGCCCGTTGTTGGGATCCTGGATTTCTAGTTAGTCCTCCAGTACCGAGTAGGCTCGCGTTGCGTTTCCACCGTTCCAGCAAGCTGGTTAGATTCCAATTTGCTACGGCTAGTCTTCCTTTTTTGGAACTGGTGCGGTTCCGGTGTGCCCAACCTCCGTCCAGGGGGTGCTGATCACACTGCAGACAAGTGCCAAAGGGGGCATGAGATGAAGGGGGTGTTTTTTTTTTCTTGTCCTCTCTCAATAAAAAGGCAAAAAAAAAAAGAAGAAGGCCAAGTTACGATGTACAGGTCCAAATCAAGATGAATGGAGGGACAGGGCTGGCAAGTACTAGAGCAATAGGGCATACATCCATGCAGCAGGGGCGGGGGGCAGCATCCGGTGGTGAGAAGAACTAAATTGAAGGACTACCGGGGATAAGCAGCTGAGGTTTGAGGTAGGCGCCATTAGGTATTGAGGCACCCTCTCACTGAGTATACTAGGTAGTTTCTCTGCTCATATACTACGTATATTATACGTCCTATCAGCCACATGGGACCCGATGGACTTTAGGAAACTGTCGTCATTCTTCTTTGGCCGATGTAAGTTGACCACGAGAGGCACTAAGTACGTACAGAACTTTCTTATAGATAAGTTACTCAGCCCGATACTACTACTACTACTCAAGTAAAGACGAGAGACCCGCGATCATCGGTGGCACCCACAATTATCCGAGACGAGTTCCCATCATTGTAACGGCTATCGCATGATGACAGACAGACCCAACAGCTTAATAGACCATCTTGCCACACCCTACATCTAAGTTTTTATCCTTGCGAACACAGGGCTGGGGGAACCACCAGCCAACCGGGACTGGGGTAGCTGAATTTCCCGCCACAGTTGAACCAGTTCGTTCTTCTCTTCTCTCAGCCTCTGCTCTTCTTGTCCTTTCAATCAATCAGTCAGTTAGTTACGGAATAGTCAGTCCAGAGTCCACACTTTTGGCTCCCTCCCCACAATCAATTGATCAACGGCCATCCTACTCCGCTCTGTCGCAAGCCACCAACCAGATAACCTCCAGCCAGACAGGCAGACATCCTAACTGTCCTCTCTCTCTCTAAACTAGCAATTCTAACCACCACCTTTCCACTACCACCACTGTCGCAAGGAGCAACTGGCGCAGGACGGATCAAGTTGCGCCTGGATCCTCTCTTGTCCAGCAGCTTATCAACATTGACATCTTCAGGGGCGGGGCCTTTTTTCCAGAGGAAAGCGGGCCACTTTCTTCTGGCGTTGTCGCAATCCAGAACCTCTTTTCCTCTCCACCTTCCCTCCTCCCCCTTCCCCTCCAATCCACGTTACAGGTTCACCCGTGGTTTAATTCCGGGAGACCTAAAAAAAAGATTCAGTGAGCAAAAAGGCAAGGCAAGGGAAGAGAGAAAAAAAGCCGCAAAGGAAAACGAAAAACTGGAGGGCAAGAAACAACTCCCTATCTGCCCATCCATCCAACCCATTCAATTCATCGAGTCCAAGCCTTGACAGGTGTGCAGAACTCCATTTCATGCTATTAGTACTCGGACGCTTCCATTGATTTATTATCACTCTTGGACTGCCGCCCCTCCTTTCCCTTCGCCTTCATCGACAGTCTCGCTCTGAACCACATTCTTTCTATTTCTCCCATTTCATTGTTCATAAAACTTTATTTGCTTATCGCTCTCTCTCATCTCTCTTTTCTCTCCCTCTCTCTCCCTCTCTATCTTCTTTTCCATTCCTTCCATAGGTTTTCTATGGTTCTTCCTAGAAAGGGTGTCGCCTCCCATTCCACCAGGATTTCTTTGTGCAAGTCCTTTCTCCATTGCCCGAATTCGCCTGCCTGTCCTCCCTCCCTTTCCTTTCCTCCCGCGTGGTGGCTGATGACCCGGAGTTCGTGAGAGAAAAAAAAAAAAAAAAAAAAAGAAAGTGAATGAACTTTTCGTCGCGGCTCCCCTGAGCTTTTATATTATATTATACTCTCTCTACTATCGAGTGGTTGACTCCAGACTGTGATATCTCAAACAAGAAGCCAGGCCGACTTACCGAAACAAGAATGAAGGTATGTTTCGAAGGTGGTGAAACTTGCAACTGGATCCAGCTTTCTTAACGCCCCCCCTCGTTTCCCGCCCCTCGTTTATCTCGATTGTCGCTTGTTCTTGTTCCGAAGACCCAAAATTTAATTACTAGCATCAATCAACCCGACTTTTGGCTGGCTCAAGCTGGGCCCGCCCGTCTGGGCTTTGGTTTTGGTTCATTGTTCGCGACTGCGGTTTCTCTTTGGGCTTGTTCTTGAGGTCTCAGCTTTAGTCTTTCCCTGCAACTTCAAGACGATTGATATTTCTCTTGCCATACATTCAATTTATTCATCGATTCCCATTGACTAATCATATCCCCCGCACCTTTCTTTAGGCCATTCGACGCTCATTGAAAGGGGAGAAAGATCCCAAATCCCATCATCATCATCATCACCACCATTTGTCTATCACTCCCAAGTCCGCCATTGCGATTCTCCCGCCCAAGAAGGTACGTACACAGTATGTTTGATTTTGGCTTGTGCTGCGCACCTTGTCCGTTCCACTCTCTCTCTCTCTCTGCTCCGGCCAACGCCCGCCCACTCCCCAATCTTTCCTTCCCATGCTGTCTCCACAGTCCACACCCCATTCCTGTTCTTTTCCCTTTTTTATGCTTTGTCACTATTTTTGACTCTTTTACATAACTTAATCTTACATCTCCCTCCCCCCCCCTTTTGTTACCCCTCCTTCTTTTGGTTTCTTCTTCCATGACTACCTGGTCCCGATCGCTTGTGCTTGTGGGGTGTGGCATTGATTTGTTTTCTTTCGCATCCGCCCTTGGGTTTACCGGCGTCAACTTGGTCAAATCATTAGCTCGTAAACAGCTGCTAACTCTACATCCCTGTTTTGCGCCTAGGTTATCAAAGCGCTCTTTGATTACCAACCGGAGCCCGGGAACACACAGGAGCTTGCGTTCAGCAAGGGAGACTTCTTTCACGTTATCAGCAGGGAGGACGATCAGGATTGGTACGAAGCGTGCAATCCCCTCATCCCTAGTGCCAGGGGGTTGGTTCCTGTGTCTTTCTTCGAAGTCATCGGCAAGAACGAGAGAGATAGCGTCGGCTCCGTCGATCTGTTTAAAAAGAAAGAACCGCACGACTCGGGATTTTCTGATCGCGCCGCATTCCCCGCCTCCGATTTTGTCCACAGCCCGCCCCGATCATCGTCGCAGCTCAGGATGTCGGCGTTAGGGAAGGGCTCGAGCCCTATGGTCTACGGTATCGTTCAGTACGACTTCCAGGCTGAGCGACCCGACGAACTGGATGCGAAGGCCGGCGAGGCCATCATTGTGATTGCTCAATCGAATCCAGAGTGGTTTGTCGCCAAACCTATTGGTCGCTTGGGAGGACCTGGCTTGATTCCGGTCTCATTTATCGAGTTGCGCGATATGCAGACTGGCCAAGCGGTGACCGACCCGCTCGAGGCCGTCAGGCGCGCCGGCGTGCCCAAGGTGGAGGAATGGAAGAAGATGACGGCCGAGTACAAAAACAGCAGCATCACCTTGGGCAAGATTGAGGGCAACGGCTCGTCGTCGATGCAGTCGGTTACATCAGGCGTAGACCGGATGTCGATCGGCCGGCAGAGTACCAGCCAAATGAGCCAGAACGGTCACATATCTGTGAGTGAAATCATCGCACAACAGTAAAGAACAAATCACTAACCTGGGCGCGGCAAAGGCGTATCACAACCGCAATACAAGCAAAAGTTCTCTCGTGCAGCAAGCTTCCCACCAGTCCTCACAAAGCTATCACCAACCTCTCATGGCGCCTATCGCCGCCTCAATTCCCCGCTACTGCTTTGACAACGATAAATATTGGTATATTATCGAGGCCAAGATGGAGGATGGCCGCTGCTGGGAGTTGTCTCGCTACTACCACGACTTTTACGACTTCCAGATCGCTCTTTTGACTCAATTCGAGGAGGAAGCGGGTAACCGTGGCAAGCCACGCACGTTGCCTTATATGCCGGGTCCTGTCACCCACGTTACGGATGCAATCTCCAACGGCCGTCGACAGAATTTGGATGAATATATCAAAAAATTATTGGCCATGCCTCCCCACATCTCCCGCTGCCAACTGGTTCGCCAACTATTCGCACCCCGCGCCGGCGACTTTGAGATTGATCCGAGCGCATTTGGCGAGGACGCACGGTTCTCCGGTGGCTCGCACCATTCGTCGACGCACGAGCCCTCGCGCAGCGTATCGCGGCAGTCTTCGCAGGCTCCGATCGCCGTGCATACTGAGCGCAACTCTCACCAACGAGGGCAGCCGTCGCTGTCTCTTGGCAACGGCAACCCTCCTCCCATGAACCGCCAACCCAGCTCGCTTACTCAGGTTTCTACCACCTCGAGCAGCGGCGCCATGAAAGTCAAGGTGTTTTTCCAGGATGACTTGATCGCCATCCGAGTCCCCAGCGACATCAGTCTCCAGCAACTGAAGGAGAAGCTGATTGACCGTCTCAAGATCCAAGACGAAATTGTCGTCCAGTATAAAGATGAGCCATCCGGGACGTACGTGGACTTGGCTACTGACGCCGATCTTGACACGGCGATCTCACGAAACTCCAAACTCACATTATATGTCGGTATTGCATAGAAGCGGTGATTCTCCATTCATCCCTTATAGACCTGTCCATTCTTTCATTTCCGTTTGTCTGACCCCAACTACCTTCTTAGTTGGTGCACTGGTGTTCTGGTGTCTTTCTCTTTCTGTCCTTGGTCATCAGCCTCTGAGCGAGTGTTGTTGTTGCTGAGTCACGAGGTCGAAACGATGACAAAAATGACATGCCTGAAACGTTTATGCCATCATGTACCCTCTCTGTTTTCCTTTGTCCATCCAGGCCATGGCTGATTGTGTCCTCCATACCCTGATTGTGCGTTCCTTGTTTGATCGTGTACATAAAGCTTCTTTTGCATATAATGCGAGCTACGGTAGGTGCAAACCTACTTTCATTCTTATACAATGCCAATGATTAGTAGTAAGCCAATCGGTGACAAGGGAATTTCCGCCTCCGCGGGATTACCTCAGCCCGGATCAGTTGCCGATAGCCGTATCACATGACAAGCATCGGAACGAGGCCAATTTACTTGGGTTTTCTCACGGAATACTTGTTCGCATAATTGCGCTAATTCTCGTCTTTTTCTTTCTGGTGACTTGTCAAAGACCTCCCCTGCAGTGGACTGTACATATTGCTTCTGCCACAGCATCTCTTCACGCGTACTTTGTGACATCTGTTCCGGCCGGGATTCTTTCGTCCCCGCTTTTGTCCCTCCGCCGATTGTTTACCGACCGGGCAACCTCGGTCGAAACGAAGCGAAGCGCTTTCCACGTTTCGCACCGCGTGCATGCGCTTAACGATCGCTACGAAGCGTTCTTGAGCCTTTTTTCTTCTGTTCGATCTTTTTTCTTTTTTGGCAGTCTTTACACCCATGAGTGGCTCGTCTGCGAAACTCTGCGCGGACTACTTGCCCGGCGCACTGCGGTCCCGGGGCCTTGTCCTGCGTCGCGCCGCTCCTGCTCCGCGGGAAGGAGGAGGTGTGCGTAGAGTATGCTCTCGCTACTCTCGCCGAGCGTTTCATCATGGATCTCAGGGTGCGCGGCAATCGACGAACGTGTGGGTCAATGGTGGCTCTGATCCAGTTGACCTAATACGGGTTCAGGGTCAGTATGCGCGGAGGTTCGCGACGGCAGTCCCGGGGAAGAGCGAAGCTTCTTCGAGTGCAGCTGGGCTGCCCGGGGGTCCATTGGCCGAGTACGACAAACGGGTGCAAGAAGGTCATTTGCGGGATGATCCTTATCAGAGACGTAGGTTTCTTCTTCCTGGGTTGGCGGGCGAGAGGTAGGAAAGTGTTTCTAACGCGGTCATGATTCATACCAGAAATCATCGAAAAGCTGCAAGACCTCTACGAACGACTGGCATCCTACCACCCGCCTGCGGTGATCCACCCCAGCCCGGAGTCTCTCGATCCCACGCCCAAGTCGTCTTCGTTCTTCGGCTCGCTCTTTGGGCGCAACAGCGGCACCACGAAGTCGGAATTGACAATTCCCGCATCCCTTCCTAAAGGACTGTACATGTATGGCGACGTAGGGTGCGGCAAGACCATGCTGATGGATCTGTTCTTCGAGGCGTTGCCGGCCAACATTCGGGCGAAGAACCGTATCCATTTCCACAACTTCATGCAGGATGTGCATAAGCGCATGCATGTGGTGAAGATGAAGTACGGGCATGACTTTGACGGGCTCCCGATTGTGGCAGCGGACATCGCAGCGCGGTCGAGTGTCTTGTGCTTTGATGAGTTTCAGTGCACGGACGTGGCAGACGCGATGATTCTGCGGAGGTGAGCGAACAATCTGCCTTGGTTTGCCGGGCTTCGTGTACTAAAAACAACGGTCATTTGCAGACTCATTGAGCACCTCATGTCGCACGGCGTGGTGATCGTCACCACCTCCAACCGCCACCCGGACGATCTCTACAAGAACGGCATTCAGCGCGACTCCTTCATCCCATGCATCAACCTCCTCAAGACCGCCCTGCAGGTTATTAATCTCAATTCTCCGACCGACTACCGCAAGATCCCCCGCCCTCCGGCCGCCGTGTACCACCACCCGCTCGGACCGGAGGCCGATGCGCACGCGCAGAAGTGGTTTGAGTACCTTGGCGACTTCACCAACGATCCCCCGCACCCGACGACGCAAGAAGTCTGGGGGCGCAAAATCTCCGTGCCGCTGGCGAGCGGCAAGGCGGCGCGTTTCTCCTTCCAGCAGCTGATCGGGTCCGCTACGGGGGCGGCGGACTACCTGGAGCTGGTGCGCAATTACGAGGCGTTCATCATCACGGACGTGCCGGGAATGAATTTGAACCAGCGAGATCTGGCCCGACGGTTTATCACTTTTATCGATGCTGTTTACGAGAGTCGGGTAGGTGCCCCAAACCATTCCTCCAAGTTTCGTCCCTAGATTTAATGCTTATCATCTCTCCCTGAGACAGGCCAAACTCGTCCTCACCACCGAAACTCCACTCACCAACCTCTTCCTCTCCGACGCAGACGTCCGAACCACCCTCACCGACCAAACGGGCGACGACCACTCCGACCTGTCGGATGCGATGCGCATGATGATGGATGATCTGGGGCTGTCGATGCAAGCCCTCAAAACCACATCGATCTTCTCGGGTGACGAGGAACGTTTCGCGTTCGCGCGTGCGTTGTCTCGTCTCACCGAGATGGAGAGTAGGCAGTGGGTGGAGCGGGGGTTGCCTGGTTCTGCATCCGGGCAGGGACAGAGTAGCGCAGAGGATGCGAAGGAGAAGGCGAAGGAGAGAGAGGAGTTTTTGAAGGGGAGGGGAAGGTGGGCGGAGGATAATATGTAATCCTTGGCTGCCTCGGGTTTGTTTAGAAACTTTCTAGGGTACCCTGGGGGATGGGAAGGGGCAAGCTGGAGGGACAGTTTGTGAGAAGGATGTAGATCTGCATGAATGTGTGGATAGAGAGGGCACTTCGCTGTAAGTATGGTGTTGTAGATAGATAGATGCATGATATTGAGGACGCAGATATAGTTGCTATGGATTCTGTGTAAATCGATTAGTAGATTGACATTATCGTGGATGATTCATGGTTCAATTGGCTTTCCTGAATATATTCAGAAAGCGCTCTTTACAGCCTGCAGACAATAAGAAAACCCCTCTCAGAAGTGAGTTGTTTGTAGTATGTTGAGGAGCCATCATGCATCTTTCGCAAAGATGTGAGATGACTAAATCCAGGTCAGATGACATTCCATTCTACTGCAGCGATCTATATCCTTAGTTACAATTTCCCCTTTCACTCCTATCTCAGGCCCTCGAAAGTTCTATCTTCCTATGTATGTATCTATCCACAGCAAGTCAACCCTGCACACATTGTTCCACATACAACTTGGCATTTGCCCAGCCCCTCCGTCTCCAAGCTAGCAAGAGCCGACGGATGCACCACCTCCGGCTGAATTGTCGTCGAATGGACACCATACGCGTGGAAACATTCGTTGATCGTCTTGGTCAACTTCAAAAAGGCTGGGACCGAGCTATCTGACACCGTCACATGCACAGATGCTAGTGTTTTATGCTGATTCAGCTGCCAGATGTGAAGCTCGTGGACCGACAGCACGCCGCTGATCTAGCTCTTCGTGAGCGCTGGGACAACCGCACCTTGATCGAAACTCACCTTTTCCAGATCATGCTTCACGTCTTCAGCATCTACTCCATTCGGTGCGCTCTGGAGCAAGATAAGACCGGATCGTCGCACTAAGCGAATTCAGCACTCTGACTTCGGAAGAGAGAATCGGTTCGACATACCCAGTGGAAACGAGGACAGAAGGATCATGATTGAGATACCCATCGTCGTTCCTGGGTCAGCATAGTACCGGCCCTCATAGTGAGTCAACCAGATCACCAAGGCCGCGGCCATCACCCCAAGGTTGTTGGCTGCGTCACCGAGGACATGGACCAAAACCCCCATCATCCCTAGATCATGCCCGTGACCGCTTGCTTGCGCAGAGTGTAGAACGTGTTTGTGGTCGCCATGCTGTTGGAGTCAGCAACTGAAAATAGCGTGAGGCTCACTTGGTCTCTGCGCGACTGACCTCGGGACTTCCAGGCCTCTCTTGCCCGTCGCTATTTTCGGAATTTGACGCGGGAATCTCTATCATGGCCTGATCTAGATGGTCATGATCATGTCCGTGATGGTGATGCTCTAGACCTGTTATCAACCATACCCCTGTCCCAACCCAGTTAAACGTACCATGAAGGAATGTCGCGCTGATCAGGTTGAGTCCCAAGCCGATAGACCCCATGATGAACATGAGCTTCGGGTTTTCAACGCCTGTCGACATCAGCCACGGCTCAAACTGAACATGAGAGGAGACCCACGCTCAATCGATATGAATCGCTCAACAGACTGCAAGAAGACCGAGATCCCGAGCCCGAACAGCAGGACGCCATTGAAGAAGGCGCCCAGTAACTGCGCCCGCTGCCACCCGAACGAGAGCGCCTTGGGCGAGTCATCGGCTTCTGATACCTAGCAGGCATGCGATTCAGTGTCTTGGTCCCCGCTTAGTCGGTGCGAAACCGTCACATACCCAGAGAGCTAGCAGGGCAACAATGAACGATACCAAGTCGCTCAACTGCAACCATCAGCATTCGTCGTATGAAGCATATCTCTCAACGCACATAGTGAAAGGCATCAGCCACTAAAGCCAGAGAGTGTGTGTAAAATCCGACTATCGTCCCAAATGATCAGCCACAGTGAACATCGACTCCCAAGCTCGGTGTAACAGGAGAATAGGCACCTGATATTTCTGACACGAAGAAGGCAGAGGAAATTGCAATAACAACCATTAAGCGCTGAGAGCGCGAGATGTTGGGTGACATGGCCCCCCGTCCCTGTTGAGTGTAACAGCAACGAGACCGACCACGAATGACGTGGTTGTTAAAGGAGTCAGTCACGGCTGGTCAAGAACTTACCGGTCAAGCCCTGCTGCCCCTTGCATGCTCATCTGCATCTACCCTACTTACTGATTTTCCGTCAGAAATAGGCTGAGATCTGCAGATCCCACGCTAGGAGAACTTCTGGAACAGCTCAGAGGATGATCGAGTAGAGATACTATGGGGGGAATGCCAGAATTCTCTGCTGGCCATACCGCTACCTTTATAGTCTTGCAGATTCAGGGATCTCACGACATTTCGATTGCAACAACCACAACAAATCCAGTCACACATCACATGCAATATGAAATATTCCGTGTCGCGGCTTACTCTTGCCCCTGGACTGTAACAGGGCGAAAGTGGGTACTTATTGATGTGGCTTGCTCCAAGTACGTCTCTTTCAACAAGTCAAAATGAATTCAGAAGAACTAAGATGCTATCATATCTCATAACTATGTACTGATGTTAGCCACCTAGGCAGCGATTTCATCGACTAGGCCATCCAACTCTCTCTGCCAGTTTCTGTGCCGCGAGATCTGCCAGATAAATCGGTCGAGGAATCCCTTGCTGTCCCTACCAATCTCGGACGATGGCTGCAGCAGCTCCGCTGGAGAACCACGGCCGGTGACCACACCGTAACTCTCCACCACCTCACCACTCGCGGCATGCTCCACTGCGTCCAGATTGATTTGCTTCCGGATGAAGTCAACGGCCTCATTGATACCGGCAATCGGTTTAAGGTGGGCAAACGACTCGGTGATCCAGTATTTAGCTATGCCGTTCTTGGCCAAGATAGCCATGTGTTTCCCTCCAGGGACAAACACTGCATCGAACAGAGTCGATCGCATCCCCGGGAAATGGTGATCTGGGGTCACCTTCTCACCGGACTCCGCTGTGACACCCTGGCGCTGGCTACCGATGGTGAAGACGAATGCGTTCTGCTTCTGCAGAGCTTCCTTCATTTTCACATAGGACTCATAGTCGAATCCGTCTGCGATCAGAATAGCAATCCGGCGAGTCGCGATCTGTGCTTCATCCGAAAGATACTCGAGCTGACTGAGTCCCTTGGAGGTCTTGCCATGGTTCGGCTTACCGGCCTCGGTGGGTGTGTCACCGCCAACGTTCTTTGCCACGGTCTTGGCCAGCTCGAGGTCGACCACAGCCAAGCGTTCGGATAACCGCTTGTACACGATTTCCTCATCGCAGTGATCAAGCTCGAAGGAGAACGCCTTGGCCACGTGCTGCTTCTCGATGGGCGAAAGCGAGTTGTAGAAGAGCTGGGCTTGATTAAAGTGTTCATTGAACTTGTCCGACAGTCCACGAGTCTTGAAGCCCTGCTGCTTCTCGGGATAGGTGGCGAAGCCCCCTTTCTCGGGCGCGGTAGGCGGGTTGGTACTGTACCGGTTGGGCCAGTAGTTCACCTTGCCCTTGGTGATGCGGTGTTTCATGGCGCCGTCGCGGTTGACGAGGCTCATATACGGGCACACGGGGCGGTTGATAGGCAGTTCCTCCCAGTTAGGCCCCAAGCGAGAAAGCTGAGTATCGAAGTACGAGAAGTTTCTGCCCTGGAGGAGGGGGTCGTTGGAGAAGTCGATGCCGGGAACAAGATGGCTGGTACAGAAAGCTACCTGCTCGGTCTGTGTGAAGTATTCGTCAATGTTGCGGTTCAGTTCCAGTTGCCCGATGTACTGGATAGGCACCAGCTCCTCAGGCCAGATCTTGGTAGCGTCTTCGATGTCGAACTCAAAGTCGTTCATCTTCTCTTCAGGAATAACCTGGATGCCGAACTTCCATCTTGGGTACTGGCCGGCGTCGATGGCATCCATGAGGTCCTTGCGATGAAAGTCGGGATCCTGCCCAGCGATCTTCAGCGCTTCATCCCATACCAGGGAGTGAACACCAAGCTCGGGGTTGAAATGGAACTTCACATAGTGACGCTTGCCTTCGGCATTGACGAGACAGAAAGTGTTGACACCGAAGCCCGACATCATACGATACGACCGGGGAATTGCGCGATCGGACATGACCTGGGCGGATCGTCAGTATATGTCCTCAGTCCTCAAACACACATTAAGGAGGCATCGTACCCATTGTTGCATATGCGTGGTCTCGGGATGGAGATACTGAAAGTCCCAGAAGTTGTTGTGAGCCGACTGACCCTGAGGGATCTCGTTGTGAGGTTCCGGCTTGACGGCGTGAATCACATCCGGGAATTTGATCGCGTCCTGAATGAAGAAGACGGGCATGTTGTTGCCGACGATATCCCAGTTACCCTCGGCGGTATACATCTTCACGGCGAACCCGCGAACATCCCGCACGGTGTCCGCGCTACCCTTGCTACCTTGCACGGTCGAGAAGCGCACGAACACGGGCGTCTCCCGGGAAGTGTCCGTCAATACCCCGGCTGTGGTGAGCTCGGGAATAGCCTTGTGCAGGGTGAAAGTACCAAAGGCGCCAGCGCCTCGGGCATGGACTACACGTTCGGGGATACGTTCATGATCAAAGCGCATGATCTGATGATCAAATCAGGACTCCTCTCTGCGCAGTAAGCTTAGGTTGAGCGACTCACCTTCTCCCTGGCAATCGGATCCTCCAACAGCGAAGGCCCCGTCCTCTTGGAGTCGGCTACACGAAGCCAGTGATCCGGGTCGGAGATCTTGATGCCATAGTCGGTCGTCATGGGCTGACTGCCCTGGTCACTCGAGAGGTCGACGGTATCGCGCGCGAGATCCTCCTGCTTCGCCATGTTGTATTACTTGAGGGTGTGTGGTATCGATGTGTGTCTATGTTACTGACTCAACAAGAGAGAACCATTCACGCGTACCCAAGTACCCCTTATATACTACCCTCTCGTCGCTCAGCATTAGCCCTACCTCCGCTCCACCGAATTCCAACTCTCCCATTTCTAATCACATTGACTCAGCTCCTGCTTCTAGAATTGTGGCGGTCCCACGAATGATGCAAGCATTCCAGCGAGAAGTAGTGATCGCCCAGTAATGATCGAACAGTTCGAACCCGAGAGAAAACCGGGCCCATCGACTCGTTCGCCGGGTTTGGCCCAGCTCGGCGGGTGATGATGTCAGTCAGGGACCAGGACCCCGGCCCAAACCGGTTTGGTCTGTTGCTGTTGAACTGTTTTTCCGAGGGGGTTCGAGAGCGTACTCCGTAGTCTACTTAGCTTCAATAGGACCAAAGCTTGTATTCACTGTCCGGGTGAATGCGTAGGCATCCATCCATCTAGCGCGTTCTAGCTCGTGGGGGGTGGGTGGTTTGTATTTCCGAGGGGGCGGGAAGGGGATGGATGACGTTCCTTGGATTCGATTCGGAGACTTTCGACCTCGTCTTGCTATCGTAGACACAGTAGTATGTGAAGTATGGACAGTCCTACCAAACTGGATCCTTGCAGCGATTGAATAGCTTTCCTTGTCCCTTGAGGTTACGCAGCTTTGGTTGTTGGTGATGCTCAAGTCACACGTGACTGTGGTGGAAAAGGCGTACAGATGGACGACCCCCGGCAAAGACCCACTTGCATGAGTGCCTCAGGTTGCGAAGTATTTACACCGTCCGACTGGATGATACAATAGGTTTATGCCCAAGCCCAGATCAAATAAGCATGGACTATTGAAAATGAATGAACCAATCGGTGTCTGCATAGTCAGAGCAATGCTGAAAAACTTCTGTGAGGGTTTCTCTGTGCACCTTTTCCCGATCATATTACTACCAGGCCGACCTGGTACCCAACTTACCTGGATTTTCTCTTACAATTCATTAGCTGCGATGATCCGTAATCCTATGCAAGTTTATCAATTTCAACAAGAAGAAAAGTGAAGGTGATACTGTTATCCTGCAACACCCTAGTGAAGGCACTGGAAGTTCTGATCACTATCTCAGGCATGGCTTGTATTTCCATATTGCAAGCTGGTAAAGAAAAAGGCAACGCTCTTGCTTCTTGAACTGTATCAGAATCAAACCAACCACGCACCCATGTCTGGGCCAATCTTCTGAACGACAGTGGCTAAGACCTGGATGGTGTGGCGTTCCTCACGGGTCTCGTCTCCTCAAACTACATGTACGCAGGCATTGACGGAGTCCTGCACCTGGCGGAGGAATGCAGAGACGCAGCGCGGGTGGTGCATCGCGCGCTGCTCAGCACGCTCGTCATCGGCGTCGGGACCTCCTTTGCCTTCCTAGTAGCGATGCTCTACTGGACTGACGATCTTGACGCGGTGGTCGCCTCAGCCACTGGGTGCGTCTGTCCACTTTCTCTGACGCGCTCAATGTCAATCTAACAATGCACCGTCCCGCAAGCGTCACCTTTTATGAACTCTGGTACCAAGCCCGACGACAGCTGCGACGGTGTTCATCGTCCTGCTCTGCCTGGCCGCGGTCTTTGCCCTGGTCGGCGCGCAGGAGACGGCCTCGCGGCTCACCTGGTCCCTGGCCCGCGACAACGCCCTTCTCGCCAGCAAGCAGATGAGCCGAATCCACGCAACCCTCAAGGTGCCCGTGTGGGCGCTTGTCTTCAACTTCGCGGCCATGTTCATCATCGGCTGCATCTACCTGGGCTCCTCGTCAGCGTTCAGCGCCTTCATCGCCACGGGTCTCGTTCTGCAACACGTCTCTTACGCCTTTCCCGCAGCCCTGCTGATGGTCCGCGGCCGCGGTGAGACCTGGCTTCCACCGACACGGTCTTTCCGACTCCCCGGTCCGATTGGGTGGATTGCGATTCTCGTAACGAATTTGCTTTGCTGTGCTGGTGTTGGTGTATTATAGTTTCCCGACGGCGATACCGGTGACGGCGGGAATATGCGTGAGTGGTCCACCTTGTTGTTGTTCGGTCCAAAGCTGACGATCGGCCTGGGTGTCGATTACAAGGCGGCCGTGCTGGGTCTGATGGTGGTTGTGGCGGTAGGCAATTTCGGATCTCAAGCGAGGCAGCGCTATCGGGGACCGAGGCTCCATGGTTTGCGGTAAATATGGTATTCAGCCTGTGAATCTGGCGACCATGGTGTTTGTTGGGTTGTGACAGCGAAATAATTAGCAGCAGCTCACAGTCGGGGACGAATTAGCCAAACTGGATCAACACCCGTCTAAAATCGCTGAACAAATAGACAGAAGCAAGATTTGTTTCACCACTTGCATTAGTTATCAGGATCATCCACGTAGATATCGCACTGATATTGTTGGCGATAAGGGATATCCCTCTCGTAGTGGGCGGAATGATTCCGTCAGGGTGGCTTTGGATGCACTTGACAGCCTCTCTCGCGATAAGCCACGATAGGCAGGTGCTCGCGAATAGTGGGGAAGATAACTTGAATGGAAGAAGACATCCCCACCAAACATCTTCCCCTCTCGCTCGGAAAATGCCTGTCATGCCTGTCATGTCTGTTGGGTGTATTAGTTTCAATGATGCCGTGGCTGGTCCGCGGGAAGCCGTGCTATAATTGAGTTCACTTCCCCAATTCCACTTCATTTCACTTCTTTCTCTTCATACTCAGCTTCAACCATATCCCTGCAACATGCCGCTCCCCTGGGAGATTCAGGCCCAGAAAGCCAAAAACATCCTCGCCAACTCCATTCCTCAACAATGGCTCATCCCCGCAGACAAGCTGCCTCCAGCAGACGAGAAGAACGTCGAGGACTTCCCGCGCAAGAGCGGGCTGTTCTCGGAGCACGAGCTGGCCATCACTGAGATGTCCGCCACGGATTTAGTGCGTGACATGGGCTCCGGAAAGCTCACGGCCGAGGAGGTGGTCAAGGCATTCTTGAAGCGTGCCGTGGTGGGACACCAATTGGTTCGTATCTCGCCTTGGGCCGATGTGGTACAAGCACTAACACCGACCGCCACAGCTCAACTTTGCAACGGAATTCCTGGCAGACAGAGCGATCTCGCGAGCCAGAGAGCTGGATCAATACTTCAAGGATACTGGGAAGCTGGTTGGTCCGCTGGTAAGTTTACCCTGCGCTAAAGGAGAGAGGCAACTGACAGTCACAGCACGGAGTTCCAATCAGCGTCAAGGAGCACATCGGGATCAAAGACCTGACCTGCAACGGCGGCTATGTGGCCTGGTATAAGCGGATACCCTCCGAGTGAGATTCAGTGACTAATCCGGACAGGGTCGATGATATTGCCACCGAGGATGCGCTTCTCTTACAATGCCTCCAAAAAGCCGGCGCTGTGTTTCACGTCCGCACAAATCAACCGCAATCCCTCATGGTATTCCCTTCCTCTTCTGATCTGTCATAACATACTGACTGGGTTAGCATCTCTGCTGCAGTAACAACTTGACTGGCACGACACTTAACCCATACAACCGCACGCTCAGCCCGGGCGGGTCCTCGGGGGGGGAGGGCGCATCCACGGGGTTCAAGTGTGCCCCTTTGGGCGTCGGCACAGACATCGGTGGCTCGATCCGCTGTCCCGCTGCATTCTGCGGCTCGTATGGTTTCCGTCCGACGGCCCTTCGCAATCCAATGCTAGGCATCAAGGCACCGGAGCCGGGCCAAGAAGCGATCCGCGGCGTTGTTGGCCCTCTTGCCAGTCAGAATGTCGCGGATCTCGAACTATTTCAGCGGGCCGTTCTCGATCAAGAACCCTGGGAGATTGATACATCGCTGCCCCCAGTGCCCTGGCGACGCGTGCAGCCTACCAAGGAGATGACTGTCGGGATCATGTGGGATGACGGGTAAGCTTATCATCACACGACCTTGAGCAGACTGCCAGATCGCGTGTGGGCCATGCTAATCATAATGATTGCACAATTAGTATTGCTCACCCCCATCCTCCAGTCACCCGAGCACTCAAGCACGCCAGATCCAAGCTTGAAGCAGCCGGCGTCAAAGTCGTGGATTGGGAACCCTACAAGCACGACCACGGCTGGGACATCATCGTAAGCTTCCTCCTACACCGCTACGTATACCTCTCACGTGTTTTGCACTGACAATCGAAGTCCAAAATGTACTTCCCCGACGCAGCCCTCCTCAACCGCAGCATGATCACCGCCTCGGGCGAACCCACCCTCCCTCTGACCTCGTGGGCTTTTAAGTATAGCCAACCTAATCCCCTCACAATTGCGGAAACCTGGACCCTGAACACCCAGCGCGATATCTACCGTGACGAATACCAAGCTCTGATGCGGTCCCGCGGAGTAGACTTCATTCTCTGCCCGGCGTACGTTGGCGTCGCCGCCGTGATGGGCGAGAGCCACTACTGGAATTACACGGCCATCTGGAACATTCTGGATCAACCAGCTGTAGTTTTTCCAAGCGGGCTGTCTGTAGGGAACGATGAGCTCGAGGATACAGAAGAGGGATACGAACCGAGACTGAACGGTGTGGATGAGCGGGAATGGATGAAGTGGAAGGTTACCGGAGCGAAACGGTATGAGGGCGCACCGGTGGGGTTACAGTTAGTTGGAAAGCATTTCAGAGACGAGGAGACGTTGGCAGCAGCGAGGTTCGTGAGTGAAGTTCTGCTGCCTGGTAGTTGAGACATTCATGTAATATGCTGGATTGTTGCTGGCTAGTTATTGGTTAGTGCTATAAACAAATCCTATGACCGTCATGATTAGTTATCGAAGACACTCCCTGACTAAACTCTCAAATGGCTTGAATATAATCTGGGGAAGAAACACCAATTTCATCAGAATCCTACCTGTCCGGGTTTTGTTTATATTCTCAAGAAGGAATCTGTTTCAGTGCATCTTATATACTGTATGCGACCCTTTACTTCTATATCTATTGATCTCTGAGTGTTGCAGTAACATATCAGTGCTTTATCTTCTAGTTTTCACTTGACCATCACATCCAAGAACTTGATAGTGACTGTGAGTACCAGAGCATCACATCTCACTTCAGCATCGATGCAGAGACTATTACAAAGCATAGTACACTCTCTCTGCGTCTGCACGAGCAGGCTACTACTTCTGATCTTGCAAGGAGACAGTATTCCACCACCTCATCAAGCAGATGAATAACCAACAATCCTCGAAGAACCGTCCATCCCGACCAACTTCACCGAACCATTTTCTCCAGCCTCCTCCACAAACGCAAAAGACACAAAACCTCTGCCCTCTTCACGAAGCACAATCAGCAGTGACCCCTGCAAGAACAGCATTAAACAAGCAATGCCTCAATTCACCATCTCTCAAATAAAGGACGGTCTCGCGTGGCAACCACTGCTTCCTTCACCCTCAAAGAACCTTCCCAATTGGGTAATTGCCCCCTCTACACAAAGAAAATCTGCCACCGCACGATGAAGACCTCCGGCTAGAAGGACATCACAATGAATGGCCCCCCTCTATGAGCCTCTCACTCATAAAGCTGTGGCTAGGGTCGTCGAGTCTGCCGTCGCATCTGGCTCGTCCCCGTGCAGTTGACGGGGCTTTTATTTCTGTCACCACGGATACGACTACAATTACGACTGCGATCACTGCTATCCTTCCTACCAGTCTGGAGGTTATAATCTGTCAACTCACTTGTCGTCGACTCCTCGAGTTCCGATTCCATTGATAATACCCATACCGTATGATCACAGTGTCGAGATGAGGGTGAGTAGAGGTCCAAGCGGCCTCACGCCGAAGGCGAGGGTTTTTTCGCAACGCCAGCAGCAGCAGCAGCAGCAAGAGCAGCAAGGCCAGGGGCAGACTCAGACTCTCCAGGCAAGGCGAATGAGCCTTCATACCCCGCCTGTTGCTGCGACGCCTTCTTCCTCTACGCTGCGCAAGTCCTACCCTACCGCTACTGTGTCAACCTCTCGCAGCAGGCTCTACGAAGGGACGATCTCCTCGCGATCCAAGATGGTGGGAGCAGCGGCAGCAACAACGGCAGCAAGAAGGGCATCACTAGCGCCGGCGCCGCTGCCAGCACAAGGGTCCAGAAGAGCCTCGGGCATGACCCCAACTCCACCGAGAAGAGTACGATGGACGGGCAAGTATGAGAACCTGCGCGGTCAGGGCGACAGAGAGAAGCCGTCGTCGTCGCCGCCGCCGCCGCCGCCGCCGAAACCCACGAAGAAAGAACCGGTCGACCTGCGTGCGCAGGGCAGGGCTCCGAACCGGGAATCTCCGAGGAAGATCGAGCGAGGACCCCCAATTCCACAACCACCAGCTCCGCCCAAGATCCAAATCACACGAGCCCCAAACTGTGGCAAAAGTCGTCAAAGCTCTGCCGTCAGGGCCAGCCTTACTGTCCCTGCTCCTGTCCCTGCCCCTCCAGAAAAGACAACAGCCGCAGCAACGGTAACAACACAGTCCCAAAACTCAACCCTAAGCCGCCACGCACAACCACAACCGCAATCAGAATCACAGCAAACCAACCTTTTAGAAGCAGACCCCACCCCCAAAGCACGACGCAAAAGCTTCACCCACACCCGCATCCCCTCCCTGCCCTTCATCGTGAAAGCCCTCCACCTCGACCGCCCCCGCCTCATCGCCCGTGCCTCCTCCTTTACGCGGGTCTGGGAAGCCCAGCCCTCGGTGTACTGGCTCGGCCGCTTCGTAACCCTGACCAACGCGTTCCACTACGAGGACGCCTTCCAGCAGCCCGACGTGGCCACGGGGTTGGGATGCTGTCGAGCTACTCGCGGCCGCTGAGCGACCCCGTGGACGGGGACTTGGTCGGGTACCGCGTCAAACGGGCGTTCATGGTGCTGGAGAATGTGTGCGTAACGGACGAGGCGAGTGAGAGTCTCCGACGGTTTCGGGGGGAGTATGTGGCCATGTATGGGGATCGATGGATGTGCTGAGTAGATATCACGGAAGTCATTAGATTGCAAGGTGAGTTTGCTTGGTGGGTTGTAACTACGGCATACTTAAGGACGGTTGATTCAGTGAATTGTAAACCACGGCATAAGACTAAGTAGTAAGGTAGGTGGAGTATGTGGATGAAAATTGCCGGAAGGTATTTCATTTTTCGTGTTTGTGTGTATCCTCTGCTTTCGTTTTGAAAAAAAAAGGCCTATGTTCACACGATTAGACTGCCCGTGTGATAGTAACCCCGTCCCCATAATCTTCGGCGTTAGGTTGAAGTCTGGTTTTGCATGAATATATTCCACTAAGTATGTTACAGTACATTTTTCCTGGAACCCTGTCTATCATCTCTCGTATTCGATAATCCCATCCGAGTGTCAGGTAATCCATGAACGCCAACCCAAGACCATACATACCTCACCTCGCGCAGCGGCAACACCCTCCACCGCAGTAATAATTTTCCTTCTCACTTCCGACTCCGCAAAAAAGCCGCCACCTGCTCATGCCTCGTCACAAAAAACATGCGCTTCCGGTCCGACTTCCACACCAGCACGCCAATCTCCTCGGCGTACCGACAGGGGGCCTCGTACTCGGCGAGGCTGACAAAGTCCTTGAACAGGAACCCGGCGGTGGCCTGCACGCGATCGCGCTCCAGCTGCCACAGACGGATCTGGTCGACGACCGTCGGCGGCAGAATGGATGGCGGGATGCCGGCCTGGTTGGAGGTGGAGCGGGAGGTGTTGTGCTTGCGCATCTGCGGGTGGGCGTGGGTCGAGAGGTAGGAGATGATCTGGTCGGCGGTGATGCCCATCTCGACGGCGCGGCGGATCGACTGGCGTGTGATCTTGCCGGTGATCAGATTGGGGAAGCGGTACTTCAACGTCGTGAAGAGCGCGATGAGCGAGATCTGCAGTGGCGACGAGGTGTATGCGTACAGCCGGTAGTTGGTTTCGATGATGATGAACCCGGTGCCGGCTTTGTTGCTGTCGTTATTGGGAGAAGAAGAGGAAGTCGGCGAGGGCTCGCCCGTGGGGTTGCCGGACAGGGCTCCGGAAATGGGGTTGCTCAGGGCGCTGGAGTCGGAGGTCAGCGTTGTCGCCAGCCGCGTCGGGTAGAAGTGCGCCGCCTCCGGCGACTCCTGGTAGACAATGCCGAAGTCGGCCAGGTCGGACAGCGTGCGGAGCTGGTTGGAGGTGAGGTGGCGCTTTTCGTACGCCTGGCCCAGCTCCAGGCTGCTCAGCAGGAAGACAAACGAGAGCACCTCGACGCTGTCCATGCCGATCGCCTCGGCGCTCTCCACGTACAGGATCAGGATGTGCCACACTTGCGTGCTGACGTCCTGCAGCACGAAGGCGAACCCGTCCTTGGTGATGTCCACGCGGCTGCTGCGGATCTCGACCAGGTGGCCCGCCTGCAGCAGCTGCTTGACCCCCTTGCTCAGGTTGACATCGCGCTGAATCCCGAGCCCGCTGGTCCCCACCATGTAGCCCAGCACGCCTTCCCACTGCCGCCGCGCGTATTCGTCCAGATTGGCGATGGAGATCGCCGGTGCGTCGGCAACGACCCCGAACGACTGGATCTGCTCCGCTCCGGTGAGCGCGTGTCGCAGCGAGGCGGCGAATGGGTTGGTGACCATATAGGCGCGGACGTTGTTGGCGATGACGGTGTTGGAAAGGATATGTAGTCTGCCGAGGATCGAAAGCGCATTATCACGTTCCCTTGTCCAGATTGTTATTTAAGCAATTCCAAGCAATCGTCACGAACAGGAAACCACCACTCACTTCAAGCTCTCAGACTTCACCCAGACCTCCAGATCCGCTGCGGGGAGCGGATCCTTGAGGTACAGCAAGGCCATCACAAAACATTTTGCTAAAGCAATCACAGACCAGTTAGAAAGAAACTTCTCCGGTGGTTAGATTTCCCTAGCATACCCAGGTCCGGCAGCATGCGCCTGAAGATGGCGAGGGCGGTTGATGGCTGCTGGTAAAGCTTGAAGAAGACCGTGCCAGGCAGGCCCTCGAGATATTCAAACGGACGAGACGATGGTGCAGCAGCCATCTTATCTGCATCAGTCACCTCTGCAGCATGGTGCGACCCACAGAGAGGGGAGGGGTGGGGGGGATAGCTAGATCGAGCTCTTCGCTGAGGCTAGAGTTGATTGACAAAGCAAAGCGTTGTCTGTTGGCGAATGTTTGAGGCGGCAAAAAGAAGCCCAGATGGTATTCCGGGGGACGAGATAAGCCGCCAGCGCAGTCCGCGGCGATGACCTCAGCGCGACTTTCTCCGGCTTATAACCGCCTATACTTTTGTCACTTTCGTCCCGCGAAACAGCTTCAAACGTCCATTTGGACTGATCTAGGTTTATCGAAAATGACCTCCTTGCGCTTTGTCAGATCTGTCAGTACCATATCTACCTCTTCCAATCCTCATCTATGTTCACAATGCTAACTGCTCGTCCTCAGGTTTGGGAGTCTTTTCGGGCCACCTCGGGGTTGGAGCCTCGGTAAGTCATTACAGACAACTCCATCCATCTCCAATGTGTCTATCGCCATTGACACCCACCGATCGTGGTGGCGTAGTCTACTAGACGGCGTAAGTCCCTCCATGTCTACATGATCGACCTCGTCTTCCCCGGGATGCACACGGCTATTGCATCCACTGCTGTACAATCATATATATCCCCCAAGAGAAACACCTCAGTCCACCTTTCACAAGGCATCAAACCACTACTAAGAGACCTCATCAGCTCCGCGTAACAGCCGCCAAGCCCGGCAAAGTCAACTTCGAACTCGACATCAAGAAAGAGCACACAGTAAGCAATTCGTTCCCGGGTCGCCGCAAGTCTGGACTAAGCACAGCAATCAGAACCGCTTGAACATCCTCCATGGCGGAACCATCGCTAGCATGGGTAGACTACCCAACCCTTGCCTTTGCCTACGTGGCGATGATACCCCCCCCCCCCCCCTTCCTTCTCGGGATACAAGCTAAACTCAGGTTTGTCTGCAGTTGACCTCGGTGGTTCCCTGGCGGTAGCCTCGCGCGGGCTTTTCGCCACCGGGGTGTCCACAGATCTGAACGGTGAGTCGGGAGTATTAGCCCAGCTTCTAGCTGACACCAGTTGATCGACGATCTGCTATAGTCACCTACCTCAGCTCCGGCGGTAAGGTCGGCGACAAGATCCTCGCGGTAAGGAAACCTTCTCCCCTCATAGGCCATGCGTTGGCTTTTCTCCGTGAAGAAAAGAGAACTAGAGTCTGAACCATTTGCAGGAAGTAACATGCGATAAATGTAAGTTCACCAACCCATCGCCGACGTCTCTCAAGCCCAGTACTGTTCGTAGCAGACTTATGTGCTGAATCATGAGCAACTCATTCATCCAGTTGGCAAAACCCTGGCCTACACCTCGATCAAGTTCCTCAACGATAAGGGCGATGTCTTCGCCCGCGGGAGTCACACCAAGTATGTATCACCTTCTTCAGGAAGAGAGCTTCAACGGCAAAAACGAAGATTAATGTGCCCCCATCCAGGTTCGTTGCCCTTGCCTGGAAAGATCCTCAGAATATTGTTGAGGAGATGGCAAAGGAGGAGAGAGAGGGAATCGCCACTTTCAAGAGCGAGGCTTAAGCGATTCTGTTTGTCTTTGTGTGAATCACGCTGCTGGGGTCCTAGATCGAAGATAGAAATTGAGACATCATAGAAGGGGAGGGGGGGTGGGCGAGGGCCCTATGTAAATACTTAGACATGTCGAAAACTTCGAGCATTAGCTGGAGAATCGAGAAACGTTCCTCGCGTATCCAGCAAAGATCCTTACAGAGCACATGTACGGAGAATATTTAAGCACTAGGGACAATTCGTTATGACTGTTGACTTTCCACTGAAGCGCTCAGTCTTTTCACATGTTCATAAATTTCGCTTTTCCAAAACACAGACCAGGGTAGTAGTTATGAGAAGTGCATACATAAGAGGCGTGGATGATGATGGGGTTGTGGAGCGGAGGTGAATTGTGATAAGGGAAGATTTTGTCGGCCAAGCTTCATCTCAAATGCCGGTGAGGGTATGCTCATGCAGAGGATCATCATCCATGTCCTCGCCGGTGCCCATCATGACCTCGTCTTCATCTATGACCTGATCCTCGTCGGCCACCTGCACGTCATTGCCAACGGCAATGTTCTCCTCGCCCATGGCCTTGAGCTTAGCCTGTGTCATCTCGAACACGTATTGTCCTAGATGCTCGACGCTCTCCATAGGGGTGCCTTCGGTCTCGTCCTGTTGCAGGCGGGTAGAGGGGAACATCTCCCCCGGGGCGAGCATGAGCTTGTCCGGACGCTGGAACAAAAGGTCGAAAGCCGGTTTGAGTTCGTAGCACGATTCAAAAACTTCGCGACGACCGAGAATGTAAAGTCCCAACCGTGCGCGCGAGAGCGCAACGGTTAGACGACGAACGTCGCGAAGGTAACCGACGGTACGCGTCCGCGTGAGAGAAAGAAGTACGTCTACAGCACCTGATCAGTATATCTTTCCACATGAGTCATATCATACAGGATGGCTTACAGTCATTTTGTTCACCCTGGTACTTGTCAACAGTTGTGACGATCTTAGGCATGCCGAACAACCCATTCTTGGCACAGCGGTGGTTCAAGACATCCTTGATCAAAGCCGTTTGACCGGCATATGTTGCAAGGATCGAGATCTTAGAAGCAGGATATCCGAGAAGACGCATGTATTGGTAAATGGCGACGGCGTATTCGGCCTCGCCCAGGTTCTGGATGAAATGGGGCGTAGGCTCTCGCTCCCCGTTGCCTTGATAATCAGGCACGTTGATGAACTGGTAGTCAAATTGAAAGCCAGCATTTGCCCGCTTGTATTCCTCAACGGTCTCAACAGTAGGTAGGTTGCCAAGCTGTTTATAGCGCCATTGGAAAAGCTCCGCGATACTTGGTCTGGCACGACCCTGCTGATCAAGCGTGATAACAGGAACCCCCAGTCTTACCAGCCGCAGGAATAAACTCTGTTCGAAATGCGCGTACTGTCTGAAGGCCATGTTTTGAATAATGGGTGAGTTCTGCAAATGATCACCACAGAGGACTACACGTTTGAGAGGAAGCTCTCCGTTCTTCATGTTCTGCAGAGCAGTGGGGATGAAGCACTCAATTTCCGTAATTTGTGCGGCTTCTTCCATGATGACGTTGTCATAGTGGAACCCTAGATCAGCAATCTCCTGGCGGCGCATGGCTGCATGCGTCGATGTCATGGCTATGATGCGTGCTTCTTTCACAAGGAGATAGTTGGCCTTGTCCTTCTGCTGACGCAGAATCTCAAACGGCCTGATGTCTTCAAGCTCAGCGAAGATCTTATCGATGTGCCGCTGGCAGCCCTTCGCCACATCGAGCACGGTCTCTTTCGGCGCGGTAGGTTCGAAGACGGGTTGCGGGGCGTTGGAGAAATAGGCATGGAAAGGGAAAACAGCGACGAGTTCCTCGCTGGAAACATTTTCCGCACGCGCCTGGTCCCAGAATTTGGCCCAGGCGGGCTGGATGTAGACGGTATTGAAGTACCCGGCAGTTTCGCAGGAATTTCCATGGGCACCTTGAGCTCCAATTGATGCTGCTAGTCGGGTGACCTCACTGAGGAAGTAATTGCGGTTTTCAAGGAACGACTCTACCCGGCCGTACTTGCTGTAGCTGGAGTCAGTTTCTAGTTCCTCCTCACCATGGCCGAGACGGAGGAGATGGCGTTCGTCAATATCAAGGGCTACAATCTTCTGGAAAAGCTGGTTCAGCGCTTGGTTACTATGCGCGATCAAAAGTGTGCGCTCGTTGGGAAAGTCGTGATAGATATTGTTGATGATCTGCGTGGCAACATCAGTCTTACCAGTGCCAGGAGGGCCGACAATAACAGTCAAACCCGGCTGCGTGCCTGACGTGATGGCCTCAACTTGCGCCGGAGTGAAGCGCACTGTGTTGAGCTTGGGGGCATCAATCGGGTAGGGACCCGGGTGTGGCGGTTTGTAAGTCGAAACGCGAAGTGACTTGGGACCCGATGCCTTCTCAGGTTGATCTTTGCGCCGCCGCTTTGTGCCCGCTGACGGCGCCTGAGAAGGTTCTTCAACATATTCCAATACATATGGAGGGCCAAAACTGGAAGTTTCGGTCGTCGAGGGCTCGATGGTTCTACCGGGGAAGCTTTCAATCAAGTGTTGCCAGTCCAAGAATGTGTCTCGGAAATCGACAGACTTCAGTCGGTTGGCTAGTTCGGTATATCGAGCTCCCGCCGGATCTCCGTAACCCAAGAAGATATCCTGAATCCAGGAGGGCAGAGCAATATCGGAGACGATCAACCTCTGCATGGTATTGAGGATGGACTTGAAGTTATTCTCTCTTCCCTTTCTCCTGGCGACAACATTGATCGATGTGTAAATATCTGGCTTTCCTCGCGCAAGTGCATCCTTGTCTGCCTTGAAAGCGCTAGGATCCAGGTTGACCAATAACTTCCGAACACGAGGTTTGTGTTTGTAGCCGTTCGATTGACCGGAAGAGAAATCCCGCAGAGGCCGACCATTTTCATCCAAGACCTGAACTATCTCCGCAGTTCGGAGGTGTGTCAGGCCGGGAGTCTCAGGCTCGCGCACTCCTGACTTCGCAGCACCTTCTGACTGCACAGCTAGAAGGAAAATAACATCATCCGGACGCAGTGAATCCCATTCCCTGCGGATGTGGTCTGCCAATCTGCCCACCTCGATAGCAATTTCAGCGCGAACAAAAGCAGGCGTTGAGGAGCCGACCTTGGGAGGAGCGACTTCGATAATGGCGGGTTTCGTAATCGGTATAGCCATCCTAGAGAAACCATCAAAGGTCAAAGTCTTACCGTCGCGACTGGCGCGGGGCTGCATCCGCTTGATGACTGATTCCATATCTTTTCGGATTTGGAAGAAAGCCTCGGAGCGGTATAGGAGGAACGAACGCCACAGAAAATCACCAGTGCTCAGGTATTGTAGATTCAATTTAGGGATAGCAAGCGGCGTGGATCCGTCATAGTTTTCATTGCGCAGTAATGCAGGATCGTAAAGATCTACCTCCGTGGGAACAATGCTGAGCTGCGATGCAGCTTCTTGAAATGTCGGCTTCCGTTCGTGAAATGAAAGGAGGATCTCCATATACAGTTGGCGGTCAGGAATGACTTGCGACTGTTTAGGGTACACGGTCCGGAAACCGAGATAGCTGCAGAGCTGCTGCAGCTCACCCTCCTCCAAAGAGGCTAATTGACCTTCTAGTTCAGAGCGCTGCTCGATAGAACCATAGTTAGATAGAGCCAAAATCATGAGCTTGTCCTTGAAGTATTTCATAGAGGTCCTCTGTAAACGTGCCAACTCCTGGCAGTGAACGTCATAAACCGACTGAGGCGACAAAGCTTCTCCAGTGAAGTCGTCAATGGCAAACAATGCGAAGTGCTTCAGGAGTCCACTCAGGTCGCGGAAGAGCGCATTTTCAGGTGAGCGGTAAAGCTGCGAGAGGCGGATCACCGCTAGCAGATTAAGATCCTTCAGAAGTGTGTTCACGTAGCGCCGGGTGGGAGGTTGGCTCTCGAGATCAATGAGGAACTCCAAAAACCGCTCACAATATCTCAGATTCTGCGCCTGGTCTTTGTCGGCACCGTTCAGCCTGCGAAGGAAATCCAACAGCATCGTATACAACCACGACCTCTCGAAGCGGATCTTCGCCTTAGCGGCTTCGTCTCCTGCATCGTACCGTTTCCCTGCCGCTCGCCATGCCTTTTTCAACCCCGGGCTCTTGGCTAATAAGGAATCTCTTGCTGCTTCGCTGGACAGGTTGTGCCAGATGGAGATGGAAACGAGCGGTGCGCATTCTTTGCGGATCAAGGTATTTTCGACGGATTGGAAAGCACTGATGATGAAGGAGACGATTGATAGTCTGGGGAACGCGTCGAGGGAGGGGTCAATGCTCATGGACAGAATTCGATGGAAGAGGTTTGAGAAATCGTCCGGGCGATCAGAGAAGACCTCTAGTCTTGCGTTAGTATGTTCTCCGCATATATTCATCCAGCATATTCCATGCTTACCCCATATCGGTAAGTGTTCGCGCTGCTTGATACTCACAATCAAGACGAGCAGCAAAACATGATAATTCGACGCATCTCCCGTGTAGGTCGGCCAGAGATACCTGGAGAATTGCGGGTTAGCGGTCCAATTTGTTCTTCCCAGCCAACTTTTCTGGTTCGGAGGGCGCATACTTCTCCAAAATGTTCAGATTCTCTAGGGTGAGAAGCGACCGAAAGCCAAAGTTCTCAGCTTCAAGGGGATCCCAGATCTCTTTTTTGATGACATCCTGCTTGACTTTGCGGGACTTGGAGCCCTGCAGCCAGTGGGACTTGGCCAGCTGCACCCAGGGACTGTCTTCCCGAAAGTCGTCCACGCTCGGTCTGGAATCAAGGCCTGGCGCCATTGGGTGACGTGTCTGGAGGCCCATTCCTAGACGTAGGGGGGAGGAGAGAGCGAGGAAGAAGAGAAGGGCGGGGGGGGGAGTGGGAGAAAGAAGGAATTGCCTTTCAACTGGGCTTCCGGGGAGGCGTGCGGTGGGCTCGCCGATGTAATTGCGCAAGTGGTCCGTTGCGGCGGGTTTGGGAAAGCTTCTGGCGCGCGCCTACCGGCCGCATCAATCCTCCAGCGGTTACGAACCCGCAGAGCCGCAGTCAGTCCCCCGTCAACCCATTCGCGCCATCATTCAAGCTTCCCCTCGTATTCATCCCAATTCCCCCTTTCCCCGCCCTTGATCGATATTTGTTGAGCCCCTCTGCAATTCAGCCTTTCTTACGTTCCATCCTCTTTGCTACTACCTTTCTCGAAAGTATGGCAGAGGTGGACGTTGGTGCGATACCCCTCTACAGAAGTTTAATCGATGAGCTCCTGTCGCGCGCCGAACATGCAAAACCCGACGGGCAGATCGAACCCCCTTTGACCGAAGCGCAACTTGGAGACTCATTCTGGCTCATTCAAGGCGAGGATGCGCAAGTTATCAAGAAGCTCGGCCAGCAGACTCAGCTCGCTGCGGTAGAGATTGCCTTCCGAGAGAAGTTCTACAGCCTTTTGGTACAGACTTCCGCGCCGGGTGCTGAGAATCCCAGCTAATGTTCAATCGCCTACAGGCTACCACTTCGATTGACGAACCTTCCTTCATCCGGATCTGGAACCTCCTCGATATCATCTCGATCTTCTCCGATAACGGTCAGACCCCTATCCTGTAGCTCGCCCCGACGATGACCCTGACTGTGTTTAGAACAATGTGAGCCTGGCTTGATTTTCTGGTTGATTGAAGAATTGCTCGACAGCCAGACCATTGATGGATGCCGCAAGGTGTTTGACTACCTGGAGTCGCGAAGAGAGCGGAACACAAAAGTAAGGCGTGATCTCTCGATTCAACTGGTTTTCTTGCGTGTGTTGACGGCTTCGAAAGAAACATTTCAAGCAAAAAAACTTGATTATCCTAAGATCCTGCAACGAGCTACTACGGAGGCTCTCGAGGGCAGAAGATACCGTCTTCTGTGGACGTGTGTTCATTTTTCTATTTCAAAGCTTCCCACTGGGAGACAAGAGTGCCGTCAATCTCCGGGGTGAATACCACACAGACAATGTCACGACTTACGATGAGATCGTCAAAGCCGCCGTCAGAGAAAATGAAGATGGCGATGTAGAAATGTCAGACGACAAGGAAGCAGAAGCGCCCAAAGAAGAACTTGAGCCTTCTGGCGCTGCAGCTAGTGACTCGCAATCTATCGTGCAGGAAACCCCTAGCACGCCCAAGGTGATCATCTCCAAGGCCAAAGAGGCCTCTGGAGACAAGGCGGTCGACTTGGACGCCCTCTACCCAATATTTTGGAGTCTGCAGGCCTACTTCTCCGCCCCGACCAAGACCTTCGACGCGCAGCACTTCATGGCCTTCAAATCCGGGCTTGAAGCTACACTCGCCGCCTTTAAGAGCGTGGACACTGATCTTGAGACATCTAGCAGCGTAAAAGCCTCGGAAGAGCGCAAGTCTAACAAGCGCAAACGAACCGCAGATGGACAGGAGATCGCTAGCAGCTTCAATCCGAAGTACCTAACAAGCAGGGACTTATTTGACCTTGAGGTACGTGGCAGCGCCAGCACTACCGAGCGATTTGAAACAACCTGACATTATGCCGCAGGTGAACGATACCGCCTTTCGAAGACATGTGCTTGTTCAAGCCCTCATCCTTCTGGACTTCATGCTGTCTCTGACCGCAAAATCCAAGGCTAAGCTTGCCGATTTGACGAACAAGTCGGTGTTGTACGGCTTTTTGCTAAGCGAGGAAGATGTAATTCCGCCCTTTTTCCCACATGCCCGATACTTTCCGCACGGTTGCTGACATTCACAGGCTAAATGGGCGGTTAAAATGCGGAAGTCCATAGAGGAGTACTTGCAAGAAGGTGCCGGAGGCAAGTTCTACTACCGGATGGTGGACACCGTTCTTTCCAGAGACAAGAACTGGGTGCGATGGAAAGCAGAAGGCTGTCCATTGATTGAACGGCCGGCTGTCTCTGTATCCGATTACATCGGAGCTCGTGAACATGCAACTAAGTCGTATGCAAACAAACGCCTCCGCCCTTCGCCTATGGGTTCGCTTAATCTCCAGTTCCTCTCCGAGGGGGAATCCTTGGCGGGCTTGGAGAGGTTAAAAGATTCCGAAAGGTAGGCGCTTCAATTTGTCTGAGCATTTGGCTAGCAATATGCTGACGTGAACATGTAAGGTTCTCGGTTCCTGCTGCGGATGCACTTATGATGAGTATCATGGACGACGAGTTAGACTTCGACACTGCTCAGACGAAAGAGGAGAAAGATTACGCTCTGCGGTCCAAGGCGAGCAAGACGTGGCGCATACTACGGCTCTCCGCAAAAAGCAAACTTGCAGCATTTGACAAGATTGAGGACGGCAAAAACCTGAAAATTCTCTTCGCCACGGCCCAGCCATCTGATGGAACGCCCCAGACCCTTGAAGGGACCCCTCAAGCTTCAGATGTCACGGCGTTGGGGAAGCCGTCGACAGAGGACGAATCCGCTGAGCCGGGACAAGACCTTGGGACCACGAACGCTGAGGTTGGGAACACAACCGTCGCCACCGAGGAGACTCTGATCAACCCCAAGGACGACGCAATTGCGCCAGACACTAAGGTGATGTGAAGAACGCCACGTATTCGCATGCACGGAGTAATTGGGTATTGAACCCATCTGTGCTTGAGTGTGATTGGCGCCCTCTGAGCCGATTGCTACGATCTTACCTCTGCTTTGGGCTTTGTGGCTGTATGCATCCATATCACCACGCTAGTTCTGCGAATTGGGGTGGGCAGAGGCGATGGGTAGCCATCAGCAGCATCCGTGTCCATGAGCAACGAGAGGTACACTGGCCTTCAAGCCACCAGCCATCAAACATGTGCATTGCATTTCTGGCCCTGGGCCAACTGGGCTAGCGTCAGCCAGGACTGACATGAAGATAGTGAACAAGCAGGTGACCGATCGCATGGAGAAGCCGGTTCTTGTCACAAGGATTTGGGAAATTACGGCGGGGGGTGTGGATGCGCTGATTGGCCTTCTGAGGCTCGCTGCCGGTGTTCTTCCGGGTCGTCAAGGCACAGTAAAGTACCAGTTATTACCATACATTGGGTTAGCTTAGGCTGGGTGAGGTGATGTGAGGTGGCCTGGAGCTTAGGAAGATGATGGACACTCCCAAGTCATGCGTCCCCCCATCTTACCTGATTCTTGGATGGCCCTTAACCTGTTCGAGGCACTCCTCCTAGCCCTGTGGCAACAGTGCGGCTATACACTGCGTGGTTGGACTGCTTCTTGTTTCTTTCCAGCTGTGCGGAAGGTCACGCGCCTAATCGCCCCTACTCGCCCCTAGCCCTTTGCTTGTACCGCCGTTGGCAGAGAGGAGGGGCTGGCTATGACACTTCTCATAGGTGATTCGGCCGAGTTTAACATGTCTGAGGCATGTGGCCACAGCACTGAAGGTAGGGAAAGGACAAGGAAGGGGGAAGGTGGGCTGCTGAAAGACAAGAATAATGCAGCCCACCGGAGATTGAAGGTTCTTCAGACATCCACTGGAGCCCTAATGGGGAACAATCTCCTGGCGGTTCGCGAAATGAAGGTTCGAAAGATTCTGGGAGAATATCTGCAAGCGGCCGAATCGGGATCCTCTCGGTGATAGAGGTAGACAAAGCACGAATCAACGATCTTTTGCTTAGATGATAGTGATGGCCCAATCGTTTAAGCTATGGGGGTTAGAAATTCTTCGACGATCAACAACTCTAATTACCTGGAGAGTTCCTGCGTCATTCGTCAATCATCAAGCTCGGTCCCGTTGTTCGGAGGGGCGAGGATTGATAATTAGGCGGGATGCTTGACATAACCGACCGGTCACAGCATGGGATAAGTGTAATTGTCTTGTTCCGAAAGTCATGCGAGATTGCAGTATCATGGCTGGGGCCAATGCGCATCAATTTGTAACTCGAAGTTTTATGAGATGCCCCGCTTTTGTTCATTTAAAGCTCGATCCATAGCTTGCTTGGTTTGGTATAGTAAGCAGTAAACTTTCGCGAACGGTGGCATTTGGTCTTTAATCACGGTAGGATGAGAAGATTCTAGAGGCTTTCCAACTCGTTAACGTGTCTGTAGTGATAACGTGAGAAAGATGTACTGTAGTGTGGTCAAAAGGTAGGTGCGAATGAAGCACCGCTTGAAGTTATGTCGTCAGCGTGTAAGTATTCCGTACGTACACGCTTGTGCTGTACCTTCCTGTTTGAGAGCGATTGTCGACTGCCACATTGCAATTGTTAAACTCTGCTCCTTTATATGTATTCGGCCGGGAAACTTATGCTGGGAAGGATAATGATGATCATTTACAGAGGACGGAGTACTGTGTAGTAGACGTAATCGTAGGGAAAGGCAGTCGACGATCTTGTGCGACACAGACATTGGATCGACTGTCCTACAATCGGTAGATAAGGGTTACGATACGGGATGCCACGCGCTTACCGGCACACGTTGCTGGGAGCCGACAAAGCCGTTCATCGTTAATTCACCTGTCATGGTCGTGGGTCAGGGATGTCTTGAACTCTGTACTGACAGGCCCTCCACAGCTTGAACCCCCCCTGTCAAGGCAAGCCCCTTTCTTTGTGCGCTGAGCTGAACTCATCAATGTGATACCATCGCTCTCATTGCCAGCAATATATTCTTCTCCATCGTTGAGCTGGGTACCCGTGGATAGCAGATCCCGCATCAGGATTCAGGGGGCTGGAGGAAAGAAAGGCTGCTAGGAGAATGATCTCGATTCAGGAACGGCGTCATCTGAATGTAATGTACGTTTAAGAGCGTATCTGTGTAAGTTTGTCGATTACTTCGAGCATCTGTGTGTTGGACGGTCGATAGTAAGCTCATCTTGGTCAGGATCTTCGATGAACAATCCATGCAAAGCCCGTTATGCACGTTTCAAACAGGCCGATGGCCCCCGCACAGACCAGAGACACGGGAGGTCAGCCTACCATGGCGTCAAGGCGACCAGGAACCTGCATCGGTAGGATACGGCCAGCGATACTAAAGTTTAACGCAGGCTGGCTTGGATGCCTTTTCCTGCTCGGGACAACCCGAGGGTTCCCAGCTTTACAGGGCACAACCGTACCGTGCGTCAGTACTCCGTACTCCGTAGTCTTCGGTCTCTTGGTCGTTCGCCTGGCATTGCCCGGCCGTTCAGCCCGCCTTCTGTGCCCTTTTCCACCCCACTGGACCCGATAAAAGTGTCTCAAGTTCATGTGCGAGGCCGCTTCACTGCTTCGACCACCAAACGGCGACCACCAAACGGCGACCCCTCGGAGCTTGCGTAATGGAATGCAATCGGTGGAACTGGTGGAAACGATGCAAGCTGGAATTGGGCGCTTCCTCGAACCCCACTTGTAAGACCGACGGTCAGTTCGTTTATTTCCACCAAGGATCAATACCGAGATCCTATCGTCGATGCAAGCATATTATCCTCCGGGGAACTGGTTGGCAGTGGCCTAGCTGGCTGATGGGCTGAGGTTGGGTAAGATTGAAGGGGTTTCTTGGCACCACGCGAAGTCTTGGGAGAGATTAAAGTTGGTCCTCCCCAATCTCTTCGCATCCACTCGGTTCATTCGATCCGCCTCGATTTGCTTTGGACCTCAGACATTGCGAAATCTTCATTGTCCCCCGCACGGTTGCTACTCATGCATCGCGCTTTGGGTATTGTTGTCTTGTAATTCCGCTTTTCTTGGCTCTTGCGACTGGGATCTTCCCTCCTCTGGATCCTGCGGTCCACTGTAATGCTTCGATTACGCTGCCGTTGCCGCTGACGCTGCGGGATATCGGAGGATTGGATGACCAGGTACTCCGTAGGTCCCTGATACCTGGGGTGAGGAGGTTCTTTGTTTCCACAACCTGATGATGATCTTCGCTCTACTCCGTACTGAGTGGAGAGATCATGCCACACAGTTTTTTTCTCCACGCTTTGCACTCCCGTGAGCAGAATACATCACGGAGGGTCCACAATCGTCCAGCAATGAATAAAAGTAGAATCGTCAGAGGAAAGCAAAGATAGAGTCAAAATGGGAACGACAATAACTGTGTAGAAGAAGAGGGGCGTGAGAGGAGAAGGGGAGGGGTGGAAGACAGCCAATACCAACATATGGAGTATGTACATGCACCGAGCTCCGTGCATACTCGAGTACTCGAGTACTGTGCAGGACATAACTACCACCACCAACATCATAACATGGTGGAAGAATGACATGACTACTGTATGGCAAAAGACAAGATCAATGAATGAAAGTCAAACACAAACAAACGTCCGCGCGGCAGGAGCCGAATACGGACGGGCCCCCTCCCCTTCTTACCCCTTCTTCCCCTTCTTAATCCTTCCAAGTTCTTTCTTCTCCCTGATGCTCATGATGATACTCAGCGATAACAGCCAGCAGTATCATCAGATCAAATGAAGGCTCCGAAATATTTGTCTGTCAGACAGTTGGATACTCCCTGCTTCGGGAAAAATCCCTCCGTGCCGCCTGAATTGAAACGCAGTCTGTGCTCTGGACCTCTGGTCGACAACTGAAATCTTACCACGACGAGCATTATTGCGGTAGTGTGAGGATCGCGATCAGGATTCCGATGAAGCTGATGATGCAAGGAACATCTGCAGCAGCCACTTAGATCAGGGGCCCCGGGCAGGACCTACGTACCAGTGCTCATACTGCGTCGTTCTCTTCAATACACCAGGTCCTTTCCTGTAAGAAGCCATTAACAAGGAGGCGACTCGAACCATACAGCACTGCGATTTCTTCTCCAACCTCTGCCTAATCAATTTCGGGTCAAGTGCTTCAATCCGTTTCATCTTTGCCTCGCAATGGAGCAAGTCATGGCGTGTCGTTTCGCTGCGCCTGGGCTCCATTCGCTACCATGTGGTTCAGTTCACTATTTTTTCCCCTTTTTTACTTCTCTGCCTTGGGGCAAATTTCTCATTTGTCCACGGGAGTTTATCGACATCCCCTGTAGACCGTAGTCAGTTCAAATGATCTGCATAGGTTTCTTGAGTCAGTAGCTCAAAAGGTGGCCACAGTATATACAATGCATGGTTGCTTGAACTGAAAGCTGCACAATGCATGTTTGACAGCGGCCTCCCCCCCTGATGAACAATTTCCGTTACTGCATATTGGTTTATCTGGCTCAGCATAGTGTGGTCGGCTCCATCGTCTCGTTCCCATCCCATCTCAGACGAGAACATAGAGGCAGTGAGAGGACCATGTTAGGCAATTGATTAGTGTATCATCTCGTGTCTTCTCCGAGGCTCTCTTCTACCGACCGCGTCGCGATCCCCACACTGCTCACATCAGACATCTAGAATTCCTTCTCTCCTCACGATTGATGGTACACAGGTCAGACTGTCTAAGAACCAGTAGCGGTAAGATACAATCGATCGATGATGTCGAGGTTGCGATTGCAGTGGCTTGGATTTATGATTGGTATCGTGAATAAGTATTAGCCAATAGCTACTTCATACTCTATCTTTAATGGTGCAGGCAAGGAAGGATTCGGCTGGCTCCACAGGAACTTTTCCACCTGTCGGGTTCATTCAATAAGCTGTTTTTCCGTCTTTTCTTTTTCATTTTTCCATTTTCTTTTATTGTTTCAAGGCTAGTCTGAAATGATTCGGATTTCGGTTATATTCTTTTCATCCTTATAGTGTGTACACTTTTATTGTCATTTAATATTATCTTGATTTTTCCAATAAAATTTCTTCCCGCTTCTACTCTACTATCCCCAAGTCACGAAAACAATAAAGCATACTCCGTATGTCTTATCATGTATAGCGATAATATCTGCTCTCGTCGACTTTCTGGTTGTGTTGTTTTGCATGCCATGGCTGGTCTTCCCCAAGCGACTGATCCTAGGTGGGCTCCCAAGCCCTCAGTACATCCTGGGCATCTAGTAGTAAAATTGTAGCTTGAAAGGGTCTAGTGCTGTACTGGCGTATAACGCCATCGCCAAACAGTCCCTATACTCCGTAAAAGTCACTGAAGGAGCTAACAGCAGAGACTCGTTATTAGCGCAAAGCGAGCAAGCAAACTTGAGCCTTCTACATCGTCCAGTTGCTTGGGTTGCAAGGGTCATCTGGTTCCTGCCGTATCTCCACCGCTAGCCTAACCTTTGGCATTGTCTCTACTCCGTATTTGCTCTTCTTACCGAATATCTCCCGGGATGTTTCAAGCTCGCCTCGGGAGTGGAGCGAGTCGAGCTTCGGTCTCGCAATCCGGCCGTTGCCTGGTGGTTCCCGCTCTTGTCCGGCTCATGGAACAAGTGGAGAACTGGAGAGTAGGAAGAGACATTGTCTGTGAAAGCAAAAACAAAGAGGAACAGTGAGAAATCAGAGTGACGACGATGGGAAGGGGGCGATTCTATCCTCCTGCTTGTTTCCTGCTTTCCATGCGTCTGGGATTTCTTTTCATTTTTTTTCCTTGTCTTTTTTTATCTTCTGTACTGTGGTCTAGATTTTTCATTTTAATTGCCTCTTCAATTGACAGCGGTAGAGGAAGTTAGAGCCTTGAGACGAAATAATAAGACAGTCCAGAGAAGAGGAGGAAGCAAGAGGGAGGGAGCATTGTCCGCCTGGTGATCCTGACTTGTTTTGCTTTCGGGCCACTAGGTGGATGACTAAACCCACGCCAGCCTCGGTCTAAAGAACTAGCGAGGACCACTAATCCGCTAGTGGGAGTCTAGCCGGTACTTTTTCCTTCTCTGCTCCAGTCGCTTCGGCCGCGAGAGCCTCCAAAACTCGGCGTCCTATTCTGCATCTATGCACTTTCTTTTCTTTTTTTTTTATTTCTCTTTTTTTTCTTTTTCTATTTCTCCGCAAAACCCTGTCTGACCTGGATTTCTCTACCGCTTGACCCCCTCTAAACCTTCTTGGGCGAAGGGACATACATGCACAAAGTCTTAGAGGCTGGAAAAATACTCGTTGCTTTCTTTCCACCCCCCCCTCTCCGCTCTTCTCTCTCCTGGAATAGATACCACAGAATCCACTACACCGTCACCCAGAAAGGAGTACCGAGTCTGGAGTACCACCACCAAACTACCTTAGCTCCCCCCTCCCCCTTCGCCGTTAGTCGTCAACCGCCACTGTGCCAGGAATTGAATTGTCTGACAATGATGATACAGCCAGCTTCAGCATGAATAGCTTGCCAGACGACATCATCATCATCATCATCACCAACACCATCACCCCAAGTGATGATGGCAACCTCGGTGTTTTCTTCCGCCCTGTCCGCATGGCGCGGTGGAGATAGGGCGGAAATGCACTTCCTGACTCAAAAAAGTACACTCACTACAAACGCCCGTCGAAGAGAGAAAAATCAAGTAAAGAAAAGAAAAGAAAAGAAAAGAAAAGCCCGGTACACTTCCTGACCGGTACCTGAGATGACAGTCTGGTAAGGTTATCGCTTCAACCAGTATTTTTCCTCGATCGTACTCAAGATGCGATGTTCCGATGGACGGTATGTCGCCCCGGCTCCACCTCAAGACTCCTCTCTAGAGCCGCGGCTTTTTTTTTTTTTTTTTTTTTTTTTTCCTCTTTTGTCTTTTCCTGGACAAGAACACAGTCTTATGCCTTGTTAATCTTCTACAATTTGACATTGATTAGATTCATCTCGTACATTTCTAATTGAGGGATTATGGGAAAAGAGCATCTCCATCCATTTCAATTTATATATCCCCTTTTATGCAGTCAATATCCCCTCCCACCCCCCCTTCTTCCTCTCCATCATCCGTGATAGTACGGAGTAGCCCCTGTCTGATGATCCGCTGGTTAGCTTCTCAGCTTGCACGCTCGCCTTTCCCCCTCTGTTCTCACGTGTCAATTGTTTCACACCATCGGGGGTTGCTAAGAAGAGTGGGGATATTGCCAAGTGGCTCCTAGCCTAATTACCCCCCCCCCCCCACTGTGTCTCGATGAGTCGATCCATGCCCGGTGTCCGGCGGGTTATGGAGCAGCCAACGCCCGACTAGTGCTGTCGGCAGGACTTCCACATGGTGCGTACCACCGACTGCTGTCTTGACTGTTGCAAGGGGGAAGACGGCACACGGCGACTGGAAGAACCAGCTTGATAACCAGGGTCTAATCGACCCTTTCCTACTGCGGTTGGCTGACGACCAGGATGACCGGTGGATTCGGCACTAGAACAGAACCTGTCCCAGACTCTGAATGACCCGCACGATGCAATGCAGAGGTTGCGGGCGCCGGTTCCACGTCGGAAATTTTACAATCAATGAGGAGCGCGGGACATGAATGGCTAAGGAACGGTTGACGATAGTCCCTCCCGCCTCTTCCCATACCCTGCGTGAGCTTTGGACAGATGTACTCTCCGAATGGACCTGAAGAGCCACACAGTAGTCTTTCATGATCCTCGGCATCATTCGTCCGCAGGGCTGTCAGTCCCTCTGCCGCATTTCACGCCTGTAGGATACGTCCCGGGCTTAATCCTTCATATTGCCACTATACAGTGCCCGTCAAATCCGGCCCTCCACCACTACATGGATCCATCTTCTTCTGCACTCTGGGCAATTCCCATCTATGAACTCCTTAGCATAGTCCTCACCTCCCCTCCTACCACGTATTACCTTCTTTGATATCAAAGCCTCCGGTCTTCACTTGTAAGCCGAAAGCAGAAGTCAACCCTCATCTTGCGGTGTGCTAGTGACAGTAGCTATTGGTGCCTCGGAGCGTGGTCATCTCAGGCTTCTTCGTTGGTCAGGACTGTGTCCGATGACGACGTTCTCCAGCAAGTGTTCCAACTACGGTCACTCCTGCTGCTGCTGCTCTTGCTGTTGTTGCTGACTAGTCGGCCACTACGAGGAGACTCCGACGACGACGACGACGACGACAGCCCGGCTGGACTCTTATCCATTGTGGCAGCATCCCCCGGTTCTCCCCAGCCCGTTTGAAATTCCCACTTCTTCTCTTGTTTCCACCTCCGTTGTCATTCCGGACCTGGTTTCTGGATAACTCACCTGGACGCTACGCCTCCGGAGGGTAGTTGACAATCGTAGGATGGTCTAGGATCTCCGTGTACCGAACCTTCAAGCTGTGGCCCGTTCCATTTAATTTCCTGTTTTCTTACGCTCGTTCCTGTCGGTTTTAGTTTCATTTCCCTCATTCTTTTGAGTTTGTTCTCCGCGTTAGCATCTGGCATCTACCTATCGTTTGTTGCTACACCCTGTACGAGGACCTGAAGATTATTCGTTCCCTGCCCCCCTCCCTCCCTCCCTCTTCCCCTCTCTCCTCTCTCTCCTTGTCTCTCGTTTGTTCTCTCAGCCTCCCCTCACTCGTTCGTGAAGGGAGCTTGCTCGTCGTGTGCGCAGCTGCATTACTAGCACGGTTTTGTGCTCGCGGTGGCCAAACTGAAAGTGGATCTCTCGCACTGGCCGAAGGTGAATCAGGGCCTGCGTTTTAACGTCCTCCGTTATTTCCACTGGCTGAGATCGTGCATTCGTTACCCGCTTGGGCTAGGCACCGTTTTAATCTCTTCTATAGCCATACTACCCACTGGCCGGTAACAATCCACCCCCCTCTCCGGTTGTATCCTGGACCCAGCAAAGGGATCGACCTTTCATTTCTTGCCGTTCGTCAGTGGCCCTAGCGGAGGCCGAGAATCTCCTTTATCGTCGTGGGGTGTAAGTCCAGGGGGAGATCCTTACCAGGGTAGCGCTTCTTGTTCATTTGTTGTTGGTTGTCCGCCGTCCAAAAGTCCACGCTTGCTGTGTGTCGACTACTTGCTGCGTCTCACACGCGAAGAACTTGCCATTTACTCCTCTTTTCGTTCGTGTCTTCGCCCCATTTCGGAGATCCGGTGCATCTTCAGCAAGCGCCCCGACAGCTCGTGCAGACCCACTCTGTCATCCCTGGTCTGGCATCTGGGTTGCAATTTAGAGTCTATATCTGCGTCCGCAGCTGCAGTACGCCTGGCCTCTTCAACCTTCAGCATAGAGCTGATCTTTCTGTTACACATACATGGTATAGACAGTTTCCATATTTTGCTACCATGTCAATCAGCGGGCCCTGCGTCTGGTTGTCCTCATTGTCACCACCATCTACTTCACATCTTCCCGCCCTCAGCAACCATTGGTCTACAGCTTCCTGGAATAGCAGCGAGCAAGTTACGTCGAAACCGAGGGCTATCCCGTCCCTCTTGCCCGGGCCGTGGGAGAGAGAAGGCGAGTCTACCAAGACGCCTTCGGCCGATATGCAATCCGCTGGGATCAAGGCTGAGAATGCCTATCCAGCCATTGTTGCCGCCGGCTCATCTAGCCCAGTCCGGCCCATCGGTGGCATAATGTCCCAAGGTGATTCGATGAACCGCAATACAGGCACGGAAACGGAGTCATTGGTTCAGATGGGGCAAAAGAAGATCAACCAGAGCAAACCTCAATTTTCACAACCAACTCAAGGAACCGATGTTTCGCAAGTCGCAAAAAAGACGACGCCTGAGCTTAAACTCGAAGAGATGCAGGACAGGGAGAAAGGAGATGTAGATGCGGCGATGGCCTCCTCAGATGAGGGCGCTGCGTCATCCGAAAATGGCGATAAGAGGCAGTCATCAGATAAACATGATAAGAAGAAGATGAAGCGATTCCGGTATGCAACTATCCATGCAGACTGTGTCGGGTGTGTCACTGACCAGATACGGCAGACTGACCCATAACCAAACCCGCTTCTTGATGAGCGAATTTACCCGTCAAGCACACCCCGACGCGGCTCACCGAGAACGCCTTTCTAAAGAGATTCCTGGCCTGACGCCTCGGCAGGTCCAGGTTTGGTTTCAGAACAGGTTTGTCACAGCCCCAAGCGTCTCGGACTTAACCTACAGTGGTGCGGCTGATAACTTTCATCCAGGCGGGCAAAGCTCAAGCGACTTACAAGCAACGACCGGGAGCGGATTCTGAAGTCTCGAGCATTACCGGATGACTTCGACACAACGCAAGTTCTACGAACGCCATTTGATCATAGAACGACATCAGAGGCACCTGTTGCGTCTCCCCCGATCCGCATTACATATGGTCATGAATCTAACAATTTGAAGATGTTGCTTACCGATGGAATTCCCCGAAATGACGACGACTACGTGATTTCGCCACTCAGCTCAGCCTCGACAACAAACGGGTTCACCTCAGCTGGGTCGGATCGCCACTTCGACAGCTACACACACACGGCCGCCATGGCGAATCGGGCTGCTCACGCGCCACTGACGGATTTGAACCGACATAACCGCGGCGCCTTCCCATTTTCGAGATCTAGCAGCTTTTCCGAGGCTTCATTCCATAACGGACTTCACTATCCGGGGCGCTACTCACGATCCGGTGTCGAGCCGCTGGTTCACCCGAGTATGGCATACGGCCGTCGCCCGATGGAGTATGGTATCAACCGGCCTACCAACGGTCTCATGGTAGGGTATGACCATCAGCGAGCAATCGAAGGCTCTGTATCGCCAACCGGGCAATCAGAACAACCAGCTCACTATAATGTCGACGGTCATCACAGTAAGTCACTCCTACCAGCTCGTACGGGAACATCGAGAGGAACATGTAAGACTAAGATTGGCGGCAACAGACCAGCAGGCGCACAGCTACCAGTCCCCACTAGCCATGCCACCGCCCAAGGCTTTTGGTGGCATTGACATGAATGCACATATGCAGCCGCATGGGAGGCAGATACCCGCCATGCAATCCATTCCAGTCTCGGAGGCACCTGATTATCGACCATATTCATATGACCACCACCAATATAGCATGAATACCGCCATGCCGTATAGCCAAGCCAACGCCTCCAGCATGAGTCTCCCGGCCTCGTTTCCTTCGGAAACCAACAATGTCTCTCAAGGGCCTGTGGTCAGCACTGCGGAAGATCGAATCCATAATCCTCCACAATTGATAGATCCGCTGAGGGCCAAATATGGCACCCAGACATTCGAGTATGCCAACTATCTTTAACCGGCCATCTCTGGACTGCCTAGAAACATCTTTCCTCATCTTTTCTCAACATACGCTCCGCTTTAATCCATCCGGTTCTCCATACCTACTTAATCGCTGCCTTAGGCCGCTCCTCATATTTGCTCCTGGGTTTGGGTTGCATTGCACATATCAGCATCCCGTTGGTTCCCGGGGTATATACATATTGTTTTGAGGTTCATCATCGTCTGGGATCATATTGCTTTCATTTTTACCACAAAAAGATTTTCAAGGAAAAGGGGGGTCCATCATTGCATTCTGAAAGTCGGTTTCCAAGGCCGGGACCGGACCTTTCATGGCGTCAACTTGTTTATTCTGATCTGGTGTTCAAGGGCCTTCCGTTCAGCCCTGTTGCTTTATTGTTTCCCTTTAGCATGCGTTCTGCTTTTGGATTGGGGTGGCTTTCCTGAGCTTTCTTTGTGTATACAACTTTTAAATTCTAGTCGATAATTACTTAGGTAGCCATTAATGTTTGCGCCGGTCTCTGAAAATTGCACAGCCATAATGGGGAGCGAAGACAGACGATGTGGTTCGCATGGAAGTTCGTGATTGAGAAGTAATGTACGTCATGCTCCAATGGCCTGATCTGGAAGTGGAGTCTGGAAGGCGACTTAGTCAGTACGCACTCATCTGCACCCACGTCTACTCAGATTAAGATTAAGGCTCTAGCCATGTACTCCGGAGTAGATCACACTTAGGTCCCCATATGGTCCAATGACAGCTACTGCAATGAGTAGGGCCGCAGGGCCATGGCTCGATTGTGAGAACCGGAATCTCCAATCAAAGACGAGGTATAAGCAATCCAGTCTCGAGGTCAGCAATTGGCAACTGCCTACCAGCATCGAGCATTACAAACCCAAGCAATGTGTGTTGCTAGCGGGATGCTCCCTCTATGGTCTATGGTTGATGATCGAATCAGAGTGTGTCAAATGCTGGAACGGACAGTCACGGGACCAGTTGGAGTCTCTTAGTCTTGGCCAATCAGCGCCCGTGTATTGCCAATCTTGAAATCTACAGAGTTGGATGAGGTTGAGTATAAATACGCTCCGATCCCTACAATACATAATCTCCCATCATCAGCAAAGGCCTTCATTACACATTGACGCAGCCCTTTTACTATTCAATTCCATCTTCGTTTGTTTCTCATCGCTGCGACTGCATCTTCGTGCATCAATCTTCAACAACATTCGCACCGACAGCTCCTTGTGACGTCATCAATTCTCCTCATACTACTTTTTTTCCGACTCGCACTCGTCTTCCTGTCTTCACGACTCTTCAACTTCCCTCCCCACAATTCAAAATGGTCCACCCCGCTTCCACCTGCTGCAAGACCTCTGGTGACGGTAGCTGCGTCTGCGCCGCCCAGGCCAAGTGCTCCTGCGGCAAGGAGAACGCCCTCCACTGCACCTGCAACAAGGCTTCGACCGAGAACACCCTCTCCGGCCCTCGGTGCTCCTGCAGTATGTCCTCTGCCACACCACTTTCCTCTTCCTAATGAACTAACACTTGGAAACAGGAGCCCGTCCTGCTGGTCAATGCACCTGTGAGCGCGCCGCTAGCGAGAACACCCCCGTCTCGGGTGACGCCTGCCCCTGCGGACAGAGATCCTCCAGTAAGTCCGGAGCTAAGCCGATCGGACTATTAACGGAACAGCCAGCTAACTTGGATGCTTTAGCTTCTTGCACCTGTGAAAAGGCTGCTGCTGTGGACGCTGCTGCGGAAAGCAACGAGATCGACTTCACCACCCGCGCTTGATTACCTGTTTGTCTTTAAGTCGATTTTTGCTGGATTTGCTTTCGCTTGGCTGGGTGTTATCAATAGCATGTACGGCTGGGGGCCTGGTGTTCAAGATGGAGTTCTTTCGGGGGTCGATTCTTGTTTTCGTTTACTATGAGGGGCGGCAGTAGCATTCAGAATCTCAAGAATGAGATTGGTTTACAATGATATCAATGGGCTAGAGCCTTGAGACTATGCCAAATTGGATTTGATTTCTCGCATTGTACTACAACGTGTAGATCTTGGCTTGCTGCAAGCTGGAAATCCAGACCGAGCCAGATAGGCATTTGACTTGACAAGGATTACCTTAGTGGAGGAAAGGCCGAGTGGCTATGATCCGCAATCCATCTTACGGACAGGTGAGGGACGGAGTACGCATGCCGAGAGGGCTGCTGTTTCAGGTGAAGAAAAGCTTCCCCACCGGAATGCAGACCCTGGAATCCGAATAAGGTTGCATCCGAGAATCACTAGTGACAACGGTTAGTGCAGCAACTCAGTAGGTACGGATGCTATACAGTACCTCACTAGAGGCTGAGCGGTGGATGTTCTTGTGTGTGGAGATATAGTAGAGCCAGATCTCATTGTAATATCGGGCTGAACATGTAATTTAGATTAATCCAATGTCAGGTGCAGACGGACGGAGTTTGGACAATGCTAAGATGGCTGCATGCGGGGGGGACATTAATGTCCGATCCCTGTAATCGCACCGCCACAACGCATTAACGTTCATCCAGATTTCCGCTGCCGGATCGGCCGCGGAAGTGGCTGAGGCCCGGCTGGCTCCCTCCTGACGAGGGTCTCTCATTGCTGCTGCTGCTGCTGTTGCAATTATTCCGCACCCCCCCCTCTCCCCCATTGTTCAACTTCACCTTTCCCCTCCCCTATTCAACCACTCCTTTCAAGTTAGCGAGAGCATCTCGGCTCAGTTCTATCTGTAGCTACTTCGACTACCACCATCTCTATCCTCCATCCGACCATTCCATTCCTTCGGCCTGTTTGCGACTCGACTAGCAAACCCCCTGGTGCGCTGATATCAGATTTACCCCCTCCTCCAGATCTCCGCTCGCTCTCCACACCTACATTCCACGCCATGTTCCATACACTCTGAAACGACTGAGCGGACTAATATCAATTGAATTAACGGACTGCCCCGCGTGATCTCATCACCAAGTGTCAATTGAATGCAACGGACACAGTAATACTCAACCCCATCGACAAGAGTCCGAGACACCGCCGGAGCGACGGACCCGTCTCATTGTCTTCTTGCAGCAAGCCAGCGCGTTATTCCACTTTGTTCTGCTTACTTGCCACCATTTTGTCGTAACTATCACTATCATTAATAATACTTCCCAACGCTCAGCATGTCGTCTATGCGGGGTCTAGTCCAGTTCATCGCCGACCTGCGAAATGCACGAGCGCGCGAACTGGAAGAGAAACGAGTCAACAAAGAACTGGCCAATATCCGACAAAAGTTCAAAGGCGGTAGTTTGAATGGATATCAGAAGAAGAAATACGTCTGCAAGTTGCTCTACGTCTACATCCAGGGGTACGACGTTGACTTTGGCCATCTGGAGGCCGTCAACCTCATCTCCTCCACCAAATACTCTGAGAAGCAGATCGGATATCTCGCCGTGACCCTCTTCCTCCATGAGCAGCACGAACTCTTACATCTGGTTGTCAACAGTATTCGGAAGGATCTGCTGGACCACAATGAGCTGAACAATTGTCTGGCGCTCCACGCGGTGGCCAACGTGGGTGGAAGAGAGATGGGCGAGGCCCTCTCGACGGATGTTCATCGCTTGCTGATCTCGCCGTAAGTTGACCAGCACGGATCCAAAGGGGCTTCTGGGTTGACTGGACGGTGGGCTAATTCTACTCTTCGTGTGACAGGACTTCCAAAGCCTTTGTGAAGAAGAAGGCCGCTCTTACCCTTCTCCGACTGTATCGCAAATACCCGGGCATCGTGCAGGCGGAGTGGGCGGAACGTATAATTTCTATTATGGATGATCCCGACATGGGTGTCACCTTGTCGGTAACATCTTTGGTCATGGCACTGGCCCAGGATAAGCCTGAGGAATACGCAGGGTGTTATGTCAAGGCTGCTTTTAGATTGAAAAGGATCGTGGTTGATAACGACATCGCGCCCGACTACCTCTACTACCGAGTGCCCTGTCCGTGGATTCAAGTGAAGCTGCTCCGATTGCTGCAGTACTATCCTCCTTCCGGTATGCCAGCTCGAAGACCCTCTATGTGTCCAGCTTATACTAAAATAAAACCCAGGAGACACCCATGTCCGCGACATCATTCGAGAGTCCCTGCAGCAGATCATGAACTCCGCTATGGATGCGCCGAAGAACGTGCAGCAGAATAACGCCCAGAACGCGGTTCTTTTCGAAGCCATCAACCTTCTTATTCACCTAGACACTGAGCACAGTTTGATGTTGCAGATTTCTGCTCGGTTAGGCAAATACATTCAGTCTCGCGAGACCAATGTTCGATATCTGGGTTTGGAAGCGTTGACGCATTTTGCTGCCCGGGCGGAGACCCTCGATCCCATCAAAAAGCATCAGAGCATCATCCTCGGCTCACTGCGAGATCGTGATATCAGTGTTCGACGGAAGGGTTTGGATCTGGTGTATAGTATGTGCGATACGACCAATGCTGGCCCGATTGTGAACGAGTTGTTACGCTATCTCCAGACAGCGGACTATGCGATCCGAGAAGAGATGGTCCTGAAGGTTGCCATCCTCACGGAGAAATACGCCACCGATGCCCAGTGGTACATCGACATGACACTTAAGCTTCTGTCTCTGGCCGGCGACCACGTCAACGAAGAAGTGTGGCAGCGAGTGATTCAGATTGTGACCAACAACGAAGAGCTACAAGCCTACGCGGCACACAACCTCCTTGGCTATCTCAAGACCGACTGTCATGAAAGTTTGGTGAAAATCGGCTGTTATGTTCTGGGCGAGTTCGGCCACTTGATTGCTGACAGCCAGGGGTCAAGTCCGATCGAGCAGTTTTTGGCATTGCAAGCCAAGATGATTACCAGCACCGACAACACCCGGGCCATGATTCTGTCGTCGTTCGTCAAGTTTGTCAACCTTTTCCCCGAAATCAAACCCCAACTCTTGCACATCTTCCGCCTGTACAGCCATTCTCCCGATTCCGAGTTACAACAGCGTGCTTTTGAGTATCTGTCGCTGGCGACGCTTCCCACCGACGATCTGCTTCGGACGGTGTGCGACGAAATGCCACCCTTTTCCGAGCGAGCCTCGATCCTGCTCTCCCGTCTACACCAGAAAACGGCGGGCACGACGGAGAAAAAGACTTGGGTTGTGGGCGGCAAGGATGCCAATGCCGACCAGAAGGAGGTGCTGATGGCACAAAATACGGGCCTGAAGCGCAGCTTCACCACGATTGTCAATGGCACGAAGACTGGGACGAACGGATCTGCTGGAGGCGCAGGTTCTTCTGGCGACTTGGCCGGGCTGGATCTCAGCGCACCTGTTGCGCCGAACATGGCTAGCGCCGCGCATCTGACGCCTGACTGGGACGTCGGATACAACAAATTATACTTTAACGATGAAGGTGTTCTCTTTGAGGATGCACAGATCCAGGTCGGCCTGCGGTCTGAATATCGGGGTCATATGGGCGTGGTGAAAATCTACATTTCTAACAAGTCATCCTACGCGATCGGGTCTCTCACGACGACGCTGGACAACCGAGCCGCGCCGCAATTGAAGCTTGACACGAAAAATCTGCCCGAGCCGTCTCTGCCGGCAGCCGGACAGACACAGCAAACACTTCTGGTCGAATCGCACGGGCCATTCACGGATGCACCTACAATCCGAATCTCATACCTTGCCGGAGCGCTCCAGGCTTACACTCTGCAGCTTCCGATTCTGATGCATCGATTCATGGAGCCGTCAGCGCTGTCGGCGGAGGATTTCTTCAAACGGTGGCGCCAGATCGGCGGAGGGCCATTAGAGGCGCAGAATACCTTTGCGGTGTCGACACGGGCCAAGGATGTCAGCGAGGCGTTCACACGGCGGGTGGTGGAAGGGTTTGGGTGGAAGATCCTGGACAACGTGGACCCGAACGGGAAGAATATTGTGGGCTGCGCTGTTTATCAGTTTGTGAATGGCAAGACGGGCTGCCTGTTGCGCCTGGAGCCCAACTATGAGCGGAAGGTGAGAATTGGCGTTGCCCCGAATTGACGACCCATTGAGGTTTGTGATCGACTGACCAATTACCCGCAGATGTACCGAGTCACGATTCGGGCCACGCAAGAAGCAGTACCGCAGGCATTGGCTAAGCAGATGGAGCAACGGCTGTCGCAAGGACCATTGTAGGGAGGAAGCGTACGAAGTATGAAAGACATCGTAGTGGTTGGATAACCTCTTTTTTTCCCTTCTCCCGAAAACTATTCTACTTATTCCCCTTACTTCCTTTTTCCCTTGTAGTCCCTCTCCTACGTTGGGACTCCAAGGCATGTATTTACTTACCTCTTCGACTTTTGGACTACCTACCCACCTACTTACCTTACTTACCGTATATACCTTTGTGCATGTGGAGGGCAATCTTTTAGTCCTGAAGATCGGAGTGGCAATGTACGCGCGTTTCTTTGGGGGGGGGTCTGTGTATATCGCATAGTGGAATTGGGTTGGGTGTGACGCCGGGTTTTCAGTTTAATTTGGATGTGCCCTGTACTTTCGTGCGATCTGAGGGACAACAAAACCTCCAAACTCTATTTGGTGGATAGCAGTTGTATGATGTCGACACTGGACAAGGTTACGGAGGAGATGTTATCTGATCGATGATGTATTTTTGTTTGCCCAACTACTGAGTGAAAGTACAGTCAGGCTGTTCTGGGGCGACAGAGGGGTTCGTTCGTGTTCAGGTCATGGATCGACCCGACCGGGGCAGTGCTGAGTCAGCTAACTGAAGGCCGATCACTAGTTCCGCTCAAGACACTAACCTCGATCGAGTGCTATAACACCACGTGATACCGGGAGATCCGCTCGGCGAGTTTCCTGGATTGGAGAAGAGCGGATCCACCGGCACCCAAAGAAGAACAACTGGCGGGCCCTGCAGTGGCCGCTTTCGTCATCCTCGATCACTCCCTCCTTTGCTGGTTCATCAGAGGCGAAGATGATGATGATGATGATGATGATGATGATGTATGTCGGAGGTGTCTATGTTATATGATGTGATGTTTACTTGCTACTGTCGCACCCAAGTCCAGGGGCTTTCCCCGGAATTCAATCGGCTGATGCTTGTGCTGATGTCATGATGTGAGGGGATGAGGGGTCCAGAACATTGGGGATGCTGTAGGAACAGTTGCTGGGTTGAGTTGGGAGGGTAAAGAGGAGGGAGTGTCTGACACTCTGTCAGTTGTTCACTCGCTCCCGATCACACTAGAAGCCCGTTTGGGCTTCGATGTCCATCCGTCCCCCCCTCTCCCCGCGCCCAGGCCCCATCATCTCCGATTGTCACTATTCCCAACCCCCCCCCCTTCCAAGAAGAGGCATCACCATGTAGTTTGTATAATAAGTAGAAACGGGAGTACAGGAGACATTTCAGAATGGAGTCAATGGAGATTAGGAACTACTAGTAGTGATTCACTTTCACGAGTTAATGCTGAGTAAATTGGGATGCCCAGCCAGCTGGTGGGGGTAACGGGAGCACACCTGGTGGAGGGGGAACTATTCCCGATGGCCGATGGGGTTTAGTCGTCGGCTTTTATAGTAGTAGCAATTTCCCACTCTTCAATAGTCTGCAAAGAATAGCTCCCCCCCCCCCCTCGTGGGCCTGTCAAACTAGACTCAAGTAGAAGCTAACTAGAGAAAACTTCCCGTCGAACTACTGTTTGACCATTGGGATGGTTAATTAAAACGCATAGACCAGGAAGGGGGGGAAGTGATACAAAAGGGTCAAGCTGTCCACGGAGGTCGGCTTTCAGGAACCAACTTCCGTAACTGCCGCAGTAACGAAACTTGCAGTAAAGTGACTGCAGTCTGCAGCAGGCAGAGAGAAATAGAGATGCCTGCTAAGAAACCTAGGATAAGTAGGGTTAATTAATTGATTGAGTGATCTGCTCCGGGGATTACTTTTCGTTCACCCCCTGATGCTTCATTCGCTTCGCTTCATTCTTTCCCCTGGCTCGGTCCGGTCGGTACCTGTGGATGGACCGGAATGCTGCTAGATTTTGACATAAAGTTGATTTATGTCTTGTCTTTTCCCTCGTTATGCCTTAACTGTCGTGTATCTCGCTCCGATTGACAGAATAAAAGAATCGGACCAAAGGGTCCAGACACTTGAAGCCAAGACTCGGGGGTAGCATTTGCGGCTTTTGTCGCCTACATTTGCCCAACCCTTCACTGGAGAGAGAAAAAGGAGTTGACTTGACCCCCTCGGCCCAAAAGAATCCTTCCGATGATGCGACCTCAGCAAGAGGTCTGGCGCTCCTCTGGATGAGTATCGGTTTGGATTCCCCTTCCGCCGTCTGCCGGAGCATCAGATTTGCCTCGTGAGCGTTGAGCTGATGCGAATTAAACGCCATTAACTCCACCGCAGCGCTTCGGGGGCCTGACGTCAAAAGCAAATCAACTCCATTCAATCCATCAGAACTGCTTGCCAGCGCTGCAGAGAACCGCTGGGTCAAAGTCAAAGATGATGATGATGTTATCCTCTGTATGATCTTTTTGCCCCCCCTTGTCGTCTTCCTCCACCCCCCGTCATGATCCATTCAGTCCAAGTATCCAATCCACCTCATCCATTCATTCGGGTCGATCTTTTCTTTTTCACATAGACAAAAATCAAAGGTTTTGAGGGGACGTGCATCATTGCGAATCGCTGATGACCCAACTCGACTCGAGATCTAATTTTAATAGTCCTCCTTCCCCCTCTTCTTCTGGCTAGAACTCCTTTCTCTTTATTAGTAGACAAGATCTGACAATTAATCATTTCATTAACAATCAAATATATACTTGACCTTTCCCCCTCCTCGTTTCGCCCCCTCCCCCTCCCCTCACCTCAACCTTCGGTCTTTTCCACTCGTCCTGGTGACTGGTGGGCCCTGAATACTGTCTTCTGCTGCCGTCAAATCTCGCATTGGAAGTATAGATCCTCGATATAGACTTACTTCCTCTCTCTCCATTATCACAACTTCTTGGTAACGTTACGGCCGTCCAACCCGAGAGTCGAGTCCCATCCAGCAGCAACAGCAATCCCAAGAACCACCACCCTCTAAAAACTTCTGTTCTGAATCAAAAAAATCGATAGAGAGGGGGGAATATCCACTTCCGCCTTTCCCCACTGCAAACTGTCACTTTTGCACTGGACTCTTTTCTCCTCATTCCGAGAATCGCCCGGAAGTCGGCGGGAACGCCCAGTGTGACCTTTTTTTTTTTACACTTTTTCACACCGACTGCTGGACGGACTGACTCAATTACTCATTGAGTGACAAATTTTCCATTGGGCACGTACCGAAGAACCTGTCGGCATTAAATTCATCCTTGAGGATCGATCGACTTGAACATATTTAATCTGTGTCGATCCTTTTTGGTTGTTCTTATCATCACTATCAGAACTTCTTCGGTTAACGATACTCATCGGGGGTGACTACTCACTCCGTATACTTCTTATCTCCACCTGTCAGCGGACAGTACTATACATCGCGACACATCCGATCTGGTCAAAGATATCTAAACCCCGCTATTGTCTCTGCCTGCAAACTACTACACCCATCACATATCTTCGCATACATCATGTGTCAACAGTACTTCACCATATACTCCTGGTGCCACTGCGAGGAGGCCGCCGGCGAACATTACTGCACGGAGCGCAGCCGCGACAGCTGCCCCAGTATCGACATCCAAACGGTCCACATGCAATGTTTCTGCCACCTGCACGCCACGCGCGGCTTCAAGTCGGAGCGCAAGTGTCGCAAGCACGAGCGCAAGCAGGAGCGCAAACGCCTGTCGATGATGAGCGCCTCCACCAGCTCCACCGGCAGCACCAGCAGCGAGAAGAGCTCGCTGGAGCCTCGGCGCAAGTGGTATCACTTCCACTTCCGATCGCGGACGTTCTAGAGAGGCGTCATGTCTCTGGATGATTTCTTTTGTCTTTTGTCTTTTGTCTTTCCAATTTTCCTTTGTTTCGTAACGGTGTTGGTGGCTGTTTGATGTCTTATTCGCTGGCCAGGCGCTTTCTTCGGGTTGAGAACACAGCGCCTGTTGATCTTCACGATTTATGGGGGAATTAACCTGGCGTTTGGATTTACGTGGGGAATAAACTGGGAGAGGTCTTCCTGGCGTTGTGTCTGTTTGCTATTTGACTCATTGTTTATATGAGGATGCATTGCATGCATGTTACCCTGGAGTATATCTGGCTGATTTACTTCGTGCTTACAAGAGATTCCCTCGGTTGTAGAACCAACAATGAAACAGACAATATTTTGATAATTTGTTGATCCTTACGCTTTCCGGCGACTGAAAGTAGAGAAGTCAGCTGTCAACTTCCCCATTAGAAAGAAATATGATGATGATGTTGGTGGTGGTGGTGGTGGTATTGAGGGAGGGGGGAGGGGGGCAAAATAGAAGCTGGGCAAGTATGCAGAAGAAAAACCCCCCCCCTGAGGGGAAGATCCAGAAGCTCGCACTGGGAACAAAACAACACCTTCATTCCTCCCTGTTTCGCCCATCTCCCTTTCTTTCTCCCTTTCTCTGTCTCAGTTGCCCGTCCACAAGTTTATTTTTCTTTTATTAACTGCTCTCTCTGTCTCACGTTCAGCCAGAGATTGGGCATCGATTGTGACTGTCTTTTGTCTGTTTGTGTTATACTTCATTCAATGGGCCCCGTCATGGATCCCTTTCACTACAATGAGGAGCCTGCGTCATTCACTGCGACTGTGTCCGATCCGACCACAACAACCACAACTAGATCACAACCAACAGTAACAAGCTCTCCAAGCTACAACTATTCCATGTCTTCTTCCCTCACTGCTTCCGATCTCCCGACCCATCCCTCTGCCGTACCTCTGTCACCACCCGATCGTGTATCGTCGCGTTTATCGCCTCCCGATCCCCCCGCGCGTTCGCATCCGCCCCCTCGGCGCATCCCCAGTTCTGGCTCCCTGGCGGACGAGAATCGCCGCAAGTCCAGCCCAACCCTGAAAAAGCGTGCGTCGACCGCCTCCTTGCACTCCAACTCCAACCGGGGCGCTTCGGCCTCTCCGCGTCCGACCGCGTCGCGGCGCTCCTCTGCCTCCCCCTGTGGGACATCCCCGCCCGGCGCCGCAGCCAGCATGTCCGCGACTGCGCTGCCCACCGCGGCGTCGATCGCGGCCGATTTCTTGCACAAGGAGATGGATTGGCACCAGTCCACCGACGTCCAGTCGTCCACCCTGGTTTTGCTACATGATGCGTGCTACGGCCACCGATACTCGCGACCCCGCACCTCCCGCGCCTCCCTGAATCTGATCGTTGAACGTCCGGAGCGCATCCAGGCAGCCGTGCTGGGCATCGCAGCGGCGTATGTGCGCCTGGCTGGTCGGCATGACGGCGGTCGCCACGCGCCTCACCCCGAGCTGCACCCTCGCCAACTGCCAGTGCCGCCCTTCCAGATCCGGAGGACCGCGCGCACCCTCTCGCTGCAGGCACCCGCCGTGGCCCATGTGCACGGAGCGCAGTGGATGGAGGAGCTGAAGAGCATGTGCAATGCGGCGGAGTCGCGACTCGCCTTGCACGGGAAGGAGCTGGTCCGACCCCGCAGTGCGGGCAAGGACAGTGCCACCACCGCCGCAAACACTGTGCCCGCCCTTCACGAAGGAGATCTGTATCTATGCTCGGAGTCATTGAGTGCATTTGAAGGCGCGCTTGGAGGCGTGACAGAGGCCGTCGACGCGGTTCTCGGGTCGAGTCCGACCAAGCGAGCCTTCGTCTGCATCCGCCCGCCGGGCCACCACTGCTCCTCCGGTCACCCGTCGGGGTTCTGCTGGATCAACAATGTTCATGTGGGCATCGCGCATGCAGCGATGGCGCATGGGCTGACTCACGCCGCGATCCTGGACTTTGACCTCCATCACGGGGACGGCTCGCAGGAGATTGCCTGGGATCAAAATCAGAAAGCCGGGATGGCTGCCCGCAACGCCGCCGCGCACAAGAAAACCATGGTGGGATATTTCAGTCTGCACGACATCAACTCGTACCCATGCGAGGGGGGCGACACGGACAAGGTGCGCAACGCGAGTGTGTGTATAGACAAGGCCCACAGCCAATCGATCTGGAATGTTCACCTGGAGCCATGGAAAACCGACCGGGAATTCTGGGAGCTGTACCAGACCAGGTATAGTGTCTTGTTGGAGAAAGCGCGCGCATTTCTACGTCGACATACCCAGCGGCTGGCCGACGCCCCAAATGGACCCCGACCCAAGGCGGCCATTTTTATCTCGGCGGGGTTTGACGCCAGCGAGTGGGAAGGGGCTGGGATGCAGCGGCATCAGGTGAACGTCCCGACCGCGTTTTACGCTCGCTTCACGGCCGATGTGGTGCGTCTGGCCCACGAAGAAGGGCTGGGGACTGACGGGCGTATCATCAGTGTACTGGAGGGCGGCTACAGCAACCGCGCGCTGACCAGCGGCGTCCTCAGCCACCTGTCGGGACTGGCCGAGATCAGAGAGACGGAGGCGCAGCAGATCGATCGTCTGGCGTCTGCGATGACGGATCGTCTGGGCTTATCTGACACGCAACCCCCTGACCCGGAGGGCTCTCAGGGTGGGTATGACGACGATTGGTGGTCGCCTGGGATGCTGGAGGAGCTGGAAGCGCTGGCGTACCCGCCGCTGGCGCCCGCCAAATCCCGCGAGAAAGCGGCTCCGACCTATTTTCAACCCACCCAGTCTTTCGCTGCCAAGGTGGTGAACTCGCGCGATCGCCGGTCGATAGGTTCCTATTCGTGCGCTGAGCCGGAGACGCGTCCGCCCTTGCCGCGGGTCGGCTGGGCCACCGCATCACATGAGCTAGCCAAGATTCTGATCCCGACTCACAGGCAGACGACGAGCTGTCGCCCGGAGGAGCTGAACGCAGAGGCATCGCGCCTGCGACGAGAGCGGCAGGCGGCGGCGGCGGCGGCTAGCAACGCGCCCACCAGCACCAATGGTGGGACCCCGGAGGAAAGCCGGATGAAACTGCGCGTGCGCAAGCCCAAGCCATCGTTGCCGCCCAGTCCACAGGATGAACGGCCGGCTGCGCGCAGCAGTCGCAGGACGACCATTGACGCCCCGCCGGACAGAGTTAAAGCTGGTCACAACCAAACATCGCCAAGGGTGCGGACAGTGCGGAGGAAGAGTGCGGTTTCAGATGCTAGCTCGGTTTTGGAGGCGGGCAGCAGCGATTCGTCCAAAGTTGCAACTGCCGCCGCTCTGGCTGCTACTGCGGGGCCGGGTGGTTCTCGATCGAGCACCCCCCAGCGTAGTGTGCCGCCTGTGCCCCAAGTGCCTGTAGAGTTTCAGCCTCGCCGCGAGGGTGACAAGGGAGACGATGTCGAGGATCTGGCGGCCGGAGTGCGCAAGTTGAACATCAAGCTGAAGGTCCCTTCGCCGGAGGAGAATGCTGCACGGGAGGAACGACGGCGGGCGAATGGGGCTAGGGTTGGGTTGAAGAAGCCGCCGCCGCCGCCGCCGCCGCATCAGGCACCGAAGCGGGCAGCCGGGGGAAGTGCTACTGCGGCCAAGGTGGATAGCCTGGTAGACAGTGGTGGTTCGGTGGGGGATAACAAGGCGGTTGAGTTGAGCTTTGGTCAGGGGGAGGCTAAAGTGAAGCCGGATGAGGCAGAGCCCAAACCGCCTGCGGTCATGTCCCCGGTAACCTCATCGCCAATCTCGTCCGCGACGGACGCCATGCTGATGTCGCCGCCTCTGACTCCGGGTCAGCAGCCGCAGTCGAGGCTCTACTCGCCGCCATCGTCGACGCCAATGGGAAACGGGTTGCCAGTGCTGATGTCGCGGGGCCCGATCCGGTTTGCGTCCGCTTCAGCTGGTTCTGGTGAGAGGGGGATGAATCAAGAGGCCAAGCGGGAGGAGGAAAGCGATTGAATGTCGTTATGCTGATAGTTTGCGAGTTGGAGTTGGATTTGATACCCCTTTCGTTTTTTGCTCTTGTTTTATCTTATTATTTTTTTTCTCGAGATTTATCTCCGGCGCCAATCTCCGGATCAGATAGTGGAGATGCACCGCCACGCTGAGTCAGAGGGAGCGGTGCATCTTCCAGCATCCGCCAGAATTGCTTACTCTACTTTACATACTAGCATAGCAGACTTGAACCATTTTCTCTCTTTTATGCATCTCCTCTTTTCAAATACACCTGTTCATTCTCACTCATTTAATTCCGTACATACTTTCATTAATCTCACAGCCCTTGTATCAAAGACCAAAGTCCCCCGAAAAAGAAAAGATCGAAGGATGGCCCCCATCTCCATCCACCGGGGCAATTCGCCCCCCAGCGACCAGCCCCCGAACCCCCCCTCAAACCAGAACCAGACCCAAAGCTACACCCAACTTCCGGACACCGACCTTGACGCCATCGGCCACCACTGCGACCTCTCCTACTGCCACCAACTCGACTTCCTTCCGTTCCGCTGCGCCTCGTGCAACGGCACCTTCTGTCTCGACCACCGCAGCGAGACCGCACACAAGTGTCCGCGCGCCGGCGAGTGGGCGCGACAGGCAGCCTCCACAGCTACCACGCCCTCCACCTCCACCTCCACCACCACCTCCACCTCAGCCTCGCGCCCGAACATCTACAATTCACAACAATGCAGCCATCTCACCTGCAAAACACTCATCCACACCGTGACCGAACCGGGTGTCCGATGTCCCGAGTGCAGACGGGAGTATTGTCTCCGCCATCGTCTGAAGGAGGGACATGATTGCAAGCCTCCGCGGGGTGCGGGTGCTGGTGCTGGCTCCACAGGCGCAGGGGTGGAGACGTTGAGGGGGATGTTTGCCAAGGTGCGGAGTGGGTTTGGCTCTTCTGCTGGTGGTGGTGGTGGTGGTGGCAAGGGGACTGCTCCCGCAGGGGGAGGGTTGGGTGGATTGTTAGGCGGAAGCAGGAAGACTGCAAAACCGCCCAGTCGGACGGTACAAGTGAATACGCTCAAACGCACGGCTAAGGGGGACGCAAATGTGCCTAGTGAGAGGAGGGTGTATGTGTTTGTCGAGGGGGCGGCGGCTGCTGCTGCTGCGACGGTTGGAGCTGCCCCTAAAGGCGGCTTCTACTTCGATAGCAAATGGAAGATCGGGCGGGTGCTGGACGACGCGGCGCGGCGGCTGGGCGTGGAGAATGTCAACAACCGCGTCGCCGGCGAGGAGGAGCGGCTTCGGGTGTTCCATGTAGATGGTGGGGTGTTTCTCGAGTTTGGTGATACACTGGGCGAGAAGGTGGTGCAGGGCGATACCCTTGTTCTGTTGCGGGGGGCGGGATCAATCCTCTGAGTTTTTTATTTTTGGGTTTGGTGGGGAGTTTGGTTTTGCATTTAGGCATAGCATTTGATCTTGTTGAACTTTTATATACCATCATCATCATCATGAATTCTATCTAAATCTTGTTACCAAGACTGGGTGAACAAACAAAGTAAACCAGACAGACCCCCTAACGCCAATCTTCCCCCCCCCCCCCGCCAAAAACTTGCACCATTAAACACTCATCTTCATTTGGATCGCCTTATGCGGCTGATACCCCACCACCTCAACCTCCTCTGCCCTCCACCCATCAATCACCCCGGCCCCGCGATCCTCCCGACGGATCCTGACCTCTGGGAACGCCGTGGGCTCGCGCGTGAGCTGCTCCTGCAGCGCCTCCACATGGTCCAAATACACATGCGCATCGCCCAGCGTATGGGTAAAGCTCCCCGGCACCAGATCCACCGCATGAGCCAACATATGCGTCAGCAGGGCATAACTGGCGATATTGAAGGGCACGCCGAGCCCCATGTCCGCGGAGCGCTGGTAGAGCAAACAATGCAGGTGTCCTTTCCTCCCCGTGCCCTGCGGATAGCTCACATAGAACTGGGCGAACATATGACACGGCGGCAGGGCCATCTTGATCAAGTCGGCCGGGTTCCACGCCGACAGGATGATCCGGCGATCGAAGGGATTCTCGCGCAGCTTGCGCACCACCTCCGCCAGCTGGTCCACACCCTGGCCCTCGTAGTTGGTGTTTGCGTCCACATACTCCGCCCCGAAGTGCCGCCACTGGAATCCGTACACGGGACCGAGATCGCCCTCGGCGCGGTGCGACAGCCCCACGCTATCCAAAAACTCCCGGCTGCCGTTGCCGTCCCAGATCTTGATCCCCGCTGCCGACAGCGGCAGTGACGAGGTCGTGCCGGAGATGAACCAGAGGAGCTCCGCCACCACGGCCCGCAGAAAGACGCGTTTGGTCGTCAGCAGCGGGAGGATCGGCGTGTAGCTGTACGCTTCTGGCCCTTCACTGCTGCTGCTGCTGCTGCTGCTGCCGGTGTTTGTTGGCTGGTGCAGGCGGAAGCGCATCTGCGGCGGCGCGAAGATCGAGCGTGTGCCCGTGCCCGTGCGGTCCGGTCGGTTCTCCCCCTCGGAGAGGATCGTGCGGATGAGGTTGAGGTATTGGTGTTCTTCGTGGGTGGGGTCGTGCACCGGATTGGAGACAGGGGTAGAGGTGGTTGTGGGAGGGAGGGAGGATGGTGTGGAGGGAGGGAGGGTTTCAGCGGAGGGCGTCATCTTGAGTGGTTGGTTGTGAGCCTGATTTTTGGAATTGAGGAGGAGGACGAGCAGGAGTAAGTGTGAGGTTTGTTTGACATGTGTGAAAAGTGTATAGTAGTGGGTGGACAATGGAGCGAATGGGACGCGGTCGCGACGCGCCGCGAAATCACGTGACTGGATGGTGATTTTACCCGATCGGGTGGTGACCTCGACTTCTGTGTAAGCTTACTCCTACGTGGGGTAGTCATCGCAATTATACATAGTTAGCTCTTGATGCGCTGGTCAGATTCTTTATTTCATGCTGGCTAGCGATGGATCATATATGCAGACTTGAACTACTACCACAGCAGTGACCGTGCTGTGGAGCCACGGGCTCGCACAAGTGCTACAGGAATACTTCCAGGGTTACACAGTAGATAGAAAGACTATCTTGCCAGCCCACTGCACAATAACCTTACAAATAGAATTGACGCTAACAGATAACTTATCTGCTGAGAAATCTACGCCCATATACCTGCTAGTCACCCTACCAGTTCCAGGCACATCAACCTTCTCAACTACAAACCCAGAGTAAAAACACCAGATGGAGAAGTAGTACAACAGTGCTTCCTCCACCACCTGCCCAAAAAGAAACCCCCGACCCCTTTCCTACACCCAAGTAAGAAAGAAAAAATACCCGATCGATCGCTGTGTACTCTGAAGCAAGCTTGCCTGCTGCCAGCCTGCCTCAACTCCAGTCTCCAAGTCCAAACCCAAAAGGACACATGGTAACGCACGAACCACCTGCTATCTCACGACGCCTCTAACCAGAAAAACAAATCAAAGAGTCTCTTTCCTTTTCCCCTAAATCCCACGCTAATCAGGTTTCAGCAAAGTCCAGACGAGAGCATTAGTTTTCTGTTAGGGCCCTAAGCAAAGCCCAACTGGGGCGTGGAGTTTAATGAAGCGCGGTTAGAATAAATCGGATGGGTTGGCGGGAGTGAACCATGGTACTGGGTTTGATATCAAATGGTCTGTGTGTTTCGTCAACTTTCTTTAGTCTCTTACCGTGCGAGAATTTGAGTTGGCGCGGAGGGGTGAAAGTTAAAAAGAAATTCTCCGAGGTTCTTTTTTGCTCCTTTTTTTGAAGGGGTCTTTCCTCGGGTAAAGTTCAGTGCGGCACACCACACTAACTCACTTGACTCTGCACATTACACAGTAAATAAGGAGATGGAGATGATCACTACGGAATAGTGTTGACGGTTGAGTAGGGAGAGACGAAGAAAATCTCAAATGATTCTCCTGACTGAGTATGTTATCATGCTTGATCTTAGAGATGTAGACTACTTCAACGTACTCAGTGCAGTACACCTCCAGCACACATCCTCACTGCCGAATCGAATACTCTGCAAATACCTATTGCCTCACTTACCAGGCTCCTGACTTCAATCCTTCAGATCGATTCGATCCAGCCCACTCGTATTCGAGTAACGACACCCTTCTTCATTCGATAGGTTACACCTCGTTACTAATCTATTCTCCAGTCATCGCATCACTCATCCCATGAGCAGTCAAATTATTGCTCGTCATAAATCAGCTGTTCTGTCGTCAATATAATAGATCGTGCCAGTTTCTCCGTAGCCCGGGCTGCGCGAGCCGTCAATAAGTAACTCCCTCCAGGCGTGAAAAATCCTTCAACGTAAGACCCCCGGACATAAGAAATACACCATAACCAGAGACGGCGCTCATGCATGCGTTTCGCCCGTCACCAGAAACACAGTTGAATCAACGTCATCGTCAAACCCGCCACCCCAAGCACCAAGCATCCATTGACTGTCCACCAGAACAAAAAAAGTAAACCCGTATGCTGCTGCCCGGCCCTCTTCGTTGTTTCGTTCCGACACAAACTGGCCCAGAAAGGCCCCCCAGAAATCCCCCCCAGTAGAAAAACACTGTCGAGCGCCGAATTTCCGTGTTGTACATATTGACGAAGTCGAGATGCCGCATCAGTCCGAGACGCGTCGTACACACCGTTGGACGCAGCGACAGAGGTTGAAATAGACAGCAAACCCAGTGTCGAGTACCCAGATCACTAGCGCACCGGTCCTCGAGAGTACATGCCCGGCCTGCAGTTCTGACCGAGGTCATGAAAGTAGTTCACAGCTAACTCGGCCGCATCTTCCTTGGCGTTGTGGAGGTTCTTGCCATCGTACCAAAACCGAGCCTTGAATAACATGCCTCGAACAGTGACCGAGCTGGACCAGGCCGTGCGACCTCCTGCAATAACGCGGACGGAACTGTCAGTCTTTGGTACCCCTTGCAACGGCCAAAAGGACAAAAGTCGGTGAAGAGGGGGAGGGGCTGGTAGGCATAGACATCGACTCCACTCTTTCTCTTTCTCTCTCTTCAATACACAGGCACACTATCGACAACCAGAATGGACTTCAAGACTCATGTGTGCTTACCTCGACGATCGGACACGATCACGAACTCCGGGCTAGGGACACCATTCTCTTTGCAGTGCTCTGGGTGTAGAGGAATCAGGGTTAGTCAAACGGGCCAAAAGTCAATCGACGTAACTCCTGAGGGTTTGCAGCAAAGTGGGGCATACCCTCCAGTTTCGCTTGCCATGATTTTCCTGGTGATGGCGTAGTGGCCGGATACGAAGCATAGGCACCGGACATTGTGAATAAAAAGTCTCGTCAATCAATGGACGGCGGCGGATTTTCTCGCAGGCGGGACGGATTCACCACGGTGGGCTTGGTCTCTGGGCATGCACAACTCCTGTCTCAAAAGCCCGCAGCTGGCTGCGATCCAGTACTAAAGGCGGGTTGGGACTAAATGCAACACGCAACCGACACAATTTTAATCAATCAATCGGACTTGGGAGGATCTGGTCCAATTTAGATGAATGACAAGCACGAAACGGCCAGGAGATTTGACCCACGAACTCAATTGACGGTGGGGTCCTTCAACGCCAGATAGAGACAATCAAGAAACCAAATGAATATTATAAGCAATGGAAATTTTTGTGCTGGACTGTTCCAATCTGTTCTCGCAGTGAGCCTCGAGCTTCTTATTATTTTTTTTTAAAAGAATAATCGGACTTTCGAGGGATATGGGAAGCGGGGAGTCATATAAACTGTGGGCCATCCCTAAAAGCCCCAGAGAATGTTTCTGTGCAAGACACTTTCGGCGTGTCAAACACGGCACCTAATCATCAAACCTAACAGACGGGCTTATGCATGTGTGGCAGGTAAACATGGCACGGCGTCAGCAAGTTCCCCCCCTCCCTTACCCTCCACTCAAGGCACGTCAAGTAGCATGGAGAAACTGCGGATCATTCTGAGGCTGCAAGCTGGAACGGCCCGCCGCACGACGACTGAGAGGGTGCCCTTTGAAGAAACGCCAGAGACCAGGAAGGACGTCCGCAGTCTCCACCCAGGCCGGCGGAATTGACTGGCCAGCAGTAAGACTCGAAGACAAAGAGGACATGTCGTACAAGGCAAGTATGTCAATTCGCAGCCAGTTTGTTGGCCAACTCAGCAGAAGAGAAAGAAAAAAACCACCAACCCCTATCGACATCGTGGCTCGCGGCTCTACTACCGCTGCTCCTGCCGAGGGGTGCTGCTGCTGCTGTGCGCGCATTCGCTTGCTCTACCTCCTCGCGTATCTTCCTGTTGCTACTCTTCTCCGCTTCCGCACAAGGCATGCAAAGACCATCGGGTATGAACAAGCCACTCGCCTCATAGAAGCTCTTCAGCACAGGGACCCTCCGTCCCTTCTGGAAGGAATGCACGGGTGGAGGCCGGCCTGGTCTAGTTGCCCAAAAGCGGAGGAAAGCCCCATAGGACGATGGAAGGACGAATGGAAGCAAAAAATCTGTTCGAGGTAAACCTCGATTGGGCCACTCAGCAGATTCGATGCGGGCCCCGAGGTCCTGGTGCCAGCTCATCAACAATTTTATGATTTCATTCAATTCGAACCGAAAGCGTAGCTTCCGAACTCATCCACTCGCCGCTTCCCCTTCAGCCCTAGAAACAAACGGTTACAGGCCGGGCCGCTCTGCATGAGCTCATCCCTGGGGCGAAGCCGGAGGCTGCAGACGCTAGGGTGACCAGGGCTTGCTCGCATGCGGTGACCATTGTGCGGTAGGTGAACTTTCGCGGAGACAGGGATGCAGCCGAGAACAAGAGAGAATCAAGAGTCAGGACTAGTGTAGACCGGGGCCCAGCTGGCTGTATGTACCAGGGGAAAGAAGAAATTATTATCTGCAGGAGATACCAGATGCCAACGAAGAGGAAAAGCAGATCGAGGTCTACTAGACCCAGGCCAATTTCGATGGACAAGCCGATTTAATTCGTTGCTTTCTTTCTGGCACATGTTGGGCATTCATACGTGTGCTTTCATTCGGCCCTTGTCGCATTTTATTTTTCAAGATAGCTCTTTTTATTTTCATTCCTTTTGTGTCTCGCCCACGCGGCTATTTAAGAATCCTGGTCATGGAGCTAATGGGATGCGTTTGAGTTTTTTTCTCCATTCTGCAACATGACAAGTGAACCGCCAAAGCATGCGTTGATGACGGGTAGAGAGAAATCACCTGCATAAACCAGCAAGGAAGCATGCAGCAAATCAGTAGGCGAGTCTTAAGTCACCAATTAGCAATTGGGTAAGTCAGTAGAGTCGGCGCCAAGCAGAGGAAACTGGAGAGAGAGGAAGAATGAAAAGGGAGAGTTGTAGAGGGTAGACACACACACACACACACACACACACACAGAGAGAGAGAGAGAGAGAGAGAGAGAGAGAGAGAGAGAGA